AGGCTACGAATTTTGTTCTCCGCTTAGATTAACCAGGAACTAGCCAATCAAAACATTAAAATATTGTTCCTAAATTTGTTATGGAACCGAAAGGCAAAGCCTCGCAAGGTCAAGGAATAAAATTGCAATGTGTTTAATAAAATCACTATTGTGTGAATTGCAAAGTTCGAGCAAATCACTTGTTCAAGTCTTTCCAGTAACTAATCGAGATTTCGTAATGATTATGAATTCAATGTTATAAATGCTTAGCAACAGCTGACGTTGTGGTACGAAATTTCAGGATAATCCTGTTTTCTCCGAGTAAATTTTTAAGTTTAAAAACTTATCTATTGGATAGCTATCCACTCCACTATCCATGCTTCGTGCAACGCGTTTTTATCCAATGGATAACTATCCACTGGATAGCAGATTTATCCGTTGGATAGGACTTATCCGGTGGATAAGTTATCCATCTTTCGAACAACCGGCCCCTGATCTGTATATGAACTGTTAGAAAACTCAACTGTGTTTTCAGTAAGCTGGTCATCGACGTTTGATAATCTTGATATACTTTGGCAATGCTGTAACGATCCAATGGATTTTGAATAATTGGTGATTGTTGAATGAACTCTTGTAGGTCCTGGAAGATGCTGGTATTTTAAAAAACATCAAGCGTTTCGCGGGAGCTAGCGTTGGCGCAATGGTTGCGTCTTTGGCAGCAATTGGTATATCCTCAGCGGAATTACAAGAATTTCTCGATCAGGATGTGCGCAAAATAATGTCTGGTAATATTTTTATCCCTTTTTCCACCAGGCAAATTTATTCGTCCGAACTGATAAAAAGTAGGACGCGACCCAGGTTTTTCACAGCGACTTTTTTCGCAGACTATTAAATCACATTACTGCATCTTTGGGCTTCACGCCTGACCAGATCCCATTCTTGATTCCTCCAGTAGTCCTAATTAAAACACAAAAACTAACGCTTCCGGCGTTGATAATGATTAAAAGCTTATAGGACATATAACTTTGCTCGAAAGATTCTCACCTTACATTAGATCTTTCACTTTAGATCATTCATGCGGCTACTGCAGTTTGCTTCCAAATTTAAAGAAGGGTTTCGGTTGGAATCCTGGGAAGAAAATGAATCACTGGTTTGGTGAACAAATGAGAGAACGTACTGGTGATTACGATATCACTTTTAAAGATGTACGTACAAAATCATTCCTATCTTTTTTAAATAAAGATCATTCTGTGCGAGAATTCATTCATGCAATAACACTTTTCTAATTTGTTTCATTTTAACTGATCATATTTTACACATTCTTTTAGGTTTTACGTCTTTTTGGTACAGAAATATGCATTGTCGTAACTAATTTGAGTCACATGTCGGTAGAATATTTTCATCCAAAAACAACGCCCAATATTCCAGTGAGAAAAGCAGTCAAAATGTCAATGGCGTTACCTGGTATATATACTCATCACTGATAGCCTGTGTTTTACTCACATATGATATAGTATCCCAGTGTCTCAGTTATACTAATAATAATGTTACTAACAATGATGTTTTACTCAAGAAATACAAAACTATTTTATTTAGGAGTATTTCAGGTAGTTCGTGAAACTTTTAATGGTGAAGAAGATGTGTATGTCGATGGAGGTTTAATTTGCAACTACCCAATACATGTCTTTGATGGTAAGATGATCCGCCTGTCTGTGCCTTGATGTCGTGACTATAACAAGCTATCTTGAAACGTGAACGGATTGTATTAAAGATATTATCTATTTGGGCGGCAGAAAACGAATTCTTAGTTTGCTATACATTTTTTACAAATAGTTTGAATATGACAATTACTTATCAGAATAGGAATATATTCTCGCAGTAGACGTAGTTTATGTTAACTAGTTTATAATATAATTATTTTGTTACCAATTAAGGTTGGTGGCTATCTACGCAGCCAGAAGACACATTCTTCAAACGTCTACAGCCGCTGGAAGATTTTGCTAGGCTCTATGAGAAGTCAGAAAGATTTGGAACTTGGAATCCAAAAACGCTGGGAATGATTCTGGTACGAATACATACGTAAAAAACCATCACCATGACTTTGATCATTACAAAATTTCGGATGCACTTTTTGTGTGTTTAGCTACATAATTCATGATCTCAGCGATATATCTACATAGGGCCTAGTTTCAGTTACAGAACATTGGGTAAATATTTAGCACTTGGTTTCATTAAAATTTCTAGTATTCAAATACAGAAACAGAACTGATGAAAACAACGCTTTCACAGAGACCCGGAAGCAAACCACCTGTAGCACCAAATACAAAATTGGCAAAGTAAGTATAAAGCCGATGAGGGATTCAGTTATAATCATTATACATTTATTTAATATTTATTTATTTTAATGAATCTCCAAGTTTTATAGTTGCATATATCTTCTAGATTGAATGATTGAATTAATGAAATATGGTCTCCGGAGACCATATTCAGAATTGGGCTCACTACGTACGAACTACTCTTGAACATTATAGACAGAGAAATAAATTAAAGAGAAAACAGCAGCAAACAAGAATTGAACATGACACATGGTACAGGTCGTTGGACGATTTATGAAGGTAGAAGTATTCCCGTCAAAATATGTTTTGCGAATATAGTTCTAGAAAAATTCGTGGACTGAAAATTATATGCATGAACACTTGATTTAGTCTGTGTATATACAACTATATTTCAGGAACTTGAGGTGAACAATTTAGATGAAGACAGTATAATCAATGAGCAGGAATTTCGTGCAGTTTTCGAAAATGTAAGTCTTGAATGAGTATATTGTAGTCGTAAGATTTAATGTCAACATCTTACATCTGAATATATTTCGAGAATTCGAGGCTGATTTCCACTGAGGAATGTTATCCTTCGGACCTGATCGGAAGGATAATATCTTCAGTTTGCAAGTGTTTGAATCACACTAGTTCTGATGGAGAACGATCCGATCCGGGAGTAAAAATCAGTATTTAACCGAAAGGTTTATCAGTAGCATCTATTAATTTATTCACAGTCAGTCAGTCTATTTCCCGATGATTTGCGCTTGCTTTTTGGAGACGATTGCGAAGTGATGGAGGCGTTTGATCAAGTGGATAGAGACCATGACGGAGAGGTAAAGAGCACAAAAATAATATAGACATTGAAAAATAAACGTTTCATATATCTAAATGATCCGTGAGAGCTGTTTGCATGTGAGATGACATGCTCGTATGAAATCTGTGAAATGTTTATGACACAAAGCGCTGGAAACTCCAGTTTTACCTTGAAATTTTTTCTGCGATTCTATTCTTCTTTTGACAGATGCAAACGAAGAAATAGATATTATTGCTCTGTATATAAGTGCCCATGTATGAACATTCGTATATATATAAGCCTTTCACTTATTCACATCTATCGAAAGAAGAATATTGCACCTACAATCGCCAGTAAAAATCGCCAGCATGTGCATGTGCCACATCAATTAAATCCAACTTCTCTTCATCCAACTTCTCTTCAATCATTGCGAAAAAAAATCTGCGGATTTAATATGCTAGTTTTCACAGAAATTATTTTCCCGACAGATCACTTTTCAAGAGTTGATGGCGTTTGTTGCGAAAAGGGGAGTCAACTTACAGCAACGGTTTCTAGGATATACAAGAAAAGAAATCAGAAACCTTGGAGATTTTGTACAAACTTTGCAAGTATATCGCCATTCAGTATATACAGCTATTATCAATAATTGAATAAAAATTGTTATCGTTTTTAACATTTATATATATAGATGATACTTAACTTTTTCCTTTAGACTGCATTGGCGGTTAACGTGAAACGTGTGTATGTCGAGGTAAAGTAGAAAGAAAAAACAAGAAATCATTGAATAGGATAACGCAACCCGTATACACTTGTATTTTTGGCACCTATATAGCTTCAATTTTACGAAACAATAAATTCTTTTCATTCATTATCTTATATTAACACATGCAAACGGAGTTAAACTTTCATGTAATTCTGGGTATAAAATACCTGCAACTCTAGAACAGTTATTACTACTATTAACTGCATGCTAATTCTGTATAGCTACATGCACAGAACTCCACTCCAAGATACTGACTGCATGTGATAACTTCACTTTTGCCTCGTTTATAGAAGCGAGACGTGAATAGAACTATTGGTATAGACACAGATTATGTGGAGTCAAATGACTTTAATTTGGAAACTGAAGACAAAACATTTCTTATCGAGGTAAATATGGATCTATATATATTTATTTCAGTTGGTACATATAAACTGAAATAAATTATTTTTCATAGCAAAGTCTGCATCTTCTATATCCACTTCTTCAGTCCACTTCTTATCTCATAAATGGAGGTTCATGCAATTATATGTAGTGTTATGCACCAATGGCAATTTATGCGTAACTTTGTTTTACTTTTTAGTCTGGCAGAAGAGCAACTCGCGCGTATTTACATGAATACATCAAGAAACAAAACACGGAGCCAGTTTCGCCATCAGGAGTGGCGGTGTTACCGCCGCCCGAGAACCAAAGCTCGAAATTTGAATATGAACGTCCAAATCGACGAAGGCACTATTCATCCAGTAGCACATTAAGTAGCTATAAATCCCTCTCACCCGTCATAACACCTGTTGATATGGCTTGATTTTTCCATATCTTGGATGAAAACAGACAAAATATACAGTACAAAACTTATGTATCATAACCATATATTGTATTTATAATGTGTACAATCCTTAAAGCTACAGCTTTTCGTTTGAATCAAGGAAATTTACGTACAATAATATGTTTCTTTATTCATTATGATAATTCCAGAAATTATTCATGCAGCAACTCTGAGAAACACATATATTGATTGAATAAACAATTTTAACCTATATACCACCGTTCTATATATTCCCGCCGAGTTACAAGAAACAGAGGAAAGCAAATAATTTTACTAGACTCGACAGTAATTGTTGTATAACTCTGTGTATCGGCTATGAATGTACTAACATAATACTTGCTTACAAGCCAAGCACCATACGTTAACACCACATGCACCAAAACATATCATGTTCACGATGGAACATGCTGCGTGCAGTTTAATAAACTTTTCCTTTATTTCTTTGTATGTGAGATCATGTTCCACGAGCTTTGGAGCAATTGGTCCCACACCATCCTCGATTCCGAGAAACGTTACACGTTGAGCTTTGATTAGCATCATTCGGATTGTCTCAGGTCCGAGGTAGAAGTAATTTACAAGTGAACACAATAAGGAAACTGATAAACAAAGCGCCTATAGGTGAAGTAAAATATTATGTACAATGTATTATGCGGTATTATGTTCTTTCTTTCATTGATATTTAGCTCGCCTATTGTAAGTTAAAATAGTTGAATTATTATTGGACTTTCATTATCCCAAGTATCACAGTCTCGCAACGATTATGTGATACTGCGTACACTGCATGTGAAGTCTCCCGCATTGCTACATTTTCGCACAATTTATTTATTTATTTATTTAACTTTGCCAATACAAATGACAGGACGTCGAACAGGCGCCTGGACAAAACAAGGACAAGAATGGCAGGGACACCACAACAGTGAAAACCAATTGCAATATGGCCTTCTGCTATAATGTACTTGTACAAATTGTGATATAAGAAGTGTTGTAAAACAAGCAAGACTAAATACCCAAACAAACACCTTCATAAAAGACTTAGGTATCCAAACTCGGTGATTTCAATAATTTTGGGGGTTTTGGGACACCCGGTATATATGTTTCACATATTTTTGTCCTTTTTGTCCGTAACCATATGCATGATTCAATGCCATGTTCCGATATTTGTGATACCCTGACCACGTAAGATCAGGCAACTATACTGTATGTCACATTAATACAAACACATATAAATCATTTTACCTGATACAAAAAGAAACTGTCATCTTCCAGGAGTTCTTAGGATAACAATAAACAGATGCGTAAACAAGCGAAATAGCACTCATTACTATGCCAGACATGAAGTACAACGGAAATATTTTGCTTTGGACTTGCGCAAATGCATTTCTCGTTAACGTTTTAAACATAGTGAAACCTGTAGAAGTAAAGAAAACGACAATTGAGTTGAAGTATTTCGAAAACAATATTCATTACACGAATATAAAGATGCAAATACATATATCGTACCTGAAACATGCACCCAAAACTGAATGCCAACCCATATAGCAAATACCAGAAGATGACCAAAATGTAGAGCGTACGGCAATTTTTCGTGTAATAAAGACATTTTATTTTCTTTACTCCCATCGTTAGAAGAATATATTACCAAACCAAGAGTGACAGCAAATCCCACAGCATGAGAACGGCACCGTAGAACCGTTGTTAGTAGGAATGATATTATGTGCTGAGATTTTCCTTCGTCTCTCCAACTTCTCATGAGTTATAGTTTGCTGCATTTTATTCATCACAAAAGACTTCAGCTTATGCATACAAATATAGAAACGATCAGCTTATATATAGCTAGGTATCTGTTTATTTCTCACCTAATAACAATAAACATCTCATGCACCATCGGACAGCACCGGACAAATGGGGAGCTGAAGCCACGGAGGCAGCTGTTCCAGTCCCCACTGCCAGGGTAGGCAGCCCTAATTGATTATTGTGACTTTGGTCCAAATTTTTCATAAAAGACTGTGTTAAAATGCATCAGTGCTCGGAGTAAAACTGACTGGAAATACGTTTTCTTGTCCTTCTGTAGATCTGCGTGTAGTTCCGAAGGTAAAATGAATGTTCCGTTTTCTAAAACACTGCCTGGCGTGCCCGCAGCTCAAAACTGCATGCTTCCGGACTGCTCACTAACAAACACCTAAATATTGTTGGACAGATGGAACTATTCAATGTATTTCCGCAAGGTCAACGTAAACAATTTTTGGATCTATAACACTATATCTCAAATTGCAAGTCTCTGGATAATTATTTTCTTACTCTAATTATAATACTTTATATATAATCTAGTAAAAGCAGTCTGGATTCAATGTAAGGAGACATGCAGGCCTGGTTTTTCTAGTCTCCAAAAAACAGAAAAGTATAGAGATAACATACTTTCATTGACATTTGACAGAATTGAAATTCCCAAGCACAGAAGCACTCTGTTTGGATTCGCGATTGTATGTTTGACATTTTTTACAAATAATGACAATTAATACAGCTTGTTTCTATGCAAGAACGATAATTAGCTATACTTACTCAGCATTTTTTTCACACATGCAATAATTGCAATCAAACTTTAACAACGAATGATTCCAATTGATTTTTCCGTTTTTTCCGAGACACCCTGTTCAATGAACACCAATTTTCGTCATTTTAGTCAGACTATATTTTTTAACCACGTTTTGTAAATATACAGAAGGGATAAAATTACAATTAAAGTACATGGTATACGCGTTTCCCCGTGTTATCAAAACAAACACAAATTAAGTGGATTGATCTGATATAATAAAAATGGTAGATGGTTTTGAATGTTAAATGAAACACTTTTCTATCAAGCTCGAGCAATTCTAGTTTTCGCCTGGCAATTTTCACTGACCTTCGAAAATTTTCAAAGTAACAGGTGAAAAAGGGAAAAAGATCCGGTAGATTATGATCAAATACGTAAGGAGGAAACAGCTGGTGTATGTAAACAGGAAGAGCAAACAACCGGGTGGGAGTAAGTAAGGTCTACAAATCCGAACATGAATGCAGACAGTATATTAGCAGAGACGTATCAGAAGCGGCGTATCATCTCCATGTTCCATTAAGGAGCAATTGATCATATCGCATAAATTCTTACGAAACAAAAGACCCGACTAGTTAATGCAGAAGCTTAAAGACCAAATTTATTATTTGTAGTTTAAAAAGAAATAGATAACAATTTTCTATTTTCACACCAATGCATAAAGAGATGTCATTTAATATTCATCTCCTTCTTCGTCTTCATCTCCGTCTGGAGTAGAATCAACCCCAACTTCTTCGTAATCTTTCTCCAAGGCTGCCAAATCTTCGCGAGCTTCAGAAAACTCTCCTTCCTCCATTCCTTCACCAACATACCAGTGAACGAAGGCACGTTTGGCGTACATCAAATCGAATTTATGATCCAATCTTGCCCACGCCTCAGCAATTGCTGTGGTATTACTTAACATACACACAGCACGCTGTACCTTGGCCAGATCACCTCCTGGTACCACAGTTGGTGGTTGGTAGTTGATACCAACCTTGAAGCCAGTTGGACACTAATCTACAAACTGAATGGTACGCTTGGTCTTGATGGTTGCGATGGCGGCGTTCACATCTTTAGGCACGACATCACCACGATACAACAAACAGCAAGCCATGTATTTACCATGACGTGGATCACATTTCACCATTTGATTGGCTGGTTCAAAACACGCGTTGGTGATCTCGGAAACGGACAGTTGTTCGTGGTAGGCTTTCTCTGCAGAAATTACTGGGGCATACGTCGCGAGGGGGAAATGGATTCGTGGGTAGGGGACAAGATTGGTTTGGAATTCAGTGAGATCAACATTCAGTGCCCCGTCGAAACGAAGAGAGGCGGTAATTGACGATACAATCTGACCAATCAATCTGTTAAGGTTGGTGTAGGTTGGCCGTTCAATGTCGAGGTTACGACGACAGATATCGTAGATGGTCTCGTTATCGACCATGAAACAACAATCTGAATGCTCGAGGGTGGTGTGGGTTGTCAAGATGGAGTTGTAGGGTTCAACTACTGCCGTGGAGATTTGGGGCGCAGGGTAGATAGAAAACTCGAGCTTGGATTTCTTGCCATAATCGACAGATAGCCGCTCCATGAGCAAAGAAGAGAATCCAGAGCCAGTACCGCCTCCGAACGAATGGAAGATGAGAAAACCTTGGAGACCTGTACATTGGTCTGCCTATAGTCAATAAATAGACCGATGGAAATAGTGTTAAAAGCATTAGCAAATAGTCGCAGAATACACAAAAATACTGTTGAGATATGTGTTGTAAAATTTCAATACGAATAGATTTAAAAACCATTTCAACTATTTAATAATCCGTGACTAATAGTCCAATACTGCTTAATGATTAATAAAAAACGTATTGCTTTTTAACGATGGTTATAGTAGACAAAGACGTAGAGACGCTGTATTATGTTTATGTATAATTAATGTATGTTGTTTTCAATCAGTATATCTGCCGCTTTCATTTTACCTTTGCGAGCCAATATGTATAGTTAAAGTTGCTATGACAACTAAACAGGTCGTTTAACTGATCCTCTTAACTGCTTTATAGACGCAGGGAAGAGAATTTCCATTTTAGGCATTATGCTTGAACAGACAACATAAGAAGAATTACACATAAACAATTTGGTTTTATAGCGAAGGCTAGGGTAAAAACTCTCCTCGATACGTTATCATGCAATTTCGGTGCGAGTTTAAAAAAAACGTTCTAGGTAATTATGTGATGTCACTATGGAAACAACCGGCCGTAAACATCAGTCGCATCAACGCTCCAACAGCCTGATTTTTTAGCAAAATAACTAACGTACGTACCAATTTACGAATTCTATCCAATACTAGATCAATGAGTTCTTTCCCAACAGTATAATGACCACGAGCATAATTATTCGCAGCATCTTCTTTGCCTGTGATCAGCTGTTCGGGGTGGAATAATTGACGATAAGTACCAGTTCGGACTTCATCTAAATGTAGAAGGCCATCAATTAGAGATATACGAAAAGCAGATTTGAAATCAAAATTAGCTGTAAGTTTTATTTTCAATAGGGTTCTTTCGTGCAAAGCAAAGCTTTTAAAAATCACGTAATAATGACGTAAATATGTGTCAATGTGATGACTGTGTAGTAATTAATGGAATTCGTGATGTTCGTCCAGCAAATACACAGTTCTTTGTTCAAATTAGGTTTACCAAAGTTTAATCGCGTATGTCTTCCTAATCGACGAGGTGGAGGAGATATTGGACAGATTATCATGCATAATCCTAATACAACAACGTGCTCGCTGCCTAAAACCTCGTTCAATGCCAAAAATTATCCGAATAAATCCCCAAAGCACATGGAAAACACCAAAAAAGTAAGTTATCGCAAAACACTCGTCAAAGTCACAGCTGAAGTCGATGTCCCAGAGAATCTGTACGAAGAACCGTCAGAAATGAATCATCACCAGCATTCACCAGCAACGCTTAGTGTTAAACTTCGGAATAGCAGTTTTCCTAGCGACTTGAGAACTAAAACTTCTTCACCTCAGCTTACACCTAACAAGATGGCAACACCGGGAGATTCGATAGTTTCAGCAACAAGTTTGATTATGACCGCATCACCCTATTTGGAATCGAAGTTCCTTGAGGGGAACAGAACATTAGAAGACCTATACATCAGCAACCATGAATATCCATTTGAGAATTTAGTTTTTGAAGGAGGGGGAAGTAAAGGCATGGCCTACGTTGGTGCATTACAGGTGATAAATAATCAGAATAATATTTTTCTTCTTTCAGTTGATGCCTATGATATATTAATATAATTTCAGCATTTAAATAATACAAATAATAAGACAAATAATATATCTTCTTAAATAATTATCACAGGGAAAACACTGCGCAAATTTCTAAATTGAATGAGACTATACGTGCATGCATGTTATTAGCACGTATGAGAAAATAGCTGCACCAACCTCCAATAAAATATTCTCATACTTTATGATATCGCAAGTTATTCGTATCACGATAATAACTTGTATATAATCGCTCTTTGTATAAAGGCTGCACCTACTCCTTCAAAAAGGTTGGCACAAATACCCAAGGCTGCAATAAACTGGATAACAGTCTTGAGGATTTGTTGATCTTTCACGCTCTAATCCATTACGGGAACTCGTGCTAAGTTTTCAGACCTTCATTTTTGTAAACTAAGCCGTTCAGTCATTTATATTGAGTTTCCTTTCGAGAATGATGACTATTTTGACGTTAAAAACCAACAAGGATTGTTTCAAAACAATAAAATTTCTAAAAGAATATCAAAACACTAAAATTTCTCGTTAAAAACACTTAAAAAACGTTTAGGCGTTTAAATCTTGACATTTCCAAGCGTGTGTCTTATTAGTCGTTTTCTATGCATATACTTGTTAGGGACCGCCCCTCGAGACCAGGAAAAGCTTAAATACCTTAAATTTATCATCGCTCTCAAGGCTTGCCACTGTAGCTGATTCGTCTATGACGCGCTAGGCGTGTGGCATACAGCCCACTCTGTTTCTCACTGAGACGTAACGGTTAGGTGCACATACATCATGGTCTGGGGGCCGTAGTGCATCTCCCCCTTAGACGGCCGTTAAGATGTGAGTTATGGGGGGGAGTTCTTCCTATAGCAACTGTCCTTGCACCTTTCGTAGTTGTAATCTATGCTGGTATATCGCAGCTGGTTGTAATATCACCGGTTAGATTGTGGCATAGAGCTGGATGATCTCTTTTGGGTGTTTTTAGGTTCTTTCCAAATTTATTTTATTCTTTCCAAATTTTTCTTTTACATACAAAAACACTGTTATTAAACATATATGGAACGGATATGGTTCGAAAAAAATTATATCGACTAAAAACCACCTTAATTAACCCCTGAATACTCTCCCCAGTCTCTGCATGATATAGGAGGCAATGAATTAAACAATATATATAGCAGAGTTCATTCATAAACATCAAACTTTTACTGTATTATCGGCATTTTGATCAACCTTAAGGCAGTAAAACAGCAACAAAGACATTGAGATAGTCAACTCTGCATTCTCGTTAGTGCCTTCAGCCTGAGAACTGTCAATCAAAAGCCTGGATAAATCTCCTGGCTTTCCCTGCGAGTTTTCAAATTCATATTTCAAAATACAAAGGCAGAGTTTATAAGGCCCTGTTACAATTTTTAATGCGTTTAACGTCCGTGCACTGTAAGTCGCATTGAGCCTTTCACTATAAGTAGAGCGGACTTCCATTGGTTTCGAGACAAATGACATGAGATATTGCACCGTGAAACAGAGTCTTTAGTACAATATTGGCATTGCATGAGTCTAACAACTTATTTGTCATATAATTTTAGCCTATAACCATTGATCTGTTGTGTACAAATTTTCTTGTTCATGTGTTGCAGAAGCTCGCTAATTTGAGAGCTAACCATAAACATGCACCCAATATAGCTGTAATCACCATTTTACTTTTAATTTGGCATAATAAGAATGTTATTTTCATACCGTATGATCAATTCAGTTCGACGAAAGTATATATATACACGTGAACAAATAATGTGCATGTGAATCTTGCTCAGGTGAAGTAAACTGTAAGACATCACGCCGCTTCGTCGTCGCTTCCAAACTTTCATTCCTAATGGTTGGCACTAGTGGCACATCTCATCTCTGCCTATAAGTTCTTCATTCATATAGTTTACCTTCAAAATGTGGCTAGCTTTTTTCCGTATCGGCCATTGACCGCAAGGTGACAATTTAAGATTCATATTGAATTTGATTTACTTTAAACCTCGTGCATGTGAGTGCATTAACAACAATGGGTAATGAAATGTCCATTGTTTTAATGCGTGCCCCATCCCTAACTGGGGCCGGTTGTTCGAAAGGTGGATAAGTCGCTATCCAACGGATAACTCGCTATCCAACGGATAAGTTTTATCCAGCGTGTGATTTGCGTTGCACGAAGCTTGGATAACTTTATCCAGCAGGGGCCGGTTGTACGAAAGGTGGATAAGTCGCTATCCAACGGATAGTGATTTTTTCAACCCTTCTAAAAAATTAATGCTTGAATAGCTATAAAATTTCAGCTTTGTAGCCAAATTTTGTTAAAGAGGATCCTCAATTTAGGAAAACTAAGATTTAATCAAAGTTATACCCAACAATGGGCGATTTTAAAGCGATTGAAAAAATCACTATCCGGTGGATAGCGCTATCCGGCTTTCATACAACCGGCCCCAGATAAAAATCGCTATCTACTGGATAAATTTATCCAAGGTCCGGAGGTAGTTTAAATCCACTATCCAGTGGATAAATTGAAAGATACAAGATAACGCTGTAAACATTTACGATAAAAAAAGGACAAAAATGCAATATTCCTGTTACTGTGTTTCAACAAACTAATGTACATGATTGTACTCACTATTAAAAATGTTTTCGAAGTGAAATCCAACCAATGTTTACTGATATATTTGTCGCAGCAGCGTTTCACATTGCCTACACATTCCGTTCCGAGCGGCGATTTTTTGGGCATCCTCACATCGATAACAGGCGGTAAATTTACTATACGCTTCTAATCAGTTTATAAGCGCGAATATGCAAAGAAAGATTCGACCTATTCCAAGGAAACTTGCTAATATCTAAGTAATTTCATTCACGCAATAGACAAGTATAGACAACAAGGCTACGAATTTTGTTCTCCGCTTAGATTAACCAGGAACTAGCCAATCAAAACATTAAAATATTGTTCCTAAATTTGTTATGGAACCGAAAGGCAAAGCCTCGCAAGGTCAAGGAATAAAATTGCAATGTGTTTAATAAAATCACTATTGTGTGAATTGCAAAGTTCGAGCAAATCACTTGTTCAAGTCTTTCCAGTAACTAATCGAGATTTCGTAATGATTATGAATTCAATGTTATAAATGCTTAGCAACAGCTGACGTTGTGGTACGAAATTTCAGGATAATCCTGTTTTCTCCGAGTAAATTTTTAAGTTTAAAAACTTATCTATTGGATAGCTATCCACTCCACTATCCATGCTTCGTGCAACGCGTTTTTATCCAATGGATAACTATCCACTGGATAGCAGATTTATCCGTTGGATAGGACTTATCCGGTGGATAAGTTATCCATCTTTCGAACAACCGGCCCCTGATCTGTATATGAACTGTTAGAAAACTCAACTGTGTTTTCAGTAAGCTGGTCATCGACGTTTGATAATCTTGATATACTTTGGCAATGCTGTAACGATCCAATGGATTTTGAATAATTGGTGATTGTTGAATGAACTCTTGTAGGTCCTGGAAGATGCTGGTATTTTAAAAAACATCAAGCGTTTCGCGGGAGCTAGCGTTGGCGCAATGGTTGCGTCTTTGGCAGCAATTGGTATATCCTCAGCGGAATTACAAGAATTTCTCGATCAGGATGTGCGCAAAATAATGTCTGGTAATATTTTTATCCCTTTTTCCACCAGGCAAATTTATTCGTCCGAACTGATAAAAAGTAGGACGCGACCCAGGTTTTTCACAGCGACTTTTTTCGCAGACTATTAAATCACATTACTGCATCTTTGGGCTTCACGCCTGACCAGATCCCATTCTTGATTCCTCCAGTAGTCCTAATTAAAACACAAAAACTAACGCTTCCGGCGTTGATAATGATTAAAAGCTTATAGGACATATAACTTTGCTCGAAAGATTCTCCCCTTACATTAGATCTTTCACTTTAGATCATTCATGCGGCTACTGCAGTTTGCTTCCAAATTTAAAGAAGGGTTTCGGTTGGAATCCTGGGAAGAAAATGAATCACTGGTTTGGTGAACAAATGAGAGAACGTACTGGTGATTACGATATCACTTTTAAAGATGTACGTACAAAATCATTCCTATCTTTTTTAAATAAAGATCATTCTGTGCGAGAATTCATTCATGCAATAAACTTTTCTAATTTGTTTCATTTTAACTGATCATATTTTACACATTCTTTTAGGTTTTACGTCTTTTTGGTACAGAAATATGCATTGTCGTAACTAATTTGAGTCACATGTCGGTAGAATATTTTCATCCAAAAACAACGCCCAATATTCCAGTGAGAAAAGCAGTCAAAATGTCAATGGCGTTACCTGGTATATATACTCATCACTGATAGCCTGTGTTTTACTCACATATGATATAGTATCCCAGTGTCTCAGTTATACTAATAATAATGTTACTAACAATGATGTTTTACTCAAGAAATACAAAACTATTTTATTTAGGAGTATTTCAGGTAGTTCGTGAAACTTTTAATGGTGAAGAAGATGTGTATGTCGATGGAGGTTTAATTTGCAATTACCCAATACATGTCTTTGATGGTAAGATGATCCGCCTGTCTGTGCCTTGATGTCGTGACTATAACAAGCTATCTTGAAACGTGAACGGATTGTATTAAAGATATTATCTATTTGGGCGGCAGAAAACGAATTCTTAGTTTGCTATACATTTTTTACAAATAGTTTGAATATGACAATTACTTATCAGAATAGGAATATATTCTCGCCGTAGACGTATATAGTTTATAGAGACCTTTAGTTTGACGTTTACGGCAAACGCCAAACCGCTAAGAAAGTTTGTGTTTTAACTTTTAACTTCACTCTCCTTAAGTGTGCGGCAATTTCGCTAAATTACAAACGTTCTACATAAATCTTGTGATGTTCAGCAGTAATGTAAGAAAGCAATAGGCTATTTCTGTTGATCTTGTCTAAAAGTACATACGAGTGACCACGAGTGACCACGAGTGACCACGAGTGACCACGAGTGACCACGGATGACCACGAGTGCCCACGAATGACCACAAGTGATTTTTTTGGATTGGCTATCTATAAAATTGGAGAACAGTTAAAACGAAAAACAGGGAAAGCTTGCTTGATTTAAGATTTGGTTTTAAGTTTGAAGTTTTGTGTCATTTTTTTAACCCTAACCCTAACCCTAACCCAAAAAAATCACTTGTGGTCATTCGTGGGCACTCGTGGTCACTCGTGGTCATCCGTGGTCACTCGTGGTCACTCGTGGTCACTCGTATGTACTTTTAGACAAGACCATTTCTGTTGTATTTAGAAAAGCTGCAAATTCAGCTTTGCCGTATGTGTTTCACGTGATCTTGTCTAAAAGTACATACGAGTGACCACGAGTGACCACGAGTGACCACGAGTGACCACGAGTGACCACGGATGACCACGAGTGACCACGAGTGACCACGAATGACCACAAGTGATTTTTTTGGATTGGCTATCTATCGATGAAAATTGGAGAACAGTTAAAACGAAAAACAGGGAAAGCTTGCTTGATTTAAGATTTGGTTTTAAGTTTGAAGTTTTGTGTCATTTATTTTTATGGGTTTTTTTTATTAAAAAAACCCATAAAAATAATTTGTGGTCATCCGTGGTTACACGTGGTCATCCGTGGTCATCCGTGGTCACTCGTGGTCATCCGTGGTCACTCGTGGTCATCCGTGGTCACTCGTGGTCATCCGTGGTCACTCGTGGTCATCCGTGGTCACTCGTGGTCATCCGTGGTCATTCGTGTGTACTTTTAGACAAGATCGTTTCACGTTCGCCGTATAAAATTTAATAGAGAGGTTAAGATCTACTTCCACTACCAGTACCGATACGAAGATACATGACGTATTACTGTTTGGCAGCGCCGAAATTTTAAAGCGTTAAGAATTTTGACTTCCGTAAGAGGTAAATAAATATGGTGGAGTATAGCGGCTATATTCACATCAAAAACTCTAATCACAATCCTTAAGTGTCACCAAACAAAGCAGAAACATTATACTAAATAATATTAACTAAAAACTAAATAATATCATTATAAAACTACTGCAGAAAATGACAATAATACAGTAAATTTAATTCGGTACTTCGCTTACCTATCCACTTCCATTTTCAGCTCCAGAACGGTACTCGCAACTTCCAGTGTTATCACATTTTGGACGATTGTTACGTGTGCCCATGCGCGGGACTGATTTTTGGTATCGGTACTCGTAGTGGAAGTCGATCTTAACCTCCCTAATGCTTGAACGACTGCATACACCCTCAGCCGTTCAAGCATTAAAATTTATACGGCGAACGTGAAACATATACGGCAAAGCTGAATTTGCTGCTTTTCTAAATACATCAGAAATAGCCTATTGCTTTCTTACATTGCTGCTGAACATCACAAGTTTTATGTAGAACGTTTGTAATTTAGCGAAATTGCCGCACACTTAAAGATAGTGGAGTTAAAACACAAACATTGCTAGCGGTTTGGCGTTTGCCGTAAACGTCAAACTAAAGGTCTCTTATGTTAACGTTAGTTTAATATAATTATTTTGTTACCAATTAAGGTTGGTGGCTATCTACGGAGCCAGAAGACACATTCTTCAAACGTCTACAGCCGCTGGAAGATTTTGCTAGGCTCTATGAAAAGTCAGAAAGGTTTGGAACTTGGAATCCAAAAACGCTGGGAATGATTCTGGTACGAATACATACGTAAAAAACCATCATCATGACTTTGATCATTACAAAATTTCGGATGCACTTTTTGTGTGTTTAGCTACATAATTCATGATCTCAGCGATATATCTACATAGGGCCTAGTTTCAGTAACAGAACATTGAGTAAATATTTAGCACTTGGTTTCATTAAAATTTCTAGTATTCAAATACAGAAACAGAACTGATGAAAACAACGCTTTCACAGAGACCCGGAAGCAAACCACCTGTAGCACCAAATACAAAATTGGCAAAGTAAGTATAAAGCCGATGAGGGATTCAGTTATAATCATTATACATTTATTTAATATTTATTTATTTTAATGAATCTCCAAGTTTTATAGTTGCATATATCTTCTAGATTGAATGATTGAATTAATGAAATATGGTCTCCGGAGACCATATTCAGAATTGGGCTCACTACGTACGAACTACTCTTGAACATTATAGACAGAGAAATAAATTAAAGAGAAAACAGCAGCAAACAAGAATTGAACATGAACACATGGTACAGGTCGTTGGACGATTTATGAAGGTAGAAGTATTCCCGTCAAAATATGTTTTGCGAATATAGTTCTAGAAAAATTCGTGGACTGAAAATTATATGCATGAACACTTGATTTAGTCTGTGTATATACAACTATATTTCAGGAACTTGAGGTGAACAATTTAGATGAAGACAGTATAATCAATGAGCAGGAATTTCGTGCAGTTTTCGAAAATGTAAGTCTTGAATGAGTATATTGTAGTCGTAAGATTTAATGTCAACATCTTACATCTGAATATATTTCGAGAATTCGAGGCTGATTTCCACTGAGGAATGTTATCCTTCGGACCTGATCGGAAGGATAATATCTTCAGTTTGCAAGTGTTTGAATCACACTAGTTCTGATGGAGAACGATCCGATCCGGGAGTAAAAATCAGTATTTAACCGAAAGGTTTATCAGTAGCATCTATTAATTTATTCACAGTCAGTCAGTCTATTTCCCGATGATTTGCGCTTGCTTTTTGGAGACGATTGCGAAGTGATGGAGGCGTTTGATCAAGTGGATAGAGACCATGACGGAGAGGTAAAGAGCACAAAAATAATATAGACATTGAAAAATAAACGTTTCATATATCTAAATGATCCGTGAGAGCTGTTTGCATGTGAGATGACATGCTCGTATGAAATCTGTGAAATGTTTATGACACAAAGCGCTGGAAACTCCAGTTTTACCTTGAAATTTTTTCTGCGATTCTATTCTTCTTTTGACAGATGCAAACGAAGAAATAGATATTATTGCTCTGTATATAAGTGCCCATGTATGAACATTCGTATATATATAAGCCTTTCACTTATTCACATCTATCGAAAGAAGAATATTGCACCTACAATCGCCAGTAAAAATCGCCAGCATGTGCATGTGCCACATCAATTAAATCCAACTTCTCTTCATCCAACTTCTCTTCAATCATTGCGAAAAAAAATCTGCGGATTTAATATGCTAGTTTTCACAGAAATTATTTTCCCGACAGATCACTTTTCAAGAGTTGATGGCGTTTGTTGCGAAAAGGGGAGTCAACTTACAGCAACGGTTTCTAGGATATACAAGAAAAGAAATCAGAAACCTTGGAGATTTTGTACAAACTTTGCAAGTATATCGCCATTCAGTATATACAGCTATTATCAATAATTGAATAAAAATTGTTATCGTTTTTAACATTTATATATATAGATGATACTTAACTTTTTCCTTTAGACTGCATTGGCGGTTAACGTGAAACGTGTGTATGTCGAGGTAAAGTAGAAAGAAAAAACAAGAAATCATTGAATAGGATAACGCAACCCGTATACACTTGTATTTTTGGCACCTATATAGCTTCAATTTTACGAAACAATAAATTCTTTTCATTCATTATCTTATATTAACACATGCAAACGGAGTTAAACTTTCATGTAATTCTGGGTATAAAATACCTGCAACTTGAGAACAGTTATTACTACCATTAACTGCATGCTAATTTTATGATATACATGCATGCAAAGAAATCCACTCCAAGATACTGACTTCATGTGATAACTTCACTTTTGCCTCGTTTATAGAAGCGAGACGTGAATAGAACTATTGGTATAGACACAGATTATGTGGAGTCAAATGACTTTAATTTGGAAACTGAAGACAAAACATTTCTTATCGAGGTAAATATGGATCTATTTCAGTTGGTACATATAAATTTAAATAAATTATTTTTCATAGCAAAGCCTGCATCTTCTATATCCACTTCTTCAGTCCACTTCTTATCTCATAAATGGAGGTTCATGCAATTATATGTAGTGTTATGCACCAATGGCAATTTATGCATAACTTTGTTTTACTTTTTAGTCTGGCAGAAGAGCAACTCGCGCGTATTTACATGAATACATCAAGAAACAAAACACGGAGCCAGTTTCGCCATCAGGAGTGGCGGTGTTACCGCCGCCCGAGAACCAAAGCTCGAAATTTGAATATGAACGTCCAAATCGACGAAGGCACTATTCATCCAGTAGCACATTAAGGTGGTCTTCCACCCTGATTTCAATTATCAATAAATTAGCTTCAACTCAACTACTTATGCATGAACCAAAGAGGTACTGGTATAGTGATGACAACAACATAGTTGTTGAACCATATGTTGCCATGGCAACCAAGAAAATGACCCCCAACTGTGATTTTAGTCTCCATTTTTCAAAAAGTATAGAGAAGCAAAGAGGGGCTAGAAAAACAAATAAATCTTATTTCTGTATTCACTATAGACCAATCTAGGGGATGAACCTAAAAACCCTTCCAAGATTTAAATTATTTCATTAAGAAACAGCAGATATCAATTTTTACAATGCAGTAGAGTGCATCAAATCCAGTTATTTGTGCCCTATTAAAAATATATATGCAATTTTAGGTTCAGGAACAAGAAAACATATCTATCTTACCACATAGAAACTTTCAGTCATTTTCATTAAATAGTTTTGAGTTATTCTTTTTAAAAGATTTCTGGATGGCGGAAAATGCTATTTTGAGAAAACGAGCAATAAAGATGACTGAGAATATATATTGAATACAAATCAAGAAATATACAAGTATTAAAACATTACCAAGTCAATATAACTAATTTAAGTCAAAATGCACCAGATGCATAGGTTTCTCCTTCTTTTGCCACTAATTTGTCCCCTTTCTTCTTTTTTTCTCCCCGTAGCACCTTCCGCCGTTTCTTATTCTTGTCTTGACATTTGTAATTTCCTTTCCGTACACGCAGTTTGTCAGAATTCAAGCACTCCTCTGAACAAAATTGCCAGATGCAAGGCCCATATCCTTCAGCAGCTCAATTGCAGCAGATGCACCAGTGTTGAAATGGGCAGCAGCATCATAAACACCCAACGAAAACACATCCGATCCAACGAACACTTCTTTTGGGACACGATTCCAAATCATGGCATTGAATGACTCATTTTGATTTTGAGTTTTTCCATCAAGGCATCTTTGCAGCAGACTGGACTCACTTAGTCTGTCAAATATTGGTTTAACATGGCCAATGACTTGCTTAGGGAGGCCAGCACCATGCTTGTACTCCTTTGTGGCATTAGCCTTATCCCGCTTAAAGCCACACCAGCTATCTTTACCATCTGGGCAATGGATATGGTAATCATCTTTACCAGATGAAGCACAATGACACAGAGCAGCATATATTGCTTTCTTCATGGATTCTATGTCTTTACAATTAGTTCGAATGGCTATCCCATAATAATTTTGTAATTTGTCAATCATGGCATCCGTTAAACGACCTTTTCCTCCCAAACCTTTGTTCTCTTTCTTCAACTTTCGCAGTGCTGTTCCAACCCTTTTTTGTACATGTCCCACACATTCCTTTTTAGTGACTGTTACATTGTCTTCCTCATACACATCCTTCACAGCAGCATAACTCTTGCTATCTCCATCACCGTAAAATTCTGAATAACGAAGCTTGTTGCTCTCCACCGACCGATTAAAAATTCTCAAAGCACCTTCTGGTTCCATTGCAGGTGCAGATCCTTCATAGTTTGCCTTGCACTTTGGCTCATGTTCAGCTTTCAAAGATGCAGTTTCAGATGTCTGTGGCTTCGTGTTGAGCTTCTTACAGGTATGGCACACTTTGCTTAGTGGTTCCACATCTAGAATTTTCCCCGTATCCATGGAGATTGTGGCGACGCAACCATTAAGTGATGAAAATCCTCTCCTCTGCCAAGTCCCATCACACGACACTGCACAATCCACAACTTCATTTGACGCTGTTTGTTTCAGGTCATGGATTTCTTTAGAAGCATCTACTACTGTTTTGCATACACAGTCTTAGCACTCTGGAGAAGAGCTTTGTTGTGCAAAGCATATGGAGTAGGTCTTGGTGGTGGTGGCATGTTCATAAGTCCACAAAATCGCTTAGCTCCAGCACGTCCACAACCAATAGATCTCATGGCATATACCATCCTCCTGTTCACTTCATAGAAGTTATTAGTAAGTTTCGAGGTGTAGAATTCATTTGTCCACTCACAGGAAGAACACCTCAAATACAGATATGAAGCACATCCCATCCGCTTGTGTGGATCCTCGAGAAATTGAAGGCTAAATTGTAGACAATTTCAACACGGCAAGAGCTCAAGTGTGCCTTTTAAAATTTCCAGATCGACTAAACGAAAGCCAGAAACACTCCCCTCTTTCGTTTCTGTGTGTGCGGTCGAAATCGTTGCGGAAATTTTTTGAGCAGAAGCAGACGTATTCGATTTGGTCGTCTCACTTTGATCGGGAATCTTCGGCTTTTTTGCTGCAGTTGTAAACTGGTTACCAGAAAATTTACGCTTTTTACTGTATCCAGAAGATTTCTTTCTCCCCATCGTCACAAAAATGAGAATAACGTCGATAAAGAAGAACTTTTTGTTTGGATTTTTAGTCGTTGTGTTTGTGAAGCTCAAAGCTTTGATTGTCTGCCGGAAGATAACTCGTGGTTTTCATGGCCTATACTTCATGTCAGCAGCATATAATCGCACACCAAATAGCTAACTAACTGGGGGAGGGGTAAGCAAGTAAATAAATGCAAATATATCGCTTCAAAGCAAACCAATCAGGATTTTTTTAGGACAACAATGCGTTGCTAAGGCCGTTGTCAAGGGGAAAAATCTTACATTCTCTCACTAAATCGCCAAAATATTACATTTCTACTTAGATTTAGTGGGTGAACAATACATCAAATGAGAGCTTATAAATCAGGGAATTTAAAAATGTAGCTTTCAAAAATTTCCTAATTTCTAATTTTTATTTCAAATTCTTGGTGGAAGACCACCTTAAGTAGCTATAAATCCCTCTCACCCGTCATAACACCTGTTGATATGGCTTGATTTTTCCATATCTTGGATGAAAACAGACAAAATATACAGTACAATACTTATGTATCATAACATATATTGTATCCATAATGTGTACAATCCTTAAAGCTACTAACAGCTTTTCGTTTGAAAATCAAAGAAATTTACGTGCAATAATATGTTTCTGTATTCATTATGATGATTCCAGAAATTATTCATGCAGCAACTCTGAGAAACGCATATATTGATTTGAATAAACAATTTTAACCTTTATACCACCGTTCTATATATTCCCGCCGAGTTACAAGAAACAGAGGAAAGCAAATAATTTTACTAGACCCGACAGTAATTGTTGTATGTACTAACATAATACTTGCTTACAAGCCAAGCACCATACGTTAACACCACATGCACCAAAACATATCATGTTCACGATGGAACATGCTGCGTGCAGTTTAATAAACTTTTCCTTTATTTCTTTGTATGTGAGATCATGTTCCACGAGCTTTGGAGCAATTGGTCCCACATCATCCTCGATTCCGAGAAACGTTACACGTTGAGCTTTGATTAGCATCATTCGGATTGTCTCAGGTCCGAGGTAGAAGTAATTTACAAGTGAACACAATAAGGAAACTGATAAACCAAGCGCCTATAGATGAAGTAAAATATTATGTACAATGTATTATGTATTATGTTCTTTCTTTCACTGATATTTAGCTCGCCTATTGTAAGTTAAAATAGTTGAATTATTATTGGACTTTCATTTTCCCAAGTATTACAGTCTCGTAACGATTATGTGATACTGCGTACACTGCATGTGAAGTCTCCCGCATTGCTACATTTTCGCACAATTTATTTATTTATTTATTTAACTTTGCCAATACAAATGACAGGACGTCGAACAGGCGTCTGGACAAAACAAGGACAAGAATGGCAGGGACACCACAACAGTGAAAAAAAATTGCAATATGGCCTTCTGCTATAATGTATTTGTACAAATTGTGATATAAGATGTGTTGTAAAACAAGCAAGACTAAATACCCAAACAAACACCTTCCTAAAAGACTTAGGTATCCAAACTCGGTGATTTCAATAGTTTTGGGGGTTTTGGGACACCCGGTATATATGTTTCACATATTTTTGTCCTTTTTGTCCTTAACCATGCATGATTCAATGCCATGTTCCGATATTTGTGATACCCTGACGACGTAAGATCAGGCAACTATACTGTATGTTACATTAATACAAACACATATAAATCATTATACCTGATACAAAAAGAAACTCTCATTCTTCCAGGAGTTCTTAGGATACATAAACAGATGCGTAACAAGCGAAATAGCACTCATTACTATGCCAGACATGAAGTACAACGGAAATATTTTGCTTTGGACTTGCGCAAATGCATTTCTCGTTAACGTTTTAAACATTGTGAAACCTGTAGAAGTAAAGAAAACGACAATTGAGTTGAAGTATTTAGAAAACAATATTCATTACACGGATATAAAGATGCAAATACACTTATATCGTACCTGAAACATGCACCCAAAACTGAATGCCAACCCATATAGCAAATACCAGGAGATGACCAAAATGTAGAGCGTACGGCAATTTTTCGTTTAATAAAGACATTTTATTTTCTTTACTCCCATCGTTAAAAAAATATATTACCAGACCAAGAGTGACAGCAAATCCCACAGTAGGAATGATATTATGTGCTGAGATTTTCCTTCGTCTCTCCAACTTCTCATGAGTTATAGTTTGCTGCATTTTATTCATCACAAAAGATTTCAGCTTATGCATACAAATATAGAAACGATCTGCTTATATATAGCTAGGTATCTGTTTATTTCTCACCTAATAACAATAAACATTTCATGCTTCATCGGACAGCACCGGACAAAGGGGAGCTGAAGCCACGGAGGCAGCTGTCCCAGTCCCCACTGCCAGGGTAGGCAGCCCTTGATTATTGTGACTTTGGTCCAAATTTTTCATAAAAGACTGTGTTAAAATGCATGAGTGCTCGGATTAAAACTGACTGGAAATACGTTTTCTTGTCGTTCTGTAGATCTGCGTGTAGTTCCGAAGGTAAAATGAATGTTCCGTTTTCTAAAACACTGCCTGGCGTGCCCGCAGCTCAAAACTGCATGCTTCCGGACTGCTCACTAACAAACACCTGAATATTGTTGGACAGATGGAACTATTCAATGTATTTCCGTAAGGTTAACGTAAACAATTTTTGGATCTATAATACTATATCTCAAATTACAAGTCTGTGGAAAATCATTTTCTTATACTTTAATTATAATACTTTATATATAAGAGCAGTCTGGATTCAATGTAAGGAGACATGAAGGACTGGTTTTTCTATTCTACAGTCTCCAAAAGACAGAAAAGTATAGAAATAACATACTTTCATTAACAGAATTGAAATTCCCAATTAAGCACTCTGTTTAGATTCGCGATTGTATGTTTGACATTTTTTACAAATAATGACAATTAATACAGTTGTTTTTATGCAAGAACGATAATTAGCTACTTACTCAGGATTTTTTTTCACACATGCAATAATCGCAATCATCTTTAACAACGAATGATTCCAATTGATTTTTCCGTTTATTCCGAGACACCTTGTATGTACAGTGAACACCAATTTTTGTCATTTTAGTCAGACTAACCAAGTTTTGTAAATATACAGAAGGGATAAAATTACAATTAAAGTACATGGTATACGCGTTTCCCCGTGTTATAAAAACAAACACAAATTAAGTGAATTGATTTGATATAATAAAAATGGTATATGATTTTGAATGTTAAATGAAACACCTTTCTATCAAGCTCGAGCAATTCTAGTTTTCGCCTGGCAATTTTCACCGACCTTCGAAAATTTTCAAAGTAACAGGTGAAAAAAGGAAAAAGATCCGGTATATTATGATCAGATACGTAAAGAGGAAACAGCTGATGTGTATGTAAACAGGAAGAGCAAACAACGACGGGGGAGTAAGGCCTAAAAATCCGAACATGAATGCAGACAGTATATTAGCAGAGACGTATCAGAAGCGGCGTATCATCTCCATGTTTCACTAAGGAGCAATTGATATTGCATAAATGCTTACGAAACAAAAGACCCGACTAGTTAATGCAGAAGCTTAAAGACCAAATTTATTATTTGTAGTTTAAAAAGAAATAGATCACAATTTTCTATTTTCACACCAATGCATAAAGAGATGTCATTTAATATTCATCCCCTTCTTCATCTTCATCTCCGTCTGGAGTAGAATCAACCCCAACTTCTTCGTAATCTTTCTCCAAGGCTGCCAAATCTTCGCGAGCTTCAGAAAACTCTCCTTCCTCCATTCCTTCACCAACATACCAGTGAACGAAAGCACGTTTGGCGTACATCAAATCAAATTTATGATCCAATCTTGCCCACGCCTCAGCAATTGCTGTGGTATTACTTAACATACACACAGCACGCTGTACCTTGGCCAGATCACCTCCTGGTACCACAGTTGGTGGTTGGTAGTTGATACCAACCTTGAAGCCAGTTGGACACCAATCTACAAACTGAATGGTACGCTTGGTCTTGATGGTTGCGATGGCGGCGTTCACATCTTTAGGCACGACATCACCACGATACAACAAACAGCAAGCCATGTATTTACCATGACGTGGATCACATTTCACCATTTGATTGGCTGGTTCAAAACACGCGTTGGTGATCTCGGAAACGGACAGTTGTTCGTGGTAGGCTTTCTCTGCAGAAATTACTGGGGCATACGTCGCGAGGGGGAAATGGATTCGTGGGTAGGGGACAAGATTGGTTTGGAATTCAGTGAGATCAACATTCAGTGCCCCGTCGAAACGAAGAGAGGCGGTAATTGACGATACAATCTGACCAATCAATCTGTTAAGGTTGGTGTAGGTTGGCCGTTCAATGTCGAGGTTACGACGACAGATATCGTAGATGGCCTCGTTGTCGACCATGAAACAACAATCTGAATGCTCGAGGGTGGTGTGGGTTGTCAAGATGGAGTTGTAGGGTTCAACTACTGCGGTGGAGATTTGGGGCGCAGGGTAGATAGAAAACTCGAGTTTGGATTTCTTGCCATAATCGACAGATAGCCGCTCCATGAGCAAAGAAGAGAATCCAGAGCCAGTACCGCCTCCGAACGAATGGAAGATGAGAAAACCTTGGAGACCTGTACATTGGTCTGCCTATAGTCAATAAATAAACCGATGGAAATAGTGTTAAAAGCATTAGCAAATAGTCGCAGAATACACAGAAATTTATGAAAAAGTCTAAAGCGAATATAAAAAATAAACAGGAAAACATCGTTTTGACTGAAATACTGTTGAGATATGCGTTGTAAAATTTCAATACGAATAAATTTAAAAGCCACTTCAATGATTTAATAATGCGTGACCAATAGTCCAATACTGTTTAATGATTAATAAAAAACGTATTGCTTTTTAACGATGGTAATAGTAGACATAGACGTAGAGTCGCTGTATTATGTTTATGTATAATTAATGTATGTTGTTTTCAATCAGTATCTGCCGCTTTCATTTTAACTTTGCGAGCCAATATGTATAGTTAAAGTTGCTATGACAACTAAACAGGTCGTTCAACTGATCCTCTGAAGTCTATATAGATGCAGGGTAGAGAATTTCCATTTTAGGCGTTATATACTTGAACAGACAACATAAGAAGAATTACACACATAAACAATTTGGTTTTACATAGGCCATGATAAAAACTCTCCTCGACACGTTATCATGCAATTTCGGTGCGAGTTTGAAAAAAAACGTTCTAGGTAATTATGTGATGTCACTATGGAAACAACCGGCCGTAAACATCGGTCGCATTAACGCTCCAACAGCCTGATTTCTTAGCAAAGTAACTAACGTACGTACCAATTTACGAATTCTATCCAATACTAGATCAATGAGTTCTTTCCCAACAGTATAATGACCACGAGCATAATTATTTGCTGCATCTTCTTTGCCTGTTATCAGCTGTTCGGGGTGGAATAATTGCCGATAAGTACCAGTTCGGACTTCATCTAAATGTAGAAGGCCATCAATTAGAGATATACGAAAAGCAGATTTAAATCAAAATTAGCTGTAAGTTTTATTTTCAATAGGGTTCTTTCGTGCAAAGCAAAGCTTTTAAAAACCAACGCACTGCACGCACTGATCTGATTCAGCGACTACTCGGCAGGTGCCAGCTTGTCGCGCAGTTTTCTAAAGCAACTGAAAAACTAAAGAACTATCCAAGAATGTTGAATAAATACTGATAAACTATTTGTTAAATGATAAATAGTATATTCCACGCCCGTGAAGGCCTTTCGATGCTATTAGGCTAGCCACTATACTAGATCCTACAATCAACATACTATATCAGCCTGGAATTCACGGAACTAAACGAAGCAAGAAGTCAACTATTCAGAGTTGGGGACGAATCAAGCCCATACAACCGCCCATATGCGTATCGTTTCTCTTAGCAGATAATATATAGCGCGGCCGGCTAGTTTTTCATGCAAGCGTTCATGAGCAGATATATAGAACTGTTAATATTACCAACAACAGTTGGCTCCAAGTCAACAAACACGGCCCTGGGAACGTGTTTTCCAGCGCCAGTCTCACTGAAGAACGTATTGAAGGAGTCATCTCCACCACCAATAGTTTTATCACTGGGCATTTGGCCATCTGGTTGAATGCCGTGTTCAAGACAATACAACTCCCAACAGGCATTGCCCATCTGAACACCGGCTTGGCCGGCGTGGATTGAGATGCATTCACGCTAAAGAAGAAAGGAAATATTTAAAAACCGACTTTAACCGACTATAAACAAAAATCACAGCATATAAAATCTCCGAGCTTTGTTTCAGTTTCCCGAAAGTTAAATTTCACAGGCAAACATATATTAACCCCACAGCAATTGCAAAATCGAGCCTGCATGGTAAAACATTAGACGCAATAATAGCTAAACATTATAGCCGTGAAGACTAAACTAAAGTTTGTTTGTTCGGATGTTATTTTAAGTGCCGGCAATTCGGACAGAATATATGACACTACATAACATGCAAAAAACACGTTTAGGCCTAAGGCGAAAGTGTGAAATAGCAAGCGTCAGGTATTTTGGTCACATTCCGCCGTTATCGTAAAGCAAGCTAAGACTTGATTCGCGAAACGTTCCGCCTGAGATAAGCGGTTTTCACTTATCGCATCCTTGATTGGAATACGCGCGGTATAAAACACAAAATACTTTATAAAAATTCAATATATCTCAAATACAAGTGAAGTGGGATGCACTGATGAAAACTAGAGAAGAAGCCACCCACAGAACGATTTTGAGGCATTACACTCACCATTTTGCAGGATTTTGAGCGAAGGTTGAAGTAACGACACCAAGATAATCACCGAAATTCTCTTGCAAATATGGCACAATTACTTAGGTTGTGGTTTAAATATGCTGCATGCTCTTCTCTGATTGGTTAAAGCACACAGAGCGCATCCACCTGCTTTAAATAACTAATTCAGTCTACCCCGGCCTGGCTCGTTACAATTAATACCATTAAACGAAGTTTAAAGAAATTGCTTTTCTAAGCCTCATAAAAGGTGTATAAAGGCAAGAGAAACTGCGTAGATAGTGTATTTATTGAATTATTGTACCCAATATATTCCGTCGGCGATAATAAATAATGCAAAACATGCATCACCTGTCTGCATCATGCCAATGACTATATGTGTTAATTATTAATGCGAAACGTGGCGAAGAATCAATGTAAAGCGCTATACAAATCATTATTAATCAATATTGACGGGCTTTTAGGTCACACCCATTGGCACACCGTACTTTAATTTATATATTCCTGATTTTAAAAACTTCCCATATTGCCACAAGGCATAAGGGGGGTTGAAAAACAATTTCAAAAGAAACTTATGCCGAACGTCAATATATATGAATCGTTAAATAGTTGAGGTCCTACGGTTTAGTAGCTATCAGTTGAACAAAAGATTAGATATAATAATACTGAACAGTATGGCGGAATTTTCAGTGTTGCAGAAAATGAACCAGTTACATATTGCCACAAAATAGGAATCCGCTTTTACTAAATGATAAACTATACAGAAGAAATAATATTCTCGACAAACTCAATGGAAGCAACGAACAATACAAATTAAATATCTATTCTGAAAGAACATGCAATATAACATTTACAGCATCGTTTTTTATATACTCTATATGCCTTTGCAATTTCCATTTACAGAAATTTCTAGAGCATCTAGCAAGTAAGCAACACACTGCACATGCAGTATTCCAAATGCTAACGGAGGGATATGATGTCATTTCGTGCACTTTCTCATATTTGACAGTGGCATCGCTCAGCTATGATGGCTCAGACTATATTCCTGTGTTATGGGAAATATTTATTAAAAGGCATATTTTCCAACCGGGCATACAACACACGCAGTCATGCCAAGTCGCACCAATAACCTAACATAATTTCTGTACAATTTTACAATTGGTCATGGTGGATATCACCACAAACTACAGCAAGCTGTATTGTTCCAATCAATGTGTTTTATGAAAAATACAGGACAATGTTGTCTTACTCAATATAAACATATAAGATAACCAAAGCCTATCATCAGCCATACACACCATAGCCGACCTCTGTCACGTCCTCTGTCACGTGGACGCTGAGGATTTCTTCCCCCCTCCAGGTTTTAGATAGGGATCATCAGCTATAGCAAAAACGTCACTTCGAAGTGTTTTGTTATACTCCAAACATCGACGAACGAAATTCTAATGGCAACAAAAAACAGAAGAACTTCTTAAACTATTTACACAGAAAAGGGACGGTATTGTGACATAGTGTAGTGTAGTGTGGTGTGGTATGGTATTGTATGGTATGGTATGGCATTGTGTGGTATGTATTTTACTCATCCAATGAGGATTATAATTATATTGCAAGGGAAAAGAGAGAAATGCATGGTGTGTTGTTCGGCGACGTGTATGTGGATCGGAATTTTACTTTGATGTCAAAATTTAACAACAAAAAATTCATCAATTTTACTTTATATATATCCATCAGATATGTACCTTTGCCTCGTTGCTAGCGCTTGGTTTGGATGGAAACTCGACTTCTGTTGCGTTTAGAATTGTGTGATTCTCAAGAATGGCTGTCTGTGACATATTGTGACCAAAGGGCTAAAAAGACGAATTACAAATAATGAATAAATATTACGTTCAAGAAATAAATAAACTCTAAGTTTATATGATCGAATTACCAGGTGTAGAACGTTTAATTTCTTATATTCACCTTTTTACCGTATAACATTTGATAAAAAATCACCCCAACTGACCAAACATCGACCTGTAACAAGCAAATGTACAATCAGGTTGCATCAGGTTGTACCATTAAGACATTATTTGACCATTGTTAACGAAGATTGAGAAGCGCGAATTCCTCACATATTATCCCTTCTGCGGTCCATAAGTGTTGAATGTAATAGACCTTGCGCATAATGACGTATCAACCCATGACGCCTGCAGCGAATTCTGGTTTTAGTAGTCACGGCGAGAGATTCAAACTTCAAAATTTTCCGCCGTGACTATTAAGACCAGAATTCCTTGCAGACGCCTATTACGTCATTATGCATAAGGTCTATTATAACAAAATTTATTTTAAAACACAAACCTTGGAGGAAATCTTTGGTGGTTCTTTACTCACTACAAAACATTCTGGTGGAAGATACCAGTAAGTCCCAGCCCCCTGTGACGTCAACTCCATACTATCGTCATCTGTGTCAATGATTTTGCTCAAACCAAAATCAGTTATTTTTACTTCACCACAAAGGGATCCATTTCCAACAAGAAGTATATTTCCTGAGAATAGAGAGAACATTCATGCTCTGTTCACAAACGTTGAAACGAATTCGAGCACTGCTTCACGCATTGCTGGATAACGCAACGCGTCCAAGACCTTGCACATAATTAAGACCGCGACACGCAACTGAGACTGCCAAACGATTACGGGACGGTGTACGCACTCGAGAACCATTTACCAGCACCATCAAGTCTTCTTCTCTTTTTATTTTTTCCCGGTTTATCATTAAAGTTTGGTGCTTCACTTTGTTGTAAAAGTTTTACGAAGTTTATCATTAAAATCCAGGTTATACCGAACAACGGGCAATTTTGGAGCGATTGAAGAAATCACTACCCGGTGTTTAGTGTTATCCAGTTTTCATACAACTGGCTCCTACATGTATACTGCAGTGATCTTCAGCGTTACAAACAGAATTAGATGTACCTGGTTTCAAATCATAATGGATTATAGGATGTTCTCTGTTATTCAAATACTTGAGCGCACTGACAACCTAAAGAATTTTATAGAAAATTAGAAAGGAATAAACACGGGCGTTCATTTGAAGCAAAAAATGCCGAAATTGGAGTTTGTTAATTAATCTTAGTAGTTTTCCGAGCTAAATTATTGAATTCAGGGCGAGAAATTGCGCTCATCGGGAATCAATAATAAAACAATTATCAATGAGGCAATTTGCTTAAAAAATATCGTCCTAAAGTTGTAGCAAATCCGACCTAGACATGACAGTTAATTCAAATACCTGCATTATAATTGATCTCGCCTGTTAAAAAAAAAAGGAACTATTTAGCATATATTTACGGAGAAAACTAAGATATTCAAGGCATACCTCTTTCTCGGATATTGTTTTATGCTGTTTCAGTAGAAAATCAAGATCGTTTCCATCACAATATTCCAATACTGTACAAAACCTAAATAAATTACGTTATAATGAGCAGAAAGATATACAGTATACAAGAGAACATTGAATAAGAACATTGAACTTACGAGTTTGAGTCTATCTCAAATACGTCGTACAAGCGAACAATCCTCTAAAAATGAAGGAAATCTTTCCAATAGTGACAATCATGAAACTGCATGGATTAACAGTATATTATATTATTTAACAAACGGGATGATAGCTACATGCATGAAATTTTAGTGGCACTAGCTTTTCCAGCGAAGACATTTGCTGCATGGCTGATGATGGGGACAATTATAGTGCTCCAGATAAAAAATGCAGATCTAACATGTTAAAATCATCGATCCTTTCAAACCTTTGATGTATCTTCAAATAAATTGTATCCTAGCACTTAAGAGCATCTTATATATTGAGTGCACAAAGTCTTTATGTACTTACATGATGGTTCAATGTCTTTTGAATGTTATACTCTCGAATGGCATGTCTGAGTTGAAGATAAAATACATTTAAGATTAAAACAACATCTCACACACATTGCAGAATATCTTATAAAACAGCACCTGATATAATTCGTTTTCTTGTCTTCCTTCCAGTCGTTGTTCAACTGATGAATTTTACACGCAACATAGCGTTGCTCTTTCAGATCAAATCCCTACAATCATAATTGTGGTACAAATTGTCTTAAAATTAATGTGTCTTTCATATGTGTTACGTAAAAATCACGACACTGAATTCAATCATTAAATACTAGATACAGTATGAGACACAGTAACTACCTTATGAACTTCGCTGAACCCTCCCTTTCCCAGAAGATGCAAAAGAAGATATCTTTCTGACAAGGTTGGATTGTCTTTGAACCTGGTAAGTATTGGTGACTGCATTAAAAACAAACGTCTTGTAAAAAGTGTGACTTTTGGGTTGGGCGGGAAACGAAGAGAATGTGTCTGACGCAGTTTTTTTTCAATGGTTTTCTTAAACGGTTGCTGTGCGTAAGGTAATATAGTTGGTTCATCGGACAGTTCTTATCCGGAAAGGGGAAAACCTAGATTTGAGACCAAATACAGATGAATCTCGTTCCTCGTGAATTCTGAAGTTATCTGGAAAAGTAAATGAACATGGCGCAAAATATTACACCTGGACTTATCTTCACTTTGAAGTCGCTTCATCTCTCGAATATGAAGGTTTCTTTCTCTCTCTAATTTTTCAAGTTCTATCGCAAGGTCACTTTCTTCCTATAACCATACATGTACAGTACACATTTAGCTTGTTAAACGTCAGTTTATGTAACGAACTTAATGTTCGCTACTGATGCCGTAGACAGCAGACAGAGTACAACACTGCACTCGAGCATTTGCAAGTTTAACACCAAGAATTACTTTAGGATTAAAAAACAAGACTGCACCTTCTTTGAGTACGCTGCTCGTAACTTTAATATTTCATCTTGTTCATAGTATTCTAAAGGCGTCAAACTAAACAAGAAGTGGCAAGTTTGTTCAGAGTTAATAAGATAAATAACAAGTACAACAAAATGTGAATGCACTGACTCCATGCATAAAAATCTACTGCCTTGCATCATCACCTTGCTGGTATCGGTGGTTTGGCAAATTCCGAGTCGGTTCCAACTTTGGAATTCTTCTTTTCTTTTCCTGTGAGAAATACAATATTTCTGTATTACTGCAGATATATTTCTCTCGCAATCTTTTTTACCCTCCTCTGCTGTTTGCAAGATATTATGAACTACCAACGCATGAACTGCCAAACAAAAGAAAACATAAAAGATGACCCAAAATGATCGTTTATACTGTGTATAACCTGTCGCTGGCGGTTTTCGTTTCGATAATAATTTCTTCTTTTTTTCAATTTCTTCCTTTTGCTGGTTGATGCCGTCTTGTTGTCTAAAACATTCAGGAATTTTCACCAGATTACTAACTTTCTTCCTAACCATAATACGAATATCAAAAGCAGTCGTGATATCTGCTATTAAAATGCAAGCAACAAGAGGAAAACCTATGTACGTACTTGTGAATTTCTTTGAAAGCAAATCCATCTTCCCACGTTTCCACAAAATGAGCACCTTGCCTTCGACAAATGAAAAATCAGAATGGAGATTGTATTGTCGTTGTGTCGTGATTTTTTTAATGCACATAACCCTTCTTTCGTACTCTGTGTATTTCTAACTCTGTATATTTCGTACTCCGTGTATTTCTAACTCTGTATATTAATAGTCTGCACATTTTTTAGCACTGTATACATAACAATACAATAAAAGTAAAATAAAGTAAAATATTCAAGTACCTGGTAGGAAGATATTGACCCAATCTAAGACGATTATTCATACTGTCGCGTTTCGCTTTCAGCTTGTATTGTCTTGACTAAAAAATAATACAATTCATGATAATTGTTAACGCGACATTTCCTCACATTCACATGAAAAATAAATAATATTCATGGGACAAATCCCGTCTTACACCGCACCTGTTCTATTAAGAGGTCTTTTATAAATTCGGTACACTAAAATATAATAACGAACGCCATTAGGTTAAAACGTTGAGAACTTTTCTTGTATATTTAACGACTAAAACATCAAGAACTGTACCTTGTCATTAGTTTTCTTTAATTTATCTTCCATTTTCTAAAACAAGTTCAGTACAGTAGATTAATGATAAACTGCGATGCTAAAACACTGGTAAGATTGTCCTCATCGTATTCAGGAAATAATATAGGACTATAGGGAAAACATTTCTCATATTTTCACAGACATTTTCACGTAGCTTAAACTTGCACAAATGCCCTACCTTCAGTTCTGTAATTTGGCGTACCAAATTACTATTCATCTAAATAAAATAACGAAGAAATTATTAACTACCTCACGAAAAGTACAGTTAAATAAATTAGAACTTTTAGTCAAAAGTGTTTTATACGAAACATGTTAACATTGAAGGAAACAGACGGTTATTGCCCTATTGGCGACACACAATGACGTTTACAGATGCGTTGTTGAAAGATACCCAGGTGTTTTCCTGGAAGAAGATTTTATATTTTCCAGAATACGAAACAACATACGGTGTCTAGCTCTTTAATTCTGTTATCTTTTTCCTGGGACGACGCAGATGCCAATGTTTCATATTCCTACACCAAACGTAAATATTATATTAAATTCTGGATAGCAAAAGATGAAAAAACATTTTTTACCAAGGTTGAAAGAGGAACACAGTGTCCAAAAAAAAAGACTGGTTATAACGTGGTTGACACAACCATGGAGCCCAGTAGTAGCAGTTCATGTTGTATAACAACGGAACATAATATGCAATACATATCATCTCGTAGATACTGTACATTTCATATTGGCCTCATTCCACCCTTTACTGTACGTAATTAACAAGACTTGGTTGAAAAATAAAAACTGAACTGTGTAGTGCGGATAACAGGCTGTTTGAAGACAAAGTCTTGGCCATTGCATGATTAAAACATCATAAAAATACACAACAATATCTCATAAAAAATGACATATATTCACCATCAGTTTCTCCATGGTCAAATCACTCTATAGAAAGAAAGACATACCGGTATTAGCAAATGAAGATAGATTCAAAACAGCAAACAGTGATATAACCAATTATGAAATTGAAAAATTTAGGCCATGTAGTGCAATACCTGAGTTGATTCATGAACACATATTGTTTCTTTACCATTGTCAATAATCTGTGGCGGTGACAAGCAAGATTCACTTGATCTACGCACCATACTCTGAGGTTGACCCAAAAGATAAGGAAGGGTTGAGCTGCTTTCCAATGGGGTCTGTTAAAAAATATTTATACAATTACTGTGTATCAGAGAAGCAGGAAGATGTACAGCATCTGTGTTTGATGAACCTGTTAAATAACCTAGCTGCAATAATGAATTTGCAGAGAGCATTTGGAGAGACATAGGATGCAGTAGTTTTATACTTACAAAGACTTCTTCCTCAACTGTTGGTGTGTGCTTTGGGCTTGGTGTGGAAAGAACTTTGTTTGGTGGTGTTGTCACTCCATTTGTCTACATGAAAATAATTTGACTGAATGCAGTTATATCTCATCTATTAACAATTAAATAAATCTCTTAGAATGAAAACAATCATTTATATTTGTAACAATATTCAAAAGCATAATAGTGAGCTTAAGCAAGTGACGTTTTTGACAACACGTACGTTGACCGGAAGTAAAGTTTTTATTTTTCACCAATCACAATTCTTGACCCAGTCTTTTGGCGTTACTCATGCCGTTTGTGATGTCAAAAACGTCACTTGCTTAAGCTCACTATTATCAACCTCCTTCGTTTGCCAAAAATTTCTATTTGAGTAATATGTGATAAATTTTGGCTGATACAAATTAACGTTTTTGCCAGAATGCTCATATTAAATTCAAATTTAAATGATTTTATATAAATGCAAATTTTAATCCTTATTCAACCTACCCTTGAAAAATACCCTGTGATTTTTTTGGAACCGGATTCAGCTTTTCCCATCTTGGGTTGACCTATATAATTATTCAAAGCACCAATATAAATACATATATTATATATATTGTAACAGATTAATTATTACCTGAATTACTATATTACTAATAATTTATATTATTATTATATTATATTACTATGTTATTTACCATACCTATTTTCCATTTTAAATTATTTCTAATTTATATACTGTATATCACATACCAACCTTGTACCCAGACCCTGGGTACAAGGTTGATCAAATACCTGGATGGTCGCCATCATGAGCTTTTCTTTTACGTTTAACATATTTCTCGGATTTTACTTCTGTACCAATCTGCAATTAAAAAATATAAGGTAACATACCATCACAGTCGTAAATATAGAGAATTGGTCAGCATTAAATGCCTACAGTAAATCTGCCTCTGAGAGTCAATTTGGCACATGTGTTCCATTTACAAGATTTTATTTTTTTTCAAAACCTGCATACTCAGCACACTAAAATTACCTCAAAATCTCTTGATGTATCAGAGATTCCAGATGAAGCATTGCTTAAATTTGAATCCTGTATATGAGAAACAAAATAAAAGATTTTAACAAATATGTTAAAATTTAATCAATATTAACAATCAAAGTGGACTAATTGAAAAGTATTGAATGACTGTGTTTAATGTTATGAATATGAACATATACATTCACAATACTATTTGAATACTACAATGTATGAAAGATATGTTTTTAAATGGATTTGATAGTGTGGTGAGCAAATAGCGTTTGCTGTTCTCCTAATATGAACTCTTGCAAATATTTTTCTAATCTATAATTGCTTCAAATTGGAAATAATGCAACCTAAATTTGGCAACATAATGATCATCGTAGGGAATTATTGTAACTAAAATACAGAGTACATAGAGAGTCTTTAATTGATATATTCTATATTCACGAGGTTATAAATTATATAAGCTTTGAAACTTGATGTGAATAAATGATTGAAATGGTTGCATTTTTGAATTCTCAGAGAACTTTACCCTATTATCCACTCTGTTGTCAAAAAACCTCGCTTCTAACAACTCTCTGCGTTGTGGATCTAAACCCTGCAGGCTTGAAAACGCATTGCAAGATTCCCGTCCAGAACCTGAAACAATGAGATAATTTTGTGATTAACTTGCACGATTACTATCACAGTTTATTGTTTACTTGAGAGATACAACTAAAATATGCGGACAAAAAACAAAGAAATATTTCAAGAACTTGGCTACCTTCCATCGAAGAAAATTCTAGACTTCTTTTGCTACGATTTAATGGTGATTTTGACTCGTTACTGAGGTGCAAATTGAATTCTTGCGAAGAAGAAAATGCATTTTCAGATCCAGGTCGATCAGCCATTGAAAATCATAGAATCAAGAACGCAGGGTCTCTAGGGTTTTAGAGAAGCAACGCGGGATGATATAGGGCACGGGGGACGCAGTAGGTGAAATATGTATATTGTATCCATAGCTATCATAGGTATCTATCGCATTTCCTCCCATCTCATCTATTTTGCAAGAGTTTCCAGGTCTCCTGAAGAGTAGTCGGAATGTAACCATTAATTAATTTGATATCGTCTCTACTTGTTACGTCTTTTAATTACCATAAAAACATCAAAATTTTCCTTCTGGTTTTCAAGAAATAGACAGACTATCAATGTCAAAACAGTGGCCGGACGGTTAGCACTAACCTTACGTTTAATTAATCCAGGCTGCTTTTTTTTATCCAAGCCTTCGAACATATAGAACTTTATTAAACCAGAAAAGATTCATTGAAAACTTTTACTACGGTATCAACCAGCTGTTGGAAATATTGATTTGTGAATTTATGCTAGGGTAACACTTAACCGCCCGGGCTTTTGTCAGTTTGAAGAACCAGCGCCTCACTGCCTGATATTTCAAACGGCAAAACCCACACATTTAGAAGTTTGTTCTTTCAGTAAATAATTACATTGATAAAATATACTATATAGAGATAATATATATAATTATTATATAACAAATTTCAACTTTTCTTCATTAAATCTTCTTCGTTAAATCTTCTTCATAAAGGTTACATATAAATTCCTCCTGCAAAAAATAGTGAAATATCAGAGCGAGGTCTATTCATTCTCCGGTCAAGACTACTGAGCCAGCGAGGTTAATAAATCTTTTTTAAGATGGCTGACTTTGGCTGTGTTTTGCGAAAGAGGGGAAAGACCTGGTTAAGGGGAAGAGAACGTGAAATTTTGCCCAAGAATTGAAAGGTTAAAAAAAGAGAAATAAACAACTATATGTACATAAGCGTTTGTTAATGGCTAGTTTTCATTCAAGAAAACTATCCCGAGACTCAGGATTCTATCGCTGTTGCTATCATAAATTGAAGCAGAATTAAGTCAAAGAAATAACTCTAAAGCTTCTATACTAAACTTCTATACTCTTGTAAGTAATCAGTAATGTAGTACTATAAAGGGTACAGAGTTGTGAATGGGTCTACTTACCAGTGACCTCTATACTCGATCCAGTAATATAACTGCTCTCTGTCGAGGCAAGAAAATAAGCAGCATTCGCTACATCTAAAAAAATGAGATTTAGTTAAGACACGGCATTTTTTGAAAACACAAAGTCTGCAGGGTTTCCATTCGGTCGCAACAGTTAAGAGGCAAACAGAGGGCCTTTGACCTTGAGCTAAAACAGTTAAGTTCAAACTATATTTTGAGCTTAACTAATTGATTTACCACCGACATTTACATGCAAAAAAATACGCAAATACCGACTTATAAACGGCCATAATTTTAGCGACCAAAATTTTAGTTTTACAGAATTTAGGACGCTTTCTCCAGCTGTGCTAATGTAATGAATTGTGCATTTTACTACGAAAGACTATGGGGTGCCCTAACCCATACATTATCCCTTTTGTTCGGTACGTCCCAGGTAGCTGACTTTCATGAAGCTTAGCTTCTCATGTTTCCAAAATACATGAAATAGTTGTTTGAGACATGCGAATCAATCTTTATCATGTACGTTTTATAATATACCTTCTGACGTTCCTAGGCGATGGAGAGGTATAGCTGACGTGAACTGGAAAAACAAAGATCAAAATATTACATTGTCAAAGGGAAAAAACGGTATATCTGGATCATGATGCATAATTTGAACAATAATTAGAAAATTAAGGTTAATCTTCACAGATCTATCATATAATGAACAATGAACAGTTATTATATATCCAGGTACAGTATTATATAGTAATCATCAGGTAGGTATAATATTGTGAACATATATTATATATCCAGATATTATTTAGTGATCATCGCTAGGTATAATATAATGAACATATATTATATATCCAGGTATCATATAGTAAGCATTAATATAAGGACTACTGGCTGACTAGCATTGATCACTTATAAATGTTGTTCTATCCCTCTCATGCTTTGGATTCAAATTATCACAATCTGGAGTGAAACTTTTAGTTCTTTTCTCTTTAAAGATAAAATGAATCTAAAAGGTATATGAAGTAGACACTGACCTTTTTTATTACTTTTTGAGGAATTGTATTTAGCATGGATGTCTGGATAAACCCTGGTAGGATAACATTACACCTAATACCATACCTAGCACATGAACAAAGAAAAAAATCATTCATTTTTATGATAGAAGTATTACTCTATAGTATGGATGTTTCCAAAAATGTATCCTTACGCAGTTGACGATGAAATTGGCGTGAATGTTGTTTACAATTGGTTGTTTAACACAAGGTTTTTCTAACTTCAACAATAATTTTTTTAAACTCACAAAGCTAGTTCTTTAGCACAGGTCCTACTCATAGCTTCTATAGCTGCTTTAGATGCAACATAGTTTGCTTGACCAAGATTTCCCACCTACAGATTTAAAATTAGGGGATTATTATTAAAGGTGCAAATATTTAATAGATGTGTAATCAAGGCATTACCTAAAAACTAAGACAATTCATTTTAGATTGAGGCTTGATGGATCAGGATGGGAAACCAATAATTTCCATGCAGGAAGGATACATATAAGAATGAAATAAATCACATTATTTGTACCTTCCCCGAAATGCTTCCAATACTGACAATAGAACCATTCTCCACCTTGGACTCAATCATTCCTTTCGCAGCTGCTTGAATCATAAGAAATGTGCCCTAAAATATATCAAAATAATCAAAGTAATAAATAACCATTAAAACGTGGAATAGAGATGCACAAATTACAATTGCAAATAGTTATTTTACCTTAAGATTGACATTGATAACTTCATTAAATGACTTTTCACTCATTTTTATGAGGAAATCATCTCGAGTTATACCATGACAATTGACAGATATACAAGGATATCTTTTGTACTTTTTCTTGATATCTTCCATAAACTGTTCAATCTGCTGTGATGATGTTACATCCATCTCAAAATGAGAATGATTTGCATCACTACCTCCTAAAGCCTCTGCTGTCTTCTTTGCACTAGATCCATCAATGTCAGCGACAATCACAGAAGATCCCTCATTTGCAAAACGTTCACATACTGTCCGGCCTATCCCACCTCCAGCACCTTAATGTTATGTAAGATATTTTAGAGCTATGACATATATACCTGATTTAAAAATGTAAAGATCTAGCTTCTTCCAACAAATAAGGAATTTGTGCCCGGAGGTCTATAGATTTAGGTTTATAGGCAGTCGCTGATGAGATGTAATATATAATAAAGATGGGTCAAATAAAACAATACTTTAAAAAAGACATTACCAGTTATGATGTCACTAGGAAATTATGGCTTTACAACATGGCTATTGGCCAATCAGAAGCTCGATCTGAATTCTTAACTTAGTAATAGGATCTATTATAGCATATAGTTTTTAATAGTTAACTATCTCAATTACTGAATTCAATATGCCACTAAATACGGTAAACATGTTTAAAATGTTTAGTTAAAATGCAGTGCTAAATCTTTCTTTAAAATTATAGAAGTTTTAAAATAGTTAAAAGTACCTTGATAATTATGCACCATTATTTCAAACTTTATATAAAAATCTCCAAATTTGGCGTGAAATTTGCTGATTTCACCATAAGTTATAAATAATTGTTCAACAATAGGTTGGTTAGCATGCTAGTACAGTTTTGTTTTATATATATATAAACACAGATATAAACCGTGCAGTTTAATAACCTACTATTTTTAGCAGATCATGTACTTTCACTTGCTAAAGCAACATGCAAGCATGCACGCATATTTCTCTTCATGTCAAGTCTTATCAACAAACCATGATTTTATTAAAATCATATAGCCTCTAGAAATAAGTGGTATCAAAAGGTTGAGGTTTAATAAAGTTAGTTATTTTTTCGCACTTATTGTATGACATGACAAAGTCCGGACAAAACTAGAATTTTGAGCGATGGCACTCCACAACCGTTCAAATTGTTGTCCCTTAATTCTGATTGAAGATGTGAGTGAAAACTTGCCTGTAACAACGGCCAAACGACCTGCCAGATTCCCAATAATTTTGCTCGCCATTTTATACAATACAGTATTTGACTTTATTTGTTTAGGACTTTGGAGTTTGGTTACCGGATCGCCGGTTCTTGAAAATAATTTATTTCAGCTTTTGACGATGCTTCCATTTTCAAAATCAAAATTTCCTATTTTTGGCAATCAATATTTTGAGGGAGCCTGTCAGGCCTTTCCTTTGCGAGCCTGCCATGCTTTAAACAAGTTTTATAGCTTCAATGCTTCATGTTGTTTGTTCTACCTATTTTTTAGACTGGAAATTGGAAATTACTAAAAAGATCTTCAACAAATATCGATATGGCCCCAATGCGTTCTCTTCAAAATTTTGGTTGATTTTAAGGACCATCTATCAATGATAACACCTTTTTCTTATTCTCTAAAACGTTTTACAAACGTGAGAATTGACACTGCTAAGCCTAATATCATCCTCGCTGCAACACTTTTTGTCGGTAAAAAGATGTATCTCGGCCCACTTCAAAGCCCATTTTCCGGGCAAAGCAAAAGAGAACTCGTGGCTGGATTCATGACTCAGTTAGTCACATATACCGGTACACCGCACAAAGCTACAAATATTACCAATCATTAGAGCCGTATTGCGAGGGCTCGGCAGGAGCAGGAGGCACTGTCCTCTAAAAGATAAATTTCTCTGCTACTCTGAGCAGAGTGGGAGTCTGTAATGTTACATCATTTGAATGTGTTGTGAAGAGATCATCACTGCTTACTAGTTTGAAAATCCTACAAACGGGTCAGCCTGCCAATCACTGACTGACAATGATTTTGCACTATACTAGAGTGGAATTCGATCGCCTCGTTTATACGACCACTTCTTATTTCCTTCAGAACAAAAACAGTCTACGTGAAGCATGCAAATGAGAACATTACAAGCCTACACTGTATTATTTTCGTGATATCAATCGGTGATATCGCATTAATGTAATGTGAAAGAAAAATTTGGCAATCAAGGGATGCCTCCCCTTGTCAGTAATATCATGCAGATTGAAATTTCCCAGCCAAACTGAAATAGAAAGAAAACTAGTTTATTGTGTTACCACCTTAATTAAAGCATGGTCAGTGTGCAGCATCAAGTCTGTTTCACATGCTGATTTGGCCGTGTATTCACTATTCACCTCTTAAGAGTTAAGCCGGTGGGAGTATTGCCGTAAAAACGGCATTAATTGATAGTAAATTAGTATGCGCACTAATATACCATCCATTCCTTTTAAAGAGATACACACTCATAATATAGCGCAACAGACAGCACCCGATATACCGTATGGAAACAATGAAATATACAATCGAAACGAAAACAAAACTTTTATCTCGTTCATCTTGAAAGTGATTTGCCCACAACCTATTACTGAAGCAAATGAGATAAAAAAACATCAGTATTCAGAACAACAAAACTTTGCAAATCCTCCGCGCGGTGTGGTTAACCAGTTTCCCATAAGAGGCCAGCTGCAGGGCACAAAACGCGACAGATGTGCGATATGTGATTGGATGTTTTTCACGCATGCCTCATTCGGTGCTAAAAAAATTACCCACTTAAAAGATTACGAAGGACAAAACGACGCGGCAGTATACCCTCTGAGAGTTAACTAGAGTTGTACGCGTCACTTCAAGTTCAACTTTAGAGAAATTTTCTCCCACCAATAGCAAACTTTCAAAACAACATCAACAAAGGCATTTCAAAATGGTGAGTAGAAATATGAATAATATGGTACATTCTCGCACTAATTTATACTACTCAGACGGCATTTAAAAAGCGCCGCGGAATATTTCAAAGTTTGGAAGACATATTAAAAATGATAAACTGATAAACGCCGTTGATGTTTGCTAGAGAAATTTGAAAAAAAACATAAATATATAAACTAAGACAGTTATAACAACTATAAGCAATAGCAATTGAAATTTCTTGTGAAAATCGGCAATACTTTTCATAGTGTTTATAATATCATTGCGATGATAGATATCATGCTATTGACTGCATGGGGAATTTCTTAGCCAATGTGAGAGAAGCCCTTTATGTGATCGGGTCTCTCTTTCACCCCTAGAGTCTGTTGAAGAGGTGAAGTCAATTTTCAATATCATTAACAATGTATATTTTTCCATTGGTCAAAAGAATAACTTTCCCAAGTGCTTGTTTTCTAGCAAAGTCTTGCCTCTCAATGTTAATATTATGCAAATTTAGAGATTAGATTTCCGCTTTAAAAGTGCAGCCTCTATACTGTGATTGTAGCTGAGATCTTTAAGCTGGCCGGGAGGGAGTTATAATGCTAGACATAACGAACTAAGTAAGGCAAGACAATTGATGTAAGGAACTAGCAATAAATGATCACGCAGATTTATCAATGCAATTTATTATTCATGATCACTGCAACAACGAGTTAAAACCCCAAAATTCCATTAAAGGGCGTAGCAGCAAATTCTTCATGATCCTTCGCTGGAAGGAGCGAGGTTTTCCACCAATGACCAAACTGCTGGAAATTGCTTCTGTCATTTATATAATTATCAGTCTCAGAGTGATACAGACTGTCGCATTGGTACTGTTACTTCCATCTACGCCTCCTATGGGATCACAGTAGTTTCCAATCTAGATTTTTTCGGGTAAATGACAATACATCTAGGACACTTTTCACACCACTTGCAAATAGCGATTTTTAGTATCAGCCTCGGTTTAAAGCATTCAAATAATGCAGATGATTTGGCTGTAGTGATGATTCTGGAGGAGCAAATTAACATAAAATGTTCATATAACAGAAAAACATGAGAAATCCATTTGAAAGAAATATCAACATAAAAACTTCTTGCTGTGGGCAGATTGTCTTATAGTAATTCACCACAGTAACGTCAAGGGGACGTCTTCCTATTTTATAACCAAAAACATTTCTTAACTGCACGGTATGAATGAAAATAATTGATATTTAGCGTGAGTGTATATCGATACATGTGGGTCAAGCCGGAGCCCAGATTGGTAATTCATGTTGGGAACTGTATTGTCTGGAGCACGGTATTGGACCAGATGGGAAACTTGTTGAAAATTCTGAAGCAAAGAAAGGAGTGGACACTTTCTCGACATTTTTCAGTGAAACAGATTCTGGGAAGCATGTACCACGTGCACTGTATGTTGATTTGGAACCAACTGTGATAGGTATGTTTATCACGAAAAACTACAATCTCCACCGTTTGGAGCTTCATTACATGAAAGATAGAAATATATGTGTACTTGCACCTCTATTCTTTCCACTTATCCACAATTTTTGGATTGCCAACTTTAAAATGTATCATTCGAAGATCTAATTCAATGTCTCTCAGTTCACCAAATTTCATTTAAATCTGTTCACAGATGAAGTACGAACAGGAACATATAGATCTCTGTTTAGTCCCGAGATGTTGATAACTGGGAAAGAAGATGCAGCAAATAATTATGCCAGAGGACATTACACTATTGGTCGCGAGATTGTTGACAAAGTATTGGATAAGATACGAAAACTTGTAAGTCAACCGATTATCTTTCACACTCCCATGTAACAAAACCCATTTATCCTCTTCATTATAATAATTGTCCTTATAGGCTGACCAATGTACAGGTCTTCAAGGCTTTCTTATGTTCCATTCGTTCGGGGGTGGCACTGGATCTGGCTTTACATCATTGCTAATTGAACGTCTATCAGTTGAATATGGCAAGAAATCTAAACTGGAGTTTTCAATATATCCAGCACCTCAGATATCCACCGCAGTAGTCGAACCTTATAACTCCATTTTGACCACTCACACAACAATGGAACACTCTGACTGCTGTTTCATGGTCGACAATGAAGCCATCTACGATATCTGTCGCAGAAACCTGGGCATTGAACGGCCAACCTACACCAACCTTAACAGATTGATTGGTCAGATTGTATCGTCAATTACCGCCTCCCTTCGTTTCGACGGGGCACTGAATGTTGATCTCACTGAATTCCAAACCAATCTTGTCCCTTACCCAAGAGTTCATTTCCCCCTCGCGACGTACGCTCCAGTAATTTCTGCAGAGAAAGCCTTCCACGAGCAATTGTCCGTTGCCGAGATCACCAACGCGTGTTTTGAACCAGCCAATCAAATGGTGAAATGTGATCCACGTCATGGTAAATACATGGCTTGCTGTTTGTTGTATCGTGGTGATGTCGTGCCTAAAGATGTGAACGCCGCCATCGCAACCATCAAGACCAAACGTACCATTCAGTTTGTAGATTGGTGTCCAACTGGCTTCAAGGTTGGTATCAACTACCAACCACCAACTGTGGTACCAGGAGGTGATCTGGCCAAGGTACAGCGTGCTGTGTGTATGTTAAGTAATACCACAGCAATTGCTGAGGCGTGGGCAAGATTGGATCATAAATTTGATTTGATGTACGCCAAACGTGCTTTCGTTCACTGGTATGTTGGTGAAGGAATGGAGGAAGGAGAGTTTTCTGAAGCTCGCGAAGATTTAGCGACATTGGAGAAAGATTACGAAGAAGTTGGTGCTGAATTTGAGGAAAACGAAGAAGAGGACGAAGACGAGAACTTTTGAACAGAGAATAGGTTTATGTCAAAATAATTTGGGCAAACATGTTGTCTGTATACCTTTAAAAGGAATTGTTGACGATACTTGATGTAATATGCTATGTTCTGTAATCTTCTACATATCTATTAAATTTTACCGAAGTGCATGAAGAATTCATTTCTATTTTGAATAGTTATGTGTGTGTTTTCTGTCTAAGCAGTTCAATAAAAGACCATCTGTGTTTTGTGGACTCGAGAAAGCCTTTGTCCTTTCACTTTGTGAACGCGTATAACATTTGGTGATCAGATAGATGAGGTTTCCACAGCCGTTTAAAGGCACCTTTTCATATCATATGGAGCAATTAAGAGTTTGATTCATTAAAATCTATCAATCTCCACTCTGAATATCTGAAATGCATTAGCGTGCATGCCTAAGTTGGATTATGTTCTTCTATAAGATAAACCGTGTACAATATATTCAAATAGTTAAGTATGTGAAATGTTTCGTATAGAATTTGATAAAAAAGTTCATCTGTTCAGTGTTCATATAGACTTCTAACGGGCAAATAATTCCCTCGACATCACAAACGGCGAATTATTAAATCAAACGATATCGGAGTCTAAGTATTGAAACGACGGCCTGAAGGCGTGTCAGCGTCAACTCCCCCCTTCAGGACTCCTTGCTCTCCCCACCTTTTCTCATCTCTGGCTCAGTCCTGAGTCCACATGAAATCTACACACGTCAACCTCGTACGTCCTCGTACTGGACGTTTTCTTTGTCGATTATTGAACACTTCACATAATGGCTTCTTCAGATAATCACGCGTTTTTGCCAGTTTTGGTTTGAACTGTCTTGTTTTTCGTTCCCGTATTTGTTATGCTCTATAATAAATAAGATGAAGTAAAATAACCGAGTGAACTTAGTCGTGTCTTCATTAATTATAACGCTTATAAGTGACAATGGTACCTTTGGTGCTTGAGAACGAGCAATCTTTCTCTTTATATTCGGTAGTAAAACTTGACTTGGTGAACTAAGAACATTGGGAGAAGAGGAATTTTGATCATCTGTACGACATTCCAGAAAATGTACGGTGAGACATTACTAGTTACCATTGTAACGAAGCTTTGACAATACCTTATTTTTTCTTCTGGCCATCTGGTCGTTACAGGTGCAGAAAGTGATCGTGATAATATGGATGGCTGACATGCTTGATTATTCAACATTTGTTGAGGAGGAACCCACTAAATAATTCAGCAAAATTTTAGATCTAAGAGCATTTGGTGAAATTTTGTGTGCACTAACTATTGAGCTGTATCCGATCCAAGAGAGTGTCGTCATCGCGATATTTGGCATTCGAACATTGAATGTATTTTATTTAAATCTCATAGGTCAGTACAGGAAAGTGGACGGACAGTGAATTATGTACATGCAGTTCATCTTTACCTGGTGGTTTGGATCGCTGGTACAGGTTTTCAAATGAATACCTTGTTGAGCATATGTACAGAGCAACGCAACACCTGCAAAAAGATTTTATAGCAATTGCAAATTCAAAACGTGCATGTAATTTCAATTTCATAATCACCGGAATAAACTTCGACGGAAACAGTAAGTTAGTCCGGCAGACTTACAGTACCTAGTGCTGTTCGACGACCTTCTCGTAAATATTTCTTTGTCCATTCATCTAACAAAATGTTTCGGTATCTCTGTGAAAGAGCAGCAGAAAATTCGTTCATCTCAATTAGTGTTTGCATTCAATGGTTGATCATGGGCCATTATATCGTGATCTCTGTTTACAAGGAACAGGAAATTACTAATTACCAATACTAATTCCTGTACAGCCTATAAAATATGATTGCAGATGAAAACTTACCGGGGCTTCAAAATACTTCAGGTACTTTTGAGAGTTTTCTGATGGGAATATCCGTTGAAAACAGCCTCGTCTGCTATACTATGAAAGAAAATTTCAAGTACACGAATTGAACAGAAATATAAAGGAGGCGATTCTATGGAAAGTATTAGCGTTTGAGCATGCAAACATTTTATGTCCGAAAATATAGAATACTTATATATACAGATTGCGCTATATATCTAGGGTTGCACTTATAGTATTACTGCAGTTTGATTTGCTGAAGGATTTTTACATAAGACATGTAACAATAAACAATAAAATTAACAATGATTTACTTCATCCTCCGTCTCCATTAAAATCTTCATATCTTCCGGGGTCAAAATATCCAATATAGTCATTCGTACCCGCTGAAATAGACAAAATTTAGTAAACAAACGAGGGGGGGGGGCGTATATAGGTAGCGTCTTCAAAATAGCTTAAAATTAATGATAAAAAATATTGCAAAGAAAGTTTTATTTAACACCAACCTCGTTACCCTGATGGTTAACATAAAATCCATGCTAAACAACCAAATAGGAATTAGTTTAACGTAAGTGTAAAGTATACAGATGACGATGTCACGATGATGGTCATGCATTTTTGTACAATATAGACGATATAGTTCAAACCTTTGCCTTCTGGTCTGAAGTTAAAACCAATCTTCCTTTGTCCAAAGAAGAAGCGCCACCACTAGAATTACTGAGAACATCCAATACATGGAGTTATTATCATTATGTAGATCACTTTCCAGCGGGATTTTCTCTCAAACCAAACTAACCTTGCTGAATTGCTCGCTCCATTCTCAGGAATACGATAGCCAGATATGTTCAGCAGATCACGGACCATTTGACCCTTGATGCTCATATCAAGTGGTGACGTTGAATGTAAGCTGTATAGGGGTCAAATTTAGTGAATTCTATTACTGATTAGTACCTTAATTATCATACATGCATGTTAATAATTCCCTAAATAGAACAATTTACTACTGCATAGTTCATAATCATATCTAGTATGCATGGATAACAATAATTCATGAACTGGCAGTAACATCATGCATCAGCTACCCATATCTTCTGCAAATTATTTAATTTCTGCAATGTACAACAAACCCTGGGCTAATTAACTGTTAACACTTACCTGGGTGAGATATTTACTTCTAAAATCCACGGCTTCAAATTCTCGTCCAACATAATATCAAAACCAAACAACTCGTTACAGCTGTAACTATAATGAATTGTAAAAAATCGCATGGTTTGAAGGAAAGTAAACTTGAGACACCTGACACATAGCTAGGCCAGCAAGAGTGTCAAAGAACTTCTGCCTTTTAAACTAAGGCAGTTCGTATGCTTGTTGTTAGTGGCGATGGTCAAAGAAATCTCTTTGACTCTTAAATTAATAATTGACAAAAAGATATACAATAAAATACCTGTCTCTGACATTTTGCTTCATTAGCAAATTAACTGTCGATTCGCAACTATAACATAGGAAAAAAATATTAACTATTAAGAAAGTAATTATTTCAATCATCATCAGATAAGTATTCAATCAAATAATGAAGTTCTCGTTCATTCATTCCAATATACAGTGTAATAACCTTATTATTGTCTTGACCACGATATCTTTGATACCCTCCCAAATACGTGTTGTATTCACACCCATTCTTTTTAAGTATCCCCACAAAGCTTTTAAAGACCTGGGAATAAAAATGCATAGTTATAGGATTAAATATCATGACCATTTCACTACTGTATCTATTGTGTATATAGGATATAACTCGATATTTTTATGCTTCTTGAAGTGAGAATATAAATCTAATAAACTCCAGTAGATTAGTCTCAATAAGCCTGCATGTATAACAAATATCTCCTTAACGGGTTTTGCAACAAAATCTAGAACGTTTCCCAGGCTTGGAACTTTTTGAGCTATTCTTGTATGTAATTTTTCAGGGAAAGAGAAATGGCCTAAAGAGCGCCTTTGAACAACAAAGCAAACGAATCTCAACTTACATGCAGGAGAGAATATTCTGAGTTATTCAGAGTTAATTCATTCAATCACAAGGGATGCCTACCCTTGGCGTCTAGTATATATTAGGCAACAACCGTAAATGTAGTCAGTTTAACTATAAACCATTTGTGACCTTGACATCTATAATAGTAGTAGCTACATTTATATAAGCAACAACAACAGTTTGACTAACCATTTGTGGCCTTGACAAGCATCTTCATCGTTATTTGGCGTATACACATCCTCATTCTTCTTATTTATGCTGTAGTTTGTTAAGTGCATAAATCTGTTGCTTAAACTTTTACTTGAAGAAGAATACCTTAAGCAGAGAAAAGCAAGAAAACGTGTAACTTTTTCCAGTTTATTCGAACAAGTATAACAATAACTATTACCTTTTTAAAAAAGCGTGTCTAATGGAAAAGACCCGACTACAACACCATAACAATTAACACAGTACCATAGCACACTTTCAACTTACTTGCAGGTAGCAAAGCGAGTGAGGCCGTCTTCGAACAAATAAATGCGCAGGGGATCGAATGATGAGATAAAAACATAAATGCGAAGATCAAACTTTCTCCCGTTGATAAGATACGGTTTTGACAGATATCTAGAAATAGAAGAGAAATAAACATTTCTTGTTATATGCTTGTATGACACATTCTTCATTTGCGTGTGACGTCATAATGTGTCATTAGCCGCCATCTTGGATGATTCCACTTCAACGCAAGCTATTATTTAGGCAGATATTTAGATTAAGGCTGTGCATGTGAGGGAATATATAGCATGAAAATGGCATGACACATTCATACATATATAGGTAGAATAGAGATGTCGCTGAAGCTAGCTAGTGCATCAAGTATATAATGCCCTTATGTAGCCATGTACCATACGGTTGAATTTTTTTCTTCAGTACACCAGTCAAGTGTGTTTTGTTCCCGTGATTCGTAAATATTATATGCTATAATTATAGGGCCATCCCATCATATCAAGCTGCATTAATTAATACTTACTTCTGGACAATAACTGGTCTCTTCTTAGGAATTTGGGTCCATTTATGTACAACTCTTATTCCAATTCCTCTTGCCGAAGCCGGCTATACGTGCGTATGAAGATAATAAAAAAATAATGACATCTAATCTATTCATCGAATAGGGTCGGGGGAAATATAGACTTGAGTTTACTATTGCCATTAGTTGAGCGTTTTTGAAAAATCTTCAGAAAGAAATCGTCACCATAATGAAAACATGCATGCATGTACAGAAAACTAAATTATTCATGCCACAGTTTATATTCATTCTTACTGGTTTTAAAATCCACTTTTGTCTACTTCCCACTTCCTCCCAAACTCTTTTAAGATTTCGAAAATCGTGCGGCAACACGAAGGTCTGGGGAATGAAACCAAATTCCTGCATAAAAAGAAAAGTAATACTAATACAGTACGTCTGTACACGTAGCAACGTCAGTACGTACATCTTACGATTGAACGAAATCTAATATTACAGAATAGCTTAATTTATATTATTGAATCGCATGGATTTATTCTATGTGAAATAAATGTTGCCGAAAGTTTTTCCGGAGAACGAAAGCAGAAATAAATATACGATTATAGAGACCTACAACAGAGAACATTGCGAAAAATGCAACTTCGGTCCTCCGGCAGGAATCGAACCTAGCTACTGTACATCTCTATGACTTCAGAGCATTTGCTCCAAAGCAGTGAGCAAAGGTGTAGATTATATAGGACTCTAGTTTATTAATCGTATGTTAATTTCTGTCTCGTTCTCCGGAAAAACCGTCAACATTTAATTTATGTAATGCAGACGAAGGATTAGAAGAAAATGCATTTACCAATCCATTAGTTATTGTGCGAAGTTCTGTTTAAATATAAAAAATACCTCCATAATAAAATATGAATAATTGAATTAAGTTTTTCATTATTATACCTTCTTCCCGTGACGCGTTTGCAGTTTCGAAAGATTCTTCCACAGTTTATCCTTACGTCCAATTTGAAAAGATCCTGGGAAATGATTGACCTACACAACAATATCGAAGATGAACTGTAGGCAAGAGCACTTAGAGCAGTCAGACGAAACAAAGATGTTAATCTGTACTCATGGAGTCAATAAAAAATATCTATGGTACCTTTTGATGCTCTCGCACTGACTTAAATGCTGCGGCTTTCATGTGCTTTCCCCAGTATCCAAGCCAGTCGCTTTCTGTACGTGACAAACGAAAAAAAATCATTATGAAAACTAATTTTGAGGTACAATATAAGCTTAAGCTACAGCCTACCCCACTTTCAAAAGACTTACTTTTCGTTGGTCGAAAACCAGATCGTGCAATACATAATTTTACGACATTTGGAGTGATAGTGCTCATTTTCCACTTCAGCAACTTCTTGATCTTCAATGGAAACGAATGCACTAAAATGACAATAAAGAATAGAAATTTGTAAGCGACTTATTATACCTAAGAAGCGTACACCAGCATAAAGGGGCTGTATATATTCGCAGTTTACAGAAGGCAATGAAGTTATTCAGCAAGCATGAATAGAAAGGTCTGAGTTGGAGGGTGATACTCAAATTTTACAAAACTAATCAGATAATCTTGCATTTAACAACATTCTGTCTTCTACTGCAGACAATTTGAAACTGTAAACATGTTTAAAATACTTAAACTGATTTTTTTTCTTCACAACAAATGTACTAAATGTTCTTCATTCGAGTATACATATATATTATTAAAAAATATACAAAATATGTCTTATATACATACAGTATACAGCTGTCTCTCTCAAAAACAAAATAATAAATATTACCTCGTTCACCATCAACTGTAAAGTGAATAGTCGATGGTTTATTAGGAAAAAGACTAGGAGTTAATGGAGATCGGATTTCTTCTGTGCCACATGCAATCCAACGACCTTTAGATGATCCAATATCAGCTGATTTTAATGAAGATCTCGAGATCTTGCCATTTAATGATTTTACAAGTTTCTCACGACGTAGAGTTGCACTTGGTGCTGAACTGATTCTCGATGTTGCTGTGGATGGTCGAGATTCCCCAGAACTGCTGTGCTGGGAAAACTCTAGATAATGATATATAAATATACCACTCTTAGGTGATGCATTCATCAGTAGTTTTTTTATAATCTGGCTACTGGTGGATGATCAGTTGACAAATTTAGACAAAATGTTCAAAATTGATCATTCGGATTTATTGATCTCCCCAATCACAAAGTAGGCTGTTGTGGTAACTGATACTGATAACTGTAAGAACTGATATTAATGTATAAAAATATCTATAATACAGATATTTTGATATTTTTTTGCAGTATAAAGTTGATTAGCTATTTGCTTTTTTTGTAATAGTGGTTTATTTGAAAATTCTAAAAATAAGATGATGTACGTACCAAGATTGTTTGTCAGAGTTTCAGATTCCTAATGACTCTAAACTCCCAATTAATTGGGTTAATTTTAACATCCTTACATGATTTATCCCACTATATATTATATATTTAATAATTACCCAAATTTATGCCTATCAATACCTTCTGAACAAGATTCATCATGTATATCATCAATTCCTTCTTCTAAAAGATCATCTTCATAGAACCCATCAGAAAGATTGTCAATATCATCATCTTCATTGCATTCAGAAATGCAGCCATCTCCTGGTAATCTTTCCATACAACAATAGTCAATCTGCTCATCTTCAACCTCCTCTTTGCAAGCTTCCCCATCACCTCCTAACCTACTAGGTGTACCCTTACCACAAAATGTAGCAGACTTTGGTACTTCTGGTGGCTTTGGTGTCTTTGCAGAACTTGGTAGCGTGACTAATCCATATTTCACAAGTCGTTTATTGACAGTATTTGAAATTACTTTTTTATCGACAGGAGGTTTTCCTTCCACGCGTTTATCAAAGTCTGTCTTTTCATGACTGATTCTAAATTGTTTGAGTTTAGAATTAACAATAGAAGCAGATTTATTGTAAACTTCTCTGTTCATATCTTGCTTTGAATTTTCGTTTCTTGATGTAAACGTTTCCATAACAACTCGAAATGAACAACAGCCGTTCACTTTACCGTTCACTTTATAATATCAACAGCTCACAACGTCTGCTGCAATTTCTGTATGAAATAAAAGTGTTGGAATGGAAAAGACCATCATATCTCTTCGTGATCACAAATTCCTGCCACCTATATTTTTCCATTTTGAATTTACTTTTTACAAATGACTTATGACTCATTACGTCATACATTATTCGCGGGGGGGGGAGAAAAGCGGAAGAAAACCCACAGGAAAATCGCTTCGGTGGGGACTGGAGCTAGTTCGAACGAGTGGTGGTGGTGCTTGTCGATTAATATTGTCCTACCATTTGAAGATTTGACATAAATTTTTAATGTTTTTTAACAATCGTTATAACATAAAATAAATTATGGATTGATTTCCTTTGATTAAGGCTAAATATTCATTTTGTGGAGAAAAACAGCCGGACGTTTCGCTGCTTCTATCTTCATTTTTGGATCCATGACGATTGACATTTTAAATTTTCATTTTTTTGTTTCAACGTTTTTAATGCGTACATCTGAATTTTGAACATTCTAAAATTGCGCGTTTTTAAAATAGAACTTGGAAAACAAAGAAGAAAAATGGTAGTGGGTCCAACTATCTTGACCGGGCTGTTACACGCCTCCTATTCACAGGTGCTATCCCACTACTGTTTGACGCGGGAACTTTTGTCTGCTATGTTTCCATCCTGGACCGGTACGTTCCTCCTTAATCAACCTGGTGGACGAGGGCTCCCCCATGTTCACCATATTGGCGCCTAACTTAGTGTGGACACCCGATCGACATAGATCGACGTGCGACAGGAATCCCGACCTCAAGTCATTCGACACCACCAGCCCCGAAGTAGCTCGGTTACAGGCGCACGCCACCACGCCCAGCGATAATACTATAAAAAAATATTGTATTTAACGTGACTTCTGACTAAGTTCCAATCTAATTGTTCTGATATTATTGTATAATATAGCTGCCGTCGAGGCTGCCGTATTGTTTGGTACAATTTATATTCATGATATCAGTTTCTCGTATTTTAAAAACATTTTGATCAAGCTTCATTATATAAAGATGCTGAAACAGGTTTCGTTAAATTCGTCAGACATGTTTGAGAAAGATAATGTCTGTCTTCATGAAGGGCAACCTATTTCTTTAATATACAGGATTTATCAAGCGTTCGTGACATAGATCATTTGGGTAAGACCTCAAATTATAAGTTATCAAATTTCACACAATTTCCTGTTCCAGACATTCCATTCATAACCAATACGCACAATTCTGAGCTGTGATTGGTTAATACATGAAACCATTGCGAGACCTTCGGTAACATTAGTAACACGGAATATCGACGAATACTTTATTTCATTGTAAATAATAAATATTAGTAATTTCAATATATTTTACTTCTTTATTTAATCACGTTTTAACTATGGATAAAAAATCTAATATGAGTAGTTCTGACGAAGACGACGAAGGATTGGATCCACGGATACAGGTATTTAAATGGGGTCTGTCTGAACGGATTTCAGTTGGCCTAGCACGGCTGGCACAGACAAAGGTCACATACATAGTCTATATATTTTTGTCGTATGCAAGTTTGTATTGCGTATTTAAAAGCGTTTGCCTTCTAAGCTATAAAGCTATTTCTATGATAACATTGGTATAATTACGTGGTATAAAAAACCCCAAGTTCTTTCAACTATTGACCAGTAGGCATGCAGTACCATCCCTCAACCCTCAAGGATCATGAAAGCATGAATATGATCAGATTATCTTGCACACTGGTGGAAATTTCCTTTATCAATCTTTGTGTATGGTATTAATTTTTTTCTAAGGGGCAACTGGACAGACTGAATGGTTTCTGTACAGGAGTTAATCATTTGGAGATGGAATTAAATGTGAGCATGGTGTGATAACTGATTACTGTATTGACCAAGCATGAGGTCTGGACTGTGATATATCAGACAGAGTTTTTTTGATATGGACCGAGCAACAAAGGACCGAGCAACAAAGGACCGAGCAACAAAGGAGCGAGGCCAAAAACCTCGGTCTGATATTAACAGTACACCGAACAAGCGAGGTCAATAATCAGTTTATGTATCACACATGGCTGCACTGCATGAGACATCCGGGATACGCAGTCCAGATATGGGCTTTACAGACTGCTTCGTCCACTTGTCAACCAATCAGAATAGAAGCCATATAATTAGCCAATGCATATCACTCAAACATTAGCATGGTTATTATTTGTAGGCAAGGAGTAAGAGAAATTCAATGAAATATTACCCCTAAGGAATTAATATTCCAGTGCTTTGCCTATAACATTTTTTTTATCAACTTTCATTATCCGTAACTACAATTGTAGTTATTTAAATGTGTGTTCTAATTACTAACTTTGTACCAAACATAGGAAGCTCAACAACTTTACAGACAAGTATTTTCATCAGCTAGTGAGCAATTGAAGCATAAACATAAAAAACTGGGAAAGTGTGTGGACCGAGCAAGACCATTCTATCTTGCAAATCGAGATGCTCGACAGGTTAGTCCCGACAACAATATGAATATTTTAAAAGTTCTTTGAAAGTTTGCATGGTGATATATAATTTTGGACATTTGTTTGTGCAAATACCACATGAATTTAGTTTTGCAGAGCTTTCTTTCAATTCTTTGATCATTATTTAAAGGCATTTAAACAGCAACAGGAAGCAGCAGGTAATTTTGAAAGAGCAAATGAAAAATACAATTCAGCCAAAGGAAAAGTGGCTGACTTGGAGAGAATTATGATGAATAAGAGTCGCGCTTTTGATGGTGCCTTGCAGGAGCTACTTAATCATGCTACTGTGGAGGTGGGTATCAGAGACAGAGAGTGCTGCTATTGGTTAGCTTAGAGGGTTAGAGTTATTTTATAAGGTTGTAGGGGTTAGTTGCTTCAATTTCGAGCAAACTTTGCTCCATAAAATATGCTTATATTATCATCTTTTTTATTAGGTTATGGAAGCTGCCAAATTAAAACGTCAAAGTAGTGATTCACACCAGCAAGCATCATTAACCTTCCAAGCAGCTCAAAAGAAAGTAAAGGAGTTGAACAAAAATTTAAAGGGGGCTATATTGAAGTCAAGGTAGGAATTTGGAATTTAAAAGTTTAAAAATTATAGCAATACCAGGTACTGTAAGGGCTAATTTTCTGCATCTCTGTGGTTATGTCAAAATACATGTATAACATCAATTGTATTTGGTTTTTTGTAGGGGGTATTTCGAACTGACTGCAGCTTTAAATAGACAGTTAGATGTAAGTTTTAATATCCTGTTGTATTTAGATATTTCTATAGACCCTCTCAGCATGGTGTTTTTATCCAGTGCAGTTTTCTTCTTCAGTAATGTTCTTGTTTAGTGCGCGTTCTACTTCAGTGCAATGTTCTGCTTTAGTACAGTGTTCTTCCCCAGTGCAATGTTCTTCAGTGCAGATGGACGCTGTACTGGAGAAGATCTCTCAAATGCAGTAACCCTCTCCACTGCAGTGTTCTTCTCCACTGCAGACTCTTTCTTCTTCAGTACAGTGTTTTCCTTCAGTGCAGTGTTCTTCTCCACTGTAGTGTTCTTCTTCAGTGCAGACTGGCGAGTCCACTCTATTCCTTCCAGTACGTATATAACCCTATTCCTTTTTTATCCTTTTATACTGTATCTCTCAGCAATACAAGCAAAGAATTTTCTCTGTGGAAAATGGCCTACGCATGGCAAAACAGGAATATGCCGCTGCTCTCCATGCACTTGAACAGATTAGTGACGATATTCATCAGCGGAGGAAGCAAAATAAACTAAACGAGGCTTTGGCGTCAATGCCCCGGGAGGAAGGTGTCGGGGCCGAATCAGATGACGAGAAGAAACAGGTCGAAACGGAAAATCGTTACCATGGCGACCTCCTATTAGGCGAAACCGTGGATGGGTTGGACAGGGATGGAAAATCAGACTTTCTTTCAAAACGCATTCTTAGTGATGGTGACGAAGAAATTGATTCTGATAATGACGATGCCACAGATAGAATTAACGCCAGGGGGGAGAGGCCCTCTGTCACCGGCAGCGAGGGAAATAGTAGAGAAGATGGAGTTTTCTCAGATATTGACCTATCTTGATATCGATTATGTTCTCAGTTGGAAGACAAAGAAGCTCACGCGTATAGACTATAGTAGCTGATATCATATTTCATCGATGTTTGAAAAACAGAAAACGCAAAGCATCGCTTTAAAATGAATAATTAGGGTTTTTAGTTCATACTCAGTCATACCAGAATATTAGCACTGAGAATTTGGTAGTGACACCTTGCAATAGAATCGTACAATTTTCATGTATGCCAATGCGGCTTTGTAACCGCGACGAGCATTCAAAGTGATATTGCGAGTAGTTTTGCTATTTCTAATAATTCTTCGACCTTAATTTGACATCAGAGTTCTATTGTGACATTATTTTGTAACTTATTTTTAAGTTATTTGTATATAATTATATTATATTAGTTGTAAACGACGCCTCACGGCTAATAAATATTTTGAAACGCCTGCAATGAACCCCATCATATATAAGCACACTGATTGTTGGGGTGCAACAATAGATTTATCTTTTTAAAAGACTGCGATATTAGAACTATTAATATTTTCGTCATTCAAATCATCTCGTATACTCTCAGTGATTTAACAGAGACATTTAAGTAATCATATTGTACATATAAATTTGTAAATTATATATATGATTATTATTTTTATATATATTCATGGATATATCCAAATAAAATATTCAAACCTTAAAGGAAGTAGCTTGTTTGGAAATAAAATTAAATATATATTTCCGCGTGGAGTGAATATTTTTCAAGAGCTCATGAAGTTAGTAATCTAAAGGCCATGTTACACGGTGCAATTTTTCTTGCAACTTGCAATGCAATTAATCATTTACTCTTATATCGCTCTTATTCATATTGGATAAGCATATAAACAGGATGACAACGTGAATTACTGCGATAATTTCTTCTTTACGCCTTCATATTATATAGCTATATATACATACACTAAACAAAGCATGCATGTTGCCAATGCAACATGCAGATGCAACAAACTAGAAAAAAAACAAGGTGTTCAGTGTATGAAGAATTAAGACACACAGCTTTCACAACATGGTGCCGTGTTAATTAAAGTCGTCAATAAAAGCACTTCGATATTTCCAGGATATTTGATATAAATTGCAGCAAAAACGTGAAGTTCAAGTAAAAAAAAAAAAACAGTGAACACCACCACCTTCGTAAGAAGCATTGTCATTGCATGGCCTTGCCCGGCATAATCATTATAATAATCTTTTAAGGTAACCATTAAAAAATAAGTACGTGTATATTATTATAAATTAACTACCTTATCATGTCCTTATGCTAAAAGTACCGCAAAAATGGTGGATATTCGTCACATTGAGAAACGCTAAGATAATCTGACAACAGTTATACACGTGAAACGTAGACATATTTTGAATTATTTTCAGCAAACCGCTGAGTGAAATAGCAACGACAATTTTAGCAGGAATTAGGCATCTGATAAAAGCTAAATGAAAAAGTCCCGTTTACAGGTTTTTTCAAGATTTAACATTTCAACATGATGTGATAAAATGAACAGTTCGTATTTTGAATTGTAAATCTTTTTTAATTTTTACCGCAGGCTTTTTATAACCATGCATTCGTCGACATCGTAATCCATCATTGACTTTGAGTATATCATCGGCTTTCGTTAGCGTTTGAAAGTTAAAATACATTCACTCGGCATGCGAAAATAGTGATTCATCAGGCAAGTCTATCTATTTATCTATTATTAGTGTACTAAGCCGTTTTCCCTTGGCCTTGGCCTTAGCCTTGGCAAACCTATACCATTAATTATGGTTATATAACCATTAATCAATATACTTATATAATACAAAACGCGATTAACCAATGAAACACATAATAATATTGAGAGCTATTTAAAACTTACAGTTACATAACTAATGATGTTGGTTACGACTAAAACCAATAGATATTGTCATGCAAGGAAATTTTAAGAGAGACGATGGCGTATCCGGAAACTATATATCCATGCTTTGTCCACGCATAACCATTCGGGTAACTAAGATACTGTCCACGTATCCAGATAGCGATGGAGGTCAACCCAAAAAGGCGAAAACGATTTTAAAAGGATTTTTCTTTGATTCTTTCGTCCTAATGATCTAAAAACGCTTGGATGTCAATTTTATTGACTCAGTATATATAATCAAAAAAGGCGTGGATGCATGCAATTATATAACTAAGTCGTTGAATGACGTGTTTTTAAATTTATTCAACTTTAGAGGGCGGCCGCCAATTTCGGCAGGTAGCGTTATGTAATAATTACTCAGTCTAGACATTTATGCATGCATGCTTTGTCAAGGTAGACCATAATGTGTGTAAACTTTTTCATACACCATATACTAAGAAAACTGCACCAATTTGTCCAAAGTTTGCCTGGATTTCGACTCCTTTGCAGTACTTTCTATAAAATGATTTTTTTGACATTCTTTAATGACATTTCATGGAAATCCTCCGACCCAGCGTGCTGAATTTTTAATTCTAAATATATTGAATCGATCAGTTACGAATATATGTATAGTAATAGTATATGGCCGATTTACTACCAAAATAGCCTACAAGTCTTTATATATTATACGAAATAAACGATGCTAAACCTAGCCATAGCATGCATGACCTTTTAATTAAATACGTGCACATGCACCGTCCAAGCACTAATCATTGTAGCTTCATAGTAAATTCAAACTTCTTTTATTCGTAATTTTGGAATATCTGCGAACAATCACAATTAATACAATCAGTCATCACCATTTTAACCAAACCTTTCTTATTATATGACCGACTTCTTAAATTTCTTTCTTATTTATAGCGGTATGAACAAGTTTAATATCTTAAATCACGTATCTCTATTGACAAAGAGCATTGTCTTATTTGGTTAATGTCTGGGGAGGCGGTTTTGTTTATAAAATGCACGATATTCGTTGAGTTTACTGCGGAAATGCGCGCGAGGGAGCGGTAAAACCGCCCTCTAGCCGGATCAAATTCTCGGTCGATGTACCACCCTAAACACTGGCTATAAAAGCTCGGTTTTCTGAAACAGAAAGGCACAGTGAATTCAAAGATCCTGAAGAGAAGATAAACGACAGCTCCACAAAGAAAAACTGAAAAGATATTTCACAGAGACTCAAAATGGGAATCATAAATTTGATTCCCTTTGTTGTGTTTTTGGCATTTATTTCTCCATCGCAATCCGCGCAATTATCTCAGCAATGTATCATCAGTCAGATTGCAAAGAGAAACGACATTATATATAAATTCAAGACGTCTGAAAAAGCATCTATTTTCAGCCTGATAGTTACAGATACACGATATCGTGACACCTTCGCTATTGGTGACCCTACCAGGGGAACAATAAGACTGAGAAAGTCTCTTCTGGGCATTCGTTCTTGGAGAAGCGACAATACATGCAGAATTGGGATACGTTTAACACAGAGGAACCAGAAATACGGTTTTGTTATCAACACCGTTAACATCGAGTTTATCGTCCTGAGAAGGGGATTCGCTGATCGTCTGCTTTCAAAAATCATTGCTAATGTCAAATATATGGCGAAACCAAGCAATCCATTTCGACCAACATCAAGTAGATTTCCGTGGCCCCAAAAATTCCACCGAATTTTGATGCAAGGAACACCAAGATCAAAACAAACCTCGCTGGCTGAATGCAAATTCCAAGAAGCTTTCGCTCGACTTGTGAGGTTAATTCGTTTTAAATTTGGAGGTAGGACTGCATATATCAGTTCATTTTCAGACGATAAAAACGTTTTGATAAGATACACAAGCTTTTGAAGACATACTACAGCCTCTTTTATTTCATGTAAATAAGTTGGTCGTGCTAGGCTTAACTAAAATAGTGAACAACAAAGATGAAATGCTAAACTAATTTGGCTTAACAAAAATAAAGTCACGTTGGAATAAATAAGCTAAAGATACTGGTACTGGTCATCGCGTAATGAAATCACTTGCCTGTCAATTGTTTAACTTTGGCTGACGTAGCAAATAGTAATTAACACACTTTTCTTCACTTTTAGTCAATATCGGTGACATTCATATTGGACCTCAAGGCATTCTATCTCCTGAAAAGCTGGAAGAGTTGATTGAAGCAACAGGTTGCATACCTGAAAATGAAAGGCCCAGATGTTCTCGAGAAACATTACGTTATCGTACCATTGATGGCACTTGCAATAACCTACGACGGCCAACTGTGGGCTCAGCTCCAACTGGTTTTGACAGGTTTTTACCAGCAATATATTATGACGCAGAAGGCCTGAACGAACCACCCAGTAATCAACCAAACGCACCAGACTTACCAAACCCTTCAACCGTTACCGAGCTTTTCATAATAATTCAATCAAAAAATCAATTAAACAGAGATCGCATTTCACATTTGTTTATGCAGTTTGGACAATTTCTTGACCACGATATGACATTGGCACCGGAGAGTGAAAATGGTGATGTGTGTGAAGAAATTCCGTAAGTAAAATAGTCCATTGTCCAATATATTAAATATCTTGTATGTTTACAACAACCTTTGCTTTTTCTTTTTACTAGATGCAATGGTAGCCCCGCAGATTTCAAGGACCCATGTTTCGCTATTCTCCCTGCTTCTGGCAGACCCTGTATTAGATTAATTAGATCAGCTGCAAGATGTCCAATCAATGGCTTCAAACTATTACCAAGAGAACAAATCAATGTAAACACAGCGTATTTGGACGCTTCCATGGTTTATGGTTCCTCTGAATCAGTAGCAAATGCTGTGCGAGATCTTACCAGTACGTGGGTATAAATAAGCGAATATATTTTAACTACCAAAATGACTGTTGTGAAAGCATGTTATGTATATAAAGCATGTAAGAAAAAATTTGGCTGCAAACTCAGCTTTTCTCGTCGATAGGGACCATCCATGCACCTTTCAACGTCATATATAGTGTTAGGGCAAATACCTTGACACTGTGTCCCCTCCTCTGGCTCCCCACAAATAAAAAAATGAGTCAGTGTTGCCCCTAAGCCAAAGTCCTATTAAGCCCTAAGAACGAGGTTAGGACGTTTTGGCGTGGCACATATCCACTTTCCCCAATGCAATCCAAAAGTTTTTACATAACAACTGATTGAATAAGGCTTTCATGTTATTCCCAAATGAAACCCTGTTTTTAAATGCACATGCAGTAAGATAATTAAACTTGAAGTGTTCTTTACCCCTGCAGATGATCTAGGATTACTAAAAACGTCTGGTGCAAATCTTTTACCGATTGATAACAGCCTGTTGGGTGAACCACTATCCTTGTGTCGAAATCTTGGTTCCTGTTTTTTGGCGGGAGACGTTCGAGTAAACGAACAAGCTGCGTTGGCGGCAATGCATACACTCTGGGTTCGTGAACACAATGACATCGCGACAAGGCTAAGAAGACTTAACCCGCATTGGAATGGTGAAAGAATCTATCAAGAAACAAGAAAGATCCTTGGTGCATTAGTTCAACAAATCACGTACGAGGAATGGCTTCCAATATTGATTGGTCGAAATGCCTTGTCTCGCTACGAGGGTTACAGAACTGACGTGAATGCTGGGATAACTAATGCATTTGCAACAGCCGCGTTCCGTTTAGGTCACAGCTTGGTCAGACCGAAGTTTGAATTTCTTCAAAGAAATTTTAAACCTTTTCCCTTCTCTCCTATTCCTCTGAGGGATGTATTCTTTAACAACATACGAACGCAGAGATATGGTATCGATGGTTGGATTATAGGCATGATTGGAAACGTCTCACAAGAAATGGACAATGAAATGGCAATAGGTCTTACAAATGAACTTTTTCAACGTGATAACAGAGAAGGTCTCAACCTAGCAGCATTGAACATGCAACGTGCTCGTGAACATGGTTTACCGTTCTATAGCGATTTTCTGGCTGAATGTGGAAGACGTCTCCCAGAACTGTACCCTGTTGATGTCAGAGATGTACGAAGCTTTGATCAAATCGGTGATTTATTCCAACCAGAGGTGTTAGCTAGCATTAAAAAGGTTTACAGAAATAAACCTCAGGCCACTGATCTCTTTACTGCTGGAATCAGCGAACTGCCAACAAGTCGAGAAGCAATTCTCGGACCAACCTTCACTTGTCTGTTAATTGACCAGTTTAAACGTCTTCGAGATGGAGATAGATTCTTCTACCGTAATAGAGGAGTATTTACCCCAAATCAACTCAGAAGTATCGAGAAAAGGAGCCTTTCTGATATAATTTGCAATAACATAAATGTTGTTTCTGTTCCTGAAAAGTCCTTCAATTTTAAACCTGATCCTCGTCAATATAAAAGCTGTCAAAACTTGGATAGACGTATGGACCTGAGCCCCTGGAAAGGTAAGATATATTTACTACATCTATATCTTTTCTCAACTACTTAATGTAAGAAAACGGTTAGAATTTACCTTCAAAGTGACATCAGGACCGTAGTTCAGAGCTTAATTTGGGGGTGTATGGCATATAACCGTCTTATGACTGACTGATTTCTTTTGTACGCTATTCTTTTTTTATGATATGTAAACATGAATGTATGGATCTATACACCCCCCTCCAATTAAGCTTTTCACCTTTACCGTCGCTATAAATTAACGTTTAATTTATTTTCTCCAAATTTTCCCCCAATATAATCCCTGCATGAAAAGATAATTTCAGTGGTTGTATGTTGCAATAGGTGGAATACAATGATTCAATATTGACTGTCAGAAATGACTGAAGAATGAAAATCACATGTACTGGAAATCCCCCCTCCCTGTTAAAACCTAGTAAAAGTTGCGTGCGTCTTGTTTTACAATAAAAATTTAATAACAAAAAATTTCTCAATTCTTTTGCAGAGTTCTAGTTGTTCCACTGTTCACACTCACGTCGAGAAGATTTACTGAATTTACTTACTGAATTTACATTTATACGACAAGTCATATATAACTAATTTGGAACTTAAAAGTAAAAATACAGATATAGTTAGTATATTGCAAGTGCTGCATGTCAAAACGTCGAGACCCGAGATTGCATGATGATAGATATGCATGAATATATTTTGCAATTTGTTATTTTGTTTTTTTTTTCAGTAATAAAATTGTTTTTGTTGAAAGTCATGGTCAGCTTATAATATATATGTTGCAATATACTAATTGTGTTATAAGTGTAGTGTAAAAGTTCCCTGGTACAGGTGCATGGTATGGTATACATTATATTTTATGCCTATGATTTCCTTCAATTCTATATGCTGTGATAGTTAATTGATTTTTGTCCAAATAGAGTAAAGAATTATAGTTGAAAAAATCATCACAGTTGTATCAGAGTGAGCAGGTTATCGCCATACAGCTTGGGGCTCGGCACTTTAGTTACTACCTTGGCTTTCACCCTTTCCCGTGCCTTTCCAACGTTTCTCTTTCTTTTAATGGGAATAAAGAATTCAACTATAAACAATAAGTGAATCGTTGCACTGATGAAGGCCCGGGTTAACGGTCCCAAAGCTTTGCAATATTAGTATACTTATGTGGTGTGTAGCTACAAGCTAATTCACTTACTGATGTCACCATGCAAACATACAAGAATGTTAAACTATAAACAGTTCAAAAAAAGTCGAATTAGTGTTAAGGGATAGGAGATAGTCGCTGCTTCCTGCTTCCATGCAGGTTTCAAAAAGTAAAAAGTAAAACGAAGAACTTGCCAACCATGCAGCATCAGTGGTCTGGATTAAATGCCGTCTCTCAGTCTCTCTCATTATATTATTGCTTAAATTAGATAAAATTGCAATCACGAAACTAAAACTCCTAGGTTTCAGTCCATGTAAGGGTGTAGCCTAGCCTAGTGTAGTGGGTTATCACCTTTCTATTAAGTATAGTTCTGTATCATTAGAGACCTTTACGGCAAACGCCAAACCGCTAACAAAGTTTGTGTTTTAACTCCACTATCTTTAAGTGTGCGGCAATTTCGACTGAGGGTGTATATACAGTCGTTCAAACATTAAATTTACATCAGAAATAGCCGATTGCTTTCTTAATTTAGCGAAATTGCCGCACACGGCACACTTAAAGATAGTGGAGTTAAAACACAAACGTTTGCCGTCAACGTCAAACTAAAGGTCTCTATTATCGTCCTATTTAAGAACATGGCGACACCCGCTATTTTATTCCGACAAAAGGTGTATCAAATTATCAAATTAATATTCACATTGTTATTAATCACAAAAGCACAACATTACTTCTAATTGAGCAGCTCACAAAGTGCATATTTTTTAATGTTAAGTGGTTGCCTTTTTTGACACACCCTGTGTGTGTAAAAAAGTAACCTCTATTCAAATAAATCTTGTGATAAAATTTGAATGCCCTATATTATGCTAAACAAACGGATGTGTAAAATTGAAAAGGGGAATTTGACTGCCTTAACCTAATTACCATATGCTAGCCTTTCAGTATACAACTGTCCCCAGTGCGTTATAAAAAGCTTCGTTTAAATAGGGGGTACCCTTTTTTATATCCTGTGATCTTACTTGAATATATTTTCCCATATTTTGCAGTTTTGAATAAAATTTTATTTGCGTTTTTATTTTTGTAATTTGAATTCTAATGTTCGACGTCTGAAACATTTTCAAAATTTTGCTTCTGCCTGTGAATGAAAAAAATTGATACATGCTCGTCATGATTCGGAGGCGAAATCTATTGAATGTTGTCAGTAAATTTTCCTAGGCAGTGAATGAAATCCGTATCTAGGGAAATCGGGGGAAATTTTACCTACGTGTTATATTATAGGTTGTCTGCACAACCCAACGCAAATTCAATATGTAGCCGATTATTCAGCGAGGAACAAACATACAGTAGTTATTATTTTTTCCTACTTGTAACCAATATCATGATTGCAGTCCAGTATATTCTTTATTTATCATGGGTGTGCGTGCATAATAATGATGGGCGAGTTCCAGCCTCTTGCAGAGAAAAACGTAAAACTTATATAACCATACGGTACCTTGAGGCTTGACATAAAATTCATAACAATTCGGTATAGTATAGAAATTTCGGGCGAGAACCACATCTGTCAGAATTTATTTTGACACTGCAGGGTTCTCGAGGCAATGAGAGATTTCATTGACGCGCGCAGGATTTGAACTCTATATTACTATATAGGTACACGAGGATTCGAGTACTCTTTCCGTAAACATGCATATAAAAATATTATCTGATACCCTTGCTCTATATCTTAGGGCTCTGGAATTGAGTTTGTTTCCACAAAAATAAAAATAGACGAAATTTGTGTAATTTTTAAAACTGCGGCCTTCGCATTCTTATATAAGATTGTCAGGCTGATCTTTCTCAGAAGCAAAATAACCTTTCTCAGTTCTATAATTAATTCAATAGATTTGTAAATTGAAATAACGAAATATATTAATTTATATATACATCTTCGCACAAGCAAGATAGATTATAGATATATAGATGCATGCAATACTTGCGAAAATAATTTATTCCCTCATTCCCGGCAGACAATTAAATTGATCCGGCATAATGCAAATGTCGGACAAAGAGAATTTTTGTTGGCGTGGCGTCAATGCACTGTATGTGAACAAAGATAGCTATTTTTATACTGTTTATTTACGAATGAACTGATCAGTTTGTCTGTATACAAATGAGATTTCGGTGACTTGGATACGACGAAGGTTTATCCGGTAATGATTGGAAGCGTGTAATGCATATATTATTAGCTAAATGTTTCCCCATTTTCAAAAACAAATTGATCGGCATATGTCGACACGGGCGAAAAGGATTTAAGAAGAGTTTCCCATTGATAACTTCTTGATCGATAGAGCCCATAGTTTAACAAACTGGCCATATCGTCCTTACTGACCCCAAAAATCTGACCCGTGGACGTCAATTATTATTTTAATAACCGTTTATTACCGTCAAATATCCTGAAGGGCGGTCGGCGCATTCACGGGTGGGTTCGACGGCAGACACCGTTATGTAACATTGCAGGCAACACACAACAGGCCGAACATGATCCGCCAACGCAACGCGATTCAGTTTACAAATTTTTGAGTTTTCAAAAGCAACTGATATAAGTTTGATCATGTCATGATATTCTTGATATAAAATTACTGAGGAATAGCACATTTTGACATGTCTGCCGCCCTTTTAAAATTTTCTTCCAGAATTCAATTTATTTACTTCAAAAAACGGGGCTGAATTCGCATCGCGTTGGCGAATGGAGTCCAGTGTGTGCGGAGATTTTCCCGGCGGATATCGTGTGGAAGGGGCGGACCCTATACGGAACTGTTACAGTTTCAATATTTTTATCTCTCACTTCTTCATTGGTCACTAGGATCATTGTACATATTTGGCTATATGTATTTTTGTTATCTAAATAAGTTCGCGCGTGTGGTCCAATATGAAATTGTGCAATACATGCCAAGGAAGCGTGGTAACGTGGAAGCGTTTTTCACCAAATGTGCACCTCCTTAAATGGACAAAAAACTCGTCAACGTTTCGATCTCTATGGGCCTTCATCAGGAGAGTTTGTATGATAATTCAGTATCATAACTAACGTACTTATATTTCAGTTTATTCAGCATACATATAACATGCAATTGTACGGATTCACAATCACATGCATATAACAATTACGGATTTACAATGTCGCGTAGTATCTATATACCGGTAGTATTTCTATATAATGAATGATGTTTTCCAGTGACACAGTTTAAACAATTGCTCAAAATAATACTTGCTATATAGGATAGTGTTTATAGACATTGCATGAAATATTGAACAGCGCGGCCAAGCCATGCATATGCTTGCAGTGTGGATAGAATATCATGTCTCATAAAATGATTAACAATTAATAAATATAGCCGGAAATTAAAGAACTGTTAATTTATGTTCAACCTATATGAAATACTCATGATCTTGCACGCTAAATCTATACCGACACCAGGCAAGCTACAAAATGAGGATGTTCTAATTTTCAGATATATCCAAATTTCATATTTTAATTATGTTTTTCGTTCAGTATGAATCAGTTCGAATACCACCTTCGTTTTACACTGACTACAGATACAGATCTGGAGCATTGTCTTGTTGTTTGGTTTAATGTTTGGGGAAGCGTTTTTGTCTCTAAAGCTGCTGCACTATATTCGTCGAATTTACTACGGAAGCGGGAGAGGGCGGAATATCATTCACCCTTCAGTTTTACAACTCCAAGGCGGATCAAAGTTCACAGCCGATGAACCACCCTAAACTCTGGCTATAAAAGCTGGGTTTTCTGAAACAGAAAGGCACAGTGAATTGATCACAAAGATCCTGAAGAGAAGATAAACGACAGCTCCACAAAGAAAAACTGAAAAGATATTTCACAGAGACTCAAAATGGGAATCATAAATTTGATTCCCTTTGTTGTGTTTTTGGCATTTATTTCTCCATCGCAATCCGCGCAATTATCTCAGCAATGTATCATCAGTCAGATTGCAAAGAGAAACGACATCATATATAAATTCAAGACGTCTGAAAAAGCATCTATTTTCAGCCTGATAGTTACAGATACACGATATCGTGACACCTTCGCTATTGGTGACCCTACCAGGGGAACAATAAGACTGAGAAAGTCTCTTCTGGGCATTCGTTCTTGGAGAAGCGACAATACATGCAGAATTGGGATACGTTTAACACAGAGAAACCAGAAATACGGTTTTGTTATCAACACCGTTAACATCGAGTTTATCGTCCTGAGAAGGGGATTCGCTGATCATCTGCTTTCAAAAATCATTGCTAATGTCCGAAATATGGCGAAACCAAGCAATCCATTTCGACCAACATCAAGTAGATTTCCGTGGCCCCAAAAATTCCACCGAATTTTGATGCAAGGAACACCAAGATCAAAACAAACCTCGCTGGCTGAATGCAAATTCCAAGAAGCTTTCGCTCGACTTGTGAGGTTAATTATCAGAGAACTTAGAGGTAGGACTGCATATATCAGTTCATTTTCAGACGATAAAAACGTTTTGATAAGATACACAAGCTTTTGAAGACATACTACAGCCTCTTTTATTTCCTGTAAATAAGTTAGTCGTGCTAGGCTTAACTAAAATAGTGAACAACAAAGATGAAATGCTAAACTAATTTCGCTTAACAAAAATAAAGTCACGTTGGAATAAATAAGCTAAAGAAATGAATATTACTCTCAACAGGCGACTTTAGATACTGGTCATCTCGTAGTGAAATCACTTGTCTGTCAATTGTTTAATTTTGGCTGACGTAGCAAATAGTAATTAACACACTTTATCTTCACTTTAAGTAAATATCGGTGTCAGTGACATTCATATTGGACCTCAAGGCATTCTATCTCCTGAGAAGCTGGAAGAGTTGATTGAAGAAACAGGTTGCATACCTGAAAATGAAAGGCCCAAATGTCCTCGAGAAACATTACGTTATCGTACCATTGATGGCACTTGCAATAACCTACGACGGCCAACTGTGGGCTCAGCTCCAACTGGTTTTAACAGGTTTTTACCAGCAATATATTATGACGCAGAAGGCCTGAACGAACCACCCAGTAATCAACCAAACGCACCAGACTTACCAAACCCTTCAACCGTTACCGAGCTTTTCATAATAATTCAATCAAAAAATCAATTAAACAGAGACGGTATTTCACATATGTTTATGCAATTTGGACAATTTCTTGACCACGATATGACATTGGCACCGGAGAGTGAAAATGGCGATGTGTGTGAACATATTCCGTAAGTAAAATAGTCCATTGTCCAATACATTAAATATCTTGTATGTTTACAACAACCTCTGCTTTTTCTTTTTACTAGATGCAATGGTAGCCCCGTAGATTTCAAAGACCCATGTTTCGCTATTCTCCCTGCTTCTGGCAGACCCTGTATTAGATTAATTAGATCAGCTGCAAGATGTCCAATCAATGGCTTCAAACTATTACCAAGAGAACAAATCAATGTAAATACAGCGTATTTGGACGCTTCCATGGTTTACGGTTCCTCTGAATCAGTAGCAAATGCTGTGCGAGATCTTACCAGTACGTGGGTATAAATAAGCGAATATATTTTAATTACCAAGATAACTTTAAGCTGTTAATTTTCTCAAGTGCATGCGGTCTCATGTTCCGCGATTTTCGTCCCGCCGCGCACCTGCATCAATGAACGATTATCCACTTTTCATGTTTCATGTTTTAGCGTCCCCATGGTTTCCGGTTTTAAATGCACATGCAGTAAGATTGAACTCAAAATTTTCTTTACCCCTGCAGATGATTTAGGATTACTACGAACGTCTGGTGCAAATCTTTTACCGATTGATAACAGCCAGTTGGGTGAACCACTATCCTTGTGTCAAAATCTGGGTTCCTGTTTTTTGGCGGGAGACGTTCGAGTAAACGAACAAGCTGCGTTGGCGGCAATGCATACACTCTGGGTTCGTGAACACAATGACATCGCGACAAGGCTAAGAAGTATTAACCCGCATTGGAATGGTGAAAGAATCTATCAAGAAACAAGAAAGATCCTTGGTGCATTAGTTCAACAAATCACGTACGAGGAATGGCTTCCAATATTGATTGGTCGAAATGCCTTGTCTCCCTACAGGGATTTCAGAACTGGGGTGAATGCTGGGATAACCAATGCATTTGCAACAGCCGCGTTCCGCTTAGGTCACAGCTTGGTCAGACCGAAGTTTGAATTTCTTAAAAGCAATTTTCAACCATTTCCCTTCTCTCCTATTCCTCTGAGGCATGTATTCTTTAACAACATACAGACACAGATAAATGGTATCGATGGTTGGATTATAGGCCTGATTGGAAACGTCTCACAAGAAATGGACAATGAAATGGCAATAGGTCTTACAAATGAACTTTTTCAACGTGATAACAGAGAAGGTCTCAACCTAGCAGCATTGAACATGCAACGTGCTCGTGAACATGGTTTACCATTCTATAGCGATTTTCTGGCTGAATGTGGAAGACGTTTCCCAAAACTGTACCCTGTTGATGTCAGAGATGTACGAAGCTTTGATCAAATCGATGATTTATTCCGACCAGAGGTGTTAGCTAGCATTAAAAAGGTTTACAGAAATAAACCTCAGATCACTGATCTCTTTACTGCCGGAATCAGCGAAAAGCCAACAAGTCGAGAAGCAATTCTCGGACCAACCTTCACTTGTCTGTTAATTGACCAGTTTGAACGTCTTCGAGATGGAGATAGATTCTTCTACCGCAATAAAGGAGTATTTACCCCAAATCAACTGAGAAGTATCGAGAAAAGGAGCCTTTCTGATATCATTTGCAATAACATAAATGTTGTTTCTGTTCCTAAAAAAGCCTTTTTTGCTTATCAATATGAAAGCTGTCGAAACTCGGATAGACGTATGGACCTGAGCCCCTGGAAAGGTAAGTTTTAAGAATACATCTTTAGAAGCAGATGACCAGGTATAACTATACTAACGAAGTCGAAGAGTTGGAATTTAGAGTAAAGGTGCATTAAACAGCGCACAAGTCACAACATCTGTTGTTTATATGCTAACATTTCATTCATTTTTCATAGAAACCACATCTTGTAACAACTTTCGGTGTCGCAATGGCGGGCGATGTCGTTTGAACCGGGCAGGGCAAGCTTGTTGCGTATGTCGACGGAGATTTTATGGCAAATTCTGCGAATTCAGTAAGTTTAGTTAGTACATAGTGTTCACTCGAACATAAATATAATTTTCCATAATATACACGCGATTCGCAAACGTATTGGCCTAATGTTTAGAGAATGGAAATCACTCACACAACCACACAAGTGTTTGCACGCATGCGCTTACTATTCAATCCGCCGCCCCCCCCTTACAACCTATGCAAAGCTACATATTTTTGTTAATAACACTGGGAGTAAACAAAATTAAAATTACTCACAAACGGTATCTTTTCATTGTAGGATATTAGTTGTTCATATGAAAATCGAGGAAATTTGACCGGAATTTTATTAGCATTAAAGATTTATAAAATTAAGCTGGAACTTAAATATATATATATATATATATATATATATATATATATATATATATATATATATACATATATATAAACAAACAGAGCAATAAATGAACAAATTACGATGTTAAATTTTTTATTTCCCGAAGATATATATTGTAATATTTTGATGGTGCTTTCAATAAAAGTTGTTTTTGTCAAAGTCAGTCGTCTCGTTAATTGTGCCAACATACTAGAAACTATATTGGAATTTCGTACAAAAATTGAAAATTCTTTATTATGTTTTCCCGCTTTCCACTTTTCGTGCTTCGCCCACTGTTCGACTGTGAAGATCCGTGATGGACTAGTGCGCCTGCGCAAGGTGTAGTTACATCGGAAGGAAAATCTTACTTTGACTTGGATGATTTTCGTACAAAAATGTTTTTAGCCCACTATGAAAACCTTGCCCAACCATAGCTAACAAGTCATGACTGAATCTTAAGATGGTCTCACGTGTTGTAAAACTGTATTTCCCCACGAAAAATGTCTATTCTCGCGTTCCAGCCATAATTCACCTGCGACTGTGTACAGATAAAAAACTGAATATCATTTTTTCGATCTAAATTTATTGAACAATCCACCTCCAGTTTTCTTTTCAGTGTCCAGTTTCTTCTCTGAACGTGGACTCTGCCCATTTTCCATTTTTCTTGTTTGAGTGCGCGGACTGCCTCTGGGTTTTCTTGGATCTTTGTATCCAAGGGACGTAGCAAGTCTTTCCCAGAAAAACAATTGGTCATAGGAATCATCATATCTCAGATGATAAATTGGTTTTAAGATTTCCGGAATATTGCAATCCTGATAAACAATTGGAATTACCCGACGTTCAACAAAATCTAAAAAAAACATTAATGCGCATGCACATTAAGAAGTATCCATTATTGATTGCGTTCTATGTTAGTGTTCATCAACAAATCATAATCTTCGAGACAAGGAAAAACGTTATCAATCCGTTTGAGGGAGATGCTTAATCTTATATAAATTTCATGTATGCATTCGCTTGTAATGTTAGACTGTTAATGTGGTCGATTACATCATGTTTACGAGTCATCATTATCATCATCGAAAATAGATATGTATGAATAGCCTTCTGAAGTGCTTACGTCACACAGTTTTCTATCTATACAATTTTGTCCCACTTGTTTCCCAGATTGCATTGCGATTCATTGTTCGAGACCGACATGACGTAAGCACCTCAAAGGTCTATTGACTAACCATATTCCATTAATTATATTTCTCATTTCATTCGGCTATTTGGTTATTGTATATATGATAAAATATCAGTGAAAAAGTTGAGCATCGTATAATTATTCGCCATACAAAATCACTAAAATATTAGCTATAAAAAGTAGAGAACAATCGATTGTACAATGGCGAAATTTCTCACTGTGTATATCTAGTTTACCTGGTGATAAGTTTAATGCAATCTTCACTTGAAAACCAGCATTTGAAGAATTGTTAAAATTTGGTGACAGGACTGCAATTAAACGTTTGCATCGATGCTCGATAATTTTAGCTGTTTGTTGCAGTTTACAATGACCTGGTACATAGTCGCGATAATCAATACATATTTTACGATTGTACGGAGGAGCCTCCAATCTTTTTAGTATTTCATGAGCGAAACTTCTGTCTTCTTTTGCATAACAAATGAATCCATCAAAAATCTCATCGGAGACTAAAGTAAAGGGCAAGATTTTATTTATTTCAATTTTCAAAGTTTGCATAAGCTATATATAATGTAAAAACTAGCTATTTTTGCTGTTGTCCTGTATTCCATATTTGTGTCTTGTGTATAAATTTACTCATAGATAAATCCACCCAGTGAAATGCTTCAACTTCAATAAGTCGAATCCAAGTATTGTGCTTCTAACATTTTTCAAGCTCCAATTAATAGCTGCAGTATTGGTTTATCCATTACCTTACCAGTTAATCTTTCCAGATCTATTGGAAGTTTATTATCAGCAGGACTTTGACTGTAGTTTTCTAAAACTGTATTGGAATAGATATGCTTATTTAAGTATACATGCCCTGGGCCAGCAAATGTCAATTAAATGCTTAGTAAAATCTACCAAATGATGGACCATTAGTTTAGAGACAGGGAGTAGTTAATATAATCACACCTGAGCCCAATCTTCAAATTTAAGAGGTTAAAATATGTTTCTATTTTCAGGGCAATAAGGTTAAAGTTCTGCTAGTTAACCCCTGACCCCTAAAAGTATTTGCCCTTCATATCTATTATACTGGATGCATCCTGAGAACAATGATACTCAATTGAAGGCTATAAAACACAACTTCTAAAAGAGTTCTATATATCGAACAGATAGTGGTGAAAGCTATGGCCTTGACAGTAGTTTCCATTCAGTTACCTTGTCTTCTCTTTTGTTCAAATTCTGATGGAAAAGGTGTTGCCTCTGCAATGAGATAATTTTGAATTTATTGCAATCATAGCTTTATTGCATCAATTCATTAACCTTAACCTTAAATTTATCAAACCATTTGCCTTAAAATTGATCGACTTCAGTTTACTGACATGTTTGTTCCTAATTGGTTGATCAGTCACTGAGAAGAAAAACTATTGGTCAATTTGCACAGAGAGAAAATTGATTATTTTTTCAATGAATGTCCTGATCAAACCAGGTACTGAATTTATTATGCAATATTTTACCAACATTTCCATTGCAACAAGAGTAGGATGGGAGGCATAAAATTCTAAGATGGTTATCATTGCAAATAGAGTATACATGTATCTATACACATATCACATACTTATGAATGGTTCAAGATCTTCAATAGCATCAGGTCTTTTAATTTCTTCTAAAAATAATAGCAGCTTATCAATGGTTGCATCAGGGCGCCTCTCCCATTGACGGACTATAGATTCCACTGGGTCTATGTCGCATTTAAGATTCCATATTTCCTCAGTGCTAAATCCCATCAGACCAGCCAAATCTTCCCAGTTACTTCGAAGGCCGTCAGGTCTCAGTAACTTAGACAGAAGCTGGTGAGCTGCAATTTTCATATGTATGACCATCTTGCTCTGAGTTTTTTCACTGACAGGATTTTCTTCACTGACAGGATTTTCTTCACTGACAGGATTCTCTTCACTGACAGGATTTTCTTCACTGACAGGATTCTCTTCACTGGCAGGATTTTCTTTGTCAGCATTTCTTGTTGCCATTTTTAATCAACTTTTATGGTGTTGGTTTTACCTTGTTAAAATATAATTCATGTGGGGTATAAATATAGTTAATATAATGTTTCGAGAGCTCACATTTGGTAAGACTTTCAATTTAAAATATTTCAGCCAATAGAGAATATTTTTGTTTATAATTTTGTAGTGCATGAAAGAGCATGTTGTGTTGGTAACCAACGTTCACACCCTACCTACATGCATGCTGGATCACTTTAATACTCAAAAGGTGAAAAACAATGAAAAGCCTGCAATAAGGTTGTAATATTTTCATATTAATACAAGAGATTTCAATGTTCAACGGATAAATTCTTCCGTCGTAAACTCCCGACCACATGTTTTACTGTACATAACCAATCTGACACATTAAGCGCAATAAAACCTTATTTTCAATAGTCCTTAATATATCATAGAAAATCGTCCTCAAGAATAGGGCGCACTCAAAAGATTATCCAAGTTATTTATGATCAATAATCCGAAACTGTCATGTATTGTAGGTTATTATGCTCAATTTGAATATAGTCAAAGAAAATACTGCAGGATCTACGCTATACATGATATGAATAGAACGTTTAAATATAATTACCACATATATTTTTTGATATCTATTCAACCACTTTTATACAGGCGGACAGGCACGTCCAAAGCTACACGGCTTTCAAGGAACCTTCTGAAATTCAAAGCATCTACTACTTCCTTACTGAATACCTGTAACAATCAATGTCACTTCTGACTTCTGAGAAATTTCATTGAAAAACTATTACTTGGCAATAAAATGTAAATAACTATTTTTACAACCAAAGTTTCATTTTCGATATCAAAAATTAATATGACTGCCCCACAATTATGAATGATCTCTGGTGACTCAGCCATGCAGAGACTGGGGAGAGTATTCAGGAGTTAATTAAGGTGGTTTTTAGTCAATATAATTTTTTTTCGAACCATATCCGTTCCATATATGTTTAATAACAGTGTTTTTTGTATGTAAAAGAAAAATTTGGAAAGAAAAAAAAAATTTTGGAAAGAACCTAAAAACACCCAAAAGAGATCATCCAGCTCTATGCCACAATCTAACTGGTGATATTACAACCAGCTGCGATATACCAGCATAGATTACAACTACGAAAGGTGCAAGGACAGTTGCTATAGGAAGAACTCCCCCCCATAACTCACATCTTAACGGCCGTCTAAGGGGGAGATGCACTACGGCCCCCAGACCATGATGTATGTGCACCTAACCGTTACGTCTCAGTGAGAAACAGAGTGGGCTGTATGCCACACGCCTAGCGCGTCATAGACGAATCAGCTACAGTGGCAAGCCTTGAGAGCGATGATAAATTTAAGGTATTTAAGCTTTTCCTGGTCTCGAGGGGCGGTCCCTAACAAGTATATGCATAGAAAACGACTAATAAGACACACGCTTGGAAATGTCAAGATTTAAACGCCTAAACGTTTTTTAAGTGTTTTTAACGAGAAATTTTAGTGTTTTGATATTCTTTTAGTGTTTTGAGACAATCCTTGTTGGTTTTTAACGTCAAAATAGTCATCATTCTCGAAAACAAACTCAATATAAATGACTGAACGGCTTGAAAACTGAAAGGTCTGAAAAAGAAATATGAAGGTCTGAAAACACAATTTCCCGTAATGGATCTGAGCGTGAAAGATCAACAAATCATCAAGACTGTTATCCAGTTTATTGTAGCCTTGGGTATTTGTCCCAACCTTTTTGAAGGAGTAGGTGCAGCCTTTAAACAAAGAACTGGTTTTTGTGATGCTTTGTGTGTTGAGCAAGAGATCAAGTGTCCAAAATGTTTGTATAAGTGTGTAATGGTCTTGGTTAATTGTCTCGACGAGCTTTCATTAAGCGGAGAGATGTTGAAAAGCACTTAACAAAGCATGTTGTTAAGTTTGGCTATAACTCCGGGTTCAGCATATATTACCTGCGTGGTTTGATTCATTGTGGCGAGAACTGAGGGTAGGTTTGTCCACTTTCTCTACAAGTGCCGTCCGCCAAACTTCGAAGTTATGTATTTGAAATTAAATCAAAGTTGGATTTTATATGCAATCAATTGGGAATAACAATTGAATGTGCTCTTGAAATAGCCATAAACATGCCGTGTTTCTTGTTGTGGAATGAAAATTTAGCTACAGAAGAATTCAGGGTGTTTCATCGGGATTATAGTCTACCATTGGGATCTAACCTGGATTACCATACTGCACTGGTATACCGGCCAACAATGGTGAAGCCTTCGTTCAAACTATCTCATGGATCAGTATTAATGAATAAACCAAGTCCACAATTAGTGGAAAATCTTGAGTTGTTTTCAATGTCAGATATTTTATAATATGAATTTGAAAACTCGCAGGGAAAGCCAGGAGATTTATCCAGACTTTTGATTGACAGTTCTTCGAGCTGAAGGCACTAAGGAGAATGCAGAGTTGACTGTCTGAATGTCTTTGTCGCTGTTTTACTGCCGTAAGGTTGATGAGGATGCTGATCTAATAAAACAAATGTTTGATTTTTACGTGTCACTGAGCTTTACCATAGAGCTCAGTGACTACCAACACCTTCTTTCAATCCTTTATTTCTCCAGATAATTACTTTATTTCCTTAAATTTCCTTACTGGCAGGGTTCACTGGGGGGGCGGTAGTTTATTAATTAAGTATAGTTAGTGGCAGAATTGGCCAATTAGAATAATGTATTTTCCAGTTAACTACGATTTAACTACTTAAAATGTAGTTAAGAGTTTTGTACAACCGGGCCCCCGAGTATTAGCCCTCCCGTTTTAATATATAGAACTATGCTTTTTCTTTAAGAAACATGCTTCGTAAAAAAACATCTTGTAGACTCAAGAAATAAAGAAATAACTTAAATATAAAACAAGACAACAATTTATGGTAATATTTCTACTTCATTTCAAATTATTCTCAAAATGCACACAACCCTGTATTGATAAACAGATTCGTTGTCTTTTCTTTAAGTAAACCCGTAGTTTGAAAAACGCGTAAATCAACTCTGCCCGAAATTTTAACTGCAACCGATTACACAATGATATATATATCAACTTCACGATTTCATTGTTTGAAAATACTTTGATTCGACTTTTTCGGCCAACTCATATTCTCCGAACTCTTTCAAGGCCGAGACGAACTCCTCTCTTGTGCCTTGTCTTCTCTGATAATAATTTATCATCACAGTTGCTTGCATTGCGCTATCATGGTTGCTGTGATTAAGCCTAATAATGGTCGTTTCTTTATCATTGAATTTCCCAGTTGCTAGAGCAATCTTTTCCCACTTATCTGGGATTCTGCTACCAATCCGAACTGCTTCTTGCGGAGAAAAGCTAGTTGGTTTTGATTGAGAAAGTCTAATTTTATCTTTTGTTGGTTGTAGAAGCTTGACAGGGCCTGCAGTGATTGGTGCAAAAATTATTTTAGTAATTTCTTCCTTGATAAATTATTTGATTGTAAACTATAAATTATTTGGCTCACCACCACTGAGATGATCCAAAATAATATTTATGAACATCCCTTTATTCACTGCTTCACGACGCTCTGACGTCATCACACCACCTGACTTGTGCAAGGCGAGGACGTAACAATCTTCGTCACTGACAAAGAACACAGGTGACCCAGAAGAACCCGCTGTGGTATCTGCATCATAAAGAATGAACTTATCCTGGACTTCGCAGACTCTACCGACACTAAAACGTTTTGACCTTCCATGAGGATGCTGTGCAATTTGGACGTTTTTTATTTGATGTACGTCGCGTTCTGGGATACGGTGAAGTTGAAGAGGACAAATGCCCGGTAGTCTTGTGTACAATGAATAAATGCCTTCCGATTCTAGACCGACCAATGCATAATCGTAATTCTATAATGATGAAGAAATAAAGAATATGAAACAATACCCATGCATATAACTCTCTATAATTTTGCGGGGAACAAAGTTGTGGTGTTTGTAACCTACCTCACTCGTTCTGAAGAAAATATCAGGACACAAATTAACGTGTATTGGTTCACTTTGGCCATCATAATTGAATGTAGCTAATGTTTTTACTGCCATTCCTTCATTCTTTATCACATGATGATTGGTAAGAACTGCAATGATCGTTTCTTCACCAAGTCTCACTTGTACAAGGGATCCACTTCCTGTGCTATATATTTGACGTAAAAAGGTGAACCAAATCCAAATAATGATTATGTAGCAACAATAAGTTCAAGATCTGTATGGATAAAATAGACTTAGGCTATGATTAAGTACACGGAATACAGGATACCTTTCAATGGGGGCTTTGGCTATGTTTATGCTGTCAGATTTATCTGTTATTGTGAGTTTACAAACGGCGTTCATAGATCCAACCAATTTATTCCAGCACACTAAATCACCTCCACGTCCAGTTAAGATTTCATCTTTCTCTGCAGACATATCGTATCCTACTTGACGTAACACAAAAAATGCTTTCTGTTTTCCCCTTTATATTGCCATTGGAACAAGAAAGGGGAAATCCTTTGTTATACTTATATTGATGCCAAAAACAGCAGCGAGGGAAAGTCCCATCCCATGTACCGCTAAATGTAATTAGGGAGTTTTTTTACTATATATACTTCATTCTTCAGGTATTTACACTTACGTCTTCAATGGTCATAGCTTGCATTTATTGCATGCATTTAAAGATTCTATCATCTTTGGTGATTTTCGCCCAGAAACAAAGAATTTCAGCAGAGGGACGTTAATGCAGTCCGGCATGAACGTTCACTTCAGTTCTTGAATCTTAATCAGACTTTCTTTTAACAGTTATTATTTGAAAAAGAAACTGGTAAAAAGGTCACTATCGATATTGGGTATCCTACTCTTATTCGTCAAATTGTGTAGTTTTAAAAAATGGAATTAGAAAGAGCAATTCATTGGAATATGGGATGGCTGTAATGTAAATATTGCATGGGCATTATGCATAATTGATTTGATGCAACAGGTCATGTTAATTTTTCCATTAGATCAGATAACTTATAGATATTTTTCTCTGCAGCAAAATTGCAACGCGAAGGAAGCTAATCTGTGCACGAGCTTCGCATTATTTTAAACAATGGTTTAAAACTATCGGTCGATTAAGGCAAAGCCTCTTGATGTAATAGTTTGTCTGTTTGAGTATCATGAGTTCATGACATCTCCACAGGCGCTAAAATTTGGAACCTCCGTGGACCTGCTGTAGACCGTGCAGTGTGCACTACTAATTTCAAACATGTGAATCATTTCGCTCCACAAAAACAATCACTTTTTTAAAACTTGGGAGTATCTGTGAAGTACTCCAAATTGACAAACAGTTAATACATGCACTTGGGTTATTTTCTCGGTTCACTCACGGTTAATAGAACTACCGAAACTGATAGGATCTCTAAGTCATTTTTCACAGTTAGCAGTTTACACGGCAATTAATATTTAATGAATTTGTATAATTTCAATGATATAAAACTTGGATCATTGCATAAATCATATTGGCATTATTGCATCTTCAACTAAATACGGTGTTGGAATGGAACAATTGTATCTAAACCATCGCTAAACATAATCAGTTATGCAATTGTGGCACGTATTGGAGAATTTTTTGTTCAATATCCACGTTAATTTACCATTCAAGAAATTCAAAGGCAGGAAATAAGTTTAAAACTGTAGGGTCACGAGAATCATCATACACGAATTCACCAGGTTTTCCGTTAGCAAATCTAGATTTAATTAAAGTTGTTCTTTTAAAAGTTGAATTCTCGAACCCTGGTCATCTAAGGGCTAAGGATTGCTGCATGCAAGTATGTCTAGATTAGAGTCCTATATATATAGCTTCATAGTTTATACCACCAAGCATATATATGATACCATATATATTACCCTGATACCGTAGGATGCCCAACTCGTACCCAGGTTTGGGGAAACCCCGACTCCAACCGCAACTCTGTTCTAGACTTCTAGTTCTACACAATCTACACTTCTAAAGCATCTCCAGTATAATTCTGCAGTGTAATAAGGTAATTCACTTTTACATTTTACGAAATTGTGTGAATTGGATAAAAAATAAATGCATATTGAATAAAAAAGTCCAGTGCATGCTTTAATTTGCCAATAAGATACTAAAATTCACTATATCTAGGTTTATGTGTTTACGATAATTTATGCCACCACCAATTAATTACAACCTATGAAGAAAATCAACCATGGTGATTTCTGACAATATAAATTTATTTTAATAATTTAGGAGATTATTATTCATATAGAAATATAGTAGATTCTAATAGTGAAGTCTGAGCTAGTCCATGCTTAATAAACTGAAGAAGTACATACACTACACTAGAATTAAGACAGATATGCATGATATTCTCAGAGGAGGGTATTGCAGGTCAGCAGCTAGCAGATGATAAAAGTCGACCATGCCATTTACCCCACTCTTCATTCGCAGTTATATATACAACCTTTCATCATCATTGTTATGTAACAGATTTTTATGTAACTTTTTATTTCAAACTCACTTTGGCTATCTTTTAGCCAACAAGTCATTCAAGTTGTTATCATAATTTATATAAACAAACAACTGTGTTCATTTATAGACATGCTATAATTCCTAAAATACAATGCATGTGTAGTGTCGAAAGAAATTCAAAACAACAAAACTTGAGTAATAGAAAACTAATCCTCTCCATAATCTGTCAGGTTGCCTGGTTGTGCTACTGACATGGCAGCCATATGACATGTAAAGCTGTAGCCTTTATGTACTTATGAACAATTTGTATTATGTTCATATTAATCTTCATCAAATGGAGAACCAATGTTGATCATAAGCAGCAAATCAATGAAATACTAGTCTTTGTTTATTATGCAGGGATGCCTAAACATTATGGACCCATTAAATATTTCTTACTGTGGGCATTACTTCTTTGTGCAATCTCAATGGCCAATAGCTCAAGTGGTGACAGAAGTGAGACATTTCAGAGATGTTTAACCAGTTGTCTTGTTTTATGTAAGAATGATGATTCCTACCCTGCGAAACTGCCAGTGTATTTAGTGATATTTGGTTGGAAATGTCCAGATGAATGCAAGTATACATGTATGCACAAAGTCACCCATCGCGCTGTTGCAAGAGGACGGAAGATTGAACAATTTTATGGCAAAGTATTTATCACAATGATAATCTAATTAACTTTGTTTGTGTTAGATTTATGGAATTATGGAAGCACAGTTATAAGACTTAAGATATGTGAAAAATGTTGACTAACTATGTCTGGTTGGCAAGTATATGATTGTGCATATGAATTGTGCCAGGTCATGTAACTTACTGTATACCATATGATAATAATCATACAATTTTGTATACAATTTATGTGCACGAACAATAAGAGGTAATAACATATAGTAAAAAGTATAGTAAAAATGATAACCAAAATACAGAGCAGATTTCTGCTTACTTTACGTACCATAAACAATCAGATCAAGCTGCCAGGACAATTGAAACCCACTCTGACCATGACTATGACAACGTGCTGCCGAGATTCGGAAATGTGCTTGTGTGTGGAATGAATAAAGACGTCCGATATGGGACAGTATCACGAACCAACTTCTGACACGTTACAACTTCTGACACGTTACAGCACAGAAATTGTAATCAGATTTGAAAACCGCCACTACCATCACGGCGTCTAGTGAAGGCGAATGAACCAATGTGATATGTCTATAAGATTAACCAATCACAAGCGTAATAGTTAGTGGTGGTCAACCAAATCTCGCTTATTCTATGCATAATGCATCACTATTGTTTTATGGTAATCACTCAAGTACCAACAATGACGAGGTTACGTGTAAATTTTTTACGCAAGAAAATGAATAAATTATTTTTTTCTTTTGGTAGTGGCCGTTTATTCGTCTTTTTGGTATCCAGGAGCCAGCGTCTGTGTTGTTTTCTATTGGTAATGGCCTGGGGCATTATTTTGGATGGAAAATGTTCAAGAACCATGTTAATCCACATTATTCAATGTACAGCACATGGAAGTTGTACTACATAGTATGTTGTTTTTTCGAGTTAGTATCGCCCTAAATGATAAGAATGGCCTGGTTAGCCTATAATTTTCACTACTGCATCTGCAAGCTGGCGTGAAAGCCTCAACAATGCACACCGTTAAGTGTAACTACGTAGCTGTTTTAACTATCGAATTCCACCTTGAGCAAAGTATCCGTTACACTAATTTGAAAACCTGCTTATTTATTAGGAAAACACGACATTTTGTATAATTTACTTATTTATTTTTTAAGATTAGTGTAAATGCTTGGCTGTGGTCGGCTGTTTTTCACACAAGAGATCTAACATGGACTGAGGTATACTTTCACTATATATTATATTTATATCAAACAGAAAACAATATTTTGCAAACTGTTTCAAAGACGTCACTTTCCTTAAATATAGCGCCTTGACTATTTCGGGGCAGTCTCGCTGATTTTGGCATCGATATACTCTTCTTTTGTAAGGTAGGACAGCTAGGCACCATCCCACTTCTTAGCGTGTTTAATTATATTCTCACATATAAAGTTGGCGAGCGATCTTATCAGAGTATTTTAATGTCAACTGATTACACAGTTTACATGACCCTGAGGCATTCATATGCCACCGCTTACCTTATAATAAGATATAGGAATGAAAAATGAAGTATAGCAGGATAGAAAAGAAGCTTGATTAAACTGATAAACTGGAGAAAATTGATTAAACACTTTTGACAGCGACAGGGGTGCAGCCACCGATGACTGCGACCTACTTTATTTATTAGTTCAAGCTAAAATTTATAGATGTAAATATCTTTGCTTGATCATCTTTTTTTGTTCAAATCATATTATTTAGAATTGTTGGTCCAGAATACGTTTGGAGGTAAATGTTAATCTATGACTGCATGTATAAATTATCGGAGATTTATTATTTTACAGCGTATACGGTTACTAATATTGATAGTTATAAATATTGATTATATATTAGTTCAAGCTTTTCTTTAAATGCGCTTGGTTTCTTAACTCGCAATTGAGAAAATTCAGTAAAGCCGGTTTTGATATATAAAGCCAGCTATTATGCTATAATATAATACTATAATACTATAATAGCCTATAATAGTCAACTATTTGCATTGTTTAGATGTCGTTTATTTGGGTTATTTATTGCAACGTTGTTCTGCTGTCATTGTGGTTACCTTTCTTTGATTCGTTTTGATTATGGTTACAATATGAAAGCCAGTGTCACTGTCGGTGAGTCCATCAGTGCAAAACATGAATTGTTAAAAAAATCTGTATTCAAAATCTTCAAATATACGATATTTGAAAACTAGACGGTTGTGTTGATTTATTTTGCCTCATCCTGGATTTGCTACCTGATACACCCATAAATATTCCTCTGATGGGTTTATGTTGTAGGTATTATTAATATTGTTGGTTGGATTTCCTGGTGTTTAAAGGTATCGATTATTTTTAGTCCGTTTATTTCTTTCCTTCAATTTTTCTACATGGTCTTGCCCTTTAAAAAATCTACCGATTTAAGGTCCTGCTTATATAATTTGCCGAAATTCTCTGTAATATTTAAGAACTGGAAAAATCGATCCTACGTATGGAAATGTGCTTTTATCAACATCTCGCTGTTTTGTCTTGTTGCGTTAGAAGTATGTATTACTATAAGTTTTTATATCGTCGTTTCAGTAATGCTTGTTATCAAAATAATCTAGGGTTCTCTGGGGACTCTAGGGACTATGTTCTTCTCCCTGGAGGGTAATCTAGGGACTATGTTTTCTCCCTGGAGGGTAATCTAGGGAAGTCCTATGTTCTTCTCCCTGGAGGGTAATCTAGGGACTATGTTCTTCTCCCTGGAGGGTAATCTAGGGACTATGTTCTTCTCCCTGGAGGGTAATCTAGGGACTATGTTCTTCTCCCTGGAGGGTAATCTAGGAACTATGTTCTTCTCCCTGGAGGATAATCTAGGGACTATGTTCTCCCTAGGAGCCTCCCGGGCGATAAAACGCTTTAATATATAGCTGATATAAAACTCATCGTTTGTTCAGCTATGGGACTTCCCACCAATTTGGGGTATTCTGGATGCGCACGCTATATGGCATTTCACAACAATTCCATTTTGTTACTTCTGGTACAGGTAAATATAAAAGAATGCAGGACTGCATTTAATCATTTCATTGCACTTCAATTAAGCATCATCTTATGAATAACGAGTTTATCTGCATTTATCTGAATTTGCTTTCAATTCTAGTTTTATTTTGGATGACGCTCGTTTTGATGAAAAGCTGTGTAAAGTGAAGTGACGATAATTTTTCAAGAGGCGCGTAGTGTTTTAATTGCAGTTATCAGTTCAAAATTCCACCCACAAGCACTCGTGTGCTGGTTCACAATCAGACGATGAAGGTGACACCGTGCCGACATCTCCAAGTTGCATTAAGTTTTATATTCCTGTCCGCGTGTTTGCATGGTGATTTTTCTCTTGATAAGCATCATGCATGTATATCTCATTACGAGCCTTGACGTTAGAAACAATATCACAGTTAATTTTATGTAACAAATTAAGTGAATAACTAGGTAGAATAAGGAATAACTAGCAAGGTACAATCCTGTAATTGATTAAATGAAAATGGATATCAAGAAAAGTTCATCCTGTTTCCGACTTTATTGTCTTGATGATTGTATCCAGATTTTCACTTGTGAGACCCATTTCGCAGTTGATGTAAATTAACGGTGCAAATGGCATTGCCATTGGCCCTTCTGGAGGCCACGTCACTGACTCAAATAAAACTGGAAGAATTGGTTTTTTCAAGACATCAGCCAAAGCAACTTCTTGCTGACAAGCATGTGACTGACTGTACGCTTCTGTCACACAAGACACCACTATCTAAAAATGTAGGATTAGTTTTATATTCTGCAAGTCCAATTTGATCAACTACTACATGTTACCCTCATGAATTGAAAATTACATCATTTTCCCTTGAGCAAGCTTTGTTATGCATGGAGTATAACTGTGCTTAAAAAGTGTTCGTACAAACTTCGACTCTAAGTAGGCGTGTCATTCATCAGCTTATATATCCAATCTCACTACTAAATTAGTCTCTGAAAAGTTGTTTTAATCCTGTATACTCTTATTCAAATCCTAACTTTTATTTGAATACTGTTACGGGTTAGGAGAGGAAATTGTCAGTTAGATAATACGATCTTTCTTGATACGTTGAGTAACTTGAATTACTCTGAAGATGTTGGGAGCAAAACAACAACAAACAATTAGCCAATAAATTCTCAGCCAATAATCGTGTTATGTAGAATAAATAAGATAGCTTTGAACGTAAATCTGTGTCTCGGTATAACAATTGTAGGTCAAAGTGCTCACCTTGCATCCTCTTATTCCACGATCGATTTCTTTCTTCAGATCATCTCCCCCCATCATCTTGTTGGTATCCATCCAACATATTATATTCTTTGATTCAAGTGTCTTCTTCAATTTCAAAATTTTATCTTGTATGTCCCATTGGTAGGAAATAAACACCATTGGCACTTGTCCACCCTTGGTATTTGGAGAAGCATCACCTATACACACCAGTAGAGATTTCTACAATGTTCTCTTACAGAATGGTGAATCCATTCCCTTCAAAATTTGTGTTAGTTTTTCGCAAGCAGGTTTTAGTATTATCGTTGTTGGAGATTAAAAACTTACCGTCCGTAATCTCAGAGCTCTTCTCCATCTTCGTTTGTACGTTTTCAACAGTTTCTAGAACTTCATTTTCTATGATAATGATAATGAAGTTTGTTATTTCTTGCATTTTCGGCCCCCTATCTGCCTCCTATGCATGTGTTCAATTTAAAGTGTGTTTTTCAGATCCATCATTCAGCCCCTACTGCATGAAGTATCATTAGAGAATATATATAATAGCCAGCTCGTTATGCCTTCTATTGCTATGAAGCATGATGGGTAAGAGGATAAACGAATTTATACCTCGCACCTTCTCTAAATACGTTCGCATTTCTACATTTTTGCTCTTCTCTCCACAATTATGTGAGAATTAGGCCCCGTTTACACTACAGCATTTTATTGGCACGACACGGCTAAATGAGTACGCGTGCCCATTTCATCCGTGCCCGACCTTTGTTTTATTTATTTATTTATTATGCTTTGCCACTTGAATACAACATACAATATTACAAACACGAACAGCACAAAATTAATACAAATGCATGAATATTCACAATAATCGAGGCAGGGTATTGCTACAGCTCACGCCAATTACAGCAGTCCTTTCACACAGTACAGTGTTTTGGTAGGCTTAACAATTATGATATCGGGCCCTGCCGTGCCAATAAATTGACTGTAGTGTAAACGAAGCTTTAGGGGCTCCTGTGTTCAAATACAGCCTGGCCGTACGCCTGAACCTAACCATTGAAGTCTTTCTGTTATATAAACCTGGTTTGATGGTTTCATGTTACCTTTCATACACTTCTCGCACAAATCATATTCACATTTTTTGCATTCATACGGTTTCTCATTTTCTTCATGTAGATAGCCTACCCCGCATATATCACAAAGCCAACCCTGCAGGTTTGGATAAGTATCCTTGGGATTGCTTTTTAACAAAAGATGACGGTGTGCTGCGCTTTTATGACTTCGTGTACAGCCAAAGCACAAATCAAAATCGCATCCTTCCTCGCAACGCCAAGGTAGACTAAATGAATAAACTGTCGTTCAGTTTATTTTCATTTGGCAAGGTCCCCCCCTCCCTTCTAGCATAGACCTTGCTGAGCACAAACTGTCAAGTGGACCAAAATCGAAATATTGTTCTTGGGCCTTTGCCGAGGACAAGGTTGGACAAAAGGACAATTTCTAATGGCTAACCAGTTTTACAGACATCAGTACAGCGTCCACGACACAAGTACCACCCCCTTTTATATATTAGCAACTGGCAAATTATTTAATGATTACATAGCTCATTTTATATGAATAGATTTGATTAAAGCTTACAGTCCGCCTCCGGGTCTTGAAGATTTAGTTCCACAATTGTCGCAAGTCCAAGAACCTTTCGAGAACATTTTCTTAGCGGGAATCGTTACAGCCAAACTGTGGGCATGTTTGTTTGTCTTGATTGGCTGAGCACATTCTTTACACAAATCAAAATCACATTTTTCACATTTGTAAGAATGTGTCTGCTGTAACTCTTTTGAACCCCTGCCACAAGCGCCACATGTCCACGAGGTAAAACCATTTTTAGCTCCTTCTTTCACTCTGTTCTTGTACGTTAACTTGTGTTTGTGAGCATTTGTCTTGATGGAATTCATTTTTACTTCAAAATATGCCACAGAATGTGCGATATACAATACTGAGCCTGAGATTTACGGAGTAAAATCTAAATTTAAAACCATTCAGTTTGTTTGGATAATGGATATGCTATGCGGTTTGTGCGGTTTCATTTGGGTCATATTATAGTAACATCAACGCTAAATTGAATTTAATTTTGAGCTCGGAATAACTTCAGAATTTTCTGTAATGCAGTAGCTTTAAAACGCATAGAATGCAGAATCTGAAAGACATCGATGCGGCGGTCAAGTGCAAACGTGGCTTAATAAACTTCGCGTGCATGAGGCAAGAAAATATTTTTGTGATTTTAATTGTCCGAATTCCATGCATGCACGTATACCATGCAGAGTGCACAAAAAACCCCGGCCTGCAAACCTAATAATTCCATTATTAAAAAATCAGATGCGAACATATATGAATATTAAGTGTGGTTGCAGTTTTTTTTTATACACCCTGTATACTATAGACAATAAACAGCATAGTTAATCTAGGCTCATTGAAAGAACCTTACATAATGGCATCTTTAGTTGACACCACCTTACTGCGATAAAATGGCCAACACGAGACACGCAGTTCACTCGTGGGATTATTTGTATTTCATGCTATTGCATTTATGTAAAACACCTGCATTGGCTGCATCAAGAACAGTTATTTTTCCTATTCCAAAAAACGGAAAGCACTTTCCTTGAACAAAATATTTAAATCTTTTTTACTGACGTTATCTGTAAATATATATTACTTTGTGTTAGTTTTATAATTTACTCTCGATTCAGGGAAGAATAATCATTAAACTGACAGCTGACTTGCCCATATATAACACAATGCACAGCCGGCACCGGTTTGTTGTTCATGAACAATTAATTTTGTTCGTGTTTGATATTTGTAATAAAATGAATAATTATATATCATTATAATTATACAAGGATAAGCTATAAACGAATAAGAAGCGGTTTTGTTATGCATTCTACTATGAACAATTGTGATAAAAATGTACTTGGAATCATCTCGATATACAATGATAAAATATTTAAACCTTCAATAAATATTTTATCATTTTATCTTGAGATAATTCCAAGTACATTTTTATCACAATTGTTCATAGTAAAATGCATAAGCTATAAAAGTTTGATAAATCTTACCTTATATGTTCGTACTTTAAACTAGGGGTTGTAAAATATTCGATATATGGCAAACGAGTTAAAATGCTCATAAATTATTTAAAAATATATAAAGCGTTATTGTTGTTACCTAGTGACCTAAATATACTCATGCACTTATTGTGCATGAGCTCCTAGAACACAGGTGTTCTGATCAGAACAAAGGAGATTCAGAGCCTTCTCGGAGCAATGATAATTTTCATTTAATAGATCTATATTTTATATAGCTGGTTTCACCTGGTTTAATCACCAAGTTTAACACTAAGACGTTGTTTACACCTTTAATATACTTCTACTAATACACCTCTAATATAATAAGGTATCATAATCAGTCTGTTCCTCTATATCAGTCTTTGCATAATCTCACACGATCAAATATATTCTCCGTGCGTGGTTATACCTATACGACACACAACATATTTGTATTCTAATACAATAATTCCCGAAATATTACTAGCTAGCGCTATTTAATTTTTTTGTATTTTATTTAATAGGTAATATTATATCTCTATCCTTTCATTGCATTTATCTGAATTTTCTTTCAATTCTAGTTTTATTTTGGATGACGCCCGTTTTGATGAAAAGCTGTGTAAAGTGAAGTGACGATAATTTTTCAAGAGGCGCGTAGTGTTTTAATTGCAGTTATCACTTCAAAATTCCACCCACAAGCACTCGTGTGCTCGTTCACAATCAGACGATCAAGGTGACGCCGTGCCGGCATCTCCAATTTGCATTAGGTTTTATATTCCTGTCTCCGTGTTTGCATGGTGATTTTTCTCTTGATAAGCATCATGCATGTATTTCTCATTACGAGCCTTGACGTTAGAAACAATCTCACAATTAATTTTATATAACAAATTAAGTGAATAACTAGGTAGAATAAGGAACAACTAACAAGGTACAATCCTGTAATTGATTAAATGAAAATGGATATGAAGAAAAGTTCATCCTTTTTTGGACTTTATTGTCTTGATGATTCTATCCAGATTTTCACTTGTGAGACCCTTTACGCAGTCGATGTAAATTAACGGTGCAAATGGCATTGCCATTGGCCCTTCTGGAGGCCACGACACTGATTCAAATAAAACTGGAAGAATTGGTTTTTTCAAAACACCAGCCAAAGCAACTTCTTGTTGACAAGCATCTGACTTACTGTACGCTTCTGTCACACAAGACACCACTATCTAAAAATGTAGGATTAGTTTTATATTCTGCAAGTCCAATTTGATCAACTACTACATGTTACCCTCATGAATTGAAAATTACATCATTTTCTCTAGAGGAAGCTTTGTTTTGCATGGAGTATAACTGTGTTTAAAAAGTGTTCGTACAAACTTCGACTCTAAGTAGGCGTGTCATTCATCAGCTTTTATAGCCATTATATCTCAGTACTAATTAGTTTCTGAAAAGTTGTTTTAATCCTGTATACTCTTATTCAAATCCTCACTTTTATTTGAACATTGTTACGGGTTAGGAAAGGAACTTGTTAGTTAGATAATACGATCTTTGTTGATACGTTGAATTACTCTGAAGATGTTGGGAGCAAAACAACAACAAACAATTAGCCAATAAATTCTCAGCCAATAATCGTGTTATGCAGAATAAATAAGGTAGCTTTCAACGTAAATTTGTGTTTCTGTATGACAATTGTGGGTCAAAGTGCTCACCTTGCATCCTCTTATACCTCGATCGATTTCTTTCTTCAGATCATCTCCCCCCATCATCGTGTCAGTATCCATCCAACATGTTATATTCTTTGACTCAAGTTTCTTCTTCAATTTCAAAATTTCATCTTGTATGTTCCATTGGTAGGAAATAAACACCATTGGCACTTGTCCACCCTTGGTATTTGGAGAAGCACCACCTATACACATCAGTAGAGATTTCTACAATGTTCTCTTACAGAATGGTGAATCCATTCCCTTCAAAATTTGTGTTAGTTTTTCGCAAGACGACAAAAATTATTAATTTTTGAGTCGCTTATTTAGAATGCACGCGAATGCAGGTTTCAGTATTATCGTTGTTGGAGATTAAAAACTTACCGTCCGTAATCGCAAGGCTCTTCTCCATCTTCGTTTGTACGTTTTCAACAGTTTCCAGAACTTCAACAGTTTCTAGAGCTTCAACAGTTTCTAGAACTTCAGTTTCTATGATAATGATAATAAAGTTAGTTATGCGGGTGTCTTGCATTTTCTGCCCCCTATCTGCCCCCTATGCATGCTTAAAGTGTGTTTTTCAGATCCATCATTCAGCCTCTACTGCATGAAGTATCATTAGAGAATATATATAATAGCCAGCTCGTTATGCCTTCAATTGCTATGAAGCATGATGGGTAAGAGGATAAACGAATTTATACCTCCCACCTTCTCTAAAGACATTCGCATTTCTACGTTTTGCTCTTCTCTCCACAATTATGTGAGAATTAGGCCCGTTTACACTACACGCATTTTATTGACACGACACGGCTAAATGAGTACGCGTGCCCATTTCATCCGTGCCCGACCTTTGTTTTGGTAAGCTTAACAATTATAAAATCGGGCCCTGCCGTGCCAATAAATTGACTGTAGTGTAAACGGGGCTTTAGGGGCTCTGTGTTCAAATACAGCCTGGCCGTACGCCTGAACCTAACCATTGAAGTCTTTCTGTTATATAAACCTGGTTTGATGGTTTCATGTTACCTTTCATACACTCCTCGCACAAATCATATTCACATTTTTTGCATTGATACGGTTTCTCATTATCTTCATTTGGATGGCTTTCCCTGCATATATTACAACGCCAGCCGGTTCGATAAGTATCCTTGGGATTGCTTTTTAACAAAAGATGACGGTGTGCTTCGCTTTTATGACTTCGTGTACAGCCAAAACACAAATCAAAATTGCATCCTTCCTCGCAATGCCAAGGTAGACTAAATGAAAAAACTCTCGTTCAGTTTATTTCATTTGGCATAAACTGTCAAGTGGACCAAAAGCGAAATATTGTTCCGATCGGAAATACCGATCGTTCCCAGGGCCTTTGCCGAGGACAAGGTTGGACAAAAGGACAATTTCTAATGGCTAACCAGTTTTACAGACACCAGTACAGCGTCCACGACACAAGTACCACCCCCTTTTATATATTAGCACCTGGCAAATTATTTCATGATTACATAGCTCATTTTGTATGAATAGATTTGATTATAGCTTACAGTCCGCTTCCGGGTCTTGAAGAATAAGTTTCACAATTGTCGCAAATCCAAGAACCTTTTAAAATAGTTACAGCCAAACTGTGGGCATGTTTGTTTGTCTTGATTGGCTGAGCACATTCTTCACATAAATAAAAATCACATTTTTCACATTCGTAAGAATGTGTCTGCTGTAACTCTTCGGAGTCCCTGCCACAAGCGTCACATGTCCACATCCACATGTCTTCTTCCCCTGTGTTCTTGTACGTTAACTTGTGTTTGTGCGCCTTTGCCATGATGGAATTCATATTTACCTCAAAATATACCACAGAATGTGCGATATACAATACTGAGCCTGAGATTTACGGAGTAAGATCTAAATTTAAAACCATTCAGTTTGTTTGGATAATGGATATGCTATGCGGTTTGTGCGGTTTCATTTGGGTCATATTAGTGACATCAACGCTAAATTGAATTTAATTTTGAGCTCGGAATAACTTCGGAATGTTCTGTAATGCAGTAGCTTTAAAACGCATACAATGTAGAATCGAAAGTTATGTTATGGAACGCCATAGTGGACAAAAATACTTCAAGTTCATTTAAATAAAACTTATTTCGCGCGTATTTTTCGCTATCGTTCTCGTGTGACTAAAATGCATGTATCTAAAACATCACACATCGTGTGTAAATTTATTCCGCCTTATATTAAACGCCATAATGGACAAAATACTTCCAATTCATTTAAGTAAAACGTCGCGAGTATACTTCGTCAACGTTCTCGTGCGACTAGAATGCACGCGTTAAAAACATCACACATATATTCATGGCACCATTCATAAATAAGTCGCATATAAAACTTTTAAATCCTTACCTACGACTTCCTTCGCGTAGGACCAAAAAACCGCCAGTAAGACTTTGTAAGACTAAATTTTTTGTCCGTCGGACTTCCTATATACACGGAAGAGAACATTTGCTGGTAAGACTTGTAAATTTATCACCCGTACGACTTCCTGCATGGAATGTCAAAACAGCAGTAGTTTCTCCGCAAATGACCTGTAAGACACTTGGCCTTAGTGGATTTGGCTGAGAAAAACAATGTGAAGTCAGCACCACATTACGCTTACGATCATAATTAACAGTGTGGCGTGGCTTGCTACGGTGCAATCTCGTTCTAAGCAAATTTTTGGCGTCCTAGAAACCCCAAGTGATTTTTTTTGGGAATGAACCAACCACGTGCACAAGTTTCATTTCTGTTAGTAGCAAAACGAGATGTTAGTGATGTACATTGACTACATTTGTATAGCACAAAACGTGTAACCATATCGTTTTACCATAACATATAAAAAATTATAGTACTTTTCAACTTAGAATGAAATGCGAGTGTTTAGGTTCTAACTTTTGGATGGCGCAGTGGGAACGCAGAAGGTGTGTGGCAGACTAAAAAAATTTGAAGTTAAGAGTCCTGCAAGTGCGATTTTGGAGAATCCTCTACGTTAAGTGCCGAAAAATTGCGTTCATGTAAACATGGCAGACAGTAATCGAGATTTTTCAAATGCCGCAGTAAGTGGAATTTTAGTCTCAATAGAGCTTCAGCGTCCAGCAGTCAAACTGCGGCATCGTCTTTGGGACAAAATAATGCTGTTAACAACGAAGAATCAGTTCAAATTTCATCTCCAGACTCCAGGAATGCCAGTTGGGCAAGCGCTTGGCACCATAAATTTATACGTTTTACTAGAGGTTTTGTCTTAGGTGTATAGGAAGTCGTACGGGTGATAAATTTACAAGTCTTACCAGCAAATTTTCTCTTCCGTGTAGGAAGTCGAGTGTCACCCGCAGTGAGTGAAACGATCGAGTTAAAATGCTCATAAATTATCTAAAAATATATAAAGCGTTATTGTTGTTACCTAGTGACCTAAATATACTCACTTATTGTGCATGAGCTCCTAGAACACAGGTGTTCTGATCAGAAGAAAGGAGATTTAGAGCCTTCTCGGAGCAATGACAATTTTTATTAGATCTATACTTTATAGCTGGTTTTACCTGGTTTAATCACCAAGTTTAACTATAAGACGTTGTTTTTCTATTTTTATTTTGGATGACGCCCGTTTTGATGAAAAGCTGTGTGAAGTGAAGTGACGATAATTTTTCGTATGCGCGTAGTGCTTTAATTGCAGTTATCAGTTCAAAATTCCACCCACAAGCACTCGACGTGTGCTGGTTCACAATCAGACGATGAAGTTGACGCCGTGCCGGCATCTCCAAGTTGCATTAAGGCGCTTTTACACTATGCAATTTTCCTTGCGACTTGCCATGCAATTAAAATTTTGAGGGATCTTAATTAGCAAAGAGTGTTCGGAATGTTCTTTGCGCGTTAGCAGATCGTAAGAAATGTTCGTATTTGAAAACTTTAGATGCCTCAGGAGTAGAATTCTATTGCAAGTTGCAAGAAAAATTGAGTAGTGTAACAGCGCCTTTAGGTTTTATATTCCTGTCCCCGTGTTTGCATGGTGATTTTTCTCTTGATAAGCATCATGCATGTATATCTCATTACGAGCCTTGACGTTAGAAACAATCTCACAGTTAATTTTATGTAACAAATTAAGTGAATAACTAGGTAGAATAAGTAATAACTAACAAGGTACAATCCTGTAATTGATTAAATGAAAATGGATATCAAGAAAAGTTCATCCTGTTTTCGACTTTATTGTCTTGATGATTGTATCCAGATTTTCACTTGTGAGACCCTTTTCGCAGTTGATGTAAATTAACGGTGCAAATGGCATTGCCATTGGTCCTTCTGGAGGCCACGTCACTGACTCAAATAAAACTGGAAGAATTGGTTTTTTCAAGACATCAGCCAAAGCAACTTCTTGTTGACAAGCATGTGACTGACTGTACGCTTCTGTCACACAAGATACCACAATCTAAAAATGTAGGATTAGGAAAGGAACTTGTTAGTTAGATAATACGATCTTTGTTGATATGTTGAATTGCTCTGAAGATGTTATGAGCAAAACAACAACAAACAATTAGCCAATAAATTCTCAGCCAATAATCGTGTTATGTAGAATAAATAAGGTAGCTTTGAACGTAAATCTGTGTTTCTGTATGACAATTGTAGATCAAAGTGCTCACCTTGCATCCTCTTATTCCTCGATCGATTTCTTTCTTCAGATCATCTCCCCCCATCATCTTGTTAGTATCCATCCAACATGTTATATTCTTTGATTCAAGTGTCTTCTTCAATTTCAAAATTTTATCTTGTATGTCCCATTGGTAGGAAATAAACACCATTGGCACTTGTCCACCCTTGGTATTTGGAGAAGCACCACCTATACACACCAGTAGAGTTTTCTACAATGATCTCTTACAGAATGGTGAAACCATTCCCTTACAAACTTTGTGTTAGTTTTTCGCAAGACGTGATTAATTTTTGAGTCACTTATTTAGAATGCACGCGAATGCAGGTTTCAGTATTATCGTTAATTATTGGAGATTAAAAACTTACTGTCCGTAATTGCAAGGCTCTTCTCCATCTTCGTTTGTACGTTTTCAACAGTTTCTAAAACTTCAGTTTCTATGATAATGATAATGAAGTAAGTTATTCGGGTGTCTTGCATTTTCTGCCCCCTATGCATGCTTAAAGTGTGTTTTTCAGATCCATCATTCAGCCCCTACTGCATGAAGTATCATTAGAGAATATATATAATAGCCAGCTCGTTATGCCTTCAATTGCTATGAAACATGATGGGTAAGAGGATAAACGAATTTATACCTCGCACCTTCTCTAAAGACGTTCGCATTTCTACATTTTTCTCTTCTCTCCACAATTATGTGAGAATTAGGCCCGTTTACACTACACGCATTTTATTGGCACGACATGGCTAAATGAGTACGCGTGCCCATTTCATCCGTGCCCGACCTTTGTTTTGGCAGCCTTAACAATTTTAAAATCGGGCCCCGCCGTGCCAATAAATTGACTGTAGTGTAAACGGGGCTCCTGTGTTCAAATACAGCCTGGCCGTACGCCTGAACCTAACCATTGAAGTCTTTCTGTTATATAAACCTGGTTTGATGGTCTCATGTTACCTTTCATACACTTCTCGCACAAATCATATTCACATTTTTTGCATTCATACGGTTTCTCATTGTCTTCATGGTGATAGCCTTCCCCGCATATATCACAACCCCAACCGTCCAGGTTTGGATAAGTTTTCTTCGGATTGCTTTTTAACAAAAGATGACGGTGTGCTGCGCTTTTATGACTTCGTGTACAGCCAAAGCACAAATCAAAATCGCATCCTTCCTCGCAATGCCAAGGTAGACTAAATGAAAAAACTCTCGTTCAGTTTATTTTCATTTGACAAGGTCAACCCCCCCCCCTCCCTTCTAGTATAGACCTTGCTGAGCATAAACTGTCAAGTGGACCAAAAGCGAAATATTGTTCTTGGGCCTTTGCCGAGGACAAGGTTGGATAAAAGGACAATTTCTAATGGCTAACCAGTTTTACAGACACCATTACAGCGTCCACGACACAAGTACCACCCCCTTTTATATATTAGCAAATGGCAAATTATTTAATAATTACATAGCTCATTTTATATGAATAGATTTGATTAAAGCTTACCGTCCTCCTCCGGGTCTTGAAGAATTAGTTCCACAATTGTCGCAAGTCCAAGAACCTTTTAAAATAGTTACAGCCAAACTGTGGGCATGTTTCTTTGTCTTGATTGGCTGAGGACATTCTTTACACAAATCAAAATCACATTTTTCACATTTGTAAGAATGTGTCTGCTGTAACTCTTTGGAACCCCTGCCACAAGCATCACATGTCCACGAGGTAAAACCATTTTTAGCTCCTTCTTTCACTGTGTTCTTGTACGTTAACTTGTGTTTGTGAGCCTTTGTCATGATGGAATTCATTTTTACCTCAAAATATACCACAGAATGTGCGATATACAATACTGAGCCTGAGGTTTACGGAGTAAGATCTAAATTCAAAACCATTCAGTTTGTTTGGATAATGGATATGCTATGCGGTTCGTGCGGTTTCATTTGGGTCATATTAGTGGCATCAACGCTAAATTGAATTTGATTTTGAGCTCGGAATAACTTCGGAATTTTCTGTAATCCGACCGTTAATGCAGTAGCTTTAAAACGCATAGAATGCAGAATCTAAAAGACATCGATGCGGCGGTCAAGTGCAAACGTGGCTTAATAAACTTCGTGCATGAGGCAAGAAAATATTTTCGCGACTTCAATTGTCCGAATTCCATGCATGCATGCACGTATACATGCAGGGTGTACAAAACCCCCCGAAAACCTAATAATTCCCATAGCAATAGGGGCCTACGATCTTTGGTTATTGAATCAGATGAGAACATTCCTGGGGCCGGTTGTATGAAAGCCGGATAGCGCTATCCACCGGATAATGATTTTTTCAACCGTTCTAAAAATGCTCGAAAAGCGATAAAATTTTATTTTTGGAACCAGCAATTATTAAAGAGGATACTCGATTTAGGAATACTAAGATTTAATCAAAGTTATAGCAAACAACGGGCGATTTTGAAGCGATTGAAAAAACTATCCGGCTTTCATACAACCGGCCCCTGAATATTAAGTGTGGTTGCAGTTTGTTCTATACACCCTGTATACTATAGACAATAAACAGCGTAGCTAATCCAGGCTCATTGAAAGAACCTTACATAATGGCGTCTTTAGTTGACACCACCTTACTGCTATAAAATAGCTAACACGAGACACGCAGTTCACTCGTGGAATTACTTGTATTTCATGCTATTGCATTATGTAAAACACCTGCATTGGCTGCATCAAGAACAGTTATTTTTCCTATGCTAATAAACGGTAAACGAGAGTTCCTGGTAACAGTGGCGTAGCCAGCCTGACAATTTAGTCATGCTATGCTAATTATTTGGTGTTCATTGACTGAAAAAACAATGAATTTCTAAAGAAATGAGTAATGATAATAACATAAAATTTAGTATCAAATGTGGTATAACAACTGCCTAAATAGACAAAAACACTTCTCGACGCTTCGACCTGAGGGCCCTCGTCAGGAGAGTTAGTAACTCTCCTGACGAAGGCCCTCAGGTCGAAACGTGGAGAAGTGTTTTTGTCTATTTAGGCAGTTGTTATAAGGCCACATTTGATGCTAAGTTGTTTGAAGACGCTGCCACGCTGCTCCTTGGCTTGGTTATATTGTAACATAAAATTTACATAATAGCATGACTAAATCGTCAGGCTGGCTACGCCACTGCCTGGTAACAAAATATTTAACACTTTTTTACAGACATTATCTGTAAATATATATTACTTTGTGTTAGTTTTATGATTTACTATCGATTCAGGGAAGAATATTCATTAAACTGACAGCTGTATATCATCACAAAGCAAAGCAAAGCATGCCACGGGCACCGGTTTCTTATGAATGAACAATTAATTTTGTTCGTATTTGATACTTGTAATCAAAATGAATATATATATCATTATAATTATACACGAATAAGCTATAAAAGTTTAATAAATCTTACCTTATATGCCCGTACTTTGAACTAGGGGTTGTAAAAGATTCGATATGGCAAGCGATTAAAATGCTCATAAATTATTTAGAAATATATAAAGCGTCATTGTTGTTACCTAGTGACCTAAATACTCACTTATTGTGCATGAGCTCCTAGAACACAGGTGTTCTGATCAGAAGAAAGGAGATTCAGAGCCTTCTCGGAGCAATAATAATTTTTATTAGATCTGTATTTTATAGCTGGTTTCACCTGGTTTAATCACCAAGTTCAACTATAAGACGTTGTTTACACCTTTAATATACTTAGAAAAATAAGGTATCATAATCAGTTTGTTTCTCTATATCAGTCTTTGCATAATTTCACACAATCAAATATATTCTCCGTGCGTGGTTATGCCTATACGACACACAACATATCTGTATTCTAACATAATAATTTCCGAAATACTAGCTATTTAATTTTTTTTTATTTTATTTAATTGGTAATATTATATATCTCTATCCTTTCATTCCAGTTCTTGACTTGATTGTTTTAACGACTTTATCCAAGTTTTCATTCGTCATACCACTTTCAAGGCTGACGTAAATTAACGGTGCAAATGGCATTGCCATTGGTCCTTCCGGAGGCCACGTCACTGACTCAAATAAAACTGGAAGAATTGGTTTTTTCAAGACATCAGCTAAAGCAACTTCTTGCTGACAAGCATTTGACTGGCTGTACGCTTTTGTCACACAAGATATTACAATCTGAAAAGAAGATTTCAAGATGGTGAGAGAAGCATAAAATAGATTATTTAACCTTGCAGGCTAAAAAGTGCTGAATTCATACCTTGGAACTGCGCATTCCTTTATCAATCTCCTTTTTTAAATCATCTCCTCCCACCATATTTCCAGTATCCATCCAACATTTGATGTTTCTTGATTCAAGACGTTTCTTTAGCTCCAAGACTTTATCTTGTATATTCCAGTTGTATGAAATAAATACCTGAGCAAGGGGTTCTCCGTCCGTTTGTTTTGTGTCATCAGGGTGATGATGCGAGCAGTGACCATCTGCCACAAGCGTAAAAAAATTACCGAATGTCATCTCCATGGTTTCAGCGAGAACTACTGCATCGTTACGGCAATTTCGCCGCAAAGATGAGGATATCAAGTGTTGCCTGGGACAATTTTACTACAACTTGCAACGAAATGAACGTAGAAGAAAATATTTTTCGGCAAAGAGCTGGGAAGTTGAGAAATGATGAGAATCTCGCTTTGTTGATTTTTTGTCAAAAAAAAACATTTCCGCATGAAAATATCGTTGAAATGAATACTGAAAAGTATAAAAGCAAGTGATAACGTTGGACTGACCTAAAAAACCACCGACTACACTCCAGTTTAGAGGTGTAGGTATTTCAGTGGTGGCACCCAAACTCCGCCCACCCAGCTTTCTAACCGACGAGATTTAACGCTCTTCTAGCTAACCCCCCCTGTAACGGGGATTATACACAAGCTTTCGGTGACAGATATTTGGTACAATTATACCAGTACCTCGCGGAAATTTACAATTTTAAGTTATCTCTTACCTTCAACACTTTTGTCAACTTTCACAATATTCGGTTGAATTTCAATCGTAGCTAAACACAGAGAAATATTTCATGTTCTCACGAAAATATTCATTTATGCTTTTGACGTCATTATGAAAAAGGTCTGTTGTTTAGTTCGCTAAGAGCTGTTGTTGTGCAATTTTTTAGATACCTTTGTTCGTTGATAATATATATACTAACCTTCAAGGCACTTTAAGCAAAGATCAAATTGACACTGCTTGCAATTGTAAGGTTTCTCTTCGGAGTCATTATCGTAGACTGTGTGACACATTTCACATTGCCACCCAGAGGAGTAGGGGTAGTTGATTTTCGGATTAGCTTTTAGCAAATAATGAGGATGCGCAAAACTCTTGTGATCCTTTGTGCAGCCAAAGCAAAGGTCAAAGTTGCACCCGCTTTCGCAATGTCGGCATAAACTAAAGTCAAAACAAATATTCATATGAATTGAGGCGAGCAATTAAATACGACAAACTTCTCCGAACAATCCATGTAGTGTTGCTTTATTATATACGTGCAAGACTGATATGACTGATATAGCCGGTTTAACTCGTTAGTTTACGTTAGCATATACTAAATCAACAATAAAAGTCTGAACTATAAATGCATTGAAAGACAAAACTATAAACCTAGCTATAATCTAATCAAATGAGATATTGTTGCTTTGCTCGCGAGGAAAATCAGTCTATAGACTTCAATATTCCCAGCTTAGTTCCATGCAGGCGTGTTGGTGTCACACAGCTTAAACAGCTAGAGTATATATTATTAGGACTTACGGTCCCTGACTTTTGTAACTAGCCATGCAGTTATCACAAATCCATTTTCCACTTGGATAAGCCGATTTCGAGACGACCAGTTTATGAATATGATAGCTTGACGTGATGGGTTCTGTACATTCCTTACAAAGATCAAAATCACACTTCATGCATCGGTAGGAATGGGTAACTTTCATTTCTTTAGATGTTCGTTTGCAAGCATCACACGCCCAAAATGGCAAATCTTTAGTGGCAAAAAGGCTTGTTGTGTCCATAAAGAACAACTTGTGCTCGTGAGCTGGTGATTTTTCCAAGGCCATTTCCTATTTAAAGACAGAATCAACTGATTAGAAGATGATCAGAGAAATATATTCTTCGCTGTACCTGAGAAACTTAAATCGTGAAAGTTGACATCTCCGTCTATGTGCATTAAAGTGGTTGGCTTAACTGCATGATGCAAGTAAATATAGAAACATTGCCAAGTTTCTTGAAGAACTATTTAAATAACTGAAACACTACTCACCTATCATGAAAAACACCGAGAACGACGACCCAAACAGCCTGCCTTAATAGTGAAAGCTAAATGGAGAAACGAAGACTGGCGATCTAAATAAACTAAAGCGAACACATGCACTACACCCTTACTTAATGCTACATATGCACATAAATTAAATGAATTACCTAATCTTACGTATGCACATATGAAATTTAGCTGTTAAGCATATACTTTTAACACAATGAAGAGGCCAATTTAGACTTATTTTCTTCACTGCATAAGCATGAACAATAAGATAGAGCAAAGACTTTAAGCTGAAAGCTTCTTTATTGATTTATCTGGAGGGCACTAGGGTATTAAATATTTACCGAAGTTCTTAAACTTCGTCGCAACGACGTTCCACATACAGGGTGTATTAAAAAAGAAGACCTTTAGAAATCAAACTATTGTTATTTCGCACCGGCGTTGTTCAAGGTTGTGCTTTTCACCGGGGGATTTCGGGGAACCTTTCTCAAAACGTGTTTTGTACTGTGCGTATTTTTCATGCATGTCTGGACGATAAAAACTTTTCTTTGCCATGCATTATTGGGCAGAATTTTGCTTTCAGAAGTTATGTCAAATTCACAGGAGAAGAAAGGCTTTTCTGCTTGTGACAAAGATATGTAATATATGCACAAATCTGACAATATCAGTTTAATTTTTACGCATCCAAGGGCTTAGTGTAGTGACGTCGTGCACTTAAATTATAATTAATTATTTCTCAAGGTCTTTTTTTTTGTACACCCTGTACAACGGCAAATCAAACATTTCGAAGCGCCAGCGCTGGACTCGAAGAGCTGGGATACTACAGAATAATTTAATGTATGCGTTATCAATCTAAAGCTCTTGTTTAGAAAACGTAATATACACTGTGAGGGTGGAAACGCCACAACTGAAATTTCAAAATAGCCTTGTCGTGCATGTGGTGTTTGTGGCGAATTTACTTAGCACTTCCCATTGCGACGTTTGACCATTGCTTTTGACAATTCATGATGTAAGCGATTTCCTAACAAGTAGCAATCAATAAAGAACTTCACACCAACCATAGTTCAGGAGATCCAATTCATTGCAAACAAAACACAATACGAATTTACAAAAACTTACATAACTAAAACCTGTTTGTAATTACTTTTAAATATTCAATTTTAAACCTACGGCTACGTACGAGAGTCAGTCTCGAGGATAAACACATATTTTCTAGTCATTGTTAATATTAATATAAAATAGTTCCGTATTGCTTTAACTGGTTACTTCTTCAGCAGCATATGCATGCATGTTACAACACTAGACCTATCATTGTAATGATTAATGAAAAAAAAACTGTCTGTGAGAAAAACGTTTATATCCTTTTGTACAAACTGTTTGATATTATTTTGTAACTGCATTTTAGGTTTACGCATTTACATTAGAAGAGACTCTTTTCAGTTGGCAGAATTTGCCTTTGAATTCACGTGGGCACACGCAATGAACTCGAGACACTCGACGTGACCTAAAACTACGGCAGATTCCTTCATTACGACAGGGAGATTGCCGACAACTTGTCACACGTTCTAGGAAAAGAAATTAGATCTTAGCAAAGCAGCAAAATCCTTGCTCGAACATTTCTTAGTGTATCTAATGAAGTAACATGTCATGTCTTGAAAGAGGCGCACCGGTCCCGTTTGACTGAGATGATATTTCTTTCGAATATCTTTGTCTCTGCGCTGACGTATAGTCACACTATATGCATGATGACCACATAAATTAGCTGATCAAATTCTTCTATCGAATTGTTTATAAACAAAATTGCACACATGTAATCTTACCTTTCCAGGGGTTCAAGTTCATACGTCTATCACGGTTTGTACAGCTTCGATAAGCATCAACAAAAAAGGCTTTGCGAGGAACAGAAACAACATTAACATTATTGCAAATTATATCTGAAAATCTCCTTTTCTCGATACTTCTCAGTTGTTTTGGGGTAAATACTCCTCTATTACGGTAGAAGAATCTATCTCCATCTCGAAGACGTGCAAACTGGTCAATTAACAAACAAGTGAAGGTTGGTCCGAGAATTGGATCTACGTCGTCAAACCTTGCTCGCCGGAAGTTAACATTTCGTGGCTTTTCGCTGATTCCAGCAGTAAAGAGATCAGTGGCCTGAGGTTTATTTCTATAAACCTCCTTAATGCTAACAAACACCTCTGGTCGGAATAATTCATTGATTTGATCAAAGCTTCGTACATCTGTGACATTAACAGGGTACAGTTCTGGGAAACGTCTTCCACATTCAGCCAGAAAATCGCTATAGAACGGTAAACCATGTTCACGACCACGTTGCATGTTCAATGCTGCTAGGTTTAAACCTTCTCTGTTATCACGTTGAAAAAGTTCATTTGTAAGACCAATTGCCATTTCATTGTCCATTTCTTGTGAAACATTTCCGATCATGCCTATAATCCAACCATCGATACCACTTCTCTGCGTTTGTGTGTTGTTAAAGAATACTTGCCTCAGAGGAATGGGAGAGAAGGGAAAAGGTTTAAAATCGCTTTTAAGAAATTCAAACTTCGGTCTGACCAAGCTGTGACCTAAACGGAACGCGGCTGTTGCAAATGCATTGGTTATCCCAGCATTCACGTCAGTTCTGAAATCCCTGTAGCGAGGTAAGACATTTCGACCAATCAATATTGGAAGCCATTCCTCGTACGTGATTTGTTGAACTAATGCACCAAGGATCTTTCTTGTTTCTTGATAGATTCTTTCACCATTCCAATGCGGGTTAATACTTCTTAGCCTTGTCGCGATGTCATTGTGTTCACGAACCCAGAGTGTATGCATTGCCGCCAACGCAGCTTGTTCGTTTACTCGAACGTCTCCCGCCAAAAAACAGGAACCAAGATTTTCACACAAGGATAGTGGTTCACCCAACTGGCTGTTATCAATCGGTAAAAGATTTGCACCAGACGTTCGTAGTAATCCTAAATCATCTGGTGCATCTATAATAACAAAGCAATTCTTCAACTTCAGTGGTTCTTATTAATCACAACGCCAGCCTGACAATTTAGTCCCGTTATGCAAATTTAGTCCCATACTTGCAAGTAAACCCAACTATAGGCTTTGCCCGTGCTATAAACAATTAGATTTTTGCAATTTGCACTTACTGGTGAGATCTCGTAAAGCGTTTGCTACTGATTCAGAGGAACCATAAACCATGGAAGCGTCCAAATACGCTGTATTTACATTCATTTGTTCTCTTGGTAATAGTTTGAAGCCATTGATTGGACATCTTGCAGCTGATCTAATTAATCTAATACAGGGTCTGCCAGAAGCAGGGAGAATAGCGAAACATGGGTCTGTGAAATCTGCGGAGCTACCATTACATCTAGTAAAAAGAAAAAGCAGAGGTTGTTGTAAACAAACAAGATATTTAATGCATTGGATAATGGACTATTTTACTTACGGAATATCTTCACACACATCACCATTTTCACTCTCCGGTGCCAATGTCATATCATGATCAAGAAATTGTCCAAATTGCATAAACATATGTGAAATACCGTCTCTGTTTAATTGATTTTTTGATTGAATTATTATGAAAAGCTCGGTAACGGTTGAAGGGTTTGGTAAGTCTGGTGCGTTTGGTTGATTACTGGGTGGTTCGTTCAGGCCTTCTGCGTCATAATATATTGCTGGTAAAAACCTGTTAAAACCAGTTGGAGCTGAACCCGCAGTCGGATCTACCTGGTTATTGCAAGTACCATCAAAGGTACGATAACGTAATGTTTCTCGAGGACATTTGGGCTCTTCATTTTCAGGTATGCAACCTGTTTCTTCAATCAACTCTTCCAGTTTTTCAGGAGTTAGAATTCCTTGAGGTCCAATATGAATGTCACTAACACCGATATTTACTAAAAGTGGAGATAAAGTGTGTTAATTAGTAATTGTTACGTCGGTGAACGTGAAACAATTGAGTGAAACATCCTTTCAGCACGAGATGATCATGTAATATGTCGCACACTAACATAATGTTTTCGTCTATATTTATTTCCAAAAGTATTTCGAGAAGGACCGGTCACGGCGCACGTTTTCATTTAGCAAACATAACACAGCTAACTCATGCATTTGTGTAATATAAATAACTTATTGAAATTATATATTTTACTGCAGTAAAATATATCTTATAAGATCGTTTCAGTATGAAAAGTAATTATATAACTGTATCGATTTCTATAAAACCGTCTTTATCGGCGTCGTAAAATTAATGTTGGGATATACTGTCCTACCTTCAAGTTTAGCAAGAATTAATTTAAACAGCTGATTGATAGCTGCCCCGAAATTGCATTCAGCGAGTGAAGTGTTTTTGGATTTTGCTGTTCCTTGCAACAAAATTCGATGGAATTTTTTTGGCCAAGGAAATGTATTTGTTGTTGGCCGAAATGGATTGCTTGGCTTGGCCAAATTTTTTACATTTTCGATGATTCTTGGAAGCAAATCATTAGCAAATCCCTCTTTCAGAACGATAAACTCTATGTCAATGGTGTTAATAACTTCTGTGCCTTTCGTCTGAGTCAAAACGATCATGATTCTGCATGTCTTATCGGTTCTCCAATTAAGAATACCCAGAAATGACTTTGCCAACTTTATTGTTCCTTTATTGGCATCACTGAGACTAAATGTGTCCCGGTAGGATGAATCTGTCACCTCGATGCTAAAAATTGAGGCTTCTTCGGGTGTCTTGAATCTATATATAATTTCGTTTTCCCTTGCAATCTCACTGATGATACATTGTTGGGAATAACCTAAGTTGAGAAAAATATAAGGATTTATATTTCATTTAATCATTAAAATAATTATACGAAGATAAAAAATGATTTGAATAAAGTTAACCCTTCTTCACTTTCTGTTTTTTTTTCGTGTCCTCATAAATCCAATCATATACTTTTCTATACTCAAATTGTAGTTACTTACGCGCAGATTGCGATGGTGAAATAAATGCCAAAAATACAACAACGGAAATCAAGTTCATGATTCCCATGGCGAGTATCTTGAAGACTATCTTCTCAGTTTTTCTTTGTGGAGCTGTTGTGTCCCTTGCTGGATGTATGAATCCACTGTGTCTTACTGCAAGGTTCAAACACTGCAGCTTTTATAGCCAGCATTTGACGTCATCGTCGGCTGTGAACTTTAATCCGCCTGGGAGGCGAATAAAAGGTTGTTGTATCGCCCCCTATCCCGTTTCCGTATTGAAACTCACGAATATCGTGCAGTTTTACAAACATTAGCGGTTTCCCAAACATTAGGCAAAACAATAAAAAAATCGCTTTATCTGAACAGACATGCGTAACACAATATTCATGCATTTGTTGGTTATAAAATGATCCGGGTTTCTGGACTATATAGAATTTGGAATATATGTATTTTAAATAGAATTAATATAAAGAAATTTCGTTAAAATGCATGCTACTACAACAAAATTGTATCTAAACATGTTTCAAAAGAAGACAAGAAATATCTACATTGCGTGATATTCTAAAAAGATTATATGCTCACAATTACGTTAAGAGCAATTGACTATATTGGTAAGCTTGCAATATCATTGAATTTAAATTTAAACGATACAAAAATAGTTAATTAGATACTTTTGCTCATTTTGCTAAAATTATAGTTAGTAATCCTAGTCATCGCAGAAAAAAAACTCGTTTAGTAGTGTAACATTTGAAGTTAAAGGTAAAATCGTCTTTATTAGAGACCTTTAGCTTGACGTTTATGACAACCCTCTAACGGCAAACAAAAAAACTCATTTCGAAGTTTCAAAACAAAAGCTAGGTTTCTGAGGCCGAGAAAATTGGTGCATTATTTTCAAACGTAGAGTAACTACTAAGACAAATTGTGGCCGAGAAAGTGCCAAAAATCTTATTTTAAATGTTCTTTGAAATTTGCTGTTCGCGGTTTGTCATATTGGTTAAGCTAAAGGTCTCAATTATGGAGATCTCACATGCAATTGAGATGAAGACCGTTATTCTTCAAAACGCGAACGTCAAATCAGATGCGTTATAGTTTGGAAAATTTCTTTATCGTCCGACTTAAAGAACGCAAGATATATAAGTATACAATATACATAAGCATTGTCGCAATAGAAGCAGCCTTGAAGTTGATCGATCATTAATCAGGTCATTAATTTTCCACTTTTAAAAGCTTTTCTGCATACTACATGACGTACGCGTAATAATATATCATTAAAATTGCTGCTAACTGACTTGCGTGCATGAACTTACGTATATATAGCTATACAGTGAAAAACCACTGAACACAATGAAGACAAGTATATATGAGGTTGGGTTCTGCTGATAATTTAGTGTGTTTTTGCCAACCTAAAATTACCGGCTGAATTATATAACAACTTAGTTTTATAACTTTGCAAAAAAGGCGACAGTGGAAACCGAAATGGCTATAAAAATATAAACATGTAAAACGACGGTGCATAATCATCAAGACAAAAGTGAGCCATTGACCGGTTGTTGTACATAATTCCCTAGTTACATAAACAAACTAATTTTATCCAGCGCTTGGCGCTGAGACGTGCACAAAAATGCTCTTTGCCTTAAGAATCTCGCCGGCACTCCTCGACAGGATGAACATAATTGTTTGCTGGTAATATATATTCTTCATAGTGCATGACATGTTTTTTTGCCAGAATAATAATTACCCTGTGTGAAATGATATAGCCGTCCGTTTCTCATTGACATTGTGGATATAGTTATTGCTGCTTAATTGGTCTAGTTTTTAGTCTGCATCTGAATTGTATATCTTCTATCGATTCTCCTTAAACCCGACATGGGTATATTTTACTTTCAATAGATTTCCCTTTACTAACTGTGGTACATGTAACATGATCTAAAAAACAGCATGCATATTTTTTGTTCAAGTTTAGTCATGTATAAAATACTTTATATTATATAGCTAGGAATACAACGATGATAAATATATATACGAGAACTTCTTTGGACAAAGTAATTATTCACTTAAGCTGACTGAATACATGCATGCATTTATTCTCCTATCGTATATATACAATGTATATACATGCATATAAATACTGTAGCTATAGTTTTACCGGTCGAAATCCTTTTCTTATATCTATATATAGACGAAGACGGAAGTTTTCCATGCAGTTGAATTATTTGATAGTCTATAAAGACGAAATTTCTGATGCACGTATATGAAAAGTATATTGGACCTCATCTCAAAGTTTGGACAAATATCATAAGAAACATCACTCGAAAATTGTTTTCTGATGATTACTTCAGCAGTGCAGTTCATTATTGTCCATGTACAGCCGGCCCGGCTAATTCAATTAAGGTTGTCCTCTGAAGGTTAAAATTCAAAACTCCAAAACCTCGACCTCTACGACCGAAAAGCACAACTAGACCTCAATAAATTTCCATTCTGATGTAACTTTTAGCTGTTAGTATATTTAGCAAGACTCTTCATGACCTAACTTGGTAACTGCAAAATATCATGACCAACTAAAAACGATTTAAAAACTTTTGTACCAACCCAGTGTGCTTTTCGGTCGTAGAGGTCGAAGATTTGTAGTTGGGGTTTTGACCCTTAGCGGACAACCTTGATTAAATTAGCTGTATATATATATAACGTACATTTGTTAAATAGGTGCTGCATGTGTATTTTAAATGTGATTGGTTCATTCGCAGCTACATACTAACTTTTTTGACGAAGGCCCTCAGGTAGAAACGTCGAGAAGTGTTTTGTCTATTTTAGGCAGTTCTTTTAGCACATTTGATGCTCACTCATCAGTAGTTATGAAATTATGACAGATTGACAGGGACAGGAAAAGCAGCAGTTCCAACGTAAAAAAGATTTTCTCTGTGCTTTAGAGAATCACACGGATGCAATCGCGTTAATAGCATTATATAACATGCACAATTTGTCTCAAGTGGCTTAAGTATATTACGTACATGCAGGAAATCGTCTCTCAAATTAAGAGAGCCGCACCGCTGCCATCCAAAGCTGAATGGAATTGAAGATCATAAATGGGGCCAATTATAGAGAATGTTCCTGTTCGCATGCAAGCAGCAATCTGGTAATAGATATACAGATATACTAAACACATAAATGCCAAATTCTAATTCATTGCAGAGGAGATACACAGTTATACTGTGTGCATTACTGGCAGATAAAACATCATGCTGTATTACATATCGGTCAGTCATATACATGAATTTACACCTTCTGATGCATGCAAATATATATAAAAAGTTCGTATAGTTCGAAAATACAAGAACAGTCCCTTACACAGACTTTGGCTGATTTTCTCTGTCGTTATTGATATAGTGATCGTCGCACTGATTAAATAAAGCAGTGTTATATTGTGTAAAATACGAAATTTGAACTTATGCTTGGCTAAATACGACAATTAGCTACTTTCTTTAGATGGCTGTTAAGGATCACAAGATCGTGTATTATAAGAATTTTAAAAATATAAACGAATGAATAAATGAACGAATATCATCCACATGTCTTCACCAAAACTGGTCTGATGAGACAGACGTATTACTCAAGAAGATTATCGCATGCTAAAATGAATGACTATTTCGTGTAATGTAGGTCTGGTAGGAAATTGAAAAAGTTCAGAATAATTATCAGTAGATTATAATAGATATACAAAGATAGAAAGAAATATTAAGGTCACGATCATGCATCTCTTTACCACTGTTTAGTTCGTTCATTTACGAAGTCATGAATTAAGACCATGCATTGAAATATCACATTGGCCAGTACGCAATGGTTCACTCCGGCATACAGGCCTACATATAGATCAGTGGCGTTATAAACTATGCACTTTTAAAAAACAAAAACGGAAATAATGATCACCTTAAAATTTTTGTTGATAACTTGCTGGCACAGACATTAGAAAATGTTAAAGAAGTAGAAATAGAATAAAATGCCTAATGTGGCTGGAGGAGAGAAAACCTGTCTGGCATGACCTCGGTCAAGAGACTATATTATAGCTTCTTTAATACATATTTGAGTTTTAGTTTAATTCGTTGGAGACATTCTAAAAAAGAACAGAGGCCATAAGGCTTATACAGGGTCATCCAAACAAGTTTGACCTTGTTTTTGCATTCCTTGCTCAGAGAACAACATCCGGGTATCAATTTAATTAATGCATGCAACTGAAAGGCCCTATTTCGATCAAGCTTAATCAGCGGATTAAACGTATACACAGCCTGTCAGCTCGACGATCTTAGCTACATATTTTTAACAGAATCATGCCTAACTGCTTGATGTCGACCATGGTCATATTCGCCAGAAAATGGCAAATACGACCATGGTCATCTATCCCGGAAAATGGCAAATACGACCATGGTCATATTCGCCGGAAAATGGCAAATACGACCATGGTCATATATGCCAGAAAATGGCAAATACGACCATGGTCATATTCGCCGGAAAATGGCAAATACGACCATGGTCCTATTCGCCGGAAAATGGCAAATACGAGCATGGTCATATTCGCCGGAAAATGGCAAATATGACCATGGTCATATTCGCCGGAAAATGGCAAATACGACCATGGTCCTATTCGCCGGAAAATGGCAAATACGAGCATGGTCATATTCGCCGGAAAATGGCAAATATGACCATGGTCATATTCGCCGGAAAATGGCTAATACGACCATGGTCATATTCGCCGGAAAATGGCAAATACGACCATGGTCATATTCGCCCGAAAATGGCAAATACGACCATCATACCTAATTTTAGTGTGCAGTGATATTCAATTTGTGCAGTGATGAAAATAGAATGTGCAGTGATAAAATAAGAAAATGTGCAGTGATAAATGGTATTTTCTCAACAGAACTCACTCTGTTGAGACGGATTCGTCAGTAGTTGTCCCCCAAAATGCTGGAAATCAAGTCATAGGGACTTCAAAATACGGAAAATTTTCTGCGGCAGGTACTGCAGACCCCCTACATCTCATGCATCCATCTTTGAATTACCAATTTCCAATTAGTACCATGCAATTGTATAATCTACTATACCCGGTACTATACTATTGTAATCATATGTTGAGTGATAAAAAAATTTTGATATTACCTATGCTTGATAATACTTAAAGTATATTCTAGTCATCTATAAAATATGGTAGAAAATTACGATGAAGATAAACCAAAACTAGTTTGAAACTAGTTTCAGGTGTTGTAGAATTTCTAATTACAATAGACTATTCCCCTTTTATACAATTAGCAATGAGCACAACACTAAAATTAGCAATGAACACAAAGATTCTTAGCCTAAAGCATACGTTTTACCAAATGTATTTGCTGTATCTTAAATTTATAGGATTAGAAAAGAAGTTGTTGTCTTTCCCAAACATGGCTTACATCGTAGCTGGCTTTGTTATGCATGTTAGTTGAAATTGAGCGTAACACTAAAAAATGATGGCAAGAAAAATTCCTAATGACGTGAAATTTAAACACAGCGAAAAAAATAACTTCCTCTTTTATGCCTGTCCTTTAAAAGACGTCAGTTCGCTTCTTTAAACGATTTCCGACCGCATTGCATTCCGGTAGAATGTACATCCGCCATCTTTTTTGTTATAGTCAATCGTGGTGTTATTTATGTTTCTACGTCGACGAGTGGAAGAGACAACCGTCCACGACCAAATAATGATAGTTTACTGTTTATATCATGTGACTTGAGAACAAAATATATTCGGATATATATACATGTATATATATACAGATAACGAGCACCGCCCCAAATCAGCTGTAAACAGTCTTTTATTGATAACCACCAAGTTGATTACACAAAAGATACATCATTAATAAGTAATAAAACGAAATAAGTCGTACAATTGTTCTTTTATTACATTCTCGCTCCTAGGGTTAACTATACATTCTCGTTCCTAGGGTTAATTATACATTCTCGTTCCTAGGGTTAATTATACTATATATTTTAAAGACGATTCAGTGTGAGGGGGAAGTGGGGTGAGGGGGGTGAGGTACAGCACTCTGACCTATTCTAGTGCAACTAGGTCAGTGGAGCAGCATCGGTTCTCCCAATGAACAAGAGGCTCCGAAATTGCTCGATTTTCCCATATTCAATTTGTTTTCAAATTCATTTAGATGCATGCATTCATATGAAAAATATTTCACCTTAATCATCAAATTGCATGCAGTCGAAGTGGAGGAACTGGAATTTGGTGGAATTATATTAGGCAGATAGTTACATGTGAAACGAAATTCCCCAAGTACCTCCAAAGGCAAAGGCAAAATAATTCTGCCTGAGCTTTCGTATAATAGTTATCTACATGACTACAATATAGAAATATGTAAATACAATTATATGACCTAGCCTGAGTGGCCTCTATGGCGAGTTCGCCGAATTTCTCGTGTGACTGAACATTTTCTCCTACCAACTATTTCAGTAATTTCACTCTTTTATTACAACAAATGTTCGATCTTTAAGGTTGTGTACTTGTGTTATTGAGATAGATATAGAGCGTTTTGTTCTTCAGTAAGCATAATCTTCATTAGAACCAGCAAGGCGTAAAATGACAGCTAGCATAATTGCACACAAGTAAAGTTTCTTTGAGGCAGACTGAAAATGTAACTCAGTTTGTCTTTAATGTTTCCACGAAATGAGTTGACAACTTTTATGAATGGGGAGGTTGGATTTAAAGTGTTTCATTCACGTTGGCGATACGGTGCAGCAACTACAACAAACAACGGTTTGATTTCTTCAGTTCAAACGTATATACCCGACAACCGTGTAATAACACAACGGATTGTCTCTATTATTATGCCATGCACGGTTTAAAACGCCATTCGTCTAGTTTGGATTCCGCGATATGGCTCGATTTCATATGCCCTGTTTTGAAAATTCATACCCGTGCGTAATTTGAAGTGCCTAATTTTTTCTCGCATACGTTGTACTTTACTCGAAACAACAAACTGCTTTAGCATTGTGAGTAGTTCTGGTTGATGCATCGCCTCGACCAAATCCAAAAACACATCGAAGTTCCTAGGTCCAAGAAGACCGAGTTCTTCGAGTCTAGAGAAGACCTGTAGTGCAGTACAAAGTTGTTCCATCTTGCCAGCTGGAATATAATCCTTCAAAACATATTTGATGCTCCTTAAATCATCATCTGTGAATTCGTTCGCAAATCCCACCATGAACGAACGATATTCTGTCATTTCTGCGCGAATATCCATTGCGTAATTCTCACTGACACTGTATACGTAAACGTGAAATGCTGAGAATCAAAGCACTTTGTCAATGTCGAGTTGAGGTGTTTTTTGTTGTTCAAAAGGACAACAACATGTACAGGTCATGTATCATATATAAAACGAAGGATTAGGCTTCTAGCTAAAGTATGGATCGAGTTTCGGGTGGATGAAAACGCGGATATGCATGCGGAAATGGGGATGAAAATCGGATTTGGGTTAAATAGGACTTGTGTGTGTGGAATTCAGTATAATATTCATTCAGCTTTGTCTTCATGTCGATTTCTATTACGTTTTAGTCATAAAATGAGCCTGTATACTAGCTATAACTGAAACAGGCCCCTGGAGCAAGGTGTATAAAAAGTGGTAACTTTTAACTATACAGTTCTAACTAATTGTCAAGGTTTGCCCCCAAATAGAAATTATTTCACTGTTATATATTTTTTGGAAGTTAAATAAAAGCGGTGTGCTGAATCCCCAGATCAGTCAGGTGTAATCGCAAATCATAGACTGATGGTTAACACATGCACTCGACCAATCCACACGTAATACTTCAGTGGTGTGTATTCTACCATGCGAACGGTGAATCAGAGTGAGTCTACTTGAATTATTTAACTCAAAAGAACGGAAGTTTATGCATCCTTCTGTTCTAATTCCTATACCAAAATATTTTGTCAAAAATACTTCATTTGTTGTTAGTTCTCTTTTGTTAGCAGAGCTGAAACTGGACGCGTGATTGCATTCATATGTTCCGGTCTTTTGTCCGACTGATTTCCCAATATTTTTATCATTTTACGTGCGGTATGAGACATGTCGGGTATGTCTGGTATTTATGAGTCGCAGACAAAAGGTGACCTCTGTATCATTAGTCATGATTGATGTATAAAATATACTTTAGCTTACGCCGTAAAAAATATACTTCTCCATTCGCCATTGAAGTCTGCGACATCCTCGACCGTCTGTGAGTGATGAAAATAAGGGTTAACCGCTCAAGAGTACGAACGCTGCGGAAATATTTAGTGTAAATGGCAAGAAACGTCATGCAGGCAGCAAAACTGCCAGAACATTCTGTTACTCGCTTGTAGGCTATTATTACTAACCGAGTACGCCGGAAGAGATATGGAAGTCAGCGGTATCCCTCAACTTCCTTTGTTGTACCCCATATCCACTCTTAACCCCAATCCTACCCTGCTCTTACTCTCCAATGCATAGTGCGTGGGTTTCTCATATCGCTATCCGTTTTTGGCGTTGGATAGCAATATCCAGTTTTCCTGGGCCTCAAAGTATAGTAGCCTCGGATAGGTCCGTTTTATTCCAGTGTTTAAATTATATTTCCTAATTTTTTTTGTAGATGGATTCTTTCAAATCAGACGAGTTTGTGTCCTTGCTTCATTATCAGTTTTAGAGGTCAATGAAAATGATATAAAAGGAATACCAAATGTTTTCCGTGCCGGATTTGCATGAGCCATCCATGAATGTTCAGGGCGCGCGAACGAATTTTCTTTTTAGCCTTTGCCACAATCGGTATATATAGCTTTATTTGGCGAAAGAGTTAGATTGCCGGGGGGTTAGCATAGCTCAAACATTTTCACAAAAATATATCAACTGACAATTCAATTTAAATGATACAGAAGTCAAACATTTGTAAATATTAATTTATACATCAACAAGCAGAAGGCTACATATAAATCGATGCAGAATATATACCTCAATATACCGAATATATACCTCATGCAACGAATATATACCTCATGCATCTTATGAGAGGAATGGAACAAAGTGAAACCTGCATTAAACCAAATGCAGAACGAATATATACCTCAATGGAACGAATATATATACCTCATGCACCTTATGAGAGGAATGGAACAAAGTGAAACCTGCATTAAACCAAATGCAGAACGAATATATACCTCAATGGAACGAATATATATACCTCATGCACCTTATGAGAGGAACGGAACAAAGTGAAACCTGCATTAAAAACGATTACTCACTGCATGCGTGACCAGAAGTTGTGGACAGTTCACTATCCTGTACTCCCACATCCTAATACCTTCAATATTGTTTTGAAAATTAACAAAAGTAATCATTAAGTGAATATTGAGAGACGAGAAATAACAGATCTATTCCGTTAGCCGGTCGTTAGGTACAAAGTGTATAATAATATTATTTAGAATTTTCTGAAAACGGTTGGGTGCCGGGGCTGCCGCAAAGGAAGTTGAACTGCATTAGCACGAATGTTAATTTTGCCGACAAATGGGCAAGGTAATTAAGGGCAAGCAATAGCGTATCTAATGAAAAACTGAAAACCTTAATACACGCTTTTTTATTTAGGATTATAACAAAGAGTTACGCAAGCTTGTTATCCATACTTGTTAGTCATCGTCAGTAATACATTACTACCTGCACAGCGGGCTACACATCATAATGAATATCCTATACATACCCATATAATAGATATGCAGGGAGTACACATTTCACAACTAAATTTGGTGACTTTAGTGCATGTATGCCGTCTTTTTGATGCTGGATTATGTCGATGAATAATAGTTCGCCTTTGGCGCTTCACGTCTTCTTTGGAAATCTATAATTTTTCAACTGAAGAAACAGTTGCATGCGTTGCTCCTTCGTCTTATAGAAACAGTCGTTTTTCTTGAATAACCACAAAAATCTAACGGAAAATTTGGTGACTTGGTCATGTTACCTCCTATCCGGCTGCTTTGCTCTGTGTATAGACATTATAGCTGTGTGTATGAATACAGCGCTTTAAACATGAAAATGGTTTTGCCTTTCAGTTTGGAATGTCCACAATGTCCTAATTTGACTATATTTGTTATTGACTATCCGGCTAAAACTTTATTTCAATCAAACTTAAAAATAAATGCTGATTTAAAAGCAGGCACTTCAATCACGTAGCTGTAAGTAATCAATGAATAGAGACATGCAATATCCAATACAATGCAATTTCTTATCTACATTACTTTAGATATTTCGGTTGGCGTCTAAAAGAGTATAAGTATAGCATGCAAAGGCTTGATCGTCAATAATAAAGAAACGGCTTTTTTATGAATAATACCTTACCCAAACTCAAGAAAATTCAAGAAAATAACAAAAAATGAAACGTGCGGTATATGAAATGCCGAAATGTATTATTTCTGATGACCAACGAGGAAGATTTAAGACGTATCGGCAAGTACAATGAAAACTGGGTTATATTCAAGTTTCGACCGCCCGTTAATTAGGTTTTGTTTTATACAAGTTCCCTCTCATTATTACTTTTTTTTTCTTATACATCCAATTTCCTTCTGCTGATGCTTTCAGGAACAAGGTAAGTGCATGCGTGGTAGGTAGTAGCGTAAGTGCTCAAGTACCGCATTTTCATATTTCAAAAATGAAAAAAAAATTGGCAAAATGTCGCAAGATGTCCTTAATTTTAGGCTTTAGGGTGTATCACCGTTTGAAAAGGAGTAGAGTGCTCCTACAGCAAATATTATAAAACAGGAACAAGGAAGTTCTTTGAATCAAATGTCTTTACCGCGCGTCAACTAATAGTATTGTCTTGGGTGCCAGCAGCGAGTCCCCTATTGCATAAAAAGAGTTTACTCAAGAACATTTGTCACAGATTTGCGAAACGCTCGATGCAGAAAGGTGCTAAAAGTATCACTGCATAAAATGGAATGCAAGATCGCATTTTTCTGTTTCATTCTATGTGCTGGAAATACCTTTCTACTCTCTGAAGGTATACAAATTTATGTATATATACTCCAATAACATGTAATTAAGTTATTATATATATGCTTATTATAGCTATTACATACACAATTTTCCTAATGCATATGGTTGGATTCTGTTGGCGATTCGGTGCGTTTTTTTTCTGCAGCATAAAATTATACAACAACTTAGGTTTTAAACTTTTATGTGCGTGTACCGTGTACGTACGTGCAAGAAACGTGAAAGCTGCCCTAATTCATGATAGAAAGCAAAGAGATGCCAGTACACTCACAAGAATATATACACTGCTTGTTTACCTAATACCTATATTCTGGGAAACCTGGTTTGGATTTCAGCTAACCATCTTTACTTGATTTACAAATAAAGTTCAATTAATGCCCTAAATACAAACCTCTGTCAAAAGTATTTTCCTCCTCTTGATACAGAAGAAAAGGGTTTTATATATCACGCTCAATTAATGAAGTGAGTGAGTGAGTGAGTGAGTGAAGAATGTGAAAATTAAGACAAAAACCCAAGCATATATTATTGCACGAATTCTCAAATTATTGACTACTACAAAAAAATACAATCATCGAGGAAACTATAGGATTGGTTCTATCTTAAACGGCGATCATTGCATGTAGGAGGAGATAGAAAATTTTGCAATATTGGATATTATGTCTTTATATCCTCAGTAAACATATTATTATACATTAGAGTAGTAAAAGCAATTTGATAACGCTTACCTCGACCTTGATAACTCTGCATATCACAAAAACCTCATCCAATAATTGTTTATTATACAACTTAAGAACAAAATCAAACGATATCATCTAATTATCTTTTGTTTGAATTGCATTTGACGCGATCAAATTGCAAAGTTTAACCTAGGCCTGAGAGTTCTTCAAATGTTGTCTTGCCTTACTGAATTGTTATGCGGGAACTAGGTGAAGGTCAGGTCTTTCTATATATAGCACATGCACAAAAACAAACAACGAAGCAAAATTTCTTCTCTAGTTAATATATTGTAGCAAAAAATTTACGTTTATATGTACTTGAATAACTACGTCTGAGTGTCTGAAACCTATGTACTATACATAGTCATAGCCTTAACTTTGAGTGTATAGGAACCAGCTCTAGCTTTAATATAGGCCGCTTATGAGCTGTTTTCTTATACATACGTTTTTCAGTTTATACCTACGTATACGCGCGCAAAAACTGAATCATTTGCATTCATCTTCTTGGTAGAAAGAATAGTGTACAGTAAATAAAATGTATATTCATCAGGTACGGTTTACTAATATATCCAAAGATGTCTTGATTTTAAAAGAAAATGTTAGTTTTCTTATATTAATGTCCAATCACTAATTTTTCAGTGATAAGATTTGTAGGTTTGTTTACATTCTTAGCATGATCTTAAATAATCTTAAATCTTAGATCTTAAATCGTGTAAAAATATAGCTATGAATGCTTTAGCTAATTAAATACATATTTACTTAATTTTCTTAGGTATGAAATTCTTGCACAAAAAGTACGTCATCTTGATAACAGCAGGATCAGCAAAAGGTCCAATCGCGAAAATCAAAGTAGAAACATCGTCATCACGAATTTCATATGGTATCCATGGGTCACGCTCGCTTGTAGATATTGATAACCGCGGGAAATTGAAGTTAATGAAGAAACTCGATAATAACGTGGCGGCATCAATAAACAACACAGCGATAACAGTTACAGCCAAGAAACAGGGGACATCTGACAAAGCGTCGACAACAGTTATCATTATCGTTTTACCCGTAAATTTTGGTGACCAATTCGTTTCTCAAATCAAAATGGAAGCAGAATCCAAAGAGAAAAACAAACAACCAAAGTACCGTAATTACTCGAATAAACGCCTCCCTCGAATAAACGCCGCCCTCGAATTAACGCCGCAGGGAAAAGCAAAAATATCATTAAACGCCGCCCTCAAATAAACGCCGCAACCTTTTCGTCATTGCGGCGTTTATTCGAAGCATTTATTTATAACCACTGTAAGAAATTCAAGTATGCGTTTAAATGGCGTTTAAATTACACAATAAATTCAGAGTTGTTACGAGTTTGCAATAAACGCCTCCCTTGAATAAACGCCGCCCTCGAATAAACGCCGCATCTTAATTGCTAAAAATTTAATAAACGCCGCGGCGTTCATTCGAGTAATTACGGTACACACGAATCACACCACGTGACCTGCTTCGGTTTCTCAGAAAGCCGTCGGAAACGGCTAAACAAATGGCATTGTCTCAATTGAAATTGGAAACAAAAGTTATGAAAATCAAACAAAAAATCATACAAATATTTGGTAAGCCGAACGGGTATAATATGTTATGTAGAATGAGGATTTTTCTAATAGCAACAGGGCCGGAAAACGAAATAATAATATAAAATTGTCTATTTTAGCGGCATTGTTTGGGAAAGATAGTGTCATTAAGGTGTATCTACACATCAATGCACTTTTCTCTAAAAAAATGATAGAAGAAATGGAAGAGGAATCAGAATGCAAAAAACCAACTAATGTCAAAGGATGTGTTCCGTATATGAAATATCGAACGTTTGATGGCACTTGCAATAACTTATACTATCCTAATGCTGGAGCATCTGACAGAGGATTTCATCGAATACTAAAAGCAAAGTATTTTGATGAAGATGGACTTAATGATCCCATTGGATATCCCAACCAACCAAATGCCCCAAGTGTACCCTCACCACACCAAGTTAGCAGGGATTTCATTAAAGATGAAGTAGCTGCATCGCCATCCATGTTAACCCACGCTGTCATGCAGTTTGGTCAGTTTATTGATCACGACTTAGACTTGGCCGCTGAGGTGGAAATTGAAAGAAGAAATTTGTGTCATAAAGTACCGTAAGTGATTTAGCTTTCTGTTCTCATTATGGTAAAGGTGCCTGCTGTACCTTGAAAAAATCATAATGGCCTGCTCTAACCCGGGCCAGTTTGAACTCTAAAAGTGACTAGACCAATGATTTCATGATGAGGAAACGCTGTTATTTTTTAGTCCTCATTTCGTCTCTGTTAATTAGCACAGCTGACAGCTCGTGACATTCAGTCAAAACGCATGTTAATAGAAATGATACAATAGAGTTTGAACATAATTTAGGAGTTTGAACTTAATTTAGGATGCAAGTGTCTAAAAATCATCGAACATTACCCACTGCGCATGCATGTACACCAGGCTCTTCACATATTTTAATTGGTCAACAAAACTATAACGAATATTCCCCCGTCGACACGCACTCTGTGTCTTAATGCAACAATCAGCGATAATTACAACAAAAAGTTTATAATCACAATAGATGCAATGGATCATCTGCCGACTTCATGTGTCCATGTTATCCAATTCTTCCAAACGGAAATGCTGGTTGTATCAGAGTGACAAGATCCGCAGCTGTTTGCCAAAATCATGGTCGTTTTAAACCACGGGAACAAATCAATGATAATACTGCATACATTGATGCATCTCAAATTTATGGATCAAGGCTAGGAGATGCAAATAAACTTAGAGAAACAAAACCAGGTACCGTAGATAGATTGTGAAAACACTTTTTTAAAAATAATCACACAAAGCAAAGAATATAGCGCAATCATAAACACCTAGCAATATAAAACGTTAAATTTCAAATACAATGATCTAACTTTCAATTTGCTGAAGATAACGGGTTGCTGAGATCATTACAAGGTTTTGACGGTGAACTTCTCCCACTGGATCAATCGAATCAATCCAAGGAGGCTGAAGAACCGCATTGCCGAAACCTTGGGGGTTGTTTCATTGCCGGAGATTCTAGATCAAATGAACAACAGTCACTGGCAGCATTCCATTCTCTGTTTCTACGTGAACATAACCGTATCGCCAAAAGTCTCAAAAAAATCAATAGTCACTGGGATGGTGAGAAAATATACCAAGAAACACGAAAAATCATGGGTGCCGTGATGCAAAAGATCACATACGATGATTTTCTTCCCCTAATCCTCGGACCAAACGCTATGCCACAATACAAGGGTTACCGCTCGAATGTTGACCCTGGAATCTCAAACGCATTTGCTACGAGTGCTTTTAGATTTGGCCACAGTCTCATTCGGCCCAAATTTGACATTCTGGACACTGGTTTCAACCCGATTGGCGACCCAATTGATCTGCGTTTCATGTTCTTCAATAACACTTTTATTCGACAAAATGGAATCAACGCGCTGCTTCTTGGACTCATTGGAAATTTCTCTGAGAGGGTGGATCGGATTCTATCCCCAGGAATCACTCGGCATCTTTTTGAACGTGAAAATGCTCCTGGGAGTAATCTGGCGGCATTAAACATTCATCGTTCGAGAGATCACGGAATTCCAGGATACAACGAATTTAGAAAGTTTTGCAAGTTAGGGAATGCAGAGACATTCAAAGACACTCGGAAAGAGATTAAAAATCCGCAAAATAGAAATATTTTAAAACAACTCTACGGTGACAACCCTAATTTGGTCGAATTATGGGTTGCTGGTTTAGCAGAAACGCCAGTTCAAGGGGCTAGTGTTGGCCCGACCTTCAAGTGCTTAATTGCAGAACAATTTCAGCGAACAAGAGACGGTGACCGATTTTTCCACGAAAGAGCCGGAGTCCTGACACAAGACATGCTTGCAGAAATCAAGAAAAGCTCGCTGTCTCGTATGTACTGTGATAATTTAAACGTGGTTTCAATTCAACCAAACGCTTTTAAATTACCAACTGGACAAAATACAAGAATCACCTGCGACAGAATCCCTCGTATGGACTTGTGCAAGTGGAAAGGTAACTGCAGGCAATAGAAAAACAACTTATGCTTTAAACAATTGTGCAATTTCCCTTCCGCGGCCTTTGCACTTTCTATCTGCAATTTTCTCGAGATGTACAAAGTGACGAACATGGTTTCATTCCTCACCAATGAGAAATGCTTTTTTTCGTTTCAGAATTATGCTTGAATGGCGAAGTATTTTCAAGAAACGGGAAATGTGTATGTCAATGTAAACAACCATGGTTTGGTGACAGTTGTGAAAGTAATTATATTTTACTTTATGTTAGCATGGGAGGAATATTTAAGACATGTTTTCTTCATTCATTCAAGGCATATTTTACAATTTAGTCATCAGTGACAGTGTATTTGCACGATAACGTCTTTTAATTCACAAATAGTACGTCGAAATTTCAGATTATGTCAACAAAACATAATCGCAAAGCAATAGACGAGCTCAGTGCTAACTTGATGTATAACCACTTTTATTTCATCATTTTGATAATATGGCCCTTTAGAACAGTGTGTACCGTTCGTCAGGTATTATTCGACAAATATTAATCTTGCCCATGCAACAACGTTATTAGCAAAGTTCATATTTAACTTCCTCCCCCCCCCCCTCAATTTTCAAAGAAATACACCAATGAGATGCCATATGTCTACCATGCAGATTATCTAATGACAAAACAGTAGTTAAACGAACGTTACTACGCTAGTGGTAAAGAAAGGCAGTTCAGAGCCTCGCTAATTTTATAGTGATTGTTTCACTTGTTAGATAAACTGGCAGGTGTATCAGTTGCGTGGCATGCAACTATTTATAACTCCGTGAAAACAATTGTTTGCTCTGGAGCGCTTATTGGAAGGAAACATGTATTAACCACAGCAAGTTGTGCAAGACGTGCGTCCATAAATGGCTACGTCGACCTCGGGTATTGGAATACAATCACATGGTATAACGAAATTCCTATTAAGTCTATCAGGAAATCAAAATTGCACAAGAATATCGTGGAAATCGAACTGGGATGGGAAATGATACGAGGTACATACGTATATCCCATCAGTACCGGTTACATCTCAGCTCAACGACCAACTTACGTCACAGCCTGGGGGCCTTCACAATGTCTTCAAATTTCCAGAGTAATATTCTCAGCTTCGAAAAGTTGCAAAAGTGTTTTCGATCTGTTCAATGGTTTTAAAGATGTTTGCACGCTGCCTGCCGGGTTGCCTGTGGGGCCGATAAAAAGTGGTAGTCCTTTGGTGCAAGTTTATCAAGGACAAGTGTACCTTGTGGGGTTGCTGACCGACGTGAAGAATGGATTTGGCAAATATATAAAAATTAGATAAACTTTGAATTTCGCTCGATATAATGCGAAAAATATTTCTGCATGTTTTACTTGAATGTGGCTGGTGTTAAATGTGATTAAATATCATTTTGTTATCTTTGCGCATTTTTGACGGGCAAAGTTTAGTAATAGTTTTTTACTCTGTATTGTAAAACTGATTTAAAATTGCAATTGTTCCAATAAAATATGATGGTGTTTTAGCTAACGTAGCTCACACCAAAGGAATCCGCGAAGTAAATCGATTTAAGAACGGCGATTTTAATCTTGTGTTACTTTATTTGTCATAGGTTCGTTGCATGATATACTGTACACTGCAGGACACTGAAGGTCATGTTCCCCTATCAAGCAGTATCCTCCTGTATTGACTAATGTCTGTCACTGAGTTTTAGTAGATAAATACTGTCAGTCTATCACTATAGACACCAGGATTCTATATATGAGGTATGTCATATTCTTGCACCCCACCAGTAATTTTCCGGTGATCAACTCGTTCCTCTTGCACACTGTTCCTGAGTCGTGGCGATTCTTCCAAATTGTTTAGTCGATCTGAAACAACTTTTCGTTTAAGAACGTCACATATTTCTTGACGAATACAATGTTTTAAAGCATCGATCTCTTGCCTTTCAAGTCTTTTCGCCTGTGTTGTAGCGGGACCAATTTCAAAGAAAGCGAACTTAATTCGAGATTTAGTCATTAACAATATGAACAACAGTAAAAAAATTGTCATCAGAATGACCATGATAAATAAAAGGTGCTTAATTTTTTCATCTTCATTTTTATGATTAACTAGAAATCCAAGGATAGTGCAAAGTTTCCATGCCCTATATTACCTAAGCAACCAGACGTTTGTCCCAACATAAACATTTTGACTTACGCCAGAAAAAATATAATGAACTACATATAGGTGGCGCGTTTTCTCAGTTTAGTCTCTTTTCTTCGTCGAACAACTGTGACCACATTTACTTATATGATGGCAACAATTTATCCGTCATTTCATAGGAATAGGCTAGCCAAATAGTTGCGTTGTAAATAATGTAAAGAAACCGCGGTGTATATTAATGTCGATGATGTGGATACTTCATCACTTGCGTGACCAGAAGTTGTGGACAGTTCACTATCCTGAACTTCCACATACCTTCTCTATTGTTTTGAAAATTAACTTCAGAAGTAATTAATGAGTAAATATTGAGCGATGAGGAATAACTGATCTAATCCGTTAGGTACAAAATGTATATTTAGAATTTTCCAAAACGGTTGGGTGCCGGGGTTGCCGCAAAGGAAGTTGAACTGCATTAGCACGAGGGTTAATTTTCCCGACAAATGGGCAAGGTAAGGGAAGCAAGTGCGTGGTTAACGAAAAACAGAAAACCTTAATACACGAATGTTTTATCTAGAATTATATCAAAGAGTTACGGAAGTTTGTTATCCATACTTGTTAGTCATCGTCAGTAATACATTACTACCTGCGCAGCGGGCTACACATAATAATTATAACGAATATCCTTACGCGGCACAGAGATCGGCACTCCTCATATAAAATAAATGTTCTGTTCGGCAAGCAGTGAGACTGATTTTACCACTTTTTAAATTATAGCAAACTCGAGCTCAAGTTATTAACTTACTCAAAATAAAGATATTTCGTTGCCATCGGATGGATGCAAAAATGTATGTATGCATGTAAAACGGTAACAGGTGTTTGTCAGTCTGTATCTTTCATTTCTGTAAGTTGGGCAGTCAGTCATGTGAACACTTTCCGTACGTGGTCAGAACTATGAAGAAAACGACATACCCATATAATAGGCATGCAGGGAGTACACATTTTACAACTAAATTTCGCGACTTTAGTGCATGTATGCCGTCTTTTTGGTGCTGGATTATGTCGATGACTGCTTTGCCTTTGAAGTTTCACGTCATGTTTGGAAATCTATAATTTTTCAACTGAAGAAACAGTTGCATGCATTGCTCGTTCGTTTTATAAAAACAGTCGTTTCTCTTGATTAACCACAAATATCTAACGGAGAATTTGATGACTTGGCGGTAAATGTTACCTCCAATGCGACTGCTTTGCCCTGTATAGACATTATAGCTGTGTATGAATACAGCGCTTTAAATATGAAAATGGTTTTGGGAATGTCCACAATGTCCTAATTTGACTATTTGTTATTGACTATCCGGCTAAGACTTTATTTAAATCAAACTTAAAAATCATTTAAAAGCAGGCACTTCAATCACGTAGCTGTAAGTAGTAGACATGCAATATCCAACACAATGCAATTTCTCATCTACATTACTTCAGATATTTTGGTTGGCGTCTAAGACGAAGAAGCAAAACTTGATTGACATATACATGTGTTTACTCGTCAATAATAAAGAAAGTGCATGGCTTTTTTATGGATAATACCTCACCCAAATTCACGAAAATTCAAGAAAATAACAAAAAATGAAACGTGCGGTGTATGAAATGCCGAAATGTATCATTTCTAATGTTAAACCAGGATGATTTAAGACGTATCGGCAAGTACAATGAAAACTAGGTCAAGTTATATTTAGGTTAGGCTTTGTCTTATCCAAGTTCCCCTCATTAATTAAGCTCTTTGTTTTACGAAAGTTCCCCGTCATTATGATGTTCAGTTTTTTTACATCCAATTTCCTTCTGGTGATGCTTTCAGGACCAATCGGATAAGTACATGCGTAGTGGATAGTATATATAGCGTACGTGCTTAAGTAACGCATTTTTACACTCATATTTCAAAAATGAAATGACGCAAGATGTCCTTCATTAGGCTTTAGGGTGTATCTCCGTTTGAAAAGGAGTAGAATGCTCCTACAGCAAATATTATGAAACAGGAACAAGGAAGTTCTTTGAATAAAAGGTCTTTACCGTGTAAAATAGTATTGTTTTAAGTGCTAGCAGCGAGCCCCGTATTGCATAAAAAGAGATTACTCAAGAACATTTGTCACAGATTTGCGAAACGCTCGATACAGAAAGGTGCTAGAAGTATCACTGCATGAAAATGGACTGCAAGATCGCATTTTTCTGTTTCATTCTATGTGCTGGAAATAACTTTCTACTCTCTGAAGGTATATCAATTTATGTATATGTACTCGAATAACATGCACGTAATTAAGTTTTTGATTCACTAAATCTATAACAAAGATATGCTTAATATATAGCTATATATACATTTTAAATAGTTTTACATATACAATTTTCCTAATGCATATGGTTGGATTCTGTTGGCGATTCGGTGTGTTATTTTCTGCAGCATAAAATTGTACAACAACTTAGGTTTTAAACTTTTACGTGCGTGTACGTACGTGCAAGAAACGTGAAAACTGCCCTAATTCATGATAGAAAGCATCGCCTGAAAACAAACTGTCGCCTGAACCACTGAAATTAGCAAAGAGATGCAAGACACTCACAAGAATATACACACTGCTTGTTTACCTAATACCTATATTCTGGGAAACCCGGATTGGATTTCAGCTAACCATCTTTACTTAATTAATTGAATAATAAAATAGCTCAATTAATGCCCCCTAAAAACAAACCTGAAAGGCTCCTCTTGATACAGAAGAAAATGGTTTTATGTATCATGCTCACTGAAGTGAGTGAAGAATGTGAAAATTAAGACAAAAACCCATACATATATATTATTGCACGAATTCTCAAATTATTGATCATCTTCCCAACTACTACAAATTTAAAAATACAATCATCAAGGAAACTAGGAATGGTTCTATCATAAACGGATTTCATTGCGTGTAGGAGGAGTTAGAAAATTCCGCAATATTGGATATTATGTCTTTATATCTTCAGTTGACAGATATTATACAACTTGAGGACAAAAACGTTTTATAAAGAGTATACAAACAAAAACGTTTGTAATGCGTAATTGAAAGGTTTTTTGTATACTAAAATTAATGATTGCATATATGAAGTATATTAATTATATGAAGTATAATTCAGATTTTATATATTAAATATTTTGATTCATTATTCAAGATTCATCACCCGATGTAAAGATTACAAATCTAGCATGCAAGCTTGTTCTTGAAAGGCAGTCAATGAGTAGGAATAAGTGAAGTATCATTTCAAGTGCGGCCTAGAATCTTCAGTTAACCTGGCAAGCAGAGTGCCAATTATTTGCTTTCTTATCGATCGGCTTCTGTTAAATCAGTTTCGATAGTCCCACGGTATCAGTGGCGCCGGATCTACGGGGGCAGCTTACCGTGGGGCGAGCGGGGGTAGCCCTGTGCTTACTGGGGTGAACGGGGGTAGCCCTGTGCTTACTGGGGCGAGCGGGGGCAGCTTACCGTGGGGCGAGCGGGGGCAGCCCTGTGCTTACTGGGGTGAACGGGGGTAGCCCTGTGCTTACTGGGGCGAGCGGGGGCAGCTTACCGTGGGGCGAGCGGGGGCAGCCCTGTGCTTACTGGGGTGAACGGGGGTAGCCCTGTGCTTACTGGGGCGAGCGGGGGCAGCCCTGTGCTTACTGGGGCGAGCGAGGGCAGCCTTGTGCCCTTTGCTACTGTGTAAAAGTGTCATAAATTCACCATTTAATCACAATTCCTACTTTTCGCATAAAAACTAACCGGTAATATTATTGAAAATGCTCTCCCGTGGATTTTCAAGTTCGCATTCATTATCATCTCATTCGACGCGACCAAAATGCGAAGTTTAACCTAGGTCTAAGAGTTCTTCAGATGTTGTCTTGCCTTACTGAATTGTTATGCGGGAACTAGGTGAAGGTCTTTCTATATATAGCACATGCACAAAAACAATCAACGAAGCAAAATTTCTTCTCTAGTTAATATATTGTAGCAAAAAATTTACGTTTATTCATACTTGAATAACCACGTCTGAGTGTCTGAAAGCTACGTCCTAGTCATAGGGCTAACTTTGAGCGAAGGAAGTAGCTCCACGCAGCGTTGCGATCAGATCGTCTTTCTGTTATTAGTATAAGAAAATTAAAATTTTATTTTAAAATCGAGACATCTTTGAACTTATAAGTAAACTGATATACCCGAATATATGTTTTATTTATTGTACACTACTCTTTCTACGAAGAAGATGAATGCAAATGATTCAGTTTAAACTTTTACGTTTGTATACGTATGTAATAACTAATTTTTCAGTGATAAGATTGGCAGGTTTGTTTAATCCATAGGATGATCTTAGATTATCTTAAATTGATTGATCTTAGAAAGTGTAAAAGTAACGATAAATGCTTAATTTAGGTAAAAATCCTCAATAAATCTTAATTTTCTTAGGTATGAAATTCTCGCACAAAAAGTACGTCATATTGATAACAGCAGGATCAGCAAAAGGTCCAATCGCGAAAATCCAAGTAGAAACATCGTCATCACGAATTTCATATGGTATCAAAGGGTCACGCTCGCTTGTAGATATTGATAACCACGGGAAATTGAAGTTAATGAAGAAACTCGATAATAAAATGGCGGCATCAATAAACAACACAGCGATAACAGTTATAGCCAAGAAACAGGGGACATCTGAAAAAGCGTCGACAACAGTTATCATTATCGTTTTACCCAAAAATTTTGGTGACCAATTCGTTTCTCAGATCAAAATGGAAGCAAAATCCAAAGAGAAAAACAAAAAACCAAAGAACACACGAATCACACCACGTGACCTGCTTCGGTTTCTCAGAAAGCCGTCGCAAACGGCTAAACAAATGGCATTGTCTACATTGAAATTGGAAACAAAAGTAATGAAAATCAAACAAAAAATCAGAAAAATATTTGGTAAGCCGAACGGGTATAACATATTATGTAAACTGATGAAGATTTTTCTAATAGTAACGTACAGGGCCGGAAAACGAAATAATAATATAAAATTGTCTATTTTAGCGGCATTGTTTGGGAAAGATAGTGTCATTAAGGTGTATCTACACATCAATGCACTTTTCTCTAAAAAAATGATAGAAGAAATGGAAGAGGAATCAGAATGCAACGAACCAACTAATGCCGAAGAATGTGTTCGGTATATGAAATATCGAACATTTGATGGCACTTGCAATAACTTATACTATCATAATGCTGGAGCATCTGACAGAGGATTTCATCGAATACTAAAAGCAAAGTATTTTGATGAAGATGGACTTAATGATCCCATTGGATATCCCAACCAACCAAATGCCCCAAGTGTACCCTCACCACACCAAGTTAGCAGGGATTTCATCAAAGATGAAGTAGCTGCATCGCCATCCATGTTAACCCACGCTGTTATGCAGTTTGGTCAGTTTATTGATCACGACTTAGACTTGGCCGTTGAGGTGGAATTTGAAGGAAGAAATTTGTGTCTTGAAGTACCGTAAGTACATGATTCAACTTTCTGTTGTTATAATTATATAACATCGAGCATTATCACTGCGCATGCATGTACGCCAGGCTTTTTACATATTTTAATTGGTCAACAAAACTATAACGAATATTCCCCGTCGACACGCACTCTGTGTCTTAATGCGACAATCAGCGATAATTACAACAAAAAGTTTATAATTACAATAGATGCAATGGATCATCTGCCGACTTCACGTGTCCATGTTATCCAATTCTTCCAAACGGAAATGCTGGTTGTATCAGGGTGACAAGATCCGCAGCTGTTTGCCAAAAACATGGTCATTTCAAACCACGGGAACAAATCAATGTTAATACTGCATACATTGATGCATCTCAAATTTATGGATCGACGCTAAGAGTTGCGAATGGACTTAGAGAAAGAAAACCGGGTACCGTACATAGATTATGAAAAATCTTTTTTAAAAATAATCACACAAGCAAAGAATATAGCACCATCATAAACACCTAGCAATATAAAACGTTTTCATTTCAATAACAATGATCTAACTTTTAATTTGCAGAAGATAACGGGTTGCTGAGATCATTACAAGGTTTTGACGGTGAACTTCTCCCACTGGATCAATCCAAGGAGGCTGAAGAACAGCTTTGCCGAAACCTTGGGGGTTGTTTTATTGCCGGAGATTCTAGATCAAATGAACAACAGTCACTGGCAGCATTCCATTCTCTGTTTCTACGTGAACACAACCGTATCGCCAAAAGTCTCAAAAAAATCAATAGTCACTGGGATGGTGAGAAAATATACCAAGAAACACGAAAAATCATGGGTGCCGTGATGCAAAAGATCACATACGATGATTTTCTTCCCCTAATCCTCGGACCAAACGCTATACCACAATACAAGGGTTACCGCTCGAATGTTGACCCTGGAGTTTCAAACGTATTTGCTACGGGTGCTTTTAGATTTGGCCACAGTCTCATTCGGCCCGAATTTGACATTCTGGACACTGGTTTCAACCCGATTGGCGACCCAATTGATCTGCGTTTTATGTTCTTCAATAACACTTTTATCCAACGAAATGGAATCAACGCGCTGCTTCTTGGACTCATTGGAAATTTCTCTGAGAGGGTTGATCGAATCCTATCCCCAGGAATCACTCGGCATCTTTTTGAACGTGAAAATGCTCCTGGGAGTAATCTGGCGGCATTAAACATTCATCGTTCGAGAGATCACGGAATTCCAGGATACAACGAATTTAGAAAGTTTTGCAAGTTAGGGAATGCAGAGACATTCAAAGACACTCGGAAAGAGATTAAGAATCCGCAAAATAGAAATATTTTAAAACAACTCTACGGTGACAACCCTAATTTGGTCGAAGTATGGGTTGCTGGTTTAGCAGAAACGCCAGTTCAAGGGGCTAGTGTTGGCCCGACCTTCAAGTGCTTAATTGGAGAACAATTTCAGCGAACAAGAGACGGTGACCGATTTTTCCACGAACTACCCGGAGTCCTGACACAAGACATGCTTGCAGAAATCAAGAAAAGTTCGTTGTCTCGTATGTACTGTGATAATTTAAACGTGGTTTCAATTCAACCAAACGCTTTTAAATTACCAACTGGAAAAAATACAAGAATCACCTGTGACAGAATCCCTCGTATGGACTTATGCAAGTGGAAAGGTAACTGCACGCAATAGAAAAACAACTTATGCTTTAAACAATTGTGCAATTTCCCTTTCTTTCCTTTCCCTTCCCTTCTCTTCCTGCAATTTTGTCGCTCTTAGAAAAGTACAAATTGACGAAGATGATTTGAGTCCTCACCAATGAAGGATGCTTTTTTTCGTTTCAGAATTATGCTTGTATGGCAAAAAATTTTCAAGAAACGGGAAATGTGTATGTCAATGTAAACGACCATGGTTTGGTGACAGTTGTGAAAGTAATTATATTTTACTTTATGTTAGCATGGGAGGAATATTTAAGATATGTTTTCTTCATTCATTCAAGGCATATTTTACAATTCAAGGCATATATTACAATTTAGTCATTAGTGACAGTGTATTTGCACGATAACCTCTTTTAACCCACAAATAGTACGTCGAAATTTCAGATTCATTTCAACAGATTATAATCTGCAAACCTGCAAACTTGATGTAACCATTTTCATTTCATTATTTTGATAATATGGCGCTATAGAACAGGCTTCCCCTTCTTTTCTAGGAAATACACCCATGAGATGCTATATGTCTACCATGCAGATTAACTAATGACAACACAATAGTTAAACGAACGTTAGTGGTAGAGAAAGTAGGATCAGAGCCTCGCTGATTTCATAGTGATTGTTTCACTTGTTTAGATAAACTGGCACGTGCATCAGTTGCGTGGCATGCAACCCTTCTTAACTCCGCGAAAAAAATTGTTTGCTCTGGGGCGCTTATTGGAAGGAAACATGTATTAACCACAGCAAGTTGTGCAAGACGTGCGTCCATAAATGGCCACGTCCGCCTGGGGTATTGGAAAACAATCACATGGCATAACGAAATTCGCATTAAGTCTATCAGGAAATCAAAATTGCACAAGAATATCGTGGTAGTCGAGCTGGCACGGCGAATAATACGAAGTAGATACGTACATCCCATCAGTACCGGTTTTATCTCATCCCAACGACCAACTTACGTCACAGCCTGGGGGACCCGGCAATCTCTTCAAATTTCCAGGGTTATCCTCTCAGCTCCGAAAAGTTGCAAAAATGTTTTCTATCTGTTCAATGGTTTTAAAGATGTTTGCACGCTGCCTGCCGGGTTGCCTGTGGGGCCGAAAAAAAGTGGTAGTCCTTTGGTGCAAGTTTATGGAAGACGAGTGTGCCTGGTGGGTTTGCTGACTGACGTAATGAATGGATTTGGCAAATATATAAAAATTAGATAAACTTTGAATTTCGCTCGATATAATGCGAAAAATATTTCTGCATGTTTTACTTGAATGTGGCTGGTGTTAAATGTGATTAATTAAATATCATTTTGTTATCTTTGCGCATTTTTGACGGGCAAAGTCTAGTAATAGTTTTTTACTCTGTATTGTAAAACTGATTTAAAATTGTTCCAATAAAATATGATGGTGCTCAAGCTAACGTAGCTCACACCAAAGGAATCCGCGAAGTAAATCGATTCAAGAACGGATCTTGTGTTACTTTATTTGTCATAGGTTCGTTGCTTATATACTGTACACTGCAGCACACTGAAGGTCATGTTCCACTATCAAGCAGTATCCTCCTGTATTGACTCTATCAACAAATGTCTGTCGATCACTGAGTGTCAGTATATAAATACTGTCAGTCTGTCACTACAGACACCGGGATTCTATCATTTCTATGTATGAGGTATGTCATATTCTTGCACCCCACCAGTAATTTTCCGGTGATCAACTCGTTCCTCTTCCACACTGCTGCTGAGTCGTGGCGATTCTTCCAAATTGTTTAATCGATCTTTTCGATCAAAAACGTCAACTTTTCGTTTAAGAACGTCACATATTTCTTGACGAATACAATGTTTTAAAGCATCGATCTCTTGCCTTTCCAGTCTTTTCGCCTGTGTTGTAGCGGGACCAATTTCAAAGAAAGCGAACTTAATTCGAGATTTAGTCATTAACAAAATGAACAACAGTAAAAAAATTGTCATCAGAATGACCATGATCGGCTGCCACACAGTTGGAATGTGGATGAAAAAAGCTTTCAAACTTCTGCCACATGAGTCAGCAACATACTCCAAAGGTTTAAAAAATAAACGGGTAGCCGTGATCGAAAGGGCCTGCAAGGAAAAGAAACGTTATAGCTACATATATGCATCAAACAGGTTTTTATACCTAAGAACTAACTTCTTCACTTACCAGCGATGGTGAGACTTCCCACACTGGATCAACTAAAATTGCTTCTTGGTATTTAATGCAATCATCATCCCTCCAAGCGAATAGACCAGTCATCCATAAAGATATTCTTTCAGCAATTGACATGATTTCTGGAGCACAATGTTTGGGAATATGTTTGATAAGGTCAGCTTGTTTTTCAGCAAATTGTTTACGATACAATCTAAACCATTCCCATGGTATACTAATCATGAACAACAATCCAAATAGATACCAGCCCTGTTGATACCAAGGCATAGAAGTACGAGTTTCAAATATGAATAAAATGGAGATCAGAGCAAAGATTATAAAAAAAACAGCAAAAACATCCTTGTGGTACTCCACAAATGCCCAAATACGACTAAATAAAATGTGCTCAATCTTTTCATCCTCATGTTTTTGATTAAAAATGTCAAGAAAAAGTTTGAATACATCTGAAATTCTCTCCCCTTTCTTGTCATTTTCTTTGAATTCCTGTAACATCTTCAAGTCATCTTTTGACAGTTGTATTTTGATGGAATAGTGTTTTCCAGGTGTTTGAAACCGTTCCATAATATGCCGAGTCAGTTGCTTAAAATATGATAATTCACAGTTCTGTTGTTCATTGATATTGTGATTGTCATAATTTTTTAGGGAGAGTGTTGTTGTAGACTCTTGTTTTCGCACATCCCTCTTATCCGTCTATGTAAAAGCAAAAAATCTAAATACACCTAACATTTAGTTAAGAACTCCTTTACCATCTTTCATTCCAAAAAAAGTACTAAAGTTTAGCACCATTGAATTATTCCTCACGGTATTGGTACATGTATGGTTGTGGCAGAGAAAGATTTTCTAATATTACATTCCTAAATAGGACAAATTATCTTTTGCAACTATTCTAAATTGTCCACCATATAAACCTTTAGGAATTATGAACATTAGGAATAACATTAGCAAACATGATGTTGTTATAAACAGAAAAAAACAGAAACAGAAAATAATTGTCTCTACAAGAAATTCTTTTCAGCAGCCAGGATTTTTGAAAAGGATTTTGCACACCTGAACTGTAATTTGGGCTTTTTGCACCTTGGATGACAGTGAAAAGTGGGATTTATAACCCTATTTCACTTGTCACACGGAAAGAACGCTTGTGCCATACTGTTAAGATTGTTTGGTTTTATTATTAGTGTCTTTTCCCTTTCCTGGATTCCTGAATCCTAATTTGTTAATTCAACTACACGTGATATACTAAACCAGATAAGGTAAATTATATTTATCTTACCACAGGAAAAGATGAGAAATCGGACGATAACAAATCTGCAGGATCGACCCAATTAGGATTTGACTCCTCGACATGCTCACTAGAGTGACCTGACTGTGCATAGTCAGAATCCGCTGTCGACGCCTGCTCTTCGGCAAAACACAAGCAAATGACAAACACAAAACACGCAAATGTGTTCAGAAAACCTAGTCTTTCACATTCAAACATATTCATTTATTTTCTAGAAGAATTTTTGAGTTTGTATTTCGGATGCAGAAGAAATTAACCATATTTTTCACCATGCTGCACACGTCATTTCGGATGAACGCACTACTTCATCTTACGTGGATATAACGTGGATATAGTGAATATAGAACGAGCTGTGTGCATTCAAAGAATGAATTTGCTACCGAAATCTACGAAAGATTTTGGCTCCAAACGCTACTGGGACACCTTTTTTACCAAACGAAAAGATGTTTTTGAGTGGTATGGTGAATATTCAGACCTATGCGGCATTCTTCATAAGTACTGTAAGCCAAAAGATCGGGTGCTTATAGCAGGTATGAGATAGAATAACTGAAATAAATTCCTCCTAATTACTGTCTATTTATATTGCATCTAAAGCTACTCGAATAATAGTGAACATGCATGTTTTCAGTTTCCACCTGACTGACCTGAGTTATCATAGATGAAGTGGTTCTAATGGTTTGTTAATTCACAGGTTGTGGGAATTCCAAACTAAGTGAAGATCTGTATGATGTTGGCTATCACTCATTAGTTAATGTTGACATCTCTGAAATTGTTATAAAGCAAATGACTGCAAGAAACAACCTTATCCGGCCAGAAATGACGTTTGTTAAAATGGATTTGTTTAACATGAAATTCGACAGTGAATATTTCCAGGTTGTTTTAGACAAAGGTACATTAGATGCCATCTTTACCAGCGATGAAGAGAAGGTGGTTGAATCTGTTGAAAAGATGTTGGGGGAAGTTTCTCGAGTGCTAAAAGTTGGTGGTAGATACATTTGTATATCTTTGGCTCAAGAGCATATCCTAAACTTGTTGCTGGAATATTTTCCAAAACTGAATTGGTTTGTTCGAGTTCACAAGGTTGAAACACCTTCAAATGCATCTCCATTACCTGTATTTGCTTTTGTGTTCACAAAAACTAGACCCAAGCCAGACATGTCAGTAAAAATGCCTCAGATATTGGAAATTGTAACTGACTTATCTGAGAAAGTAAACAGATTAGATAATGTGGAAAAATTACAGGAATCTATTCAAGCTGTTCAAGAGTTTTCCACGGTTAAAAAACATTTGGAAGCACTACATCCAGGAGAAGATTTCCAGGTTGATTTGTGGTCCTCCAATAGCCTTGCGGATCCTCGGTATTCATTGACAATTTTGGATTTGAAACCTTCACAATCTCTTGCAGGAAAGTTTGCTATTTTCATTGTTCCCCAAGGTCGTGAACATGAGTGGATGTTTTCAGTAAAAGAAGGCCAGAAGCAGTTAGCTACCTCAGCAGGTTTTGAGAGACTTGTCATTGTCGCTCTTAATCGAGGTCATTCATATGAAAGTATCAGTATGATCAAAGAAGAATTGTCTGGTAAGGTTATGGAATTTGCTCAAAAGGGTGTGAACTCAGCTTCTCAAGTTCCATTCCTCTCAATCGGTGATGATGTTGGAAATCGGAAGGTTGTTTATCAAGGTAGTTCAGCATACACTGGTGACTATGTCATTGAAGATGTTGAAGTTGATCAGGCAGAAATGTTCCGACATCTTGTATTTCTATCAAATAAGAATGTCGTACAGTCCGAAGCAAAGTTATGCCAAGTCAACAAGAAAATGGAGAGCAAGAGTGCTAAAAAGAGAAGAAATGCGAAGAAAACAAAAATGCTGAATGTTGATTTGTCGCACTTAGCATGTCAACACCATCAAGCAATCGTAGCTGGTTTTGCATTACTAGAAAAAGTGCAAAATAGTGAAGTGCAAGTCCTTCTTATTGGCCTTGGTGGGGGAAGCTTGCCAATGTTTATTTACACTCATTTTCCTCACATTTATGCAACTGTTGTTGAACTTGATCCAGATATTGTTGATGTGGCCAGAAATTGGTTTGGTTTTCAGGAAAGTGAAAGGATGAAATTGATCGTTGCTGATGGTCTTGCAGTTTTAAAAGAAAGTTCAAAGAAATATGATGTTGTCATCTTTGATATTGATGCAAAAGATACAACTAAAGCCTTGAGTTGTCCTCCACCTGTATTCCTTAGCGAGGAAACTCTAAATTGTGTGAAAGAGATTCTATTCCCTGGTGGATTGTTCATTCTGAATCTAGTTTGTCGTGATGAAGAAAAAAGGGCAGAGCTGGTAAATTCGATCCATCTCATGTTTCCAAAAATTTCAAAAGTTAATATTGAAAACGAAGTCAACGAGGTTTTGATTTGCAGTAATTCAATGATGGAAATCGACCTACTCAAGGCCAAAGCAACAAAAGAAGGACGAAAGTTGCAGGAACAAGTTGCAGCCGTCAACCCGTCAACGAATGTTGAACTGATATCTTTTTTAGAAAACCTAAGAATTGTTGAATAGTTATACTAATTATAGTATTCGTGAGATGGCGGTGGATGTTTTGGAGTGCTTAAACTTTTGTGTTATACACTGTAGTCTGTAGTCGTTGGTAAAAGAGGATGAATTAATGAAACACTCTTTTGTGCACTAGATTTTATAGCTCTTTTTAATGCCTGGTTTCCATTTAATCGTAAGTGTCGTGAATATGTCAACGTGGATATTTCTCATGCATTGTTCACAATGATTACGGCTAAATGAAAACCAGGCTTAAGTACATTTAGCTTTGGTTTAGTGGTTTTGTTCTCAACCAAAACCAGATGTTATAGAATCCGAAAGAATAATTGCTTTTTAATTTAAAAATTAAGTTTATCTAGTATTATGTTAAGCAACTCTGCAGTGGCTTGAATTGTTTAAGATATTGAGATATTCATCCCACAGACCTTTCTTCAGGTAGGACTGTCACAGTAAGAGCGTGTTTACAAGGAGCGAGTTATCCCGGCTAGGGGAGGTGAAAACTGCATAGTGGCACTGCGTATAATAAAAGACTAATCAGGTTAAGTCTTTGATCTGTTGCGCTTTTTACCTCGCCTAGCCGGGATAACTTGCTCCCTGTAAACAGGCCCTAAGAAACTTTTTTGTACTTGCTTAAATTAAATTAAATAAAAATAAATCTGATTTGGAAATAGTACTTTTGTTGTGCACTGAACGCAAAGAAATAGAAGAATAACAATAAAAAGAACTCTTGCTTTATATTATTACTGACGAAATGGCCCAACAAGGGGCATAATTGCCATAAATAACAATCAGTTCTAGCAAGATATAGTTTGACTTGTGGTATTTTACTGAGGGTGCACTTTGCAAAATTCATCCGATTGGTATGTTTATCCGGGGTTTGTAAAGCCATTAGCATCGCAGGGGCGATAAGTGGGGTAGTTACCCCGGGGCTCAGAGAAAATAAAATGCTTCCGCGAAGTTTGTGTTCAGTCCTTTTCCTTTGAGCGACCCGCTACGTCCCGTAGGAAGCGGTGACCAAATTTTCCAAAAAAAGAGAAAATATAAAAAAAGGGCAAAAGCCATTCGTTCTTCGAGGAACTTCCAACGAGACTTCTAGTGGCTCTAGCAACTAGAATTCCCGAATTGGTATTTCAACCCCCACAATCATCCACACATTTAAAGGCACGGTTTGGGGTACCTAGCATTTGGGTTGTAACAGCTCCATCCTGTTGACATCTTGGCAGATGTAACAATGCCAAGCTATATGTGGCTATATATAGGATTTACTTCATCATCGTAATCATTACGCGTCGTCATGTGACAATTGGTAAGAAATATTTAAATCTCATATCCGGATTCCGGACGACAATCACAGTGTTCCTTGGGAGAGCGTACACAGCGGAGCAGGTATGAATATTATTCATCTCTAGTTTATTTACCGTATGGCTGATCTCTTGTACGAAGAGACAATATTTAAATTGTTGGCTCATGTGTATAGCGCTTATCAATTACGAGCTATTTAGTTCGCGCAGTTTTATTATTATCAAAAAGTTTGTATCACAATCTCATGCATTCACTCAAGTAACTAAACCTGAACACCGAGGCGAGGTATTTGCGCCAAGTACACTAAACACTAGTTTTAACGCGTGTTATATGTCGCCTTATGTATTAGCACAGACTCGCTATGGTTTGCTTAAATATTCCATATGTTTGAGAAATCATGGTTGTCTTTTAAAAACATGCTCGTATGCTATGAAATAAACTCAATTATATATAGATAGGGTTTGTGTTAGCAGTTAGCGCGTGTGCGCAAGCGTATTCAAATTTTAGAAGTCGTCGAGACTTAAGGTTGGCGCATTTTTATTTGTACTGGATTTTATAGAAGTACGGCTGTGTATTTACTCTTGTCTTGTCAGTACTCAATCTTAAGCCACAGCTGAGCGTAATCGATCCATAAATCCCTTGCATATCATGATATCAATGGATTTGGCAAGTATCAAATGCTGGCTGGCAAGTAGAACGGAAAACACACCCAAGACATTTCCTGTTTCTCTCTTCTAAAACCTTCGGACATTTATCGATATACGAATATACTGAAAATTATTTTCCAATACACGCACGCCTAAAAGTAAAAGCCTGTGACTTTGTAGAAGAGAAAAGTTGGGTAATTGCCCCACGATTGGCATTTCATGACCGTTGACCGACATGTAATATAGTTGTCACTTGACACATTGGGGCATTGTTTTCGCTCCAAACACTTTCCATCCATTGTTTGGCAGGAAAGGTATTCAAACCTCAGGATATATATTTATATATTTGACGTGTTGGGCAACAAAACCAAATTGCACCACTTTGACCAGAAATATAATGCTCTAACTGCTCTAACTTTTTATAAATACGTTTCAGCAGTGAGTTTCTTGCGATGGCAAACACCATTGCTGTTCTGACATTTGCCTTGGTGTTCGTGACCTGCGCAAGTGCTCTTAAGAAATGTGAGACGACGCCGTTCATATCACGACCACCAATATCTTGGAGAAAAGGGAATGTGATTCTTGTTGCTTTACTCAAGGGTGGATGACGATTGTGTCAGCGTTATGCGGCAATCTTACAAAGAATGCACAAGTACATGTTGAAGTAGGTATTACGTACTTCATCGACTTCATCTCCTATATAGTTTCTTGTTAGAAAAACAGCCCAGCAAACCTTTCCAATGAAGAATGATGACTCCATATAACTGGTTTCTTTCACCACCTTGATTTGAATTTGATTTCAGGGACATAGCTTTAGACAGATATAATTAGATTATCCTTTTTTAGTTTTTAAAAACCAAATATTAGGTTTAACACGAAAAAGGAGCTGCCTGGTCCATGCATGGCTCTCGCTCCCGCAGTTGACAGGCTGGCTGAAACTCGGCGCTCTATCCGTCTAATTTGCAGGAGGATTTGATAAATTAATATATATTCAGTTAATGGAAATGCCAATAGTCATAGTCATATATATAGAGTCTATAAAGTTTTTTGTCGAGGGTCATTTGCGTCAAGAAAAAGTCGAGAGTCCTTGAAGTGAAAAAATAATTTGACAGCGAATAGTTAAGGGGAATTAGCGTTGAAATTTCATTAATAGTAATACTAAAAATTATTTAAAATTAATAGGAATTGGAAGAAAAAACCTTGTAAACACGTCATTGAGAAATGTAACATGATCACAAAGTCATATAAAATCTGTAACTGCTCAGACAGTCATATATCAAACATTGTCGGTACTCTCTCTCAACACTCAACATACATTGACCTAATAAAGGATGGGGCTTTAGAGATTTCGAGGTTTAGCGATGTAAGGCGTTGAGCTAAATCAGAATGTCTGACGCAAAAAGGTCCCATTCTGGCGGGCTATATTACGTTTCTTTAATGATTTAATAGTGGCATAGACAGCTAGCTCCAGTGTATATTTGTATTTATATTTTTATTTATATTTGTATAGATTGTCGCATAGATAATTAGATATCTAATTGCACTTAGTTATGTTAATGGTACTTGGTAATGTTAAAAAATTCAAATTATTGAAGTTGGCATGCGAAATATTTATATCATCGCTGTTTCGCTTTTGGCAGATTCCGTGAGTCATGGACTATAAACACGGATTTTATTCTCTTGTTCAAAAAAAACATTTCATTTTATGTGGATTTGCAATATTGGGAAGAGAGCATATAGCTTCCCTCCTCTCCCGCGCGTATAAAGAATGAGTATAAATTCTTAATAAATAAAAAATTATTTTGGATTATTTTTGATTTTTCTTAGTTACAATGTATCATTCGTCGCAGTGAACGATAGAAGTGATAAGCAAATTTCAGTACTAAAACGAATCGTACGCTTTCCCGTATTTCAAGACACAGCGTCGTGGAATTTTTGGTCACAGGTTGGTGGTGGTAAAGATCATTTCTTAGTCTTTGATAAATGTGGTCGCCTCATCTCACATATGAAGACTCCAGAACTCAGAAAGTTTTTCAAAAAAGCCTGGTAAGTATTATTATCTTTTATCTAAAATTCTTGTCCTACAAACGTCTGTCTGGCCAACGTTGACAAAAAAATATAAATATAAACTTTCTATAGAAAGTTTTAAGAGCTATAAATTAGTGAAATGTAAGTATACGAAACATCTATGGAGTGTTATTAACACAAAAGTTTCGTAGTTGCAAATTTACATCTCTCGTGCAAAAAATGAATTGCATTGCCGGAAAAATTGCACCGTGTAACAGGTCCTTTAACAAGTAATTAATGTTTAATTTTTGCTTCCTAGGAATAAAATTGCGAAGGCGTATAACAGACGGCGATGCAAGTGGATGTGCCCCATTTCATAATCGTTTTAAACAGCAATAGGCACTAAAAATTGGTAAAAATATAACACGTCTTCAAAATGTTTAACACGATTACTCTATCAACATCCTTGCTAATGTTAGGTTTCTTTCTGGAGAGGCCAAGGCTTAGCACTGGACGATCAACCTGAAAACGTTGAACGCTATATATAAACTGTATAGTAATTGTTTTGTAAAAGCCAACCTATGGATAACGCCACTCATATATTTTCTTAACTTTTTTAATACCAATTGCTACCTTATGAAGCTTTGTAGATATAAAACAGAGACGTGTTATATCTTTTATAAATCAATGTTTAAAATTCGTTATTTACGAAGAACAATTGCAATCAAATGTTCGTGTTTTTATGATGAAATCTTGATAAAGGTAATGAATTAACGCTTCCTTCAAGATTTTTGATGGTTTAAACGTGAATTGGTTGCCATTGAAAATGTTATATATAAGTAATAGAGCATTCAAAGTATCATGAAGTATAACGTAACTTTCCTAGATAATTGCTGGGTGAAAAGTTTATGACGGACTTCTGGTAAATCTTATGCCTGAAGTTTTGAAATTAATCCTTGAAAGTAATAAATCAAAAGGAAATGTATCGTGCAACTGAAATAAAAAAATATATATCACGAATCAGCCTTGCATTTTTTGATATTATCGTAATTTACGTTTCATTTATATTGAACGTTCGTTTAGTTCCAAGAGCCATGAATGAGCAGCTGTTTAATTGGCATTCTCTTTACAGTATTTTCGCAGCTGGCTTGTTACCTCGCTTCATGTGAATAGTTGCTGCTTTAGGACTTTTTAAGTTCGTAAAGTGACACAGAACTCCTCGTATATTTTGGACACATCCCCGTGAAAATCAGCATTATCCGTTGAAGTTCTACAACTACTTGTTATTACACTGGCTGGGTGCGTTGCAATTCCAGGCAATAATACATGGTCTAGATGATCACGAGTAATGAGATCATGCCATTCTACATGCATGTATCTTATCTATAAATACTATCTATAAATCATTGCTATTAGGTGTATTACTTTGAAATACATGACGTCACAAGGATTAGCTCAAGGCTTAGATTAAGGATAATGAGCGAAGGTCAGATTAGATAACGTAAAGAACCTGTTGCGTACCTTGGCGGTACCTCAGACGCTTCTACCAGTAGAATGGTGATATTCATGTAAATCAGCACAAAATAACCATCATTGCCATTGATGAATTAGATTATTGCCATGTGCGTGCAGTCAACATTCACAATTAAGATACAGTTTATGGACAATTTCACTTTCACGTCGGTGAAAATGACATGTTCACGACAACTACGGCAAGATGAAAACATGGCTTCTTAATTAAGGGCTTTCGCCAGAAGCAAGTGTTTTATTAGGCGTTCACCTAAAAAAAATTGATGACAAGAATCTCAAAGACGTTGATTAAAACCTGGTTCACACACTGAGTCCTGAGAATCTGGGAAGGGTTTGTTTGAATTCAAGTGCACACAACGCTTTGTCTATTAGAAAATGATACAGTAGATCGGGTTAGATCCCCGATTTTTAGGGCTAGTGTGAACCAGGGCTAAGCCTGGCCTCATATGTCGCAATTCTTGGGCGATGTCTATTGTTAGTGGTCAATTATACGTAAAATGCTTTGTTTATCCAAAAAAATAATCTATCGGATTGATCTCCGACAATGGATCGTAAGTTCGTAACAGACGTAAATCATCGTCGATGAATCACGACGCATGAAAGCCAGACGTTACTATATGTATATTACCATAAAAAAACTGCTTTGATGAATGAGACAGACAATCCATATCTAGTATGCATGGAGAAAAATGGGAAAATATGTTGTCTTGTACTGGGTTCGGCTATACTTTGTACTTGCATGTCAATCATTTCCCGATAGGAATAATTTTCGGGATGGAGTAATTCGCAATATAAAGCAATTATCGTTATCGTTATAAAGCAATTCTAAACAAAACTGATAAAGACGACGTCAGAATGACTGATGGATTACAGCTCTTCTGGACATAAACATCTGATAACGACCAAATTCACTAAGCACTTCGCAGCGTTAGCTAAAACATCGACGAACTAGACTGATTGTTAGCCGAAGGTTTGGCCCGATCCCGATAGAGGAACTAGTGCAAAATTTGTAATTTAGAATTCTTTATGCACTAAAAGCATCAATGCATTTCATTTTACATCAATTAATCAATGCGGTCAAAATACTTAATGCTAAATGCAGGTGACAAAATGTTGATTTAAGTGGATTAATAAATATATTTTCTCATAAGACATTGGAGAGCCTGCCGCCTTTGCCTGATTTCAGTGATTTCACTGATTTGTACATGAAAACTAGCTACATAATACATATAAAACAGAAATATTAAATTTTTTTTAAGTTTTTTGCTCAAAAATATTGATTTCAGCATTACTAAACGATAAATATACAACCGCGGAGCTCCTGGTATAATTCACGCAGCTGCTTGCCTGTTATCTTCACCAGGCGGCGGCATGAGGATGTTTAATGAATATAATTGTAGTAATTGCTCATTTCCGTTTGTCATTTGGATGTTAACCGCTCACTGTTTCAACGTATCATGTCTCCATCTTGATAATAGATCCAAATAGGATTAAAACAGCCCGCTTACGACACAATACTACGAAAGCGTAGATTTGCACGAATCATGCACGAATCAAGAGTCAAAGAATAGGATCAGAGTAAGAGCGATGATATTTAATGAAAGAACGATAAGCGCTTTGAATCATTAGACCTGAACTTTGAACTTTTTCACTTTGAAAATGTAGGGCCTACAACCTCACCAAACATTGTATATAACTGCATAAAGTGGACAAAAAACTTCTTGACGTTCACCAAAAGGGCTTTGATCATACTAACTCTCCTGACCAAGACCCTTAGGTCGAAACATCAAGAAGTTTTTTGTTTTTTTCAGTAGTTGCAAAGCCTTTTAATTAACCTATAGACTGGGAGGCGAGGCCATTACTCTAACAAACATTATACCGATTTATTTTAGCAAATTAAATTCAGTTCTTTTATCGTCAAACGTGGACGTAGAGCTGCTCCGTTGCAAGACATTTTCCATAACCACGGGCGGTTGTTAAAGTGACACACCACCTCAGTGATGGAATGAAAGCAACCCGAGATCATGGTATTAGTCAAAGAGACTGCTACGGTAATACTCCACTGCACGTTGCAATCATGCTTGGTCACAAGAAATGTGTGTTTCTTCTTCATGAAAAAAATGCTCCAATAAAGATGAATTTCCACTTTCACACATGTTGTATCTTCAACCCAATTTGGTACTACACGTTAATATGCTTATTTTTTTTTGAAATACACGTACAGATAAATTACGATCTTAACCGGAACAAATTTGAATATGGTCAGCCTCCAGGACTGATGGCGTTTCTGGAATCATGATTAGCATTCCTATACTTAATTTGTTCTGTCATCTCTTTTTGCTAATGACCGCCGGTCGCGCCCTCCATTCGAATATTATGTTGAAATCAATCGACCTACTTTGTTTTTTTCTGCTAGCAGAAAAATTTAACATCTGAATGTTTGGCCAGGAATTTAAAAGTTTAGATGGATTTATCCGAGATCCGGCACATACCAGAGTACACAGAAGGTATCCAGAAATTACTTATTTACCTAGACAATTGTACTGAATCAAATAATTGCAGAATTGATGCTCAGCTCAGAAATTTGTTTTGCATTCGATAAAAGAATGCAGAATTTTGCATGCAGTTACGAGGCTGTTTACGTGATCCTGTTTTCGGAAGTGTTAGAAAAGGTTTGCCAGGATCATTTACAAAACGCCTCATTTCAATACCTCACACACTTTTCACGCTCCGTTTATAGAATTAATCTTGCGTAGGCAATCGAGATTATATAAACAGCCCTAGGCCTGTTTCGAAAATGCTAAATGTCTTTCTAAAATTTTTCCTGTGCACGAAATCATGCAGATTCAATCAAGTCTAGCGCCTTGATTTTGACCTGACATGTTTGAAGTGAAATGGATGCAATAGATCATGTGATGTGTAACTTATACATGCATGAATAAAAAATAAATTAAGTCGTCCATTCTACATTCTGTTGACCTGGTGGTCTTTTCAAATGATTGACTGAAAGTACTTATTTTCTATCTCTATTTATTATAATTGGCTAACTGGAGAGCTTGCTATTCACAAACTGGATACAAATCAACATAGATTTCTTTTGTCTCCTGTGATTCTTACGGTCAAATGGGAACACGTTTTTTCTCAAGAATCGCATTTTTGACGTCACTTTAGTTAAATTATGGTATTTTCCCAATATAACGTTTGTTATACTACCATGGTTGTGTTATCTTCTTCGATAAATACTCAGAGTTCAAAATTCGTATACCTGCTTACTTTTCCCGCAGAGGAATTTTTGCAATATAATCGTGAATGGGCTAAACGTTACTCAGTCACACGATGTAGGTATATACCCACACTCCCACAGCCCAAAGCAAGCCCCTTCTGAGAGAGGAGTATGTCAGGATATTTTCCGGCTCTCGTTATCTCTAACACGCCTTAAGCCCCCCATGCATGCAGTTAATATAAACGATTAGCGATAGAACATGCAGCGCCTTTCAGGACCTAAAAGTTCAAAAAATGGGATCGGTTTAAATTGGCATCCTTCAAAATGGACAACAAAGACAGGCAAACGCATCTGTGTCGATAGCATATATTTTCTTATTCACAATAGCGCTAAAAATTAAAAAACAGGAAATAATCTCAGCAAACCATTTAAACTGTGAGCGTCAATTAGGCCTAATACATACTCTGTCACCTGTTCTGCATGTATATGTTTTACAGTAAATGCCACCATGCAAACTAGATTTAAATATTGACATAGTCGTACTAATCGCCAGAGATTATACATGCAAAGTTACTTTAAACAAATATAGTTGATTAGTTCTCGAGAATTAGTTTGCGATGTAAACTGACATGGACCAAAGCGATGAGTAAGGTGATCCAGCAGACATCGAAATCAGGAAATCCTAAGTTAAGATGTATTTGGGTATTAATCATCGGTAAGAGGATCAATTTATATTAATTTCGACCTTTGTAAGTGTCATAAATGTGCCACTAATAACACAATGCCTCAACATATATAGCGCTAACACTAACACGGAGCATCTCATAACTGCTCGGTCAGCTCCTGAATTGGTATACGTTTTGCTGCCTCGGTAATTAGCTCACAAAAAAGGTATGTAACCTAGACCACAGTAATGTCAAAAACACGCGAATACAATAAAGCCAACATATCTGCTTTCTGAACTATATCTGCTATCAAGTCGTGACGTCTGCCAGAGAGAAAACGTTTGAGTGACTGTAGAGACACACAAGTTATTATTTTCAGTAGTTAGTTTCGTCCCAAATACTTTCACTTCATATTCATCCATTCTCTCGCTTTTTGAATCACATCATCGCCCTAGACCAGGCTTCGAATTATCACCGAAATATTTTTAATTACATCTGCACGTATTCATTTAATACTCTAGAAGTTTGCCACCCATGCATCGCAAACTATTTACATAAAATGCGCTTTTTCGAATTATGGGAGACAAATTGCATGCGTGGTTATATTTCCAAGTGTTTTGCGCGTTGGACATCGCAGAATCTCCGCTGTAAAATATCGCAAGGTAACACAAGATGGCGATGGGAGTGTTTAACAGCATTTAAAGAATATCGTATTGCGTGTAATTCCCGCAAAATACTTGTTGGATCATTGCAGCTAAATATTTCAAAGAATTTTTAACGGTAAATTTTCGGTAAATAGGCAGAACATATAGTAATTTATATATGTATATACTCATGACTATTCGAAGCCAGTATATGATAATCAAACTGATCAATCTAACTATATTCCATCGTTCCAAAGGTGTTAGAAATAACGGAAAAAGCTATGCGGCTTTCATATGCAATTCTTCGTAATGCGATGTAATTTTCTGTGATGGGGTGTGCATAAACATAGCAACGCTAACGAACAACATAACTCACAAGGAGTACGAATTATGCCATTTGAAAGTCTTCTTCAGCCGACTCTAAGTTGTTCTTTCAAAAAACAATTTCTAACTGTCTCATAATCCGCAACATATAATGCATATACAAGACAGAAACTAGCACTGCCAGTGTTATGTTACAACTGCCATATATAGACCAGTTCATAAAACACATGCAGAATTATTGAGACTCCGTAAATTGTTAACATTTTTACTCCAAACGTTTCCCAAGTATTATCTTCCTCTAATGGAGATGACTCGTAATAATATGATACATTATGAAATGCTAACGTGTTACAATAACTTGCATGTATCAACTAGACGTCAAACAATATAGGTCTAGCTACAGCACATTAATTTCTAATCTCCGCCAACCCTCAGTGAAGCCCAACTGTGGAATTATCAGTATCAATATTAATAATAACAATAAGACTGAGAAGAATTATGATTGTAGTACATTTTCCATTTCATGTAGATAAATGTGGCAATACGGTTTTTTTGGTGTATTCATATTTTTGTTTCCATATCTTTCAATTGGACTACAGCTTCGTTGTTGTACAAAATTACCTCCACTTATGATTGATGGAAAAAATATATTTGACGAAAAGAAGGGTAGCCATACGCTTGTGGCTTTTGTGGAAGGAAATCGCAAAGATTCAAGGAAGCAAGTAAAAGGATTGGATTTGATATTGTATAATTTCAAAAACATGTAAGTCGTACAATGTACAAATTAGGTAACAAGTAACTATGCAGTTCACCTAAGACTAATTCAACCGAGTATCAGAATTATATATCTGATAATCTAAAGATTCGTTTAAAAAGCATGCCTAAAAATAGCCCAAGTATACTTGTAGCGAGGGTGGTAAAGCAGTGATCACGTTTCACATGAAAAAACACACAGCTGTTTCAAGTGCATGTAAAGAATGAACCTTTTACGGAAGTCAAAAAACACTTTTTTACACTTCTTCTAAAACAACTAATGCATTTGTGAAAACTAAAAAAACGTCTATGCATGTAATAATATTATGTGGAGTTTCCAATCAACGCGTCACAACACCGACTCAGGTCTGGTCATGTGAATCATGTTGCCCGTCAGAAGAATCAGCCTTTGAAGTATAGCATAGAATTCTGAAGTATAGAATGAAGTAATAAAATTTGCTTCAAAAGAAGATTGTTGTCAAAGTGAACTGTCAATATATAACAAAAAATAATAATAATAATGAACTGCCTACTACCCCATTGTGACACATCATTATGCAAAAAACAAAGTATTGTGACTGAAAACACCAGCTGGATAAACAAAAAATAACTTCAATAATAACAGCTATAAACACTTGAACGTGGCTCACGTGAGTGTGCAAAACAATACATTTATGACAATGCTCAAAGTACTTTAGTACGTTTATTTTTGGAAAATTCCTAAACCATGGCAATTGTTCAAGTGTTTTTTGTAAGAATATTATATAAAACAACAGGTGAAAATCTTAATTGCCATGTGGTGGGTGGCAATGTTGATCGATCCTTTAAATAACATAAACAGCGAAGATGAAAAGCTTTAGCCCCACGATTCAGTGTAGATTATGCTCTATGGAACCAAACGAATAAAATGCGAATTGCAAGGTCTTGGAGATTACATGATATTTTAGCATGCAAAGGTGGTTCGTCACGTGTCCACTGAACAATCTATACTATAATAATTACTTATGCCCTTGGAAAAATGGCTAGTTCTAAAGCCTAAAATGTTTCTAAAAATTGCCAATGTGGCAAATATTCTCAAAATGTTCACGCAAAATGCTGAAAACGCTATTTCAGATTCCCTTGATTTCAAAGGAGCAAACGTAGCCGTATTAGGCAACGCCTACAGTAAAATAAATAATTAGTAATATGACGTATGAAGTACGAGTTGTTTTTGCAGCTTAATAACGTGTAGATAAACTTTATAGGGACGTTTTGGATATTAATTTCATGGCAATAAACAGAAAGAATGACTCTGGAATTAGGCATCTGAAAAGACGAGCGGCGTTTGACGTCTATCAGGAACCAAAAGAAAGTACTTTTTCCAGTGAATTGGGGATTAATACAAATGACTTTATCATTTTTGACCACTGTGGCTACATGGTAGGATCTTCAACGTTTCCCAGTAATTTTCTTTGGAAACAGAAAGGAAGGTATTGACTCGGTAAATTGTAATACTTGTCCTCATGCAACTCCTCTACCTAAGAGAACTTACTTATATGGGGCACAGTTGACTTGGAACCGTATTTTTTCTTTATCCTAGGGTATGTACGGACAGGTTAATACGAAATACGTATACCAAGACACCGTGTAAGAAATACTGGACGTGTCTACAAACGAAACAACAACATCCCGAGGAAAACTCAGAAGAGCAGTCTACAGAATCGGAGGTCTTTAGCATCCTGGAGTCAAGTGGAGGAAGTTTTAACTCTCCACAGTGATGCCAGATGTCAAATTATGTGAACATCAAATTTAAAATACTTGTATGCATAAATGATACAATACCAAAACATCACTCCGTCTCAGGAGGACACAATTACGAGTTATATAATACAAGGTATAGCTAGGCACGACCCGACTAATGCAATTCAATGGCATGATTATTCCTGCGCTTTTCGACTGTACGACATAAGTGCTGACAAACAGGACACAAATTACTAACTATATAAAGTCATTATATTCAAATCTGCGAAAAAAAATGGGAAAAAATGGCAAATTTTTGTCTGCGACCATTTTAAAGCCAGGTGTTGTCTGTATTTCCGAGAATCGCTGCTGGCGTAAAGGAATTTAAAACGCGTATTTACACATTCATACCAGACTATTTAAACTATAGTTTCATTATATCTGCTCAACAGTCACAGGTTCCGCCTTGTCGTCCACAGCACACATGAGGTGCAGCTGTAGTAAAACCTCGACATAAACATTTCTCTGTTTGAACATGCTTTCTACACCTCCCGGTACATCGGCGTGAATCTTGCATCATCACTTTTGTTAGATTCTCAGAAAGTGTTTCGAATTTTTCATTCATGCTAGCTCTATATTCTGTATCTCTCTCGAGAAGCCGTTTTTCGGTGATACGAACATATTTACGCAGTTTCTTCAAACTTTCTTGAAGTGCGAATATAGATGAAGATTGCTTTTCAATAATCTGACGGAGCTCATAAATACAGTTATGTGATTTTGTCATTTCCTGTTTTACAGATAATCCACAAATACAAACATACATTTCCTCTGTCCCTGTACTCTTCACTGCCACGGAACGGCATTTTTGTGCGTTTTCCAAACTGCTTTCTACTGTTCCTTTATAATTGTCACCATCGGTAACAACTTCCTCTTGGACATTATCTATACTCTTCATGGAAGAACACTGATTCATTTTATTCTGCTAAAATTTCAGCGCAATATGTGCCCAATTATATACGCACTAAAAATCACATTTTTCGTCAGTGACGTCATAAATTGGCTTAATTAGCGTGGATCACAAGCAATCACGCAAAAAAGGACAAGTATTTCCAAAGTATTTCCTTAATTAATATTATAAACAATTGTTGAATGTTGTATATCAGGAATGATCAAGTCCGGGAAAACGTTATCCCTAAACTGCGCTGCTAAGTTGTGCGTAATGCGGGCTCAACCTTCAGATAATTCAACATTCCGCTAGATGATTCATGATTCAATTATCCGTAGGTGACGTGACTACAGTATTTCTTCTGACATTCTCCTAATGTTTAATCAAATGGATCTGACTTTTATCAGCGTTCGGGCAAAAAGGTTGAGATAAAAATATGCTTTTTAGAACAAAAATTACTGGAAACATTAAAAAAGCCTACAGTCGACCATACTGGGAGTTGGATTTTTGTTGCTAGATTATTTAACTTAGCTCCACCTTTAATTCGTATAAAAGCAGTATTCTTGATATCGTTATTTGGGAAAAAATTGGCTAAAAAGTCGTATTTTTGCACTTGAACAGAACGGAGATCATCGGATATTATTCATTGAAAAGAACAGAGATCATCAAATATTAGTTTTGCATTCTATCTACGATGCATGGAATAGAAAATAGGTACGGTTAACTTTCTGACGGTAGATTGACAATTTATCAGAAATGAAGTTCACCTTGCGTTGCATATACAAACATTGAAAAATTTGGCGTTTACATTACGTCACATTTATTTGACATGACGCATTGTGCATTACGTGAAGTTCGAGCTAATACTACAATATTAATCTCAACATGCAAATGATAAAAGCATTACATTCTTTCCATAAACAAAACAGACAGAGTGATTCCTAACTATACAATGCTAGTTCAATAGTTTGTTTCTTCTATACTCCATTTCTTTTAAAATATAATGTTGAATAAAATCCTGGTCAAAATTTATCTATTTTCAAGCAATGTCGTTATACAACAGTACAATAATGAATAGTGCATATAAATAAGAGTTGATCTTAAAGCTTAGCGGATAGGTAGAGTACAGCACCATTGGAAGCTCTTGTCATAGACGACAACCACCCGGCTCCTTTCTCCTTGTCTTTGGATGGCATAACTTCCTTCAAATTTCCTTTCTCGTCGAAAATTTGAATAGAGCCATACGTGAAATCTGACACCCAAATATGATCGCAATAATCAACGGCCAAGGACGTCGCTGCCCAGAATTGACCCTTTCCTTCTCCTGGTTCACCAAACTTATGCAGGATCTGGCCTTCTTGGCTGAAGATCTTAACACACTCCACGGCGTTCTTTTCATCAAATCCTCCTCCATCAGAGGATGACGAGGGGAGGTAATTGGAAAACCACAATGACGACTCGGTAACAATGATGTGGCCGTGACTATTAAACTGAACCGAAACAGGATACATTACTTCACCGTCCGGTTCATTACCAAATGAGCACTTGGATGAGGCGTCGGGATGAAATATCTGAATACGACGATTCCCTGCATCACACACAGCTATATTATCATACCAATCAGTTGCTATACCCAGTGGTGAATTCAATTCTCCTGGACCTTTGCCTTCACCAGCGATCTCAGTAAGAAAATTTCCATCTGCGTCGAAAACAAACAGTTTATGAACAGATGTGTCTGATACAATGACTCGTCTTGCACTATCAATTGCGAAACTCCAGGGTTTCTTGATGCCATCCTGTATTTCGAAGGTGTACAGGAGGTTAAAATCAGCATCAAATACACGCATAACGGATGCGGTGAGGATAAATATGTTGCCAGCCAAGTCAGCTCGCATACAGAACGTATATGACGTAAACTTCTGAGTCAATTTATCAATTGGGAATTTCTGAAGCAGACTTGTGCCGGTGGAATAATCAAGCTCGCCCTTGATTTCCAAGGTGCATGGGCTCCCTCGTAGAGAGTTTCCTTCGACTTCAACAGCCAAGCGATGTCGACCTGGAATATAGCTTCCAAAATGCACAGAGATTGTTTCATCGTGGTGAATTTGTGGCTTCGCTTGAATCACCGTTTGTTTCGGTGTAAGAACTTTAGCTTTAAACAAATTAGGATCTGGTGGCGTCGGTGGATCTTTACGTTGCCGTTGGTTGCTTGGTTTGATGATAACATCAACATCTTCACCAACACCAAACACCTATAGTATAGAGGGAAACAAAAATTATATGTTGTTATGGTGCCGTGTGTTCTACGCAAATATACTCAATGCTCTCACGATTTAAATATGCATACTTTTTTACTGTGAGGGAGGTTCTTTTGAATGATCTGAGACAAAGAACGTATCAACTATTCCTACCTCCCGTCGAACTTTTCTAAGGCAATTTCCTTAGAAGTCAGAACGCCGCGAATACTGTTTGCGTTACTTGCAATGATTTGAATTGGTAATTAAACTTCCAGGAGATGATTGGGTCGGGGGGCAAATGCACCAACTAGTGTAGCCTAATATTACGCGCATGCACTATATCCATAGCATATATTATAGTAAAACTAATATTGTATTCTGCGATACCTTGCCTCTCTCTGCAACCAGCTCAAAGTTATCAGCCTCCAAATTTGGGACAATTAGTTCACCAAGACACGTTGTTACCAGATGATCAACGGAGCTATTCACAACATCTTCTCCTGCTTCGGATTTAAGGGATACACACGGACTTTCTTGATTTTTCGTATCAAGCCAGAAAGGATTTCTACCACTTGTGTCATTGACGTATCTCTCCAGATGATCATACATATTCATTATCTCATCATCATTTCCGTTAACGAGAAGATTTCGCATGTACAACACGTAGTTCCCCATTCGTCTCAAGTCTGAGTCTAATTGGCCTTCATCTCTCTCGTTCTGCTCAACTTTATCTAAAATTAGTTGTTCAAGCTGCGATATCATTTCGGACGAACGACCTGGAAAACAAAGGAACACGTATTACAAATTTGACTAAATTTCAAAAACATAAAATTAATTTTGTTCTTTCATAATTATGCATGCTTATACCCATATACGTCCATTATAAACACGCTATACTTTACATACACTCGATAGATTTGAAAGGTTTCTCTATTTCTTTCAGTCTGTTTCAGATTGAGTAAAATAACATTGAAAGGAGAAAGAAATTTGTAGACTTGGATTTCACAGGAATGAGAAATTTATCCAATATTAATTTATTAACCCTCACTTAGCGCCCTGCCTATAACTAAATGTAAATAACTTAAAGATATGTTATCTATAAGTCATAAAATAAAATTATGATTTAAATATGAATATGAATATACCCTCAATAGTTTGAGTAAACTGTTGAATTAAGTGTTCCTTTCTTTCGTTTAACTTGCTAGTGATCGTATCGACAGATGTCTTCAGCGTTTCTTTCTTTTCACGACAAGTATGTTGAACTTGTTTTACTTGCGCAATGTGTTTTTCAGCCTTGATTATTGCTTCTTGGGATCTTTGACGACACTGGTCCGCAACATCCCTCAAGTTCGCGACAGAGTGAGAGGCGAGAGGGTGATCAACAACAGTACAATCACGACATACCAACATCTTACAAGTTCGGCAGTAAAACTTGCAGATAAGATCGTGGTCGATACACTTCATAGCTGGATGAAACTCCTTAGCAGAAGTCGGGGAGAGAAGCATCTTTAATTCCACAACTTTATGCTCTTGATAAGCTTTTAAACGATTGTGTGCCTCGATGCATTTCTGGCAGAAAAACTCGTCGCATTCCACACATCGCACGATCGCTTTTAAACCGTCTTGGCAATTGGAACACTGCAGACTTTCGTTCTTGGATTTCAACTCAGCAACTTCCAACAAATTCTTAATGAAGAAATTTGTTGGTAAGCCTTCAATTCCCGACTCTTGTATAGAAGTTTCGTCGCGACATAATGGACACGGGATTGAATCATGTTGATTGTTTTTTTTAGTCATTTCGTTTAAACATTCTTTGCAATATGAGTGAAGACAGGTTAATGTCTTCGGTTCTTTAAACAGCTCCAAGCAAAGGGAGCATGTCAAAAGATCTTCAATCGTAGCGTGCGCTACACCTTCTGCCATCTTGGCCAAAGCACATACGCTACACTAAGACAATGTATAAAGATTATTTTAATTTAGCAGGTTGTTAAACACTTATTCCGCATGACTGATTAGAAATTCAAAAATTATACTTTCAGTACTTACACAAACGGTTTCTGGATTTAATCAACTGATGGCCAACCTTGATAATTCAATTCTTATAAATATATACGAAGCATCGCAAATAAGGTATACAAAGTCATAGGGAAAATTGGCTATACACTAAAAAACATGAAACAAAGTATTTCGTGCATACAAGCGTAATTAATATTTGATTCTCGGTATTTTTGGAAGAATACAGCCCCCCAACGTCGAAGTATGACTTCCTCCACGTATATACAGGATGTATTAATATTTTATGATGATAACAACTATCATTGTCTATTACACTTATGATATTTTATTTATCCGTATGAGGCCGTACAGAGCCAACGCTAAAATTACAGCTAACCCAAGCCAAATATGAATGCCTAATATAAATACATAAGAGATGCCTGCGGAGGAGGCTACGCTAAAATATGAACTCGGACCGCAAGAAAAAAAATAAATCTATTATTTACCAGTTTAGTCGGTCTGTTTAGGGAAGTATTTCCCTCTCTCAAAAACGTCCCTCGGCCTGTTTTTGAGACATTGGGAAATACTTCCCTATACGGCCCTCCAATCTGGTAAATAACATATATATATTTGCCTGCTGCCGTTCGGTGGGGATGGGATTTGGTTACTGTTTATGGATCGTCAGCAACGTCTTAACCCCCATAAACAGGCGTGGGTACCACACCAACCATTGTGACCACCTCCATCCCTCACCGCCCGGACAAGTCATCTGCATGTCTAGCACAGGGAGAGAAAGAAAAGAAAAGCCTAATACTACTACAGGCTGCTACACCTGTCTGCCCTCGGCTAGCATGTACCACAATACTTGGGATAAGAACATCCTGGGAGGGGTGGGTGTCAACGCTGACGACTTGAAGTAACTGAAAGAGTATGCTGATGAAAACCCTTCCCTGATATAGACTCATTAACCGACGATTTGATTTGCTAATATGTTCACCGGACGAATTAAGTAATTTTCTGTAGTTAGCGTCAATTAACTTTATGATGAAGTATTTATCTCTGAATCAAAACCTTGGGCCGGTTAGCTACACTTATTTGCACCGTGGGAGTTTTACAGCAGCAGATTAATTGGACGCGTTTTCTTTGTCATATATCTAAAAGCGTTGTTACACCAAATTTGATGCGAAGTTACAATTTGCAATTAACCAAAAATTACACGATTCTAATTGACGAATTTTGAAGTTTAGGGCCAACCATACCTTTTAATACAACCTTCCACAATTTGGCTGTTAAATGCAATAATCTGCTTGCTCGTTTTTGCGGTCGTGTGCAAAGTTTTAAACTCGAGACCTCCGGCTGATTGCATGTGTAACATTTAACGTAGGCTTACTGACAACAATGCATGGGCACTCACAATGGTGCATTTTGGAGTTTAATATGATTTAAAGAGTTCCGGCCTCTGGGATTAAGGTAGGAGTTGAGTAATCTTAATCAAACTACATTGTTTATCTAAAATATATACAATGCAATAGTATAAAGCTTGTGAAAACCTAAAAAATTACATTTTATTTGACTTTTTTTTCTTCCTTACGCCATACGACAGAAGTCTTGAGGAAGACAATTTCGACAGTTTGTCTGATTTGGCTCCACGAAAATGTCTCATTACACGTCGTTTTTTAATCTGTTCCTCGCGATCTTTTACCGAAATTCTACCCTTACCTTTCCATCGCCATTTCCCACCTCCCTTTACTTTCTTTGCTATTTCGTTGAGGCGTTTTTCTGTTGGATAATTGCTGTTCTTTGTTCGGGCATCATTGTTATTGTTATGATTTTCAGCAGTTTCTTCAGTATTATTACTAAAATAATTGAAACTTTACATTAATACATCAAGCGAATTGAAATGCAAAGCGTTTGTAACTGCACCAAGAACAGCGTTTATTGCGAACGTATTTCACACCATTCGTTGAGTAAATCATGACTGTGTTTGACAAAGAGATTAGGTAAGTCTATAAATATACATACTCCGTTGTCGCGAGAGATTGGAGTATTAACATTTTCTTTTTTAAATCTCTTCCTTTTTGACGATATCTCTTCACATCTTTCTTCTCTTCCTCTTTTGTCCTGTTAGAATAATGATACTACTAGTTTATTACTGACAGCTATCACTAAAACAATTTTGATAGCACTGCACTGCAAAATATCATCTATCTTTATCAGTCCACGTACTGTACCTGTATTGTGTTGATTTCTTTAAAGACGCCCATTGATTCAGTTCTTTATCATCGCATCTCAATATCTTTAATAAAGAATTTGCAATTTGCAACAAGATCACTTACTGTGAGTGCGATGCAAGGCAAAGTATACATTTGTTACCTCGTCGACGGTGAGACCAAAATCATTCGGTTCCACCTCTCGATACTTAAATCTGCATGGCAGGTCACCGATGATATCCTCGTAATCCAGTTTATAATATTCATCAAAATATTGTTCGAAGGATTTCTCTTCTAAAATAGAGTCACGTAAAGAAAGGTTGTTGTCGGATATACATATTTAAACGAAAAAAATTACTGATAGAACTTCTATCATAAGCCCAGGATAGTGAATAATCACAATCCAAGGGGTTAAAACCCGCATGAGAAAAGTTTCGTTCCTGCCAGAGAGGGTTGCATTTTTCGCAACGGCTGTTAACTTATAAACACAACAGTCACTCTATTCATTGTTCCTTTACTGTAGATTTTACTTGTACTTTCTCACCCGGATCAAATGTCGGTTTAGCTGAATAAAGTGCTTTCGAAAAGGCTGACTTCCCTTTTCCTTTATTCATGTCGTTTTTTGTGGTTTGAGTATTCACATCATAATCTGCATCCATCTGAAATTCACAACAGTTTAGAGTCAATGAGAATGTCCGCTTCAGTTGAGATGTATTAAATATATCAAATGCTACATATTAAAGTGATATATCAAATGCTACATATTAAAGTGATATACCAAATGCTACATATTAAAGTGATATATTAAACGCTACAAAACAATACAATAAAAAAATTCACAACTTACATTGAATCCAGGATCGTCACAATGCAGTTCTAAATATATGAATTAAAAAAACAATTACAATCATATAACAAGCACTCTGTAGAAGACGTCGACAGGTTTAAGCTATCAAATTCAAAATTTACAACTGCTATTTTACCTCCCCCAGTGTGACCTTCCCAATCATCCCAGTTTTCTATACGTAAAAAAGCAATTAGATGTAAAAATTTTCATAAATGTTGAGGTAAATAGAGAAATTGTTTACTCGGAGAATATAGGAAGCTATAGTATTGACACGAGTTTCAGCAGATGCACTATGGTGGGCAACGATTAATGAAAAATGCCTAATGTTGCAATAAAACCTGCTAAATTGGCAATATTCCCTAAATCTTTTCAAGCATTATTCTTTACCTTCTTCAAAATCATCATAATCATCATCATTAAATTCTGGCTTTTTAGCTTCTTCTTCGTTGTAATAATCATCATTAAATGCTTTCTGTAGGCGAATATGTTAGTTATGTTAGAATGATGTAATCACCCTAGATCTACACGTACATACAGTAACGTACAGTAACGTCCAGTATAACGTCCAGTGACGTACAGTAACGTACAGTAACGTGCTGTAAGACAGTAGTTCGATGTACCTGCATAGCCTCGTCATATTTTGCTGGGTCAAAATCACCTTCAAGATCTTCGTCACCAAAGCCTACATTAGGATTTCCAGTCACCTCTTAACGAGAAAAGTAAGTCATCAGGTTTATAATCAAATAATCAATATTTCAGGTCTGTATTACAATTGATTCTATTGCTTCTCTATACTTTTCTTGCAGTGTAAATTAACTATTAGCACAAGGCGTTCTAAACACGTACCTTTTAGTTTTTCCAGTTTTTCTAAAATTTCTTTCTTTTTGAGATTCTTTAACCGCTTTAGTTCTTCTTTCTTCTGTTCTTTTTCCTACACCGAAACAAAATATCATATACTGCATGTGGATGACGGAGTAAAAAACCTAAAAAACAAGTACAGAAAAGCTGGGCAAAAGAAATTGTAAACACTGTACAAATAAGCTGTACCATTCATGACATTCATTATAACAACAGTAAAAAGTCATATAATGTTGAATACAGTAATCCAATTTTTACGCTACTCAGATATAGAAAATCCCAGTTTTCTTCAGGATCAATCTAATCTATACTTCACGGAAATAGACGTGTATAGGACAGCCATGCTCTAACAATGTACCTTTAACTTTCGTTCATTGCGTTTCTGCCTTCTGTCTTTTCTACTGTCGTCCTTGCGACGAAGGGAACCGGCAACATTTCTTGGGTAGCTTTTTAACTAAATTATCAAACGAACATATTGAGCTAAATGTATATCATTATTCAGTGAAATATAATGATGACCAACGTATCTGGTGTATTATAAAACATCATAGTTATACAGTGTAAAATAGTTGAAATTGAGTCACATCTTCGTAACCCAAAAGGTTTGACAGTCTTGATCATTAACGCGACCAATAATATAATCCTTTTTGATAGTCTTTTTTACTCAATTTGGTGGATTCTTCTTTAAGAAAGAAAGTATTGTATATTTAAAGAGGTTACTCACATGTACAGCATCAGGCTCTTCAAATCTAAAGTTATATACTCTTTCAAATTCTTCTTGCTCTTCAATTTCGTCTTCTTCCTAATGACAAGAACGTAGTTCTTTCCCAAAATACTCCGGAGTACAAAGTGTACATGAAGTAATAGTAATTGCAAAGCATGGTAAATTATATCTGGATGCATTACCTCATCAAAATCCGCAACAACTTCATCATATGTTTTAATTCTAAAAAAGAATTGTTATTAAAAAGTGTAAAAACATCAAATCAGATATGAAAAATCTGGTACTTTTATTTACGCGCTAGTGCCCTGTGTGATTTTTCAATCATAATTTCGGTTGGTTTAATTTATTCAAGATACGTATACGACAAACAACTTACTCAAGAGAATCTCTATCAATATACTGTCTTTGTAAAATGAAGTTTCTTAGAAATTTCTCGTTTTCATCAAGATTGGGATCATTCCAATGTTTCATTAACGGTTCCTAAGATCGAATAAAATAAACAGAACAGTTGACATACCCAATATGACCAACACTTGTTTATAGAAGAAAGCATTTTGTACATGATTAAAAACTCTTCATGGTACGTAGTTACAAAGTTTGAAGAAACAAACCAATTCTTTCCTATCGTTTTCCGCAAAATTTCTTTTTTCCAACCAATCAGCATAGTTCTTGTCGTCTATTTCCTAAATGACAGAACAATATATCATGATATTGCTGGATATACTACATGTACGTATTTGTACTGTATTTATAGGTTCGAACAAAAATGTCAGCACATGATTACTTTGAAAAAATAACTCTTTTTTCTTTGTCCATTAAGCAATAAAATTAAATGATTGTGAATGGTTGGAGCATTTTACACATGTCAATCATGGCTTCTGTGATGTGCTGGTATAGCTTGGTTGTTACAATTAACATTAATTTGATACTAATACAGAACATTTTATCTGTTTTCATTTGAAGCCTATGTATTAATTAGTACATATACCTGTATGGCTGTACCTTTTGCAGAATCTAAATTTTAGAGTTCCAAATGTAAGGTGAAAAATTTCACACATTACCTTTTCCTGTTTCGATTTCTTTCGTTTTGTTAAGAAATCATCTTTATTACTCTCAACCGCATTAACTGCATCTTTTAGACTGAAAAATAAACGGTGAGAAAAGTGTCACAATAGTGCATATGTATATATACAGTAAGAGTATATGTATACATGCATGGTTAACATTAGTATTGGAATGGAATAAAAGTAATATGTCTATAATTATATATAATAAAAATTTATTTCATCTATTTAAACACCTTTTCTTCAACTCTTCCTGTTCCTCAACATACGTCAGTGATGGCTGGAAAGGACATGAAATTATTTCACCACTCAACATGGACCATTTTGCAGAATATTTTATGTCAAATATTAGTCATCATGTAAAATATCTTACAAGTACCTGCTTTTCTTCTTCGTCTGAGCTAATCTCAAAAGCCTCACTATACAGGACAAAATAATATGCATTGAATTTTAGTAGTAAGCTCATAATTTCAGATTCAGGACTTTTGAAATGCAATGATTAACTTTGATAGAGAACCTTACCTTCCTTTCCTTAAAAGTCGTTCTCTTTCATAATCTTTAAGATAAATTGGCTTGCTAGATTTCTTTGACTTTTCATCTTCTGCATTTATGCTTTTATCTGCAGTGAACAATATATGTGGTATATAATAATCAATAAAGGTAACAATATAGTTTCCTACAGGTGCAATTTTATGGATAAACACATGGATATACACATATATAATTTTATGGATATACACATATCATACTGAAACTTAGACAAGTGGGTAATAAATTTAGATTTCAACACTTGCCATCTGAATAGAATTTTGCATCCTTCTTATAGATTTTAGGATCTTTGTTCTTGATAAGTGCAAGTGTCTTGAGAAAATCTCTTTCCTTTGCCATATTAAGGTCCTAAATGAATAAAAAAGTGAAACTAAATTCGACTACATTGAATCTTAGATTCAATGTTTTATAAATGCTAAACAGATACGGACAGTAAAAATATTTTGTTCACACAATCTAAGTGACTAATTTTACATTATGCCTTTATATTTAAACAGATTTATTCAAAATCATATGTCCACTCTATATATAATTTACCTTAGCATCTTCATCTTCAGTCTCACTAGAACTTTCTGAATCTTCATTATTATCTCCATATTTATCTCTCACTGAAACCATCAAAATTTGATAAATATTTTTTATCTTAATTTAACCAAAATTAGCATTTTTTTAATATACATATGAACTATAAATTGTAGTACAATTATTTCATTTATTTGAAGCCCACCAAAGACGTTTCAAGGTTTTTTTACTCAATAACAGGACCTTGACAGTTGACATGTTTTAATAATAGGGGGGATATGGTTCTTACATCGATCAAGTTCTGCTTTTTCACTTTTCTTCTGAAATTTGCCAGCGTAGGCTTGATTTACCGTTAAAACGCAGTCTTCGTACTCCATTCCATCCGCCATCTTGAATTACAATGCATCTACTTTATGTTACACGTAATCAAGTCTCTCATAAAATAACATTTATCCTTGAAACAAGGAAAACATAGAGCTTCCAGTCGTCCATACATGCATGGTTGTCCTCTTTTGACTTGCAACTTGCAAGACTTCATTTGTGTAATCGTATTTTACTATCAACCCATCTTTAAGCTATCGACCCATTATTTTTTAGTTTTACCTTCATGGTAACGTCGTCGTCGTTACGATTGACATCAGTATTTCGGCCTATCGAATGCCCCTTGTATGATTATCTTGCAAATCATAAAGCTTTTAAAAGGGTAACAGAAGCTTTGAGAAACTTATTTGTACAAAAGAAGTCCAAGGATGCCTTGAGCATGTGATATAGAGTCTACTGTGTTTAATTGACGAGTAGCTGGGATCCAGGCAAGGTGGCATGCAGCGCCTCCTTTCTTGAGTTTCTTCCCCCTTGCCAATGCTTCTCCACAGCAACAACAACAATTCTTCAATTTGGCTTATCAAACTCACGTCACGCTTGCTTGCTTGCTTCTCCCTTCTTTCTTCACCTCAAGCATGGGCCTGTCACGTACATGAAAACTGTGTTTACTGTTTACCCCACAAGACTGCCGTAAAGCCCACCAACACCAGATCTGGCCCTAAATAAACTTGTATTTCGAATCTGTTGCCCCGTCTGATACTGATGACACCACTATGATCGTCAGTAAACTTTACCAGCATGCATGCACTCGGAAATTGTTATTATAAACGTAATTGGGTTGATATTATAGTTCGCGGACAGTCTAAAGTCGCAGCTGTTATTTAAAATGAAGACATAAAAAACATTATTTGATGTTCTTCGTTCATTTTCTCCTGTCATGCACTCATGCATCATGCATGTATGTTGCATCCTGGCAAATGTATGTCCGCAATCTTTCTAATAGTTTCACAACACAAGCTACAAGTGCAAAATATCAACAACGTGATGATTTCTGTTTTTATTTTGTTCAGTTTTTATTGCTTTTGTCAATGGAAAGGCACTTACTTCTGTAATAAAAACGTCAACGGATCGCACGGATAAGGAATTTGAGAATTCTCATCGGGAATCCAGAATCACGGCTGTAGTTTTAGTATATACCGCAGGCTCTAATGGCGGCCAAGCGACTTCTGTTGTATTTTTTTATCTTCTGCCAAATATTTGGCATCGCAATTTTTCTTAAAGGATTTTTTCCTTTGAAGAAAAATTCCCCGGGGACTTCTGAAAGTAATTTGAATGGCTCTACCGTTCGTAGTAAATTCGATCGTCTAATTATTGTCTTGGTTGATGCACTCAGAGCCGACTTTGTTTTGGGAAATAATTGTTACATGAATTTCACCAAGAAATTAATTGATTCAGGCGATTCCTTTTGGTAGGTGTCTGAATTTTAATCAAGATTACGATAATCGATAGTAAATAATTAGCTGTCTGAATCTTTGAGAACGAGACTGGTCATGTTAGATACTGTATCGTAAACAGAGAAAAGACCCTGGGTACGAGGTTGATATCTAACGTAGATATTACTTACTAACCTTGATAAGGTCGAATATACCGGAATATGGTAAATTCAACCTGGATGACGTCGAATATATCAAAGAAGGGTAAATTTGACGGATATACCATACTAGTTAGCCAAAACTCCGGTATATTTGACCAAGGTTATCAAGGTTGAATATACCATTCTCCCGTATATTCGACCTTATCAAGGTTAGTAAGGTTTCTAAGCTTACCAAGCGCGAATACTATATTCCAGCCGGGTATATTTGATCCTACCAGGGTAGCCAGGTATGTGTGTAACGAACCTTATTTGAGACGTAGGGGACGTAAGGGGTTTTATAGAGCTCGGTAAGGTCGAATATACAAGAATATGGTATGTTCAACCTTAGTAAGGTCGCTTTTATGGATCCAACCTTGGTACGGTCAATTATACCAGAATGACTCGACCGTAGTAAGGTCGAATATACCGGAATATAGTATATTAGACCTTAGTAAGGTCAAATAATACCGGAATATGGTATATACCTCGTCTATGTGACTAGTTTTCGTCTATGGATGTTTTTTGTTTTTACTGCTTGATTTTTATACCCATCGATAATAAAGAAAAACAAATCCCCTACGTTCCTCTGCAATATACCTGCCGATTACCCGTAGGTATCCACTAATCCCCTATTGATTAATAGTTTCATCATATTTTCCATTCACGTTTTCCGATTTTTCACTACCTAGTTTTCAAGCTCACTCCAATCCTCCGACTGTGACGATGCCACGAATAAAGGTATGTTTGCTGTGCGCCAGAGATTTCCTGAAGAGTGAGGCTAATCCCTACATCGGCTTTAGCTGAACAAAAATATCTTGAGAAAATTGTTGAGAATGACAACAATTAAAGATGACTGCGCTAATAATAACTCTTAATTATTAGTCAGTAAAATATAATTTTAATTCTAGTGATATTACGAGCAATATCGTCAATTTACTTTCACAAATCAGGTTGCATGCAAATATGTATTGCAAATGCGATATTCAAGATAATTTGCAGAAAGGAAATCACCGTCTTACTTTCTTTTATAGGCAATCACAACTGGAACAATCCCTGGTTTCATTGACGTCATATTAAACGTAGATTCCAAGGAATTACACGAGGACAACCTTGTTGAGCAGATGAAGAAATCTAATAAAAGGATAATATTTTTTGGTGACGATACTTGGATTAAGTTATTTCCGAATTATTTTCAAAGACAAGATGGAACGACTTCATTCTTTGTATCTGATTATACAGAGGTTCATATACATGTAGTTTATCGCAGGCTTTTTAGTTTTTAAATCAGCACATGAAGAAATCATACATGCCAAGACTTTACCTGAAATGTACATATATCATTTCACAATTTATAAATTGCCAACACTTACCGGACAGCTCTACTATGACATCTTAAATAATATTCTTGTATGTTTGCATGGTGACGTCAATAAGTGATTTAGCTTGTAGGTACACCACGTATAAGTATTTAATACTGCAAAGCTTTCGGTCCGTTCAATGTGTATTCAGGTAATTGCACTGAAGAAGACCCAGGTTAACGGACAGTACTAAATACTTACGTGGTGTTTAATTCTAGAAAAGACAAATCGTTGATAATTTTCAAGGGAGTTACGAAAGTGTTTTTTATAATTGTTTAGGTAGACAACAACGTAACTCGTCACATAGTTCCTGAAATGGACAAACAAGATTGGGATGTGATGATACTGCACTATCTTGGTTTAGATCATATTGGTCATCTAGCAGGACCATGCAGTCCATTGGTACGACCAAAACTCGTTGAAATGGATCAAATTATTGAGAAGATTTATAAAGCAACAGTGCGACAAGATCTTGGCCACAATATCACGACATTGTTGGTGCTGTGTGGTGATCATGGTATGAGTGATGGTGGTAGTCATGGTGGATCATCTTTTGCAGAAACTACCACGCCTTTGGTATTTATGAGCTCATCATTCGAGCAGGGACAAGGTATCGAAATCAAATCTTTCATGCTCAAATCGTACAAACAATTTAATTGTGCATTCGATAATTAAAGATTTATAAGGAAAATTTCTCGAGTTCGTTATTAGCCAAAGATTTATATGGGATATGTTGAATCCTATTATATTTTATCCAACCATCTGTTGATAGGAGAGCTGTACAACATGAAGAGAGTAAATCAGATCGACATTGCACCTACTTTGGCTGTTTTATTTGGTTTATCTATTCCAAAGAACAGGTATTAGGATATACAATAAATACCTCATATTCGCTCACAATTGTTCGTTGTTGGTTGTACATAACACTTGTTTACACTTTAATATTGTTTGTTTAACCCTTAAGAACAGGACAACAATAATTTTTTGTGTTTATAGCTATCACAAGTAACAGTAAAAATATTTTTATTGTTAAGCATAGGAATTGTCATCCCTGATCTTCTGGCACGTTACTCGGTGAAGGAACGGTTGGACGCAATCCGAATGAATGCATTACAAATCTCCGACGTTTATCAATCCAACACAGATAACGAGTCAGTCGTTGATCTGGATTTAGCTGAAAGACTGCACAATGAATGGCTAAACGAATATGAAAGTCACATTGGAATTGATGTAGATGCTCGTGCTGAAACAATATCAAAACTTTATTATTCAGGAATGCAAACAATGACTGAGAAACTTACAAAATTTATGTCCTCCTACGACTTTTATGCTTTGCATATTGGGATATGGTTTCTGCTGCAGTCACTCCTGGGCTCTGTTGGTTTATTTGTCGGCATTTTTTCACAAGATTTTTCATCGTTTTTTCGGGCACATGTTTGTTCTTTGCTGGCTACATTTTTTGTCATTGCTTGTTTCATCACCCTAGTTCACGTTCTCCTTTGTTCAACGCCACAATTAGGTAATTATTTCACGGTTATTTACTTGCATATAAATGTTTTATATAAATGTAGATGCTAAACGTAACCAAACAAAACTCGCTGACAAATTACTATTAAATGACGTAACTTTTGCCTGGTTCTTTAAATTTTCAACGTTTATTTTTACAGGAACAAGCGAAGTGTTCTGTGCTCCATCTTTCTCCTCTTTGTTACTGTCATTTATTTTCATCCTTTCAACTGCGATCAGTACATTATTGGGTATTGTATTTGTTTTTCATAACGTGATTAATTGTGGTTTTCCGTCTTGGATTCGCACATCCACCAATGGAAATTCTAAAACCCTGACTTTCCTCATCTTCGGAATGCTGTTACACAACATAAGTTTGCTTTCGACAAGTTTCATTGAAGAGGAACATCAGTCATGGTACTTCTTGACAACATCCTACCATCTTATCGTATTCTATGAAATATACATCAAGGAACGGCGAATATTTCCTTCCATTTTCAGCCGAGAAGAATCTTCAGAAGATGTTTCTCTTCATAATAAAAGGCCATCAACAAGCGATCTCACAACCGACACGATCAAGGACTTGAAATTGACAAAATACGAGGATCAAAATATTCCAAGGACTTCATCATATATCTTTATTTTGCTGTTGTGCGATAGAATTGTACGAAGCTGGAATCAAACTGGAATAAAATGGGCGGACCAACCTGATGTCGGAGATTGGTTGGTTAGTCCCGAAAATAAGACTCCATTGACTTTACTTACAGTGATATTTTTGGTTGGGATAACGTTGAACATTTTTTATAGAAAAGGACAAAATAAATGTGATTTCTTTACATTTGCCATCTTCACATCAGGCGTAATGAGCGTGTACCTGTATAGAGCTGCCACGGATTGTGTTGACTTTAGTCAATGGATTATCAAGACATCTCAAACTGGAATTGAATTTGCTCAAATAACCCAGCTTTGCGTGGTTCTGCTGGTACTAATGTCATTGTTTCAATTTATGTACTCTTGGAAAGGAAAGAGATTTTCTACCCAAAAATCCCCTGTTGAGGTCTTCGTTACTGGTTATTTGCTGTTAATAATGCTTCTTCTACGAACTCATAACATTCCACTGGTGGCAATAATGCTTTTGCAAGTTCATGTTCATCGTGAAGTTGTATGGAAAAGGTAAATAAATTATATCCGCGATCAGAGACGTGAAGTTGTGAACATATTCTGTACGCTTGCAGCATCCCTAAAACAACTAAGCTGCAAGTGCTGCAAATGATAATGTCGCGTGCATTTTATTTCAACAGATAAACGGATAAATAGTTACACCTCCTGGTACATGGGAGTTGTTGTAATGTCAGATAAACGCCTGCTATAATAAATCTGATGCTATATGTTATTTTTAGATGTGAGAGTGATACGGAGATTATATTAAGTGCTTACTATATTGGTTGGTTCACCTACTTTTCACAAGGGAATTCTAATAGTTTTGCTACGGTCGATATTGGAGCGGGGTATATTGGCTTAGGGAAAAACTACTGGCCTGCAGTTGTTGGCTTACAAACATCTTTAGCAACATTTTCTGGACCTTTGTTTTGGATCATCCAAGCAGTCATATTTATCCAGAGTAGACAGAATACCAGCAACAGGTAAGGTTTCACTGACTGCATAGCAATGCAGCATACCTTAGTACCTCATGCCTTTATAACTCTATGAGACAACGTAGACTTATTGGCTGACTTTTTAGTTAAGATGTCGAATTTTTATTAGGTCGAGTTCACGAGGTGGTGTTGGTCAACTCTGTACAATTCTTCTGATGATCAAATCATTCAATCTGACTGTTTGCACGATATTATCATGGCTGAACTGTTATCATCTGTTTGTCTGGAGTGTTTTCTCACCAAAACTCTTGTATGAAGGAGTTGTAAGCCTTCTCTTCTGTATTGTTATATTAACTGTCTCTGTATTTATCAAAATTGAAAACTAAACACATGAAGAAATCTGTTTCCTGCTGAATTACCTGTTATTTCAAGCTCATTTATATTGAATTTGAGTTAAACTGTTAAAAATTTAGGTGATTTCACAAAATCCATTGCCGTCCTGAAGCTCGCCATTTTGATTATTTGTTCGGAAATTTCACAGCTTATAATGGGATACGCAGCGGTCTTATAAGTTAAGCAGAGCCTCTGATTAGTTTAAGAATCTAATGAAATGCTTAGTTAAACTTCGCATTAGTATTTAAAGAAAACGACAACAAGTTCAATCACTTCAAGACAAACTGCACTCTGACGTCATCGCATGAGATTAAGATCCAAGATGTGCAAATTCTAAACAGGATTTTTAGGGCCATTTTACCTTTAAGGCAGGTTACAGAACCGAAGAGCTATTCGCAGTTTTCTGAAAAAGTCACTTCCTCACGTTTGTATCACTCTGAAATTTACTTGCTTTGTTAAGTACGTCAGGGTGCATGACATGGGGTCGGTTGACTCGCCACGACGACGAGTGACGGATGTAATTATGCGGTCTCTACGATCAATAAAACCGACTGGTTTGCATACTCTGTACATGCAAACGGCGCGTGCAACAAGGTAAATTTCGACTACTTTGCATGCCATGGTTGAAAACAGCTAACGACAGAATGGAAACACCATGCACCAATACTTCCTCTCTCTCCCCTGCACTGACTCTTCTTAACCCAATTTCGCAAAAGCCCCGCTGTAGTCCCACAATCCTTTTTGCACGAGAAACAAGCAATGTGGCGAAACAAATTTTTAATATTATAAAAATTTATAATTTTTGATTAGATTTTGTGTTTTAATTCTATAAATACAGTATATGATTCAAATTATATTTTTCACTCTGTATACGAACGTATATGTGGTTGTATTTGCATATATCATTTAAAATTGATAATAATTTTGCCTGCCTTAATAAACATGTTAACTGCATGTTTAGTGTTGTTTTCTATCGTGAAGCGAAGCGTGCTGTAACCACATCACAATACAGTTTTATAATTTATAAATATGTAGTCGTTTGTTTTTAGGCACTTCGTTTGTTTTTTGTTAATTCCCCACTCATACACGTGCACAGTGGTTCATATAACCTATATCGTTTTGTTTATTGTACTTTCTCTTAGTAAAAACCTGATTAGTTAACGTTATATATACCTTTTTTTATACCTAATTATAAAATCGCGTCAAATGTGTTTGAGCAACTGTCTAATTATAGAGAAAAAAATAGAATAGGGTAGGGAACATTGAAAAAAGAGCAGTGTTTTTGTTTATTTTAGTTTTAGACAGTTGTTATACCTCGAAGTTGTTACGGGAAGCGCCGGCACACTGCTCCTAAATTTCGTGAAAAGTTGAACTTAACCGTCGTCTATATACATTCACAAATGTAGTAAAAATTTTCAATCAATGGGCCTTCTTCTCTTTCGAACACACTCTTGTTATAGTCCAGTCTTGTTCCTCTCCTTTTTTTCTCTCTATGAAAAGGGCCATAACCCATTCTTGGAATGATCCAGACCCGAGTGTCACCAAGTGTTTTGCCTGACTTAGTATATTCATTTCAACAATTGCCACAACTCCGTGGTCCATTAATAGTGGGTCAGTTTGATGAGGACTGTATCGCTTTGGCTTTAAAAAGTTCATGAGAAGTTTCTCGAACCTCTTCAGACTATTTGGTTTATTAGACACTAAAGTATCTGAGCCATACCGCGTTAAGTCTGTAGCAAGGAACACAGTTTGAATGCCATGTTCCTTTTTCAATTTAAAAACTCTTCTTAGTACGGCATGAACGCATTTCAAGAGCGATTGTTCAGAATACCATAAGAGTTGCCGTTCAGACCTCACATGCAACGCAATATATGTTCTTTCTAGAAACGTTCGTCTATAGAGTTCAGCTTCTTGTAAAATAAGATTACTATGATGAAGTCTATGGACTATTTCGCGTGCATTTAATTTCACTTGTGGCTTGAAATGAGTTCTATTTTTTCCAAAGCCTTTCCAGTAGGTAATCACAACACATTTATCACCTTGAAGAATATCATTTTCAAACATTTTATGATCTGTGATCCTTTCTGCATTAACACACAACTGTCTGCCCGCCGTGGTATCACCTAATCTCTTTGAAATATTTAAACCCCTGTCAATAAATGGGCACTCGTACCAACCTGTATTATTAGTTTGCAGATAAATATTTTGATAGTCCTTTTCACTTAACTGAAACCACATTTTGGTTGTTTCTTTACCGTCATTATAAAGGAAGTGAACTAAAGTTATATTTGATGTCGTTTTGTTGCAAACCCTCTTGAACTGAGTTAGTGGGCGCACTGTCGTATATTGATTTTGAGAGAGTATTTCGTTCATTGCTTTCACATCGAAATAAAGACCAAGCGGCTTAAATAAACGACTTGGTGTAAGTTCTTTACCCCACCAACCAGTTTTTAAGCCACACATTCGTGAATCACGGACGAAAGGTTCGACAACTACTCTCGAGCCATATACTGCTATAGAACACAGCTGTACAAAATTTTCTGTTGTTTTACCAAATTGCTCATAATGATGGAAGACAAATATATATTTATCTTCTTCACCCTCTCGTTGATCCATTGCGATTGATATAATCTCTTGTTTGCCGTCTGTATCAGCACGATGCCGGTTTGAAATGCGAAATGGGTGTATACCAAACACACGTTTTATAATAGACGAGGAATAAGTCATTGTCTTATTTCTCATACCTGCAACCACATCTTGTTTAAAACTACGCGAACCAGCTCCGTCGTTTAAACCATTTTCAGACGAAACCTTCGCCGATAAATCGTGGGTTACCTGGCTCAAATGACGCTCCCCATACGGTTGTAACTCGAGTCCCGTAAACATACTCAACCAAACAGATATACTTCCAAACAATGATATACTTGTTGTAATTATGATAACTCGTTGAACAAGTCGCAAATGTAAACGATACATTATTGTTTAACGTCTGACAAATTGCAGATGTTTAACCTTCTCATTGGACTTTTTAGTCTTTTAGCTCATTTTGTTTAAAGTTTTCATTTCGATCTATATGTTGGTCCATTTTTTTAGTGAAAATAACTAAACGACATTAGTTGTATATCCGTTGTTAAAAAGTACACAAATCCCCCTCTCGCTGACTCGCTTGGTGGAACATCACAACAAAGAATCCTTTCCGACGATCATTCAGAGATAATATAGACAGCAAAGCTATACATAGAGACAATAATTATCAGCACAAAAGTACTACATCGCAAGATATTGCTGATTCTTCCTTAAAGGCTGCTCATACAATATCAGTAAAAAGCCAAAAATATACATTTATATTAGTAGAAGCACTATTCTGTCTTAACTGTTTTGGAATGCAAATTAGTGTTTAGCAGTTGACACACGGAGTGACTTGTTTGCATAATGATTACTTGACAATATTCACCACGATTTTCACAACTCGGCCTTGAATATGGATTCGTAATTCGGAGGCCATTTCTTTCCTCTGTTTACACTAGTCACGAGATTAGCACTTGTTTGCCGAGAGAAATTATGTCTATCTACACCGACTCATTCACATTTTCTCTTTTCAGTATCCATCGTAAATTCTAGTATACAATGAAAAAGATAATGAAAAAAATGCGGCAACAAAGAGAATCGTTACAACGCTGCTATACTGCGCCTAGGAACGAGTAATTATTTATATACATTGTATGCGAGCGCAGTGTTGACGAAATGCCAAAATTCTTGTCATCAAACAATATTTTCTGACAATATCGGACTAAAACTTTACATCACCAAGACAATCCAGTAATGTAAATACAACACGTACAGTCGTATATAGACTAAAGAGGAGGTACTAGACTACTAATAATTAGAAATCCAACAACAAAAAGGCTAGGCAAGACCGATATCCAATTGGGTACTGAAGCAAGAGACTATATTTCCCTCATTTCCTTGCTACACCTGCGAGTTGTTTTGAAGAACTTTGAATTCTATAAATTTGAGTTTTTTCTTCTGTGATAAACTTTTGTCGTATTAAAATTTCTTGAGCCTGAGGTGCCAATTTATTAAATTGCTGTCTGTTTTACGATATGTCCACCAAGGAAACCAATCAAGTGCCTTCTCTTATACGTGTGACATTCGATTTTTTTTAATGGGATATCATTTAGATACGGTAAGTCAATGAAACATTCCGGGATCTAGAATTTACAGTTTATTCATCTTTCACTCAACGCCCTCACTTTTGAGTTTCGTGTCAAAACTTACTCTCATATTTCTTGCTTAGTAGGTTGACTAGGTTATTCCTGTGGCTGTGCTTGGCAGCTTGCAGACTCCCTAAGACTTTACTATAAATCATAAATGCTTTGAAAACCTGTTTAAATAAAAGCAAGCTCTGTTACTGTTAGTATAGTGCACTAATTTTAATTTTTTGGCACGCATATAAATTACTATATGACTATGTATGAAACAGTTTGGCGAATTGTTGTAAATTTATGCAATTTTATCGAAAGTTATTAAGTGCAGGACATAACTACTTACAGAAGGCTGTGTGGGAAGTGGAGCATATCGTACTGACGATAAGTTTTTTATCATGGCGTAGTTTTCAATTTCATGTTAGTTCTTTCGTAATCTTCGGTTGAATAAAAAAAGAGCCACAATATTATACTGAATATATATAGAATCATACAATATTAGTTGAAAAGGAGCAAGAAAATGCTTTGAAATTAAACACGGATTCTCAGTACTTCAGAGTTAAACGTGACAAAAACCACGTCCTTCATCAGACATCACGTATCCACAAGTCCACACGCATCCGTCGGCGACCGTGGAAACATTTTGAAAAGGCAACGCATCTGGATACGTGTCACATACAGACTGTTTATTTGGCAATAGAGCAAAAATAACATTCGACTTGTGTCAGTACAAGTTTAGTGTATTGGACTAGTTTCTGCTTGGACAATTGGCTCCACTCAAAAGTAATATCAGACAAACATCTTTTGATATTATTTTGACATCACTGATAAGTTTGATTCAGTGGCGCGTAGCCGAGGAATATCCTTGAATATGCAGAATAATTCGCATCAGTTTTGAGAAAAAACCCGCTTTATTCAAATCATCTTGAATGTGTCATTGCTGTATACAGTATTGACTGGATTCTAGAAGAATACGTTGTGTGTTATACTTATACTGTACCATTCGAAAAAAATTCCGAGTTTAATCTCTTTGTAATTATGGAAGGGTTTTAATAATTGTTAAAGTCTCATTAATTGTTTGTAACAATTTTGTGATAATTTGGCGTGGCTATGTTGTAATTATCCAATTAAGTTAAAATTAAATAACATATTGCAGTCATTTTCATTCACTATGCACATTCATCAAAAGTCCAGTCTACAGTCGTCTTGCACACAACAACACAATACAACAGACAGTTGGAAAAATACATCAAATCTTCAGAATGAGAAACTGGCATTATTTGTCTATAAAAGAGAATTAACATCTAGTTAAACTAATATTACTGAATTTCACATACTACACATGTTAACCTACTTAGACATTACCTGAATGATACCAACAATTACTCCAAACAGCCCAATAGCACTTCCAAAAATTTCAACAATAAGAATCTTCACAAACAAGGCAGGATTTTGTGCATCAGCCAAGGCAGCTCCACTACCAATGATACCTACACATACTCCACAAGACAAGTTTGAAAGTCCAACTGTCAAACCTGCTCCAAATATTTTATAAGCTGAAATTGCAAAAAAATTGCATAAATATTTTATATAGCAGACTTATATAACTGTTTTCCTCAAAATAAGTATGTACATATATTACGTCTATGAGTCATAAAAATTTCCATAGTTACTGAGCAATTTAGCCTCACAATATAATTAATTTTGGTTGTCCTCCAAGGTGTAAACCATTATATACCTTGACAATGAAATTGTTTATATATTGTTTTCACTTTACATTATTTGTAATTAAAAGATAGTGAAGTTTATAGAATGATTGTGGAGACATTTTCTATATGTAAATAACCAAAAATCTATTGACTACAAAGTTAAAGATGCAAAAATAAAAAAACTATTTAGTGAATATATATTTACCTGCACCATAAAGTTTTCTCAATTTATCCTCAGTTTCATTCTGATAATTGCCTGCCTATAATGGATTATACATCCAAATTATGGGAATCCAGATAAAAAAGATAACATACTTGTAAGGAGAAGTTCAAGGACAATCAAAGCACCAGAAAAATAAGAGATTATGTTTGAAGATTATGCTAGATATAAAGATGTTCAATGATGTAACCAAACTGGATGCATACTTTATGAGTTTTTTCAGAACATTCTAAGTTAGCTATAAAATATTTCAATAGTAGGAATTGACAGTATAGTCTCAAAAAAGAGGCGATGTTACAATATGAACTTCCTGTTTCTTTATAATAATACTTCCTATACGTAAATAGGATATATCACACAATCAGACACACCTGGCTGAATGAAGAGATAAATTTATTTATATATGTAGTTATTCACATTATACACTAAAACAGTTTAGAATAAAACAGTACCTCGACTTTTTGAATTAGAACAATAGCCATAATGATGCCATAAATTGCTACTGCCTCACAAAATATAATGCTCACAAGATTTCTTGTTTTGATTCTGGGAGCTTTAACACCAGCACCTAAGATACTTGCTCCCGTTGTAAAAATTCCCCTAAATTTTTTATTAAAATATATACATTAATGATGAAATTGAACAAAACTTTGAACTTTGAATCTACCTCATTCAAAGGTTAACTGTTCGTAGGGAATTACAATCATCAGATCCCTACATTGGCTAAGATAATCGCAAAAGATTGTATTACCATGCAGCACCAACAACTGATAAGGCAACAGCCAAACCACTCCCTAGACCAGCCCACATAAATGGTGAAGTTGATGACAGAACCCTAAAAGAAATAAAAATGTCATGACCAGTGATAAAATATTACTGCGATTTCCAGTTGAGCGTTGAATTGTAAAAGCTTGTTGGTTAAGTTTTGTATTTTGAGAGGAATGTTTGTGACGTCGTCTACAATGTTGCTAGAGGATGCTGATCAAGTTGTCAGGGGAAAACTGTCAATATATCTTCAAGAAGTGCATGACACTATTTTACATACCTTTCATAATGAATTAGAAAAATAAATATTGTCTTTTCAAGATAAGAAAGTTGGGGGTATATGGTCAAAATATATTGTGCACAGTTGTATGAATTGTCTGGTCTTTTTTATGTCTCATGTTGAAATTTGGAATGTAAGTGTAATTTAAGGGGTGTTGCCAAAATGTGTTGTAAAGGCTGTTTTACTCAATTGAGCTATGACAATTTGTAAAATAGTATCTCAAGTGTCCGCTTGCTCTACTGTGCAGTCTAGGGCTGAAGTGAAATGGTTAAAATGAAAATATCAACTAATTTTAGAACATACACGTACCATCCAATGTCAAAACGTCCTCCTTGACCCGTCAAAATATAATATAATCCTAAAAAATATAATATAATATAATATAATCCTAAAGAACCCGAATAGAATCCATTTATCTCAAGTATAAATCAGGACTTCAAATTTCATATCTTGACCGAAGAAAAAATGCATTTCAATCTTATTGTCTTGGATTCGTGCAAATGGGTGCAAATTATGACATTTTATTTGCCATACATACCTACTGCTATTATTACAAACGTAGTAACATAGGAGACTATCAAATGGTACGTTGAACCACTTGAAGTTTCATAAGCCATGATTTCTGGAGGTTGAAAAACTAAGTTTTCTTGCCTATAAATCTAAGCCATTTGAAAAGAATACAAAATGTCCACCATCTTTGAATAGAGCAAGTCACATGACCCGATGACCGCAAACATATTTCCTCTGCGCAAGGCTGACTCACAGCGCTCAGATCTGCGCATTTCAGTTTACAAAATTATTGCAAAATGAGCAGATAAACAGTTAATTAAAAAGGAGGCAACAAGCAGGATTAGAACCCAAGCTTGGTTTTTTCAATGGTTGATCTGCGAGTTCCCAGCAAACATTCTACCACAATGCATCCGACTGTAGTTGCTAAATGAGCGTTTTAAATATTCGGTGCCTGATAGTGGAACAATCATCTAATTCATATCAATCTAGGGGTTCGGGTGGATAGAATTACCTTTTCTATTTGTATTTTGTGCAAATTTATTTAATAAAAAAATCGTACCTGTAAAGCATAAACAGTGTACAGTGTTCAAGCAGTTTTTTCAAAAATCAAAACCTGCATGATCAATCGGCCTAAACCCAGCTGGATTGGTTTAGCAGTATCGTCATGCAGTACCAATTGTCTTCCAGTAAAAAGGGCGAAGAAGCGAAAAAGGGCTAGCTGGTGTCACTAAGATAGTGCCATACCCTGATACCCTGGCAATACTAAGTCGAATCACAAATATAGCCGATCTTCGAAAATAACTTTTCGAGAACTCTCCGTAGCCATAGTTTTCAAGTGAGTTATTGTCAGTCCAACAGAGTATGCCGGCGCTGTCGGCCGCTTTCTTGCCGCAACCACGTTGTCAGGATGTAGATGAAGCAGATAAGCGAGTATTTGGTCAAGTGAATTTGTTTTATCCGGCAAAGCGTGGGAGTGCTGGGACGGGCGGTATTGTGCAGTATATTAAGGAAGTACGTATATTCCTCCCTTTTTACGGTTTAATGACCAATTTTAAAATACAAGTCTCGACTTCGACCTCGTCTAAGTCTAGATTTGAACTGGATTTTCGAAGAGTAAAGACTAAAAACATTTTATGAAGGCTTTGCTCAGCGGATAATCTGAGTCAATATCCCTCTTAATATAGCCCTAAATTTTCTGCTCAAGTAAGGTCGTGCTGTTAAACGTTGTAGTCTCATAACCTGAAATACGTTAAAAAACTATTAAAAATCCATTAGCTCCATAAAAACGTATAGAAAATTTTGGGTTTTTACAATTAGGTATATATTTGTTGGTTGTTATTAGTTTTTAATAACGTTCGTTAAACGTTGCTATAATACAGTCAGTCACGTATATGAATACATATATTGCTGAAGGTTTAGAATTGTTTTTCATTTAGTATTCATGAGAGATTTAAACGGTAAACTCCAGGAAGCGAAATGTCGTACATGGTGGGGACTTTTATAACGCCTTAAAGGTGACTCCACTTGACATTACAAACAGTATGTGATATTGCGTGCAGTTTTTACTGTATACACAATATATACTAATGAATTAAGTTGACGTTCTTTGTGGTGAGCATTATGAATGCGAGGACAATAATTATCAGATGGAGGATGATGGTATCCGGTTTCCTAACAAAACGCTATATATAAGGAGGAAACCGAGACAATTTTGAGAGCTTCTGTCATCGGATCAACGAAATAAATATTTGAAAGCCTTAGTTAAAGATCGACAAGAAAGCGGGAAGAGTGAAGTGCAGAAAGTTGAGGATACTCTTTACAGTCTTTCAGATCAACTACGGAGGTAATTGTATACTGGTGTTATATATTATGGGATAACTAATACAATGCATTCATGGGTATATACATAAGTTTATAGTCTATTGCGCCAAAACTGCATGGTACATTATGATCAGACAAAAAGCGAAGTCAGAGCGGTTTAACTAAGTGATGGGACAAAATACAACGCTAAACATTTTGACCAGATTTAAGCTACTATCATCAGTTTCGTTCTATGCACATGAATTTAATAGATCAATGCTGGACATAGGTTTTCAATTCGAATAGTAACATAGCGTAAAATAGCCCTATAATCAGGACTATATATGAACGTGATCAAGAACACGAAAATTTCCTATTCTGCGGGCTTGTCTTAACGGTAGACTATATTAGCTCTCTCAGACGACTATTATAACTTAGCGGATTATATAACTTCCCCATTTCGCTTCTTGTTCAGTTTATCCCTTCTCGTTCATCCCATGCAATCCCCTTCCCTACCATTCAGTCAAGGATTTCAAGGAGCTCCTGTCGCTTTTTTGATATCATTGTGAAATTTGATAATTGACTTCAAAAGGAAAAGCCTACACCAATATGGAGAGAAGGAACTTATTTTACTATTCTAATTGTCATATGTTATATAATTAAAGGATGGGCCGCTGTTTTGTTTTCATTGACAACCGATGAAAACAGCAATGTGAAAATTTTGCAGTTATATAATAGTATATTATCATATATCATGCTGGGGTGCTAAAGTTATATAACTGCATAATTAATATGGGCGTATTTGTGAGAAATAGTCCTATAAGGAGTGGAGGGGGGAAATAAACCATCACCCACTTCCTTTACTCACCCCTTACTCGATTGAATGGAAATATTATAGTTGATTCTCATTCCCTTTGCAAAATGTTTTTGCTGTTCACGATGTTTATTAGCTGAATGCTCGTATACCAATGATATACGATCAAACATTTTACTCACACAGGTTTATGCCATGATGTTTTAAACGTCGAAAGTGGCTCAGACCGTTCAGTGGTATATACATCCGCATTTCAATCTAAGACTCTTAGCTACATGGTAATATGCCGAAAAAATCTTTCCGCTGTAAAACCCCATATCAATTTCACGTTTACTATTTTAAGGTCAGTATGAAAGACGAAAAGGAAAATAACGTCACAATCGCCATGGATAAATATGACCGTAGGCCATCTGCTTGGTTTAGGGATAGTTTTGGTCTGTTAGGAAAATATGGCAAAATTTCCAAAGATCAATTCATCCGAGCCTCTGGTGATATTGGGGTAAGTCTAACTTGGGTTTCCCGAGTCTTGTTGGATAATATGATGATTCTAAATATAGAAAACATATACTACCTAGTTTAATAGTTCGGAATAAGGCGATCTGAGGGCGTGGAGTCGATATGAGTTGTGTTGTCACTATAGCCGCCATATATTGGGAACGGCACTTTCACATCCGTGCATATATACAAAGTAAGTTATATAACTAATTCGTGTTTAGAGGGCCAAAATCACCTCACTTATAGCAAAAGAAGTCTATACTAGCTACTCATTACCAAGCAATCATGTTTAGAAATAATACTATACTGTACATATCAATCATATTTCAAAGTATTATTACTACGTACTGCATGCAATACATTCATTTACCGAATGCACCATATAAATATTTATTATCGGATAGTTAGCCCCCAAGGGGGTCAGCACTCAGCATTTATCTGAGAGTCGGTAAATTTTGCCGACAGGAAATCATAACATGCAGAATTGGGCTCGGTTGAGTTAAAATATTGCTCCTCGTTAAAACTATTTTTGCAGTTAAGCATTCGATTTGATCGAGTTAAACTAGCAAAGGAAAAAATCAACTTCTCAGTAGAAACTGTTTTCTCTTATTCATGATTTGATTATTATCCAAATCTCTTTTAACTATAAAACAATATTAACTAGTTCAATCTTTGTTAGTTACAGACTTTGTGTTGTCTGCACTTACTTCCGCGAGGCATATATATAAATTGGTTTCCTTCCCGCTCTTATACGATTTGGTTACAAGCCAAAACTTAGACGAAACAATATTTGAAATGCAGTTATAAGATTTACCGAGTTGAAAGCTTGGAATGATTCATAATTAGCTACTATCCAATTATCCCGTAGGCCGTATATACAGATGTTGTTTTTTCCTCCATAACCAGTAACCAGTTCTGTTGCGATGTAAATAATGAATCATTAAGTACAACGGGAAATTAATAGACAGTAAAATCCTCTTTTAAAATATTATAAAAAATCCTCTTTCAACAGCCATCCTTCTTTCCCGGCCTTGAAACGTCCCTTGAAACATTGAAGTAAACTCTTCCGTTTCTAATTGTTGTTAATTTGATACCAAAAAGAAATTGTGAAGTAAAACTTGAAAGAGCATGTTTTTCTTTGACAGGATTTTAGCTCGAAGCTGTACGCTATGTTTGATGCGAAAGATCTTGGATACGTTCAAGTTCAAGAGATCGTTGGATCTCTTAGATTGTTATCTCAGTGAGTATTTTTTCCGAATACAATTTACTTAAAACCAGTTGCGTGCATGCATTAAATATAAAATTGACGATATGTTTATAACCTATTCAAGACGATGCAATCTAGTCAAGTTTTGCGCTTTGGCTATCACGCTATCGATATATCGATCCTGGATACAACCTTGCGCACCAATCTTATACATTATGAAAGAATTAGTAGGCAAAACATAAATATTCTCGTATTTACAAATAGGCGTACAAAAACGAACAATGGAAAAGGAAATACAAAGCCGCTAAAATGGCTTAGCAACAGATTAGAAAACTTGTCTGACGCTAACGGTAATATTGACGCTGAGAAATTTAAAGAAGAGTTGAGACAACCGCAGGTATACATTATGTCGTATATTTTTTTACAAACATGCTTTGTATTGAAATAAATTGTTAGCTATATAGAAGTCATTAACTTTTTACGCGCCACAATTGCATCCCCACTCCAGTATGTCATCAATACAACCGCATTTAGAAATATAGTTGGTTTGATGCATAATTTTTTTATGTTTCATTCAGTTTATAGAAAATATCTTCAAATTGATGGATGTAAATAATGAGGGTGAAATTAGTTTAAGCCAGATCGTTGCTGCCATGGATAGACTTGAATGGTAAGCTAGAACCTGTGATGAGCTCGCTTGTATATATTGCGTTGTATTAAGACATTGCACTAGTGATCTTACTACGTAACCGCCTATTTTGTATTTCTATAGTTCAACAGCAGATTCCAAATGGTACGAATGGATTGAAGAAAAATTCTCAGTCGATAGCAACGAATCACGATTGATAACTCTTGAGCAATTCAAGAAGGGATTGCACATTGAGAAGGTGGGCATCTCACAGATTCTTGGGAACACATGATAAACAACATTACGGCATGCACTAAAGAAGTTCTGGGCTTAGATTTCTACCCAGAGAAGTTAATTGTAAATATGAAATTAGCGCGCACTTCCTTCTGAAAACATCTCCTTCAAGAACTGAGGTCTAATAAACATAGGATGAACAAATATTGATCACATCATGTTCTTAACCAATTTCAGAGTTTCTTTGCTGAACGTTTCTTCTCCCTGTTCAAAGCGGACTCAACGAATGAGGATGATTCTATATCTATGCGAGATCTTTGTCAAGGCTTGGAATTACTGACAAATGGAAGTCAAATTGATAAATTGCAATTTTTGTTCAAAGTTTATGATATCGATGGTAAGTTCTCTCTCAGTCGTTTCTGTATTTTGTACCATGCAAAAAATAAAAGCAAATCTTATGAAAATTACTCCTTTTATATTGGAAATGCTATATAAATGCTTTTTTAACATAATATTGTATTGGAATTTATTTTCAAATCCAATGGAATACATATGACTATGTGCATGTTTTGCCCTTGTTTCAGGAAATGGTGAGCTTGATCGTGGCGAGATGAGAACCGTTCTAGAATCGTGCGTTGAAGAAAGCTCTCTAAGTATGGATCACCAGCAACTGGAAGAATTAACGGAGGTCTTGTTTGAGGAGTCTGATACAGAAAGGAAAGGATTCATCACGTTTGATGAGTTACGAAATTTCTTAGACAAATTTCCGGGAATCGCTGAAAATTTAACAATCAGGTATTAATGATTGCAGCATGTAGATAATCTGACAATATTGCCAATTCTGACAAAGGCAGGAAAGATTTTTTGGTAATTTGTGGCCATTTTATCCATTCACACAACTGCGTTGCCAAACATACCTCCATGAAAATCAGTTTAAATGTAGTGGCGTTTAATATATCATAACTCCGCAGTCTCCTTCCAGAACATTATGTTAATCAACTTAACCTTTACTAAGTATAATTGTTCTCGCATTATTAGTGCTGGCAAATGGCTAACTCCACCGACCAAACCAAAGAAGAAACCAATCTCTCGTTACATTCCGAAATACTTCACGTGGAATTACATAAGCAACAACCCAGATCGTGTTGGTTTCATCTTCGTTTACCTCTTGATTAACGCCGCTCTTATGATATGGGTTGGAATAGTACGAGCTCCAATGGGCGTTTTCGTAGTCCTGGCTAGAATTCACGGAATGTGCTTAAACCTGAATTGTACTTTCGTTCTTGTGTTAATGTTGAAACTTTGCTTAACGTGGGTGAGGACGACATGGTTCAGGAATGTTCTGCCTATCGATGATCATATAATGTTTCACAAACTCGTCGGCTTCTTTATTGCCTATCTCAGTTTTGGACACACAATTGGTCATCTTGGCTTTTATAGTAAGTTTGCTTCCTAATTCTACCTAATGATCTATATATACGCGTGTAACACGCTGGATGATATAACCAACTGTCTTCTATTTCGTATAGTTTCTACTCCCGAAATTAACGGAACCCAGATCGCAGTTTGGGAATATCTTTTCACAACAAAAGCGGGCCAAGGATGGTTTCATGGAAGTGCCGGGATAACAGGACTAATATTATTACTCATACTTATCGTCATGGTTATTTGTTCTCAGCCATTTGTTAGAAATAAAGGATATTTTGAGGTAAATATATTTCTGTTGCCAGCTGTTTGCCATTGCCACGTCTTCAATACGAAACAACAGACTCAATATGTGGACTCCAAATACAAGCTCCAATCATTTGTTTTAAATGGTATTTTATTATTTCTCAGCTGTTTTACTGGACTCATCATCTTTTCATCGCCTTCTGGGTGTTAATCATACTCCATGCTCCAAATTTTTGGAAGTGGATCATTGTTCCTGGCGTGCTGTACATTATTGAGAGAGTCATTCGTTTGCGTTGGTTCAACTTGGCACGATATGGACCAACATATATTGAAGAAGGCATAACAATGCCATCCAAGGTACATCCTTATTTTATTATCACTTGCTTGGTTCATCACCAGGCCAACGCATTACCACATGCTAATCATAAGACTAATTAATCATAAGGGTAACCATCGTCTCTAACTACACCACCATCGTAAATGTTCAATCGGTAAAATAAAAAAACTACATAAAATTACCTGTTTAATAATCAATAGTTTACCCGATATCGGAAGAATATAACATTGAAGAGAATTGCACACGAAACATACAACCCACTTTGTTTTGAATTTCGATTTATGCTTTTCTCTATGTTTATTTATAGGTAACACATTTAGTCATCACTCGACCTCCCAACTTCAAATATAAACCAGGAGACTATGTTCACATCAATATTCCAGCCATAGCACAAAACGAATGGCATCCATTTACAATAAGCAGCTCCCCGGAACAAGAAGACGTTTTATGGGTGCATGTCAGAGGTGTTGGCACATGGACGAAAAAATTATACGATTATTTTGAAGAAGATATTATGGAAGAAGGCCGACATCGTTTGGTAAATAACTCTGTTGCCATTAGGCGGGAAAGAACTTTCAGAATAAAGGATAAGAAAAGGTAAATGTTCATTTTTTATCAATATAGTTTTGTCACTAAGCAAACACATGGTTTTCGATTGGGCTGCATGCATACTGTAGGTTGAATTGCACTAAGTAGGAAAAGAGTTCAATTCAACATGTTTACGTATAGACACAAGCAAGATGACATCGGTACAGAAAATGAAGGTGCGGAAGCTGATGATGAAAATCGCAATGGAGATGTTGTTGAACAGGAAAAATCATCAACTGTTGTGCGACAACCTGTGAGACAGAGAAGGAAGAAGTTGAGGGTAAACAACACATAACTAAGCCATAATATTATGTTCCCGTTTTAACTCAAATAGTTTAGTTTCTGTTTTCCATATTCTCAAAATGGTCATGCAATCTTTTAGATCTATGTCGACGGACCATACGGTGCTCCTTCTGTCCATATATTCGAAGCAGAACATGCTGTTTTGATAGCTGGTGGAATTGGTGTTACTCCTTTCGCATCTATCCTTCAAAGTATTATGAAGAAAGTCCAAAATGCTACAATAGATTGTCCAAATTGTGAGCATAAATGGGTTGGAATGATTCCAGAAGGATTACAGAAACTAAAGAAGGTGCGTAAATAACTAAAACCATTTTGCATATTCTCAGTACACCTTCAGCTACTTCGACATAACTTGCCTCTTCTTCATCTGTCTGCATCGGTATGTCTTCACGGACTTCACGTCTGAACTATGACTGATCGTTGCTAGTTTATAATTCTAGTCCGAATCATTCCATCCATCATATTTCATGCTGCATTGTGTGTGTAGTTTCACTAGTTTGTATGACACTTCATACCAGATGCCAATTTTTTACCAACATCTTATACTGCCATTCTATCCACCACAAGCTAATTAATTCATACAATAATTTCTTCAACCTGCTCAAAAAACGAATTGGACTTTTATGTAACTTAAATAACCGATACCTTTCAGGTTGATTTCTTCTGGATCAATCGTTGCCAGCGTTCGTTTGAATGGTTTCTGAGTTTATTGAACGAACTGGAAGTGGAGCAGTGTTGTCAGAGGCTGACAAAAAGTTTCTTGGACATGCACATCCACATGACTTCTGCTTTAAAGAAAGATGATATGAAAGGAATCGGACTTCAGCTAGCGCTTGATCTAATGCACGCGAAGAAATCAGTTGACATGATCACTGGTTTAAGAACGAAGACCTCGCCAGGACGACCAAACTGGGATACGGTAAGAGTGAAATATTATCATTATTAGTTAGCTCAAGAAGTTAAATAAGCTCAACCAAGGACAAAATTCAACCTGCTGATGGGATGAAAAGATGTGCAGAATTCAGAAGAAATTCTATTACCCATTAAACCGAGCGAATATTTTATTAAATATAGTCTCATATTTATTTTTGTTTAGGTGTTTGAAAAAATCTCGAAGGAAAAACGGGGAAAGGTAACAGTGTTCTTCTGTGGTGCTCCTGTGATGGGTAAAGTTATTAAAATTTACTGCAGGAAATACGGATTTGGATTCCGCAAAGAGAACTTTTGATCACGAAGTTTTTGTGCACATTTTACTTTGATTGATAGACTAGTTGTAAATATCAAATACTATTAAGTCACATGATATGAATTATTAATTATGTAATAATATAATAATTTTTAAAGTGAATTACTTATAAAAAGTCAATCTAGTATATAGAGTAATCCTACAAATATCGACTTGTAGTACTGAAGTAGTGAAGTTGTTCACATATATATTTGTTTTACTTATATTTTAATAAATCGATATATCCACATCAATTCAATTTGTGTAAAAAACATTTCAAATTAGCATCAAATTACGTATATAAGATACGACTGTAGTACATTCTTAATGATCACCTTGTGTAGTGTATGTATCGCCACATTCTTAATGATCACCTTTGTAATTATTTTACCATAAAAGCAATTAACATGGATTAAATTTATTAGCCAACACGTATATGAATGATTAAAACATATCACCAGAGATCTCGTTGATCAGGTGCTAATGCTTAGAGGTACATCAACGAAAGACTAAAAAAGGCAAAATTAAGTTGTATATAATTATGACACATGAAATTCCTCAGTGAAGACTGGGTGGTTATATTGCCATGCATAGCTAACGCTTTAATATTGCTGTTATATCAATGTAATTAAGCAATGAAATAAAACTTGAACAATATATGACGTGTATATGGCTAATTGTACTGCCTATGATAATTCAGACATGCATAAGTTTGATATTATGGTAGCATATTTAACGCACCTCATTGTTTTTAATATGTTCTTCCAAGATGTCGATAATTACATGGAATGTTGGACGGTCTTCTGGGTTGGTTTCCCAACACTGAAGCATCAATTTATACCTACACATAAATACAGGTAAAAAGCTTTTCATGAATACTATCTGATCTAGGCTGCAAAACGAAAAAAATACTTAAAAAATCCACATACATTTCATTTGATGTTTCTTCAGGTTTTGACAAACGGTATCCTCCATGAATTTGGTTTACCAAATTTTCGACATCGAGTTCTCGATATGGAACGCAGCCTAAAGTAAAAAACGCACCATGAAAATATTGGATAAACTCAACTTTTTTAAAGTTACAATGAACAAAACGTAGTAATGTAATATCCAAATACACTTATATAAAGTCACACATTGTCGAAAGTGCATAGCGAGAACTAACCGTTAGTTTCAATTTCCCACATTAAGACAGCGAACGACCACCTTATAACAGTATTATTGCAATATAAATATTTAAATTGAACATGTTTAAAACAAATTAAATTGACTCCAATAAATCCAGCAAATGAAGCAGCTTAAAGTTTAGCTTACACGTCACTTTTTGTTGTGTACAGTCCATCAGTTAAAGATTCTATCGCCAACCATCGAATTGAGGAGTTTGTCTGAAAATGGGAAAGGCAAGTAGAGTTTATGCGAGTGTCAACATGGACAATCAAGATTTGGCAATGCATATAGTTATTCAATGCATGTATAATTTACTATACGGCACCTTATCAACACAAGAGGCTCCAAAATAATAAAAATAATCTCAGAAAAACTGAAGAGCATATTGAGACATCAGATGCTAGTTATTTGTCTATGACTTTTTAATCATCATGATGTATGGATATTATTCAGTAATCTCTCACCTGAGTTGTTTTGTGATACGAGTCATAAAGATCACGCGGAAGACCGAAGTTGGCAATTTTTGGAGTAAAATCATCTGTCAAAAGTACATTTTTGGCTGCAAGATCCTGATGAACAATCTTAAAAAAAAACGAAACTACGTTAGTTTCGAATTTTGAACGTTGCCTTTGGTATTTGTCGAGTGGATTTAAGGCATTGAGATCAGTGTCACGATGAGAAAAGATAATTGATATATCAAATATTAAATGTCTCATTTATATCCAGGACATACAAAATTATTTTACCCCTTCACTTGTAAGATGCGCCATTCCATTTGCAATTTCATTTGCTAAATTAATTTTTGTCTTCTTCAAAAACAACTGCTCAATTTTCTCGTTATCTCTAAGATTGGTTTCAAGAGTTCCACGGGAGCAGAACTCGAGCACTAAAAGTAAAGGACCTACACAAAACAAAAACAGACTTTTCATATCACACCTGCATGTATAGTAAGCACCTATCAATATAGTATTCTTGCCGATGTACTAAAAAGTTTATTCTTTTTTCCTGACAAGCCTCCCCCCCCCTCCAATAACTGCGCGTGATTATATAATACCATCTTCACTTGTGCAAGCACCAATCAAATTCACAACATTTTCATGGTCTTCTATTTCAGACATGGTGGCCAGTTCATTCATAAGGTAACGGTGGTCATTTTCGTTCGCATTTTCTGAAATATATATAAGGAATAATGAAGAGTATAACACATGTTTCTTCCGTACTGAAGATGTTATCTGCACTGCTATTGATGTCATTCAGTTTTCAACGTTAAATGCAATAACCCTCGCTGCTCTAGTGTATCCTTGAAAGTGCTTTCTTTGAAACGAAAAATAACAAACAAGACGCTTGCATTGCATAGGCTGCATAAACTAATTTTGATTATATTTTATATATACCTTTTAGCATTTTAACAGAACACGTCTTTCTTTCCTTTTCCAGATGCCCTAAAAACGTTCCTCGTACAACGTGGAAGCCAAAAGCTCCAGGAATTAGGATTTCATTTGATATTTCAATCCGAGTTCTCAGAATTTCCGCCGACGTTGAATTACTCTGGGCATTTGAAGCAAACACGTTTGTATATGTATTCTCATTTTGATTTTTTCGTTCTTGCATTTGGAAAAATGGCTGTAAAATATATATAATTTGGTTTAATTTGAAATTTTATAAAAAATGCACTGCCAGTCATACCGTTGCTTATGGTTTCTATACTTCCTGTAGTACGTATCTTCAAAATCAGAAGAAGGCATTGCATAGCATTGTCATACAGTATTCCTACGATTATAAGCTGAAAGTCAACTTACTTTTTTGCCCAAATCGAATTTTTCATCTACTGGTTTCCAAGCATGACTATGTAAAACACGTCTTACAACAAAGATAATCGCCACCAGAAGTACAACACAAGCAACAGCTATTATAGGACCAACATAGTACCACGGTGAGACAACTAAAATATCACAACAACAAGAGTTTTTCTTTCATCAGGTCTTTTTCCTTTACTTTGTTCTGTTTCTTGTATCAAATAACGACATAATGCCGCTCTAGTTATTCTCTGTTGATATTGGGAATGCATACATTATAGACTCAGTCAGTATAGTCAAATACCTTCAACTTTTTTAGTTTTAATCTCTATTCTGCTGCTTTCTTTACCAAGACCATACGCGTTCTCAGCAATTATTATTATAATATAGAACGTATCACTCTCCAGGTTATCCAATTGAGTATTGGTTAATTGTTCAGCATTGATAGTGTTATTAGACCAGATCTTCGAACCATACTTTAAATAAGTGATGTAATATTTCTCGATAGAAAACATCTCATGAAGTTCCGGAGGTTCCCAGTAAATATGAACTCTTGTCTCTTTAACATCGGAAGATGTAACGTTGGCTGGTGGAGGAGGTGGCACTGGAATGTCAACAAAAATATAACATGTTCTAAAACATTAGTAGAACGACACGCCATTTCAAGTATTGTTTCATTAATTTTCGTTTATAATTAAGTAAAAGTGAAATGAAGGGGTAGAGTGAGTTGGATGCTAAAAAGTCTCAACATCTTGGTTTTAAAGCTGCAAATGGTCATGATCGAGTTACACCAGTTAATACATTGTAGGGGAATTCAGTTTCTTACTGCTTATACCTATTATATATGCTCGGTAAAGTTCAAGAAATAGAGAACTTGATCATTATGGAAATTAATCTAATTAGATCATAATATCGTATTTACCTTCAGTGTCACAATATTCTCCTTCTTTACAGTCACTATACATAAGCCTTACATGTACATGTGATGATAAATGCAAAAAAATTTTCATGAAGCCGAATATGAAAACTTTACATTGTTCAAGAAGCTTTATTATTGTTAATAGAATATATCAAAAAGACTATTATGCTAAAGAATTTTATACACGGACACATAAGCGATATTTTGACCTTTTTGTTGGATAATCTATATTACCTTTCAGTTTTATCGCATCGGGAACAACTTGTATGTTACCAATACGACCTGTCTTTAATTGCTTGTTGATTTTACGGCCAATCTTTACTGCAACAACATCGTTTGATTCTTTTGAAGGTTTTAGAACTTTGACAATGACTCGAAATATTACCTTGATACTTCCGTTGCTGAAGAAAAATGAATGTAAAACTGGTCAGATTCCATGTTCAATATCATATAAGAGGAGGAGTATTCGTGCAACAGTAACTCATCATTGTATATGGAAAATCAAATCCTGGTGCTTACACGAATCCAAGAATTTCTATGTCTTCGAATCCAGGAGTGTTATTGAAAAAATTATAAAGCTGAAACACAAAACGAATAAACTTTTTTATTTATTCTCACGCGCGACATCTTTCCACATCTTCATCCTCATATATTGTAAGAAGTCAATACGTTATACGGGCTTATACCTCATCATAAACGTCTTCCTCTAATTCTTTATAAGCAGGAGAAGACTTATTCTTCAGTTCTTCTTTGAATGTCTTGTTAGAAAGCTTTATCTCCACATCGATATCAACAATGACTATGGGAAAGAGCAATTTGAATGCGATGATTAGAAAAGTCTTAAAGAGTAATTTGTAATATGGAGTCATGGACATATCCAAGTTTACCTGGTTTGATTATTACAGTTGTTGTGTAAGAGTCATGACCAAGCTCGTTCGACGCATAACATAAATATGTTCCTGAATCCTCTAAACCCGCATTTGAAATGGAATAATTTCCATCATACTTGTTCCGTGTCTTTTTTATTTCTGTGAACTTCCCATCGCGATCAGCACGTTTCCAAGAAATGGTGGGATCAGGATTGGCAAACACCGTGCAAACAAGGGTGACGTTTGTTTCAACAAACTGGGTAATATTTGATGACTTTGATCTAATTTGCGGAGGGCCTGTAAAACAATATGTGCTTTCAATTTAAAAATTGATCACCAAATCACTATAAGTTTTGTTTAATTCGATACTATTTAAATTACTCCAGCTAACGAGGGATGCGAATAATTATTGCTTCATTTATATGTATGACTGTAGCAAAACTTGTGTCAGGTCCGAATGGTCAGATCCACATGCGTGCTACACTGCATGAAAGCCAGTAATGTCATGAAATGACGGAATATATCCATTTTCTGCAATATAATGAATTCAATCATGTTTTACCAGTAAACGATTGCATTCATGCATTCATGCATTTTATGCTTATACTTTTCTGCATGTGTACAATACCTTGACATTTTTCTCCGTCACCAAAGAAACCCTCGAAGCAGTTACAAATATAAGTTCCAGGAACATTTTCACAATGTGCGTATTCATGACAGGTATTGGAACCTGAATTCGCACATTCATCAAAATCTACAGGTAACAAAATTAAAACTGAATTAAATTGGAACCATAATTATATTAGGAATAAAATAGATCTGTATGTAACAAGCAAGCATGTAAAATAAAACCACAAAGTATGATCAATCTTATATAAACTCTGTAACGTACATTACGCATACAAAAAATGATTATAATAATATGATTAACAATTCTTAACTTCCTAAATAAAGTCTCAAAAATTTAGGATATAGATATGAGAAAGGTAAAACTACCTAATATTCTGCATGCACAACTCTACCTTCTTGTCTTGTGTATGACTTGTCAAATTTGTACTCTGCGATTGCGTCAGCTTTGTTTAACTCGCTTACAAGTTCGGATGGATCTTCCTTAAATTGACTGCTCAATGAGACAACAATCACTACCACAACACTTCCCTTTCTAAACAAGAATAAAAACATGTTAACTAAGTTTAAACTGAGAGTTAAGTTCAAACTGAGAACTAAGTTTAAACTGAGAGTTAAGTAAACGGTTAAATTTAGTAAAGAATACTTCATACACGTACTTAAAATTGGAAACAGTTGAAACTATAAACCAAAAACGAATTTTTGATCTTCCAAAGATATCCTTAAGCTACAAAAAAGAAAAATGGATAAAATTCAAACTTGTGTAGCTGCTGTAGACGCATACTAAGATATATGACGACTATTATTTCTCATTTTCATTTTCACTAATACATTTTCAACATAGCTCAGTTGCCTCAGTGCAGAGTTACAATTGACTGTGAAAACCAGGTGTGTAATCTCAATTCTCAAATACTTGTTGACAACGCCCTGTAACTAAATTTTTCTGTTCCTTACCGATTTTTCCATTTTCGATTTCAACTTCTTGTACTGACTAGAAGTTTCATCCAACAACTTGTTTGAAAATTCATAATCTCTCAATCGTACGTGTAGCTGGTATTTTATAATGTTTTTATCTGCAAATGTACATCATAGTGTAACTTGATAAAGCATAAAAAAACACATGTTCATTGACCGCATGTTCATAAGTCTATTATGTCTATATTAATACAGAAATATAGGTTGAACTTTTTCCACTCTGATTATAATTAATTTCAGTTGACCATTCCGAAAGGAACATCGCAGGTATCGTGAATGAACAGGGCAGAAACGACAATTGGGGGTGGGGGTGTTTATTCATATATTCAGTTCTGCAAAGAAATAAAGGAATGTAATTAATCTGAAATATATTTTAAAACTCACTTTCTTTTGTATTCACCGAGGTGACGGTGCTATTTTGAAACCGGCCAAAAACGGTAATCCCGGTGATATGGATAATATATGTTGTGTCAGGACGTAGACCAGAGATAATTGCACTGGTTGTTTTCGTTGTATGTGATTTCTGCAAGATACGACTCACAGAAAACACATTTACTTCGAAGGATACTTCCTCTCCATTCCAAAACGTCTTAGAGATAGGATGCCATGAAAGTCTGATTCCTGTTGCACTTGTTTCCGGGTCTCCTTTCAAAACGACGGGTCTAGAAGGAGCTATTTGTAAAGAGGTGATCAGCCCTTACGTCTATGAGTAGCAACATAACAAGCAATATAAAACAAAATATGACTTACTGCCGACTATTAGGAAGAAGGGGGTAGAGAAGCGTGATGCTGCACCAATAGTTGCTTTGCACTGGTATTTTCCTGTGTCACTTTCTCTTGCAGGAAATGGCAGTTTGGTAATTATTGGTATTCCGTCTTTAACAAGTTCGATCTTCCAAAGACGATGAGTAAAATTCCAATTCTCAGAATGGCAAGCGAACAGAATATATTTATCCACAAGAATATATTTGGGCAAGTTTGTTGATATTTTTACTAACGGAATATCTATAATAAAATGCAATTTATTGAGTAAAGATGAATTTCGTTTAGTACAATTTTTTGGGCAATCAATTTTTTGTTCTCTTTTAAAACATGTGCATAGTTAATGTAGCAAAAAAAGGCTATTGTGTCACTGCACACAGTTTAAATGAAGCGATCCTAGTGAAATTTCCGGGTGGAGTTTTGCATTAATTGAAAGAGGAATCCCACATTAACAGGTAAGAAATTGAGGATTGCATGGTAATTAATTAAAACAGCAAAAGTTAATCAAAAGTTTAAAAAAGCAGTCATGCAGCGCTGTTCATTGCTTGTCAGAGATTCAGTCATTACGACCATTTCTTTTTCAAGTATTTTCTAATGTTTCCGCGAGGAAATACGTCTTAATTCCGCTGATTTAGAAATATATGAAATTCCAATAGAGAATAACCAAAGTAAAAATAAACTGGAAGATGTGAACCGGAAAATAAAACAAGTTATAATCCAACCTTTCACTGCAACGACAAGTGTACGTCGGACACTGCCGGCGGAGTTGTTAGCGACACATGTGTATTCCCCATTATCATTCATCGTTGCATTGAAAATATTTAACTTGCTTTTCTCCAGTAATATTCGGGAATTTTGCTCAAGTGGTTGATCATTGAAGTACCAGGTGAACGAAGGATAAGGATTCCCATCTCCTTGACAACTCAGGCTGATGTTTTCCCCTCGATAAGGATTTTTATCACCAGTTACATGAAAAGCATTTAAATCTGAAATTATAATGGAAAATTGTTCAAAAAATATTTTCTCAGATCAACTTAGCTAACTATAAATAACATTATAATTTAGTCATGCTATAAAAACCATCAACTATGCACAAGTATACGGCTACAAATACCAGACATAAAACGACGACTATTCAATGGCACTGGGCATGGTAGAGTGATGAAGGTATTTTAGTTAGGGCTGCATGGTGTGTACAAGAAGTCCGATACTTCTTGCTCTGTAAGCAAATTGTTATAACAACTAATCAACTAATCAATTTAATTGGTAAAAATAAGCGAAAAAGTGTGGGTTTTTTATTACCAATGAAATTGATACTGTTTTTATGGTACTTACAGTACAAAATTACTTACACCATACGTCTAGCTCAACACTTCTGTACATCCAGCCCCGAAAGGAAGTTTTTATTCCGCAACTGTAGTTTCCGGCAGTATGTCTGGAAGCATTGATGACCAAACTCCCATTTGGCAACAAACTGTAGGGCGTTTCTGATTGGTTGAAATGAATTGGCAGACTGTCTTTTAACCAAAATGGCCGTAAGTTACATCCACCACAATCACAAGAGAAGATAACAATACTGTTTTCAACGACTTTTGGATTCACCGGCGTCACATTTAAGTAAACTGGGACTGTTAACGATAAAGCTTAACGTAAAGTCTAGGCCATGGATAAGGCAGGGGCTGCAGGGCCGTCACTAGAAGCTTAATTGGAGGGGGGGGGTGTATATTCATATATTCATATTCGTACAACCTTAGAAACAATAGCTAAATGGCTAACAAAAGAAATCAGTCGGGCATAAGACGAATTTATATATGCAACCACCCTCCCCCAATTAAACTTCCCCTGGCATAAAACTATGTATACAATGTAAAATTAGGAGGTATTGCTGCAAGGTAATTAAGATTCGGCTATTGTAGTAATGCAATAGGAACTAGTTTGCAATTTATCGTAAAGTTTAGGCCAGAAATTGTGCCGTCAAGCAAATTCTTTACTTGTATGTATAGAGTAGTAGATTAAAAGTTATGACATAATGTGTCGAGGAATGCATGAGATAAGTCATAATTAATTCTCACCTGGAGTCATAGAAGTACTTGGCGTTGCAATCGAGGCTGCAAAATTGAAAAAAAAGAGAAATGAGTATAAATTTATATTGAGATATACATCGCATGATAGTAGACGTATTAGTCGTATTGCAATGCTGAATACACGCTACCTTGTCTAATAACAACTAATATAATTATTGCACGTCAAAGCCATTCAATTAACATAAAAATTAGCGCTACATGCATGCATGTAAATACGATTATATAACTTACAAGAGGCTTTGGACGGTGTTGGTGTTATATAGCTACTTTTCAGATCTGCAATTGAGATTAAATAAATCTGGTAACTGGATCTGGTAAGGGCATGTTGCTGTTAACAAGAGCTACAAGGGGCATGCATAGTGGAATGTTCCAAAAAGAATATTGTAAAAATTTTCCACCCAGCGCAAATCATCATGAGTACAGTTTTACTAATGGAAAGAAAAGTTTCTTTGTCAGGAAGTTCTTGGCCAAAACAAGTTGGTTCAAACACAAAAGATACTATATTTGTCTAATCTGGTTATGGAAGATAATTTTCCTGGGTGGAAACCATCCATGTAGCATCAGGATTTTCTGTATCTTTTCTCGTTGTGGAAAATGATTGACTCACGTGTCGGACGATGTGCCGTTGAAATTGTTGGGCCCAGTACTAAGAAGTAGCAAATGACAATCATCAGTGCACAACACCAAGGGAACATATAGCTAAGACGAAAAACGTTTGTGTTTCGGCCTCTCATAGCATAAATATTACAAGCGAAATCTATACACATTTGACATTTTTAATTTATTTTCAGCATTTTGACTGAGTGTCTGCCCCTGTTAACGAATGAATTCTAAAATTAACTTCAGATAAATAAATATTGCATATATTTACGTAGTATCTCTATACATTGGAAAAACGTGCCAAAAACTCCCTGAAATATTACATACATACGTCTGAAGAAACTAAATTGGATATACTGTACCAGGTAATATTAGAACTAATTTCAAATATCGTAACATCATCAAATTCAGTTGTATTTCTCAAATGCATGTTATAACATTTATGAAGCCAGATGAAGAGTCTTTGTTTTTAGTCTTAGCTTGTCACTGTCGCATATTTTGTGTAAACTTTACACTTTCATCTGATCTCATTTGAATGGCTATCGTAATGATACAGGATTAACATGTATTGATAGGAATGAAAAGATAATCTTTTTAGTAGAGGATATCAACTTTCATGTATTTTTGGATCAGCAACTAGACTTCCTTGAGATTAACCATGGGATTATTTAATTTCAATATTTGCAAACATTATGCGGGGATTCGTCTATTTCCCTAGATACGGTAACTGGCAAATTAAAGTTTCGATAAATTAGGTGCGGAATTTTATTAGTGTCTTGTTAGCTTCGTCTCCAGAGTCCTCTGTGTTATGCATGGCGTCTTATTCAGGTGCAAATTTTAGTCCCGTTTACACTAAACGCGATATTTCTTGCTACGCCTCAATCTACTAATACAAAGGACGTGCTCGGATCAAATTGCCAAGAATTTAGTGTAGGGTAAATGTGTAGGGTAAACGAGGCTATATTTCATTTCGTCGTGTATCATTATAGGCGTATTGTTATTTTTAGCCATGTACTTAATCCAACAAATCCCCAACCTCTATACCAAATTTAATCTAAAGATTGTACAACTGTATATAATAGCTCTCAAGCAGTGTGCATGTAGGCTATATTCAAAGTTTCAAATAAAGCGCACGGTTAACAAGAAGTTAAAACCTGACGGTTGAAAAACTTCAATCTTATCTTGAAATCATAATGGCAAAAAGAAACATACCGCTGCTTGGTTTCAGGACATCAGTACTTCGGGGCACGACCGTTGGCGAAACGCCATATTTTGGTATAGGACAACCATAAAACTCACAGCGATAACTGATAGCATTGAACACTGTAAAGAGTAAAATTCTCACGTATCTTGTCCTTACTGGGTATTCTAGGTCGTTGCGAACGGTGGTATTTACATCCACGTTTGCAATAAAAACCTAAAAGAAAATTGTTCTTTATGTTTCGTCGGTGAATAAAGTCGACAACAACCACAACTTGTGATAGTTAGAGCGCCAGAAACTGTTAAATTGGATGTTTGCGGACTTTCAACAATATATATAAACATGATTCTCGACGGTCGGCGATGGGGATTGTCGGTGATCACTGCCACTGGGCCCGTTTAACTTAAACGGTGGATAAGGCAAAATAGAAAGCAAGTCTAACGTTTTATTCAACAAGCGAACTAAATTTTTTTTACCTTAATACAAACTAAGACACTGTTTACAACTACATATTCAGCGCATGATATTCAAGCTGACTCATTCCAGAGAGATGTTTGAAATGAATTAATTTTGACTTATCCACCGTTTAAGCTAAATGGGCTTGATACAACCGGCCCATAGAGAATAAAGTGCTTTGTTAAGTGATCAATGAAGTGGATGTTTTTTTTCGATAGACAAACTCTGACAAAGCATTTAATCAGTGTAATCACAATAGACATCGCCGACAAATTATACAATTCATATTCGCTTTCTTTTCGATAACAAAAGATTGTAGGCCTTTTGGAAAAATTAAGATTTCGTTTTTTAATACAGCCCGTACATGACATAGCATATGATAACATTAATATGGATCTTTAATTAAAATGATATACATATGAAAATTTCGACAAATATGAAATGACTTACCACAGCTACGTTTGTTCTTGCCTTATATCTCTGCCATACACTGCCATTAGTACTATAATTGAGCTGATATGCTTGTAACCAGCTACCTGGTAACCATCTACCACCACCGTAAGACGATCCTTGCGTTGCAATGCCCGTTAATTCCACAATCAAGCCAAAATCTACCTGAAGATATGCGTCTTCCAAACGGCCAGGCTGTGGAGCCCAACCTGGACCTCTGTGATTCAAACGAGCATTCGTTAAAGGATGGTAATTATGTTTGACTCCTGAGGTAATTGCACCATCAGGAATACGCCCGTTCTCCATCCCTAAAGAGGTACCACATGTGTAATTACGAAGGTTTAACGAGAAGGGATCGACTGTTAATTCACCAAATTTGCCATCAACAACAGCAATTGCCAAGGTGTCCAGTGGGTTATTAAAAACAACGCCAGCTACATAATTTATTTCAAGAAAAGCTACGACACTTCCTGGCATGAACCTCTTGATCTTGACTGTGCGGAAAGTTGAGTCATTCCTAAATATGTCCACCACGTAGTTTCCAATCTGTTTTTCCAATTCTATGAAATCTCTGGTATTGGGGTTACTTAGATTACTATTCCAGTTTAAGCTTGAAAATTTGATTGATATCACCATTAGGTCCGTATTGTTTTTATCTAGAATAGTCTGACATTGCTTCCCGGAAAGATACAAAGGACAAGTGCAGATAAAATCATTATCAATGTTAGTACATTCAGCTCCATTGTAACAAGGGGACGATGCACAATACTCGACACATTGTCCGATTGAGGTCGCACCTGATACAAGAGTTGTCATATTAGCACTTGGACATTTTGTGCAGAAATGGTACCTATATTCCTTCCTACCTTGGTAGAACCCCTTTGGACATCCTACACAACTTCCAAGGGTCACGTTTAAATAAAAACCAGGTTCACATCTTCTGAGACATTCGGAAACGTCAGATGATGCGTTAGAGGCCGTTATCCGTTTATTAGGGCATTGAGTGCAAGTCTTACTTGCTATTTTATTGGCATAATAATCCTGTGGACATGGTAAACACCTAGACAAGGTATGGTTTGTAATGTTCTGAAAATAACCCACCAGACAATCTTGGCACATTTCGGCAGACTTGTTGAAAAACGTCCCAAAATGGCAACGTTTGATGCACGTCTTTGAACCGGGTTTTAAGGTAAATGTGTTTCTCGCACAAGATTTGCATGAATTTTGGCCCATACTATCTTGATAAGTATTGTTGGGACACTTTTCACACGCTTGATTCGTCACGTTTAGAAACTCTCCTCGACTACAAATGCACTGGGAGACATTCGTCGATCCTTCGTTTCGGGTTTTTTTGTTTTGGGGACATTGCTTGCAAATATATGCTGTATGATTCTTTTGGTCGTTGAACGTATTTAGTGGGCATTGCGTGCAACGATGGAAGTTGAAATCAAAATATTCCCCTTGATGACAGTATAACAGTATATCATGCACACAGTCAGTCAAGTTTGCCGCTCCTGTTTTTAACGTGGTTTTACCCAGCGGGCACTGAAAGCATTTATTGAATTGATTCCCCTCGTATGGCATGTAGTATCCGTTGTCACAATTAAAACATGAAGGAAACTTTGCAAACTGTCCTTTAAGACATTTGACCATGCAATCCGTTTCGCTTTGCGCCCCGACGAAAGTCGTGGTTTTCCCGGCCGGGCAACTTTGGCAGACTGGGTTTAAAACTGTTGTAGAATTTTGGAATTGTCCGTAATCGCACCACACGCAAATTCCAGAAATATTGTCGAAGTATTTCCCAAGAGGACACGTGTGTTGACAGTTAGCGTTTGAAGGTTTGGGATACGCCTGAGATCCATTTACACACGTAGATTCATTTAGCAAGCGCCGTTTGAACGGGGGGCACTGTCGACAATGTTCATAAATATATGGGAAGTAATTTCTATTCTTATAATAATGCACCGGACAGGAAATACAAGATTTAGACGTCTCCCAATTATGCAGTCTACCATTTACAAAATTGGTAGGGCACCAGATGTGGACCTCACGATATCGCCAAACATGAAAATTTGTTGAATTATTCACAATTAATTTTTTTTCCACAATTCGTTGAATCATGCCCTTAAAATGAACTTGAAAATCATCAAACAAAAGTTTAAATATCTTTCTCGTCTTCGTTGAGTTTTTGTCCGATATAACGTTGTCTTTTATTTTTAGAACGACTTGGTTATAATAATCACACCAAGCATCAACTGGTTTCACTGTGCAGTTTCCTATAACATGTTTATAACATTCCCCAACATATGAAAAATTGAATGAAGTGTTTACCAGAAAACGATACACTTCATTTTCAATAAATGATAAGTTAAGGTATTGACAAGTTGAGTTAGGATACTCGAAAGCATAGGACGCTGCAAGTTGAGTGGCAGGAATGCGTTTGTTACATGTAATCAAATTTTGGTCGATGAAATACTGATCAAAGAATGGTGGATTTGAAATCCAATTTGAGTGTTCGTCCGGGTCCAAGTGGCAGGTTCTGTCGACATTAGGAATACCTAATGAAAATCGCTTCACAAAATCATACCCTTCATTACAAGATGTAGTGCATCTTTTTTTGTTATAGACATTTGGACTGTCATTATTGAAATAAAAAGTACTTGTATTGTCTATCGCTGGAAATGAACAAATTGTTCGGCTGTTAACAGTCGGAGGGCAAAGACATTTTTCTCCTGGCTGTGAAAACATCTCAAATTCTGCATAAAACTTGCTGCTATTCGCAAAACTTCTAGTATTAGTATGGACCAGAAGTGCATTGCTTGAAGTGTAAAACACCAAGGGACCACCTTTGCCGACAACTTGCCCTATACCAATTTCATATTTTTTTGTTCCGACCGTTGTTCCACCATCATGTACAGAAATAGATGCATTATAATCACGTACATGATAAATTGTGAACTTTATTCGCCAGCCACTAGGAGCGAGTATAATCTTCGTACAGTCTTTACCCTTACTTGAAACCAAAGAACCACTTTTAGCTGTGATTACATCGCCAACATACACATCACATAATCCATTCAATTCACTGAATGTTGTTGTATAATTCAAAACAAATCCTCGCCTTTGTACACTACCGTCTGTATGAAATGCGATAAAAAGTTTGGATCCAGATGATACAAGATTCACTGGTAAACGATTTCCACAATACCGCCCCAGTGTCATCGCATGCTGAGAGTCGCCATCATAAACATCCAAATAATCATATGAACACTGCGCATGCGAATTTTCTTCCAGCTAAAAATGCAGCAAACACAAAATACTACGCGAACTGTAATTTGTCTTACAGGATAAAAACATACAGTGCCCAGTCACAGTCAAGCTTTGGAAGTACTTGCCTGCACGATGCAAGAAAACGTGCAATATACATTAAACACGAAATTTAGGGTTGTGTGGTCTTGTCTAAACTTAAGATGGTTGTAAAATAGAAGAATATTTAAAACTATGCTAATGTCAAAATTTTTCGGTCACTGAAGACTGTGAAATCCTTGAATTGACGAGGTGGCAACATTCTTAATATTGCACAAACAAGAATTCATTTCGAAGGACGGAAACGGATTGTATGTGTGCATGCATACTGGAGTCTAGTAGCAAGGTATTATAAAATTATAAAGTGAAGAATTTATGAAGCACCGGCACTCAAAACGTGTCAGTGCACCGTGTAGTCTCTGAATAAACAGCAAGGATGTGATATTACCATGCAGGCATGCATGGAACATTAATTCAAAGTTATAAGTGACCTACCGAAAAGGATAAAAATTGCAGAAGAATATTCTTTCCGTTGGTGACAGATATAGTCCAGTTACAGTCTATGTTGTTAGGGTATACAGCGGGATAAAGTGGGCTTTTAAGTGTACCAGGGGAATACAGGTACTTTTTTCCGCATGGATCTGTGGGGAAGAATTTTCAACTGATCACATTTAGAGCCACTGAGTGAGTCATTGAGGTAAGGCACTGACGAAAAACTATGTTCAATATAATGGTATAGACGTAGAGACTATGTTGTTGTGATACGATATTATTATTATATGAATCGTTATATTTTGTACTTACCAAGATAAATGGATGCCGTTGACGATGCTGAAATTCCCGACAAGACTGAAATATTTAAAAAACAGAAGAGAATAATGGTTTTCAATGATGTACATGCACTTGGGCTCTATAAGGCATCACTGATAAATACCCTTTTCAGTGAAAGAAATTAGATGTTGTAAAGTTTTAAGAATTATGATAGTAACAAATAATTCATTTTGATTATAATAGTGTTTTCCCCACCGAAATTTGTAAACATGAATTATAAAATCTTTTGATTCAAGATGCTAATTTCAGAACCTTTTATGGCAACCATGCAGTGTAGTTGTATGTCTGATTATGCCAAACGTGACTATCCGATAATAAACGTTACGTGTTTGACAATAAAACATTTTAATAAAAATATTGCATCATATTAGCTGAGCTCAAGTATATTTATGTATAATTTATATAGCTTACAAAAAGGACTTGACGCCGTCGCCGTCGGTACTATATCGTCAATATCGATGACACTTAGCCATGATGAATGTGTTGGGGTTATCGTAGTAGCACTGCTGTTCAGTTCTACAATTGAGAAGAAAATGGCTTTCTATAATATCTGTTCATTTCTTGTTTAAATATACATACAATAAATGTTTTTAATATCATGATAACAACAAGTTTAACCTACGGTTACGCAAACCATGCCAGAGTGTCGTTGATAGCACCGGCGTACTTAAAACTGTAGACAAAAATATAAAATATTCAGTACAACCAACAGGCCGGGCTTTCAAAGAATAAAAAAAAACAGAAGAAAACAAGAACAAAAGCAATTATCTCATAGCTACCACATACTTTCTCGACCATGAAAATTTAACTACGATTACTTTTGTATACCTCATTTTTAGATATCCTGGGCATACAGTATATAGCTAGATACAAAGAAGCGTATTGGTAGTCCTGCGAGTTTTTGTCGAGACATCCGTTCGAGCAAAAGGTCTTGGTTGGGACACAATGGATCCCCTTTATTATTTATTAAAGTACCTCCTCGAAACATTTCACTATGAAGATTATAAATTTCCAATGATGTGCACAATTGATGTTCACAATTTAGATCGTATTCCTATATATCGCAGTGCAATAATGTAGAGCTTTATAAAATTTTGTCATCAACTCTTCTTCCCGTCTTCAGTCAACCACATGCTATACATGATAATTAAACACCACTTCGCTATCGCAGAAGACATTACTAGCTGTCATTAGTTTTGACTTAACCTTACCCAGTACTTCAACTGAGCCAGTAACCACAGATGGTATTACGTGAATTGGTCTTTGGTAGAGTAAACAAGAGTGTTTCTCTAATGTCGAAGAGTTTGGTAATCAAAAACACGCTGACTGACGGTTTTTAGTATACTGAAGTTTTATTACAGTTTTTATCAGATAATACATATACCAGGTGTGTAAAAAAAAGCGCAACCCTAATAATTCCCAGAGGCCTACGATCTTTTGTTATTGAATAGAAGCGAGCCTATATGAATATTACACTTAATATATTCATTTTAGCAGGAATTCTACTTATTTTATATCAGTATATCCTGCTTTCAAGTCTGTCAATAAGCTATTATTTCTCGTTTCGTTTTTTTTTACACCGGTGAGATTACAATTTAAAAGGGACACTCAACGACGAATCGAGTGTATCCCTTATGAAAATATACAAAGTCAAAGTACTAGCCAGAAGGTAAAATAGCCGGCAACCAGTACAGCATGTTTATTTGTCAAATTATGTCCTTTACGGGCCTTACGGCAAAGAAGATGGTGGAGACGCAGCATTGTGTAATGAGACGTTCACGAGACCCTAGTTTCTTAATTGTCTCTATGGCTTACAAAAATGTTAGGATTCGGGACGGGCAAATCAAGGTAATCTATTACACAAAAGTAAAACAGACAACTGATTATTGCACTGTTATAGAATTCATTGCGTAGTTTTGCGTAGTTTTTTTAACACGAACACAGTTTTATAATCTATCACATTAATGTATACGGAAACCCGAATGAGGCCTACAATAACTCGTTGTACGTTAAAAAATGATATAAGAAATGACAGTATATATGTAACGACCCAAGTGCAATGTATCCCACGACGCGGATATTTATATTCGAACAGAATGCGGAAATAGAATTCCTAGACATATCATACCTGAAGTTGAATTCTCAGACTGGACCAAAAAGGGCACCAAAAGTGAAGAAAAATAAAGAAACTTCCACCACCAGAACAGTTTTTTCCCAATTTTACACATCCCTAAATAAAATAAGGTGAATTAATATTTTATTAGTGCGTCTTCATCTTTTAGCTGTCTTTGAGATTAGTAAACATTGTTTCAGACGCAAGGATAATACGTGTAATATGATACGTTAATCCGATCATATGAAAACTGTCAGGCGACACTTGAATCAGCGATAAAAAAACCCGCCAGCCACTATAGAAAAAAAACAACTAGAACAAGAAAGGCAACTCAGTGGTGCAACGTTTCCCTTGAATTTTTGGAATCATGGAATATACACTGGACGGATGGCGGGGATGTCAACCAGCAGGCTGGGCTAGTGTCATAGGCCGGGCTAGTGTCATAATTTATGTCCAAAAATACGCAGACCAATGAGGAAGATGTCATGGACAACATACGCAATCTAACATGCAAGTCAGACTTCCTGTCATGCATGATCTTATTTTATACCAGAAACCAGAAGTCAAGTATGCAGTTACAGTTATTGCTATTCTGATGTAATAAAGCTTATATCTCACTAGGTAAATCTGTTTGTACAAGCGCATTATGAATACCTTGCAATTTTTGCTATTCAATAACCACAACTTTTCACCTGCAAAAAATTACAAGATGGAAAATACTGAAGGACTTCAATTAGATTTAATATCAGTAAATTAATAATGGTTTGTAGTATCTATAATAATGTAACACTTTTTGGCGGTACATTTGCTGATTTGCAATGGTCACAAAAAGACAGCATGGTAATGATGGTACAGAGGGTGCAGCAAAAAAATTTATGAACAGTGAGTCGATTAGGATCTGGCTGATGTAAAAAACAGAAACATACAAAATGTGCCTGGAATTAGTCGCAACTGTCTAGAGGTTGTGTTTGGTTTCAGGTAAACATGCTATAAATGAAATTTTATGCAATGAGAATCTATGTATGAATAGATTAAATGACTTTGCCTGGCTATTAATACAGCACTTATTTATTTCTCAAGTCACCAAAATGTTATGTGTAGAGAATTTTACCAATTTGCTGCCACCAAGTGATTTTGCAAAAATTATCACAAATTCTAGTGATTTTAACCGTTTTAATAGTGAATTTTGGGACAAAAATCTTAAGTGCTTCATATATTGTACAGTAAATGTTCTTACTAGTACTATGTACAAATGGTACAATGTGAAACTCCAAATTGCATATGTCATATGATACTGACTGATGTTAAATTAAGATGTTAAATAAATTTAAACTGTAGAATAAATTAAATTATTATCAATTATACTGAAGAAAATTAATAAAATTGTCTCCTATTTACACTTCTCTTCAAATTGATCAAGTAGAACAATGATCATTTTAACTTGCTCAGCCATATTATAAAGTGGTTCCATGTTTTTGTTCATTTCTTCACACTTTCCTATTAATTTACCCATAGCTTTTGTTGCATTGTCACTAGCATTTCCAACATTTTTAACACAATCTCGATAACACTCTGCATATTGGACGCTTGTAGTGGAAATGCCGTTCAGATTTCTGGTTATATTGCCCATCATTCGTTGCAAATTTCTGTCTACTTCAGTAGCTTTGTTTTCTAAAATCTTCAAAGCCTCGGTGTCAACAAAAGGTACATCTGTGGACGTACGATGAATTGATTCAGTTTCAACAAAAGCAGCTTCTCTCGAGACAGTTTCTGTTTTAGCTACAAGTTCTTGTGAATGAGGTAATTTCACTAACGATTCATGAGCACACGAAACCTGAAGCTCTGTGTTCCCAAAAAAACTACCCAGTGTTAGTGAATTCTCCCCAGAATCTTCCGCCATGTTGTATTGTTTTACCAAAATATAGTCTATCCAGATAGTTATATAGCCCAGTGTTTGTTGAGTATACTTTTGGAAGATAAGAGGTGAGGCTTGAATGGCTTCAAATAGATTTTATGTAATTATCTTTTCACGAAGCTCCCATTATTCTATATTTTATTGTGAATACAACAATATGGTCGTGGACGAAGAAGTAATTATGAAATAGTGATCTTTAATTCGGGCTGCGACCATTCACTAGCTATATAGAGAGAGATACAAAATAGAAAAAGGTTTTCTGAATTCTGAGCACTCGAGGAATGGAGACCGTAACATTAAAACTCTAACTTCAAAGTAACATGAAAAATATCCAATTTTTCTTGCTTATAAAATGTCAAAGAAGAGTTTTTAGTGTTCTAAATAGCACTGGTAGTCTGGTACTGCTTTTGTATGATGTCGTGACTGGGTCAACTGTTATACTTTTACCATAGTTTTACAGATACACTTAAAATATAGTTAGTCAAAAATTGATATGTATAAATCATATCAATAAACTACTGATTGGAATATGAACGTGGCAAACACAGTAGGCACCACCCGTGGCTGTGGTATCGCTGCTCAGTTACCAATGTTTAGAGGGGACATCAGTGAAAGTCTAAAAATAATATATTTAAAAGGCTATTTGACAAAACATTCATACATTCAGCTATTAAAGATTAATATTGACTTTGCATGCATAGACATAGCGCACCTTATTCAGCTTATTACTCTCAAGGTTCTCTTCCAAGATGTCAACAATTTCAAGGAATGTTGGACGGTGATCTGGGTTGGTTTCCCAACACTGAAGCATCAATTTATACCTAGAAAGGAGAAGATGTTTTCTATGGTTTTATAGCATCTCACATCTATAGGTGTTTATCTGTAGATGGCGTGCATAGCCATAGACAGTGCAATTTTTAAAATGTTAAATATTCACGAACGTTTCATTTGATGATTTTCCGGGTTTAGACAAACGATATCCTTCACGAATTTGGCTAACAAGATCTTCTACTTCAAGTTCTGGGTATGGAACGCAGCCTGGAAAATTGAGGAGAAATAAGTAAATATCATTATTATAACAAATATAAACAGTTCAGTTCACATTACATCAATTTATTTGCACGGCAATGCTAAAATGAGTATCCGAGCGTATAGCATTAGCAAAATATTGCACGATTGCGTATACTTACCACTGGTTTCAATTTCCCATATGACAACAGCGAACGACCACCTTTAAGAATACGAAATAAGTACCTTTACGAGTGATAGGTTGTGTTAATCATAAAGCCTTTTAACGAAAAACTGAGGTGGGAAGAGACGTAGGAGCGACGGGCAGTAGGGTAGCCAGCCTGACGATTTGTCCCGCTATGCTAATATTTTGGTGAACATTGACTGTGAAAACAATGAATTTCTAAAGAAATGAATACTCATAATAACTCGAAATTTACATAGCGGGACAAAATCGTGAGGCTGGCCACGCCACTGATCATAAAGCCAGTGTGATAAATGACTTCTTTTAGGTGCATTTTGCTTTCAGTATCAGCCTCAATGCAGGGTGTCCCAAAAAAGCTAATATTTGAAATTCAAATTAGCCTGGTTAATCCAAATTAACTAAAGCCTGGTTAACACGAGTGAAATCAGCATAAACAGAAATACAAAAGAAATCTTTTCCTCTAGCCTAGGGTCAAAAACGCAAAGCCAAAGGAATTTTCTTTTCAAATGTCTTTTGTTCCACCTTCGCTTATGCTTCGAGTCTTGTGCTTACACTTGTACTTGATGCTTATGTCGATGCTTATGGCGCGCTTAGCTTGAGCTTATTCACTAGTGTAAAGCCTGGTTTCCATATGACGCCGACGTCGGCAAAGTATTATTGTCGGTGATTACTGATGAGTGAAATCTTTTGTCTTTCTGAAATCATTTTCTCCTTGGATGATTACAGACAATGAGTCGGCGACAGGTCGGCGTCATATGGAAACCAGGCTTAAACCAGGCTTTAGCTTACACATCACTTTTTGTTGTGTACAGTCCATCAGTAAGAGATTCTATGGCCAACCATCGAATAGAAGCGTTTTTCTAAAGGAAATAAAAGAAGGTATGCTATCCAATATTTGCAGCTAATATATTCAACAGACACTTTCTAACCTCTCTCTCTACCTGGATGAAATCATTAAAGAAATTTTGATTCGATTAGCTGCGTGTGTTCTTAGACGGCCAAAGAAGTATTCGTGAAGTGATTAACGAAGTAGCCAGAGTATTTAAATATCAGTTATATATAGTAGAATAAGCTGGGCAATCGGTCTATATCAGTCCATATTGTCTTGCCATCTATCTTAAGACCAGTGCAGTATGGTAATCCAAGTTAGATCCCAATGGTAGACTATAATCTCGATGAATCATCCTGAATTCTTCTGTAGCTAAATTTTCATTCCACAACAAGAAACACGGCATGTTTATGGCCATTTTAAAAGCACATTCAATTGTTATATATTCCCAACTTTGATTTAATTTCAAATACATAACTTCGAAGTTTGGGACGGCACTTGTAAAGAAAGTGGACAAACCTACTGCGACCATTCGAATCCTCGCCACAATAAATCGAACCACGCAGGTAACATAAGCTGAACCCAGAGTTTTAGCTAAACTTAACATCAGCACAGGGGGTGCTTTTCAACATCTCTCCGCTCAATGAAGGCTCGTCGAGACAATTAACCAAGACCATTACACACTTATACAAACATTGTGAACACTTGATCTCTTGCTCAGCACACAATGCATGACCAAAACCTGTTCTTTGTTTAAAGGCTGCACCTACTCCTTCAAAAAGGTTGGGACAAATACCCAAGGCTACAATAAACTGGATAACAATCTTAATGATTTGTTGATCTTTCACGCTCCGATCCATTACGGGAACTCGTGTTAAGTCAGTCTCAGACCTTCATTTTTGTAAACTAAGCCGTTCAGTCATTTATATTGACTTTCCTTTCGAGAATGATGACTATTTTGACGTTAAAAACCAACAAGGACTGTTTCAAAACAATAAAATTTCTAAAAGAATATCAAAACACTAAAATTTGTCGTTAAAAACACTTAAAAAACGTTTAGGCGTTTAAATCTTGACATTTCCAAGCGTGTGTCTTATTAGTCGTTTTCTATGCATATACTTGTTAGGGACCGCCCCTCGAGACCAGGAAAAGCTTAAATACGTTAAATTTATCATCGCTCTCAAGGCTTGCCACTGTAGCTGATTCGTCTATGACGCGCTAGGCGTGTGGCATACAGCCCACTCTGTTTCTCACTGAGACGTAACGGTTAGGTGCACATACATCATGGTCTGGGGGCCGTAGTGCATCTCCCCCTTAGGCGACCGTTAAGATGTGAGTTATGGGGGGGAGTTCTTCCTATAGCAACTGTCCTTGCACCTTTCGTAGTTGTAATCTATGCTGGTATATCGCAGCTGGTTGTAATATCACCGGTTAGATTGTGGCATAGAGCTGTATGATCTCTTTTGGGTGTTTTTAGGTTCTTTCCAAAAATTTTTTTTCTTTTCAAAATTTTCTTTTACATAAAGAAACACGGTTATTAAACATATATGGAACGGATATGGGTCGAAAAAAAAATTCTATCGACTAAAAACCACCTTAATTAACCACTGAATACTCTCCCCAGTCTTTTCTGCATGATATAGGAGGCAATGAATTAAACAATAGCAGAGTTCATTCATAAACATCAAACATTTACTGTATTATCGGCATTTTGATCAACCGTACAGCAGTAAAACAGCCACAAAGACATTCAGACAGTCAACTCTGCATTCTCGTTAGTGCCTTCAGCCCGAGAACTGTCGATCAAAAGTCTGGATAAATCACCTGGCTTTCCCTACGAGTTTTCAAATTCATATTTCAAAATATCTGACATTGAAAACAACTCGAGATTTTCTACTAATTGTGGACTTGGTTTATTCATTAATATTCCATGAGATACTTTGAACAAAGACTTCACCATTGTTGGGTATACCAGTGCAGTATGGTAATCCAGGTTATCGAATCACCCTGAATTCTTCTGTAGCTAAATTTTCATTCCACAACAAGCAACACGGCATGTTTATGGCCATTTTAAGAGCACATTCAATTGTTATATATTCCCAACTTTGATTTAATTTCAAATACATAACTTCGAAGTTTGGGACGGCACTTGTAAAGAAAGTGGACAAACCTACTGCGACCATTCGAATCCTCGCCACAATAAATCGAACCACGCAGGTAACATAAGCTGAACCCAGAGTTTTAGCTAAACTTAACATCAGCACAGGGGGTGCTTTTCAACATCTCTCCGCTCAATGAAGGCTCGTCGAGACAATTAACCAAGACCATTACACACTTATACAAACATTTTGGACACTTGATGTCTTGCTCAGCACACAAAGCATCACCAAAACCAGTTCTTTGTTCAAAGGCTGCACCTACTCCTTCAAAAAGGTTGGGACAATTACCCAAGGCTACAATAAACTGGATAACAGTCTTGAGGATTTGTTGATCTTTCACGCTCAGATCCATTACGGGAACTCGTGTACTCGGGAACTTCATTTTTGTAAACTAAGCCGTTCAGTGATTTATATTGAGTTTGCTTTCGAGAATGATGACTATTTTGACGTTAAAAACCAACAAGGATTGTTTCAAAACTTGTTAGGGACCGCCCCTCGAGACCAGGAAAAGCTTAAATACGTTAAATTTATCATCGCTCTCAAGGCTTGCCACTGTAGCTGATTCGTCTATGACGCGCTAGGCGTGTGGCATACAGCCCACTCTGTTTCTCACTGAGACGTAACGGTTAGGTGCACATACATCATGGTCTGGGGGCCGTAGTGCATCTCCCCCTTAGGCGGCCGTTAAGATGTGAGTTATGGGGGGGAGTTCTTCCTATAGCAACTGTCCTTGCACCTTTCGTAGTTGTAATCTATGCTGGTATATCGCAGCTGGTTGTAATATCACCGGTTAGATTGTGGCATAGAGCTGGATGATCTCTTTTGGGTGTTTTTAGGTTCTTTCCAAAAATTTTTTTTCTTTTCAAAATTTTCTTTTACATAAAGAAACACGGTTATTAAACATATATGGAACGGATATGGTTCGAAAAAAAAATTATATCGACTAAAAACCACCTTAATTAACCCCTGAATACTCTCCCCAGTCTTTTCTTAATGATATAGGAGGCAATGAATTAAACAATAGCAGAGTTCATTCATAAACATCAAATGGGTGTTTTTAGGTTCATTCCAAATTTTTTTTTTGGCGTGCTTTCCGAATTTTTCTTTTATATACAAACAAATACTGTTATTAAACATATATGGAACGGATATGGATCGAAAAAAAAATTATATCGACTAAAAACCACCTTAATTAACCCCTGAATACTCTTCCCAGTCTCTGCATGGCTGAGTCTCTGAATTAAACAATACCAGAGATCATTCATAAACATCAAACATTTGTTCTATTAGATCAGCATCTTCATCAACCTTACGGCAGTAAAACAGCGACAAAGACATTCAGACAGTCAACTCTGCATTCTCGTTAGTGCCTTCAGCCCCAAGAACTATCAATCAAAAGTCTGGAAACATTGGTACTAACGGCTGTTCGCATTTATAGGTGCTGCTTTATGGTTTGTGACCTTTTTCCTGGATCCAAATATCATGCATCAGTTTATGTAGTATCATCCGAGCGTTGGTCATTGGGTATGTACAGATTATATTTTATATGGCTAACCTGAGCAATTTTGTGGTACGAGCTTTGTTCATACAATTCATGAGGTAGACCAAAGTTGGTAATTTTCGGGGTGAAATCTTCGGTCAAGAGAATGTTTTTGGCCGCCAGATCATGATGAACAATCTTAAAAACATAAATCAATCAACAATAATTTGTCTTTAAACGTCGTATTTTACATGGCTTATTAAGTCATAAAGAAATGCCTCATTCGGGTGTGCCATGAAACTTTATATTAAGTCATCAGTGCAGATGAACTAAATTAGATATAGTAATAGTAATTTACTAAGTACAGTAAATTAAATATAGTATAGTATACAGGTCAGTGTTACGTTGCATACATAACATACAGTACGTTGCGATTGATAGATTTTCTGGGTTTCATGCACATGGCGCCCACCCAGCACCCGCTGCAAAACCTAGCTTCGTAGTACATCCATCACTGAAGTCACCGGATAGAGCTATTCAAATTTCAAACAACTGTGTTCGTGTATAAGTTTGATTTTCTTACCCCCAGTTTTGAAAGATGTGTCATGCCTTTTGCAATTTCATTGGCTAAATTTATCCCTGTCTTCTTCATAAGCAACTGCTCATTCCTCTTGCTATCGCTAAGATTGTTTTTAAGAGTACCACGAGGGCAAAATTCAAGTACCAAAAGTAAAGGACCTACAAAACAAGAACAGATATATACATCGTAATATAAAGCAAACGTTTTCGAGACCAAGAGCATAGTCTTTTTGCGTCCGGACCGAATGAATAACACATTTGTATGTAATTTCAACAAGTAGATTTAATCACGAAAATGTGGCTTGTGGATCAAAAGCTTCGATTCTGTTTTCATGCTTATAGCTAATAAATTATTTTGAAATTAAGAAGAGAAGGCTTTTTTCTTCCATCCGAAGTGAATCGTCCTGGTGGGGATGTCTAATGTCTAATTTGAAATCACCTTTAAACTCCATTTTCAAATACGAATATTACTGCTGTTGTTTAATTCGAAAGAAAGCAATAGTATATACATATACTAAGTACCGAGAAATATTACATAAAAAGATCTTTTTTCTCACCATTTTCACTTGTGCAAGCACCAATCAAATTCACAATATTTTCATGACTGCTAATCGCAGAAATAATGTTCAATTCATCCAGTAGATCATAGAGAACATCCGTTTTCGTGTTTTCTAAAAAAATCATAGCTACTTTTAGGGGAAGATTTCGGAGTTCTTTCTGTTAAATATATTGATCCGTGTTTAATTCCTATAGTGCCACAGCCCCATAAGTCATACTGAGCTCACAATTCAAAGTTTGAAAAAGTATCTTTCGATGCAGTAAACATTTTCCCAGCTGATACAAAGTAAAATTAGCGCGCTAGCATTCGCTAACATCAGCATTAACACATGCATATATACAATTGTACGTGCAGGAGGTTGGTAAAAAACAGAAAAAACCTGATCAATTCGTGTATTCTGCCAGTTTTTAAAATGATAAAACTTATACACATTTTGATTATTTTACCTTTTACTCTTTTAACTGAGCACGGTTTTCTTTCTTTCTCAAGAGGACTTACGAATGTTCCTTGTACAACGTGGTAGCCAAAATCTCCGGAAGTTAATATTTTATTAGATGTTTCAATCCATGTTCTTGGAAGCTCCTTCCATGCTGGAGTTATCGAAGTGTTTTCAAATGCTACGTTCATGTAAATGTTCTCACTTTGATTTAAGCTTTCTTTCATTTGAAAAGATGCCTGCATGTAAAGAGTAAATCACATCAGAGAATCACCATACTGAAATTTACAACTAGGATAAACTGAATTTAAAACTAGGATAGGAATATTCAGCAGTACAAAATCTGAAAAGGTTAGTTACACGCAAAAAGCGTTACAACTTTTCCTACTTTTCAACATTTCGGAACCAAACGAACCTACACGATCTAACTTATTTCGGGATGCTCCGTCCAGCTGCAAGTACATATAGAGCCGATGGTCTTTCCTTGTCCAGTTTTAGTTTAATAGAGGGATGGTTCTTGATTTTCATTGAAACATATGCAATACCATGCATGCAACCAGCTTTTTTATTCAGCTATCTTGCATTAATAATTTTCTTGTATGATTGCATGGCGACTTTAGTAATTATAATAACTTGTAGGTACACCACGTAAGTATTAAATACTGCAAAGCTTTCGGTCCGTTGTTTCGTTTCGGACCGAAAGCTTTGCAGTATTTAATACTTACGTGGTGTACCTACAAGTTATTATAATTATCTTGCATTAATTAGAAAATAACTTACTTTCCCATCGGTTTTGTCCCGATCGGATTTTCCATTTAAAAGTTTCCAAGCATGACTATGTAAAACACGTCTTACAACAAAGATAATCGCCACCAGAAGTACAACACCAGCAACACCGATTATAGGACCAACATAGTGCCACGGTGAGACAACTAAAATAATCGCACGATATTGGTGAAACCTAATTCATTTCATGATAATATAATTCACTATGATATTGATACGATAATATATAATATATGACTTTATTATATGAACATGCATGCATTTACACCAAAAATCGTATTAAAACACACGTAAATTCCATATTTCCGCGCAACCGTATAATATTCTCTCTATATATTCTATACATTATAATTATGATAAAGGTTTATGTGCTATTCTTCGCTAATTATCTATATCAAATATCTAAATTTATTTATACCAAATACTTGAACTGTACCTTCCACTTTTTTAGTTTTAATCTCTATTCTGCTGCTTTCTTTACCAAGACCATACGCGTTCTCAGCAATTATTATTATAATATAGAACGTATCACTCTCCAGGTTATCCAATTGAGTATTGGTTAATTGTTCAGCATTGATAGTGTTATTAGACCAGATCTTCGAACCATACTTTAAATAAGTGATGTAATATTTCTCGATAGAAAACATCTCATGAAGTTCCGGAGGTTCCCAGTAAATATGAACCCTTGTTTCTTTAACATCGGAAGATGTAACGTTGGCTGGTGGAGGAGGTGGCACTAGAATGGCATTGAGAATAGTCAGAGCAATGTCTTAGTTATTTCTGCATGCCAATTTTAGTTATGATTTATCATAACTTTCAAATGAAAACGACGTAATTTGTAAACCGGAACGCATTGATAATTTAGGGATCATAAAGCAATATATAGTTTATATATTATTACCTTTAAGTTTTATTGCATCGGGGACAACTTGTATGTTACCAATACGACCTGTCTTTAATTGCTTGTTAATTTTACGGCCAATCTTTACTGCAACAACATCGTTTGATTCTTTTGATGGTTTTAGAACTTTGACAATGACTCGAAATATTACCTTGACACTTCCGTTGCTGAAGAAAGATAAATATGAATGAAAAATGAAAAAAATGAAGACGCGTTTATCCAATTTTTTAAAATTAATAAATTTTTGCACGTTAAGTAAACTTAGTGAACTATTACAGTAAAATCGTTGACCCTGCAACAGTTAATAACTTGTCTCGACTTAAAATTGAAACGTGACAGTAAACATCTATATACATCTGAGTGCTTACACGAATCCAAGAATTTCTATGTCTTCAAACCCAGGTGTGTTGTTGAAGAAATTATAAAGCTGAAAATAATTATCATACATATATATAATTAAAAACTAACAATATATTCCTTTAAACTAACCAAATTAGTTATACAGATGCAGAATTTCGACTACGAATCATCTTTTTATATAATGGAGCGATGTGAAATCTTAAGCCAGAATAGATTGTGCTCGCTTTAATTTTATATATTTTTACTTAACATAAAGAAATTATACTAGCTATATACTATAGGAAACCTATATAATTATAGAGTAAATGTGATCTAGGTATAAAGTTAACTCGGCTGTGCTGTTACTGATTCGGCCGGATTGTTATACCTCAACATAAACGTCTTCCTCTAATTCTTTATAAGCAGGAGAAGACTTATTCTTAAGTTCTTCTTTGAATGTCTTGTTAGAAAGCTTTATCTCCACATCGATATCAACAATGACTATATGCAGAATGAAAAAGAGCAATTTGAACGTATAATGATTAGAAAAAAATCCTAAAGAGTAATTTGTAATATGGAGTCATGGAAGTCATGGACATGCGTATCCAAGTTTACCTGGTTTGATTGTTACGGTTGTTGTGTAAGAGTCATGACCAAGCTCGTTCGACGCATAACATAAATATGTTCCTGAATCCTCTAAACCCGCATTTGAAATGGAATAATTTCCATCATACTTGTTCCGTGTCTTTTTTACTTCTGTGAACTTCCCATCGCGATCAGCACGTTTCCAAGAAATGGTGGGATCAGGATTGGCGAACACCGTGCAAACAAGGGTGACGTTTGTTTCAACAAACTGGGTAATATTTGATGACTTTGATCTAATTTGTGGAGGACCTGTAAAACAATATGTGCTTTCAATTATGGATGAAAAACGGTTTAATCGGGCTCTTTAAAAAACTGATAACTTGATAAACGGTGCAATTGATGCTGCCTAAATATGCAAGAAATTCAACTAACATGTCGCAGGGTTGACAGTCGACAACAATTTTTGAAATTCCACTGATAGGTACATGTATACGGACAAAAATTTCATATTTTTTGTCTGCAGTACCTTGACACTTTTCTCCGTCACCAAAGAATCCCTCGAAGCAGTTACAAATATAAGTTCCAGGAACATTTTCACAATGTGCGTATTCATGGCAGGTATTGGAACCTGAATTCCCACATTCATCAAAATCTACAACAGTAATATATCAATGCAATGCATATATACATAACAATTTCAGATGCATGCTTTTGGAATAAAGCTAGAAGCTATTTTTCAAGTTGTTTTTATGCACCCAGTATAAATATTTTATCCTATCGAATGAGAAGCACGTGCGCCGAACCCTGAGAGCTGTTTGGACAGTAGCATTGCGTCGTGTCGATCGAATTCTCGTCATGCACGGCATCTTTGTTTGTCGTTATGAAATGCTTTTTAATTTTTGAAGATTTGGTATATTTATTCATGCAGTTCTCCGCATTAAAAATCGCCACTGTCATTTATTAACTTCAAAATCAGTAAAATGAAAACAGCACTGAAAATGAAAACACAAGGCATCTAAAAATTTCGATGACGAAGTGTGGAATTGGACATAGGAGTAATAAATACAGAACTGTTAAACTATATTTTGTGCTCTTTACTACAACTGTACCTTCTTCTCTCGTATATGATTTGTCAAATTTGTACCCTGCGATTGCGTCGGCTTTGTTTAACTCGCTTACAAGTTTGGATGGATCTTCCTTAAATTGACTGCTCAATGAGACAACAATCGCCGCTATTACACTTCCCTTTCTAAAAGAAGAATAAAAGTATGTGCATTAAATCCCCGTTTACACTATATAGCTACAGTCAATTTATTACTAAACACAGTCCGTCTATAATTGGTAATCGTAGACCAAGTTTTATTATAGTGCTTATAATTATATAGCTATATAGGTTATATATAATATAATACTAAGGCCGAGCAAAGATGAAATTGGCATGGGTACCCATCTTAGCCGTATCATGCCAAATTGCCAATAAATCAGAGCTTAAGTTTTTATTTGAAATGAGGAGTTAGATAAATGGTTGGATTCATACTACTTATATCAAAGCAAGGAAAACGCAAAAGTTGCCAGTGTACACTATAAACGTATCTTCAGTTTTTCACTTTACACGTCACTTCTAAACTTGAATAAATAACATAGTAATTGGCGTACTTACTCAAATCTAGACACACTTGAACTTATGTAATCAAAGCGAATTGCGGACTTTTCAAATATATCATTCAGCTGAAACACACAACAATCGTTTTCGCAAATTAGAACTATATAAAGAGGAACTATAGGCTATATAAAAGTCATGCTAAAAGCTATTCCACTCCTTACTGAAATTTTCAGTTCATATTTCAGCTTCTTCCGCTCACTAGAAGTTTCATCCAACAATGTGTTTGAAAATTTATAATCTGTCAATCGTATCTGCAGCTGGTATTTCATATTGTTCTTATCTGTAATACGAGCGAATTAATTTTTTTAGCAAATATGTCTAATATAAACTAATTACTTGAGTTTTTTCCCCTCATTCTGCATGAGCTTTGTCTCCAATTCTATATCTCATAATTATATGCATGCCTGCGCTATCACAATTGTGATAGGAAACAGTAAAATGGGAAGTGTAAAATTTAAATAAAAAATAGATTTTCTATTCAAAACCTACTTTCTTTGGTATTCACTGAAGTCACGGCACTTTTTTTGAAACGCCCAAAAACTGTAATTCCAGTGATGTTGACAATATATGCTGTTTTAGGACGTAGACCAGAGATAATTGCACTGTTTGTTTTAGTTATTTGTGTTTTTTCCAAGATATGATCCACAGAAAACACATTTACTTTAAAGGATACTTCCTCTCCATTCCAAAACGTCTTGGAGATAGGATGCCATGAAAGCCTGATTCCTGTTGCACTTGTTTCCGGGTCTCCTTTCAAAACGACGGGTCCAGAAGGAACTTATAAAATAGATAATATTATTATAGTTTAAGCATGCAATACTACGCAAATTATAATGCATTAATTTTATTGTTGTCTGGAAAGAGAAGTGGCTATGTGGAAAACCAAATTTAAAAATAAGCACTACGGGGTTAAATATTTCAAAATAATATATCGACTGAAGGGAATCTGCCTGCATGCTCCAATATAGAAAACAACATGTTGAGAAAGGCGAAACTATACACTTACTGCCGATTATTAGGGAGAAGGGCGTAGAGAAGCGTGATGCTGCACCAATAGTTGCTTTGCACTGGTATTTTCCTGTGTCATTTTGTCTTGCTGTAAAAAGTATCGTATAACGCACTCTCGACATAAGCGGCCATTTATAAAACGAAATTCCATCCTTAACTAGTTCCATCATCTGAATGTCATGAATAGACTGAATGGGCGTCACTCCTTGACATGTGAGATAAACTATTGTCCCCACAAGGATATATTTGGGTGAATATGTCGAAATTTCAACAATGGGAATATCTAAAAGCAATAGACGTTTTAGTGGCTACAAGATCACCTGACGTTCAGTTGCGTGTGAAACAATAATAACCATGCAAGCATTATAGTTTGCGCGGCGGCAAAGAAAACAAAAATCAGGATGAAACAAGATAAACAAAATTTAAGGGACGATACAAAAACGTTTTAGATGTTGAAATTGAAATGTTGTCCTGAATGAAAAAAAACTCCTATTATTTAAACCTTTTATCGCAACAAAGACTGTATGCCCAACACTGCCGGCGTAGTTGTTCGCGACACATTTGTATTCCCCATTATCATTCATCGTTGCATTGAAAACATTCAACTGGTTTTTCTCCAGTAATATTCGAGAATTTTGCTCAAGTGGTTGACCATTGAAGTACCAGGTGAACGAAGGATAAGGATTCCCGTCTCCTTGACAACTCAGGCTGATGTTTTCTCCTCGATAAGGATTTTCATCACCAGTTACATGAAAAGCATTTAAATCTGAAATTATAATGGAATCTATAAGTAGTGAAATAAACTACTCTTAGGTCTAAATAGTAAATCTGAAGTAAGGTACCTGCAAAGGCTGCTTTCTTAACTTTATATATGAATGAATATACATTGTTCATGCAATTACCAGTTTAGTTAGAAATATATCCGTTCAAGATATCTCCTGGCTTTTAAGATCAAACTCGAAATTTGGGCAATAGCTCGGACTTCTTTTAAGCATGCATGTATGTCAATTCAGGCATATTTATTAAGGCGAATTAAAAACAACTGACAGAGTTGATACCGGTGATTTAAATGATCGTTCAATTCATGCATCACAAAAGGAGCAAGTTGATTATATTTCATTATGATATAATAAATACTTACACCATACGTCTAGCTTAACTGTCCTGGATAACCTGACCCAATTAGACGTTCTTATTTCGCAGCTGTAGTTTCCGATGGTATGTCTCGAGGCTTTGATGACTAAACTCCCATTTGGCAACAAACTGTAGGGAGTTCCTGATTCGTTGTAATAGATTGGCAGGCTATTTTTTAACCAAAATGGCCGCAAGGTACAGCCACCACAATTGCAAAACAGAATAATAGTATTGTTTTCAAAAACATTTGGACTGTTCGGCGTCACATGTAGGAAAGCTGGGACTATATATAAAGAAGGGGTTAACATGAATAGGATTGAAATAACATGGTCACAACTAATGCTTGATATCATCAAAGTTACCAGAAGCCTATTTAGCTTTTGTTCGCGGTGTCAGGTTAATTATGGGTTTGCTTACACGTCGTAAAAATATAAGCCATAAAGAATTCTCTTATACTATTACGCATATTGTGTTAAATGAACGAACGTGCAAACATACCTTCGACATTGACAGTAACATTTCTTTGGACGGTCGCATATTTATTTCTCGCCTCACAAAAATACGTTCCTTGTTCTCGGAGAGTCACATTTACAATTGTCAGTGATTGGTCATCATTTGACAGGATGAACTTCGGAGGTATCAAAGGATTTGTGAAGTTGGCTTTTGACCATGCGATGTTTGGTCGTGGATCACCTGATACGTTGCATGTTAAAATTACGCTGTCATCTAGTTGATGAACTTTAGTTTCTGATATGCTCAGTATTCTCGTTGCGACTAGAAACAGACAACACGAAGAATTGGCAACAGAATTTAGTGCTTTTTTCATACCGGGTAATATCATCATCAGGTTCACCCAAAAATAAAACATAAAAATTGACACTGAAAACTCAGTCAACGACTCAACGTACCATGGACGGTGAGGAAGGCATTTGACTTTTCACTTGAACCTGCTTCATTTTTAGCAAAACATGAATAACGTCCTTCGTATTCTGCGTTATTTTGAACAGAATATAAGAGTAAGCTGCCATTGGACAAGAAAGTGCTGCGGTTGGTAGAGACAGGTTGGTTCTTAAACAACCAGGATGTTTGAGGAAATGGTCGACCATCAACTTCGCAGTCAAAACGTACGTTACGATCTTGCAAAGATGTTTTATTTCTCGGTGGAGTCAAAATAATAGGGTAGACTAAAAATGTTAAAATGTGATTAGAAATCATATTTAACTGAAATCAAACAAAATATATCCATGCATGTATATGTTGGCAACTATAATTCGGCGACTTTATATATAAAACAGAGCCGTAAAACTTACATATAACTCTCACGATCTTCGAGTCAGTTTTTGAATCTTTTCCTATAGAAACTTCACATGTGTAATTTCCAGAATCGTCAAACGTGCTCCCAGCTTGGTTAAAATACAGTATACTGCTGACATTTTCTAGAGCTTGGTTATTCGTTGATCTTCGCTGATACATGCCATACTTTATTGATAATTTTGGATCCTCAGGGATAACTGTGTTGTTGAATTTCCAGGTTGCTTTAGTATTGGGATAACCATAACCAAGACAAGTTATACTACGGTTCTTTTGTCCATGTCTAAGCTTCACTAAGTTGCCATCGATGATGTACGCTATAGGCAGTACTGAAATAAAAAGAAAATATAATTGATAGGGATAATAAAAGAAAAACTGAGGTAAACGTAAACGTTAAAGCAAGTTATTGGAACAAACACTTGGTAACTAAATAGAAATAAAGAAATGTAAGTTACCTAATACAACAAGTGAAACGTGGTCGATGTCTGTTCCAGCATCATTTCTTAGAAAGCAGCTGTAATTTGCAGAATCATTTCGCGTAAGATTTTTAATCTCGAGATAACTAAACCAAGAAATTAGATTTGAAATATTTCTCTGTGGAAAACTAATACTGTAGCGCGAGTTGTTTCTAGTCAATTGTTCTTTATTTTTCATCCATGATACTTGAGGTCGAGGGAAACCATAAACTGTGCAGGTAAACAAGACAGGTTTTTCAATCTTCACACGTTTGGTGTTTGGAGTAACCGTGATCGTTGCAACAGGACGAACTAAAAGATAACAAATTATTGTGAATGTGACCATTTAGATATGTATTTTGATGCAATTTAACCCCTCACTTCTAGTTGTGACTTGCTAGAGAGAAGTGAGCTCCCAGCTGAATTCATTCTTTAGTTACTTCGAATAGGTTCCTGTTCGTCATAAATTTGATCAGTTAATGGTTAATAGAAAATATATATCTTATCTTTCTGTTCTCCTACCGTAAACAACCAAAACTGATGTTGTTCTATCCCCATCTTTTCTGTTTCTCAATTCACAGGAATATTCTCCTCTGTCAGCATAACTTAGATTACTTATTTTTAACCATGATTTTATGGTGTTATACGGTCCATCATCATTAATCACGAGATTCCTTGAAGAGTTCAATATTGACCGATTATTTTTCCTCCAGATAACACGAGGGATAGGAATTCCGCTACCACCGCACGAAAATATTGCACGTTCAGTCTCATTGTGAGTTTGATTCACAGGAGAATTAGATATTTTGGGTCGTGCTATAAAGCAAAAAAATAATATTAGTTGGAAGACAGGCGTCTAACCCAGCATTTTGAATTAGATTTCTATATAACAGCTTAATTATAAATTTTACCAAAGTCTCGTTTCGATCATAGTGAAAAAAATTAAAAGGTGAGAGCCTTTTGTTGTCGTCGAAAGCTATCTCTTGTCGGCCTATGTTTGTTTTTATTTTCTCCCATTTTTAAAATTTTTCTTTCTGACAACTACTACTTATGATTACTGATTATTTAACTTGTCGCCTGTAATTATAAAATGGCTTTCAAGGGTTTTTTGCCGATGTCAGCAGTAGTGATGCATAAACGCGCTATGGGAAAGAAATTTTCCCAACACACTTCGTATAAATGGCAACGGTACTCATTCAATGGAACAGGTTTTCCCCATTTTTCTTACCATTTTGATGACCTCGCTGGGTGAATTATATATAAAATTCGTACAAAAAAAAGAGACTGCATGTATTAAGTATTAACCAAGTACTCTCTGTACTTGTAATGGCTTTACAATTTTGAATATACTTGTTTTCCCTCATTACTTCATGAAGCAAAATATTTAGAGGGATACACGCAGAAAAACTTACCAAAGACAGTAATATTCGCTTTTGTTGTCTTATTTCCTTCAATATTTGAAACCATACATGTATATATTCCTTCATTATCGATCGTAACTGGATTGATGTATAGAGAACTTTTTGTATTATTTTTGGCAGCATTTGAGATTGACTTTTCGCCATTGAAAAACCAAGAGTATGTCAATTCGGGGTCACCATAAGCGCTACAGTTGAGCACATATGAAGTACCATTTTCAATGTCATCGTCTTTTAGGTCTTGCAGTATTTGTGGTCGAACTATAAATAAACAGAGGAAATAGTGAAATTACAACACCATTACACGATCCCGCCCTCGAAATTACCGCACACACAAATTCGGCTAAGCTTATTGAAAAATTAAATGTGGATTTTAAACGACAAGTATAGTAACCATTCTTCCATCAGAATTTTTCAAAGTTTTTTTGTAAAATTTTAAAACAGTTGAATATCTATCTAGACGATACAGATATCGTAAGACGAAAGTCTGAAATAAGCCTCCGTACAGATATCAGTACAAGTATATAATGTCAAAAATATACGCATTTTAAAACCCAGAATAGAATCTTATTTGCGAACTAAAAGGCTAACTACAAAACAATTTTTGTACTTACCATGGACAATCAATTTAATTTTCTTTTTCACAGGGCTTCCTCTATTATGAGCAGAACATTCATACATTCCCTCGTCTTTATTAGTTACATTCTTTAACGTTAAAACACTTGTTCCTAAAACACTGGGTACCAGTGTCGTGTTCCTTCCTCTCCAGGTTACAGTGGGTTTTGGAACACCAATCGCTGTGCAGTTAAATGTGACGTTTGTACCCTGCAAAACTGTGCTTGTGTTTGGGGATTTAGTAATAGAAACACTGGGTACCACTAAAACAAAAAACAGAGAGGCGATTAACTTAGATGATGCATAGGTTAGTTATCAACTCTAATTAAGACATCAAATACAAATAATAAACAATAAACATGACTTAAATTATACGTCAACACTTACGAATTATTTCAACATCTTTAAGATCTTTCTGACTATCCTTCAATTTTGTTACATTGCAAGTGTAGTTTCCAAACTGAGCGTGACTCGCGTCTGGTTTGACATAAAGAATCGCTGAGATCCACCCAAGAAATTTACTTGGTTCAGTGTTACCAATACGCTGGTAAACACCCGGGGTCACTGATCTGTTTGTAGTTACCATTCTTTCATCTCTGAACCATGTGACAACTGGCGTAGGATATCCTCTACCTTCGCAACGGACGATTACTTGCTCTTTAATACTCGTAAAATATATGACTGATGAAACATTTACAATTGCTTCAGGACGGACTAAAAGAAAGAAAAAGGAAAACAAAAGAAATGGAGCATTCTTCGCAGCAGAAAGTACACTTTATAATTATAGAAAATACAAATACAGATAGTGATAAAAAAGAACACGTAAAAAGAACACGTAATAATTCCGTACTAAACATCACTTTCTCAGTCAACTTCTTAAAATCTTAAAAGTTTTTGTTGAATCTCTTGATAGCCTATTTATTGCTCACGGTGTCAGGTTAACTGTAGAGTTGTTTACATATCGTAAAAATATATGGTATAAAGAATTCTCTTATACTAATCATAGCAATATAAGCATGCATATTGCGATTAAATGAATGAACGTGTAAACGTACCTTCGACATTGACAGCAACATTTCTTTTAACGGTCGCATATTTATTTCTCGCCTCACAAAAATACGTTCCTTGTTCTCGCAGCGTCACATTTACAATTGTCAGTGATTGGTCATCATTTGACAGAATGAACTTCGGAGGTCTTAAAGGATTTGTGAAGTTGGCTTTTGACCATGCGATATTTGGTCGTGGATCACCTGATACGTTGCATGTTAAAATTACGCTGTCATTTAGTTGATGAACTTTAGTTTCTGATATGCTCAGTATTCTCGTTGGAACTAGAAACAGACAACACGAAGAATTCGCAACAGAATTTAGTGTTTTTTTCACACCGGGTAATATCATCATCAGGTTGACCCAAAAATAAAACAAAAAAATTAATACTGAAAACTCAGTCAACGACTCAACGTACCATGGACTGTGAGGAAGGCATTTGACTTTTCACTTGAACCTGCTTCATTTTTAGCAAAACATGAATAACTTCCTTCGTATTCTGCGTTATTTTGAACAGAATATAAGAGCAAGCTGCCATTGGACAAGAAAGTGCTGTGGTTGGTAGAGACAGTTTGGTTCTTGAACAACCAGGATGTTTGAGGAAATGGTCGACCATCAACTTCGCAGTCAAAACGTACGTTACGATCTTGCAAAGATGTTTTATTGCTCGGTGGAGTCAAAATAATAGGGTAGACTAAAAATGTTAATATGTGAATATAGAAATCATATATTAAGCTGAAATCAGACAAAAATATATCCATGTATATGTTGGTAACTAATTCGGCGACTTTATATAAAACAGAGAAACTATGTAAAACTTACATATAACTCTCACAATCTTCACGTCAGTTTTAGAATCTTTTCGTATAGAAACTTCACATGAGTAATTTCCAGAATCGTCAAACGTGCTCCCAGCTTGGTTAAAATACAGTATACTGCTGACATTTTCTAGAGCTTGGTTATTCGTTGATCTTCGCTGATACATGCCATTTCTTTTTGATAATTTGGGATCCTCAGGGATAACTGTGTTGTTGAATTTCCAGGTTGCTCTAGTATTGGGATAACCATAACCAAGACAAGTTATATTACGGTTCTTTTGTCCTTGTTTAAGCTTCACTAAGTTGCCATCGATGATGTACGCTATAGGCAGTACTGAAATGAAGATACATATATAACATACTTTAAAACTAAAATGGAAACAAAGCAGAGAAGCTGAGGCGTAAGAATTAACCAAACGCGCGATCTGCATGCGTTGCGACGCTGCGAACGCTGCGTCTTACAAAACATTTTGACTTGAGACATGCAAAGGGAATCACATATATTCATATATAGAACAAATATATTAACCAGGATTTATATAATATATCTTGCATGTTCATCTTGTTATTAATATTAATATTATGTTAAATAACAGATGCACAACTACATAACTAATAGCTTACCTTTAAAGTCTAGTGTTAAACTTTTATTTGTGTAAGATAAACTGTTCCTTGCATGGCAATAATATTTCCCAGTATTATTTAGTACAGCTCTCGTAATAATAAGAGTTTTGCTATCATTCGAGATCTGAACATTGTTGCGGAGATGTGTCTTATTAATACCATTTACCGTCCACCAAATCCGGGCCGAGGGATTCGCCAAAATTTCGCACTTTAACACAATGTTGCTGTATAATTCCGCGGTAAGGCTTGAATTCAGGTGAATAATTCTGGGCTTTACTAAGAGTGAAGAGAGATATTAATGAAATATAAACTGATGGAATGATGCTCTTGTTTCATTATAATTCGTCCGTGGCAAAAGTCGACCGAATATAAACGAAAGGGCTATAAAATTATGACATTCATAATTGTCCAATCTGACCAATGAATCTGCATGATCGGCGATATATAAAAATCGCATGCAGCCGCGTACAAGACCAAACCGCCGCCCGCCTAAATATTTAAGGCCAAAACCATGCATCTACAGCTTGTATGAATATAGACTAGGTCTGATTGGATTATAGATCTGCAAAAAGTTTCTCTGATCTTTGAAAAAGTTTCTATTACTGTAGGAGGCCTCAGTAATAACGCTCCTTCTCGTTCTAAATAATACATGTAGTTTAATAGTTCTAACTATATTTATTGACTATATACCGTATGAAATTAAAATAAAACAAGACTCACCCAAAATTTCTACAGTTGCATTTGTTGAAACATTTCCTGCTTTGCTGGATGCTCTACATATCACTGTGAAATAATAGTTACCAGTACTCGTCACATCTCTTAGTTCCAAGACATTTTCATTGATAATCTTCTTTCCAAATTTGATATTTTTTCTGACAATACTCCAGAAAAATGAAGGTTTGGGTGGACCTTTAGCATCACACACAAGAGTGATATTTCCACTTTCATTCATTTTCGTATCGCTTAGATGTGTTGTTATGCGTGGAGGAACTAAAATTTTAAAAACAAGACTGATACATTAAGACTGATACATTAAGACTGATACATTAGGACTGATACAGAGGAGACGCTAAGGGAATTCGCCCCAATTTTGTTCTTTTTTTTTGACCCCCAATTGACCCGCATTCATTTTAACCTGGTGCCGCCGCTGTTTCTAATAATGTTAATGTTACCATCAAATCAATTTGAATTTATATAATGTAACTCACATTGTATTTCCACACTTTTACTCAATGGTTGATTACTTTCATTGACATTTAAAACTTCACATGTGTATATTCCACGATCTTCTTCCTTGACTCCATTTGTTCTTAAAAACAACGTACTTGTAACTTCTAAATAAGCTTTTGTTTTCTCATCCCATCCTGAATTCGTAATTATCTGGTAAACAGAGTCACCAGCAACTGTCGTGATATTTTCTCGTGAAGGAATTAATGTACCGTTCTTTTTCCAAACTACGTGCGGTGTCGGGTAACTTTTTCCTCTGCATGAGATGGTGAAATTTTTGACATTCTCTTTGACTATTCTTAGGCTCGGTCCGTCCATATATATGAGGTCCAACTATGAAAATAACAAAATTTAAGAGTACAATGACAAAACAGCTATGTTAGCTAACCATATTGCATTCTAGGGATGTTCATTATCTTCTCATTTTTACTTGGTCGCAAGCGACAGGCAACCCCACAGAGTACTTACTCCTATTATGGTATGCCTTATAAATTACAAACATAGTTATTACAGTACTACATAACTCATAGGCAAGAAATTGAGCAGAATACAGACGATACAAGTCACTACAACAATTATTAAAATTAAACTATACAAATAATGACTTAACAACACAGTTTAACACTAGACTTGATAATGAACGACACAGATGACATTTAATACATACTGTTTTAAAAGTTTGAGGAGTGTCTACGTCATATATATGTTCGGTTAGGTGTCTATAAAGTAGGTGTATTCTCAGTAGGTGTATTCCGTATATAGCGCTTTGTACGAGAAATTCTGAAGTACAGAATAATTACTTCTTTTAAAATTATGTTTTTTGGAAAGAAGGACAATATTTTATGTTAAAAATCCAACTCACACAATGTCAGAATCGATATTTCACTGAATTTGCTGATAGCGATTTCACTCTCAGCCGCAATGCTAACATTATAAAATGTATACTCGGTGAGATTTTGCAGATCATAGGTGTAGTTCTTTCTTTGTGTTTCAGAAGCAACATTAAATGTCATCGTTTGATTATCATTTACAACACGAATGACGTATCTTTTTAGTCGACTTTCCAAATAATCATCCGCCTCTCTCCAGGTCACTACCGCTGACCGTGATTTGATGTTGATGACTGACGCATTTCCTGGAGAATCTGGAAGAACTGAAATAAAAGATTAACGCTTTATTGAAATGTAATGTCTTCTTCGTATAGTTTGTGTTCTTCAGGTTACTTCTCTTAAAAACATTTCAATGTATCTCAATCAGAGATCTCGCATGAGCGGAAAAATACAGTAGTTAAGGAATTTATGGCATGTTCTTTCATAACAACATAAATACTCACCAGAAGTATATACAAAATCGGAAGGCCTATAGAATTCCTAATTTCTTTTTGTCAGGTGAAACAGAACTAGCTAGACAGAACTCACCTATGGTCGGTGTAATGATAACAGGAATATTTCCTTGTGATGAAGTAGTTGCACCTGGATAACTCGCAGAGCAACTGTAGACTGACTTACAGAGCAATCTTCGGAAATTATTTCTGCTTCCTGTACAGTTGAAGTTATCAACAATGTCTTTGTCACTTTTATACGTAATAACTATCTGAGTTGTTGCAATTACGGAGATCGAAAGTTCTTGAGGGATTTTTATCTTTATATTTTCAAAATTAGATCCATTGATAATTTTACCATCTCTAATCCACGCAACTTCCAATCCTGCTTGTCCCTGGATTTGACAGTCTAAAGCAATGTTTGCATTCATAATCCTGCTCAGTGACTTTGCTCCACTTCTTTTTTTTATTGCTGGCATCGCCACGTCTAAAAACAATAGTTTTCTATGAATTTTAGTGTTCTGTGTTCCGTATTCCAAGAATTGGTGCCAAAGATCCGAAGTATATACCACAAAACAGTTATTTTTATTTATATTTCGCTCAACATCACTAATAGGTTACACAGTTAAACAAACCACACTGAAAACCCAATAACGGACCCACTTTACATTCACATGCAATGAATCAAACCAAACAACTACCAGAAGCAACCGTAGAATCGCATCATCATTGTGGAAATAAACCTTTTTGCCCCAGTTTACACCGACTACAGTCTTCCTGTATGAAACACTCCCAAACTTTATATCACTACTTAAGAAGCAAAATCCTCAACCGAAAGCTAACCCAAACGAAAAAGTGCAAGAAAAATGATTTGGTTCAACCTGCCGTATTATTTATTTAGTATTGATCGAACCTAGCCATGCAGCAATGTTACTCGACGGATATATCTTGAAGTTATCGACAGTATTTTCGCAAATCATCCTCTTTATAAGAACTTTAACATGCAGAAACGCAATTAATAATTATCAAATTAAATATATATAATAATATCAATTACTCTTCCAAATACCTGATTTGCAGCCATAAAACTCTAGGCGAAGACATGGAAACCGTTGATATTCACGAGTCTGGAGTAAAATATGTCTTGCAGTAAGAGAAACGTTCAACCAATTTGCAAATATCGTATCTCCATTCAGTGATGATGAACCACCACCAGGAAATATCTGAAAAAAAGACCAAACTGAGCCTACACAATATTAAGACAAATCAATATACACAATATATCTGAATCGTTAAGAATCAATTCATGGATTGGTGCAAGATCGTGCACAGATGATTCAATCAATATGCATGCACATAGCTATACATATGGTTGTCCATTCTTGAACGCTGGACTAATTTGCTTGAAACCTACAAAATCGTATTTATCGTATCTTCTCTGGCGACCACCTGTACATCCTGTTTAGTAATTCAGCTGTAAGAACTGACGTTTAAAATTATTTTCCCGCATATCTTTTCACAAAACATAGGACTGAAAATCTGAAGTGATTGAGGCATGAGCAGGCATCTACATGCCCCCCGCTGGTGGAATACCCATGCAGGAACTCAACGAGTGATATTGAATGCAAAGAAGAAAGACTATTAAGTGCTGTACGTTCACTATAAAAGTTACCTCAAGGGCCGCGTTGCTCGGATAACCATACCAATTCCTACCATTAAAGCTATAACGCATTTTATATTCAGTGACTCTCCCCAATTTACATCCTTGGGTCGCAATTCCATACACGCCAACTAATTTCCCGAAGTCAACGCTGATCGTCTCGTTAGAGGATGCCTTACCACACCAACAATTTGAGTTTCTCAATCGAGCATATTTGGGGAAACGATTATTAAACAGCGTTGAAGATGCTGAAAAGATTTTGTCTGGAATATCTTTCACATGGCTGCTGAGTCCTAATGGATGTGGTTTTCTACAGTTGACTGTAAGTATAAATAAGAAAATAAATATTGTATCGTTCTCTAGATACGTGAAACTGCAATTAGTGAACGTAGCTGACCTTCACCCACTGCAAAGAAATATTTTGAATATTCCATCTATTTGATAATACCCTACTTTGAATCTCCAGGTTTGACCATTTTGGCTCCCCTACTGTTGTCAGATACAGAAGAATAATTTATATCGGAATACGAGGAAATTAAATGAAACCTTGCGACTCTTTGACGATAATTCCGTGCAGCTCCACATTTATACACTGCAAAATTCCTGAATATTCTTCAGCCAGGTTAATCCTCACCAAACGAGCTTCAAATGGTTTGAGGAAATAATATTTTTTGATAGCATTATTGAAGTCGATCTGTTGAAAAGATATATGCGTTAATCGTCAGTACTGCATGTAATAATGCGTAAAGAAAAGAGCTCTTGTGTCTGTCATATGGTCAAAATTAAATGTAGATTTAAGAGAGCTCCCAAGCCTAAAATCATCCAAAGCTAACATAAGGAAAACTGACCTGGCTAGTCAAATGCAAAACAATATAAACTGCTGTACTCTATGCAGTTCATAAATTCTGAACAACTATTTTATCTAATTCTAGTTAATAAACTAAAATCTTTGTTTAAGCTCATTTGCATTCAATTCGGGAAATGAAAAGTTCGACGTCTAAAACGGGCCTTAACCGTTTAAGGTACACGCAGGGATTTTGAAAGGAGTTTTTTCAACAAACTACAGTAAATATTTAGACTATTACTTGTTTTGTATGATCGCGTTTACTGCTAAATTTTCGTCTTTAAAAGTAGCCTAATCATCAAACATCGATATTTCTTTTCGTTCCTATACCTCGCAGACTAGGGGTATCTAATTCCGCAGCCGAAACCTATAGGACGTTTCAATAGGATCCTTAAGGCATATCCTGCATGCAATGTAATGTAAAAATTACTTACTGTATATTTGTATTTGTATTGTATCCATTTTGAGTAATCATCAGAATAAGACACGCTGAATAAATTCGTTAACTTGGAAGATGTTAGAAGGCCTTTAATCGAAACAGCGAATATATAATATTTCTTAACAAGGATGAGTTCCAGATAAGATGGAGAAGTGGGATCAAATGGACACCACGATTTCCATGGTTTGTACAGTCTACCATCGCGTGGATTATGAAGATCCTCATCAAACTGGTCTGAAGATGTAGCTAAGCTTTCGTCAGGAAAGACAGCAGCAGAATTTCCATATTGAAAACCAATATCATTATTCACAAACTCTAAGCAAATGATGAAACTAAATTTTAGATCCTTTATAAATTTGGTTTTTACAAAATATCAACGCTTTGATAATTAAAGTGTGGCCACTTTGTTCTTATCACAAATGACGTCATCAGTTTATCTATAGCTGAACAGGCAACGGTTCAATGTTATCTGTTGGTTAAATATATTACGATTTATTCTTAATATCATACACAACCTCATCCAATAATTATTTTGAATATAACTATCTGCAACGTTGGCTAACGAAAACGCTTATAGCAACGACTTTTTTGGATTTAGGCTTTCATTTCGCGTAGTGGAAAACGGGAGATACGTTGTAACTTGACTGTACCTTTCATGAGATAACCATACATCTTTACAGAAAGACAAGTTAGATTATTAACAGGCGAAAGCGGTTTGACTTGAAAAAACGTGGTCAAGATTTTCCTTTTGGGAATAAATGACGTTGATCCATCGATTTTCTAGTAAAAATACAGGAGTGTTACAACTTACAGCGATATAATTATGTTTACTTTAAATTTATCTCATTTAAATAATCGTTGAAAAGTCAAAAATACCTGAGATTCCATGGATTGGTTGTATGATATTTCTACCAAACCACTGAAATTAACTTGAAGCGCACAGATTACGATATACGTTTTAAAATTTACTCGAAGGAAAATGTCAGTGTCATTTGAAGACCAACACCACGGCTCAGTGCCATTTAAGATGGTCGCTTGTTTGGTTGGAAGAATATTTGGTGCGGAAGTGATAAAGACATCAGAGTCAACATTGACAAGAGTTTTTTCACATTTTTCTACAAAATAAAATTTAAATACTAGTCTTTTACTAACCAGAGAATAAATAAACAAGTACATATTAAACAAAATGACGGAAAGTTATTTTCATGCACAAATACTAAACAAAACCTGGAGGAACGTCACTCGTAGTATTAATTAATCTTAAAAATTGTACTCGTGTCGCATAATTACCTATACATATTGATAATATATTATATATAATTCTTTCTAAGTTCCACCTGCCTTTGTTGCTAGAGAATTTTGTCTAAAATGTTTGATGAAAAGTAGTCATCACTTACCTTTCACGATTTCTTCACCATACAGCTCAACTCGAATGCAGGCACTGGTGTTATAGGTTACGGGGTAAAAGCGTACAAATCTCGTTTTTCTAGTGGCGCCCAATTCATTATATACTTCTGTTGTAGAGTCATTGTTGCCTTTAAACACCTAAGGAATGTCGTAGTTGAATGATGTCGGCTTCACAGTCGTAATTCTTCTATTCGTTATTTTTGTTACACTCTTTCTTAAAAGATATCACTTTGGGTTATCACAAAAGGAAAAAGCTAGGGTGACTCATAATAATATGAAACACAAAATTTCAATATAAATTCTTCGGATGATTCGAGATGACATGCATATACTAATTCTCAATTAGAAATGAATAATTAATATTGTGAATATATAAACATTGTGAATTTATTAAATATTAATAAATATCATAAATCTTATAAATTTAATTAATAAATATTGTGAATCGGAGTTGTTGATGTCTGGACAATACGTACCACGTCAATGAGGTTATTTTGATAAAACGTCCAATTAATTCTATCGGTTGATAGTTCAATTTTATAGGTTGTGGTAAAACCATTTCTGTCACCTTTGGTTGATACCCCGCATAATGAATATTGTTTACCAAGGTCCACTTCAAGAAAACTCTTATCTTCTCTGCCTTTTTCTGGACACCATGTTGCTCCTTTGGGTGCATTTTTGTTTATGTTTTTATTCATGCATTCAGGGCTGTACGATGTGCCTTGAAAATAGTAGTATGGAAGTCCACCATCGTCACGTAGACCCAAAGATTTTTTTTTACAATCTATATCGGAGGACATACGTCTGTGAGTTTACACTATTTAAATCATGGATAGTTGTTGAAACGTTTCAATTATAAACAAGGGGTCAGTGTTCATGTATTCATAACTGTGTTTTTAACGTGGCTTTCTATGCCCTACGGTGTATTTAAATTGTCAAATACACATTTTGAATGGGAATATTAAGCCATCTAAATTTTTGCCTAGAAGACTAAACTTAAAATATAACTTTTAGGTGACTTTTGTAGAGTTGAAATCAATTCTGAACCATTCTGAGCATTCGCTGGGCAACCGTTGTTGCAGCCGCAAGCCCGCAACAGAGACGTTTCAAAATGGCGGCCAAATACAAATAAGTTGGTGACCCCCGATTTTTTTTGCTTAAAAATTTCACACTTCGGATACTTTAATTAAGTTTATCGATAGAAAAGTTTTTAAAAAATTCTGTACAGTGCGATTTTTTATATTGCGAAAAATGTTATTTTAGCCGCCTTTCTGTCCGGCTTCATATATGGATGATGATAATAGTGTGGGTGCATGCTATAGTTGGAAATAGTATGGAAGTTTATAATATCCATACTAATTGCCATTTGTGTACTATGCAGTACTGAAACAGTATGGGTGTATAGTATGGATTTTGAAAACAAATTCCAGTGATATATATGCATGTATATTGCATATATATATGCAGGATTGTATTTTATCGTTGCACACGCTTCTCGTGGAAACAAGCTTAAATATATGACCTGGAATGTGACCTTTAATTGAATTTTTATACCACGAAAAACGCCTACTTTAAGGCGGATTTCCACTTACAGCGAAATCGTTCGCTAGTGAAATATTTGCATATTTTCTTTTGATGTCCGAACAGTCAAGTCGCACTAATTTATTTTTGCTGTTAAAATTATTCAAAATAAAATATGCAAATATTTCGCTAGCGAACGATTTCGCTGTAAGTGGAAATCCGCCTTTAGTCTGATACTAGACTCGTACCAATTAAAAGAATTAACATATCCCCGCTCTCAAAATTCCCTTTTGGAGACTGTCGATGTATTCTAACATATAGTTTCCTCGTTTGCTTCAATACAGCATATTGTCGTTTGCCCACAGTGTTTGATGGGATCAAATTATCAAAGGACAAACCAGAGAAAGGTTCGACTTTGTTATCATATTTTGTGTCATGGTATCCTAATCTGTATTAGCTATATATCAATTTTTTACAATGAAAGTCCGTCACGGTTACATTAAAACATGCGCTCTCGGTTTAGAATTTTCTATATGATGGATGTGTACAACCGGACAGAATGCGGAAATAGCAAGTCCCATGCATAAAGACATTTATTTCATACCAAAAGTTGCACTCCGAGACGTGATCAAACACATAAACTGTAAATAGAAATAAGACAACTTCCACCAGCACAATTTTTCTCTGATTTTAAACATTGTTGAAGGCCTTGAGCTAGAGATTGATTTAACAGCTCAGCTCATTATCATAATTGTATATATAATCATATGTGTAATTTGAGACTCTTTGTGACCGATTTTGGCGGAGAGTTAATCAACCCTACTAATCCTAAACCTAACCACATTACTGTGAGTGCATCAGCATGTCCAAAATTCCAGAGTAGAGAGCAAAAATTCAAGATGCAATTCCAATTTCAGTTCAACATCATATTATTTATCCTCTTTACACAACATTCAATTTATTGTCACGGCACGTCTAATGCTACCAAGGTCTACGAATACGAAAGCCAAGTACGGTCGGGTGTCGTGCGAATATATTGACTGTCAACTGTAGCTTTAAGCAGAGCTATTTATTGACCGTAAAAAATGTCAAGAATATTATTAAATCGATTGTAAAGTCAGGTATTAACTTGGATTATGACTTCTTCTGATATCTGATATGTTTGCATATCATTCCCGGATATTAAATTCAAATAAGTTTCTAATGCAAATTTTTCCTCTTTTCACGTTTGTCGTTTGATATAATTTATTAAGCCCTCTTTTTATATATCACCGACGGTCAGCGATGGCCATCTTCGTCACCGGCCACAAACAATAGTTCGCCAAGTGTCGGTAACATACGAATTTCGAAAGAAAAAAGAAACCGTAAAAGTGTTTTATAACATGTCGTAGCGGATCCAAAACAATGCCAAATAGCATTCTATTATCAATTTTATTATTAAAAAACTTTCACTCTTCTGTGCAATTAATTTATCCTATCCAGCAAAAAGACCCTGGTGGTCGTGATTCAGCGTGAAACGCCAATCGCAAAAGATACCACTTTGAGTTATCACACTTGGACTATATCAACATACTACTTTGGGCGTGAAACGCAAATCGCTTTCTTTGGATGGATTCTCCATTATACCCGCGCGGGCGAAGCGACATTTGAAAGTCTGCTTATGCGACCGTGAGGGGCCTGAAAAGTAAAGCGCGCTTACGTAATGCGGACGTAATGGAGAGGACGGAGTCGGTCCATGAAGCTTTTGGACTTGAGTTGAGGAGTATCGCAGCCACTGGCAGAATGAGAGGAATTGTGGAACAGGCAAGTTTTACGCGAGAGTTGAGCAATTTTGGCTAAAGTCATTTCGCCCCCTCCCCTCCGAAAAAAGCGACTTTTTTCGACCCATACACCTCTTCATAAATCACCAGTCAACTGATGCCGCAAAAATCATAGCAAAAATGCCAAAAATATACATAATAAACGTCTGTTAACAATAGAATAGACAGATAATTACACTGTTATATGTATAATTATGGCTTTAGTGGACTTAATAATATAGTTGTTTGAACACAGCGGACGTTGTCATGAAAAAATATTCCGCTTCATCTCTTTTGTGTTTCTATCCACTCAGTCTCTTTGTATGGAAATGCATGTACCTTTTCGTATTTAACTTTTTTTCCGCGTCAGTTTATTTATTTCCGCTTTGACTCTTTGCTATATCTCCGCGTTCGCCTTTCCGATTTTATCATTCTGTTGTCGCGTACTCTTACCCTTGTTTTTCTTGTGCTTTTAGTGATTCACCCACAATTTCGACGCTTTTATTTATTATTTGGCTCTAGCGTGCACAAAAATATTTAACTTAGGTGTGACCTATTAGGGAATTCTCGGATATTTTTTATGAGTAATATGCATAGAAATAATAGACATTATCTATTATTTCTATGGTAATATGCCAACCCACTGCGTGTTTACTTAGCCATGCAGACAAGTTAATATGATAACATCTTTTGAGGATCATATTTCTTATGTCCAATGCAAAGAAACATGGCTAGTCGTTTATATATGACGCTATACTGATCGATGATTTATCTCCCTGTGTTAATTCTCAATGATGGCGTACTTCATGTTGGGATTTATTGTAGTCAGTGTATGTATGCTGAAATTTGTCGAACTGCGAGGTAATTTCACTATCATAAAACAAGCCAACTATGGATTTAGCTAGGGAACAAGGAAGTAAACTGCTATCGCCCTTCGCAAATATGCCAGATATCGTCATATTTTTCGTCTAAAATGAAGTTGTGCATGCGATTTAGGAAGCATGTATATTATACTTGGAGCCTTGACCATAGGCGCCAAAGTAACGTTATTTCTCTACGACTACGGAACATGTTTTAATAAGACTATAGTGTCATTAGTATGCATAAGCAATAACTGTGAATAGACAAAATGTTTATGTTTATACAAACTGTGATTCAGGAATTTGCAGCCGTGCTTTTATATCTAATTTAAGATACACTGTAACTATGCTTTGTCTTCATTGATGAAGGTGTTTGTTCCATTTACAATGAAAGTTGTCTTATATAACCGCCCTGCTTTGTTAATTTGTTACTGGACAACTTCATGGAAACCTAAAACGTCGTATTACCCTCGCATGATTTGCGGATTATAGAAATTGTAACTGAATCGTGTGCCATGGCAATAATCTTAATGTTGCTCCACGTTTGGTTGTTGTTAAAGTAGTTCAGTTATGTTTTAATTTCGCTTTACTTCGAGAATTGATATTAGTCATGCGTTGGTAGTTAAGAAATATTTAACGTTTCGAAGTTTCGTTTTGTTCTAAAATTCTGGCTTTCGTTTTCCCAACCTCGTCCCCAGGGTTTGTGCTCATAGCGCGCTGGGACGAGGTGTTCGTTTTTCGAGTCTCAGATCTATAACCACGTAATTTCTATTTACTATTTCTATTTTGTGCATCCTAGTGAATAGCATTTAAATGACAAACCTAAATTTATATTTCTCTGACTGCAGAATGTGGAAAAAAATCTTTGGGTCTACGTGACGATGCTGGACTTCCATACTACTTTTTTCAAGGCACATCGTACAGCCCTGAATGCATGAATAAAAACATAAACAAAAATGCAACTTCTGGGGCAACATGGTGTCCTGAAAAAGGCAAAGAGGATAAGAGTTTTCTTGAAGTGGACCTTGGTAAACAATATACTTTATGTGGGGTATCCACCCAAGGTGACAGCAATGGTTTTACCAAGAGTTACAAGATTGAACTATCACCGGAAAGAATTCATTGGGAGTTTTATTACAAAAACAGTGACAAGGTATGTATACATATGTAAGAACTTTAAAAAAAACACTACCTTATATTCGTAGATTCCTGGCTCCGCTATCCATATGTGCATGTTGCAGCTGCTCTACCTTAGCCTTAGTTACCTTTAGCCAAATTATCGTGTTTCCAAAGTGGAAAGCAGTCTTTTCAATTTCAGTCACTTTTAGCCTTATTTTAGTCCCTTTAATTGGTGAAGAAAGCGAGATTGGTAATTCAAACTCTAACCATTTTTGGCGATAAAATATGGTGGATTTTTGACAGAAAAGTTTTGTTTTCTGATCGAGTTTTGTTCATGATCATCAAACCATAATGGCAATAGATGCAGAAGACCGAACAGCTAGGGCATCGAACTTGTATATTCATATCATTTTAGTCCAGTGGCGCGCCCGGCATTGATAATTGGGAGGGGGGTATTCGTATATTCATGCTGAAAGACTGTAAAGACAATTGATTTTAAAAGAAATTAATCCTGCGTAACATGAATATATGAATAACCCCACCTCCATCATCGTCCTGGCTCAGTACATTTTACAACGACGTTCTCTAGGTGTTTAAAGGCAACAACGACTCTACAACAGAAGTATATAATGAATTGAACGCCACTAGAAAAACGAGATTTGTACGTTTTTATCCCGTATCCTATAACACCAGTGCCTGCATTCGAGTAGAGCTGTATGGTCAAGAAATCGTGAAAGGTACGTTATGCCGTTATATCGCTGTCATGGCCGTAATGCATGATTCGGCCACAGACATATATATACTGTATATATATACGACATAGCCGCATTAGCCACTCTTCTATATAAACATATGGTATTTAAATTATTTCTGACGTAAGTATATAGGTGTAGATGAAATTTTAAAGTTAGGACAACAAATTCTAACTGCAAATAGCTCCATGCATGTCAAGCCGTCAGGGGGTATTCGTAAATGGAGGCCTTTTTTGCTCCTCCTTTTTGGCGAATACCTCGATCCCGCTAAAGGTCTATGAAAGAAATCACGTATAATTCCGTACTGTATAAAGTTTTAATAGTTCTTCCTATCTAGATCTGAGATCGCTAGTCAGACAACCCTAAAATATAAATGGGACAAATATGAAGAGCAAGTCTATGTATTTTGTAGAAAGATGTGAAAAAAATGTCATAAATGACGTCAACGCTCCTGGTATAGTTGTCTCTTCGCTACCAAATATTCCTTTAAACAAACATGCAGCCATCTTAAATGGCACTGAGCCGTGGTGTTGGTCATCAAGTGACACTGAACCTTACCTTCGAATAAACTTCGGAGCGTATATCGTTATTTGTGCACTTCAAGTTAATTTCAGCGGTGTGGTAGAAATATCAAACAACGAGTCCACGAATGCTCAGGTATAAAATATTTAGGCAAATCAGCGTTATATAGCTATAACAGGAAAATTATTGGAATGTGCCCTAAAACACCATTGCCATTTAGGAAATTAATGGATCAAAATTTTATGGCCAAGATAAGAAGATCCTGACTACGTTTCTACAATTGAAGCCTGTGTCATATTTTAAAAATACAACTTGTATTTCTGTAAAGACGTTTGGCTATCTCACCGAAGGTATACGTTCGCCTTTTATTTCATGCGAATACGACTTTGTATCGGCCCTTTAATTTCTTTGTTTAAAACAACAAGTATACGATCGTACTATAGTGGACCATGCAGGAACTGCGTGGCCGAGTTCCGATCTTGTGCGAATCGTTAAACACTCAAGAACTTCAAGATTATGGTTTGATAAATAAAAAATTAGTTAATAGCCCATATTCTTCAGAAGCTTTAAATTATAATCGTGTTTATATAGAACTTGTTTCAGTACGCGTTTTTCACGCGATAGGAAATTAGGAACATTAAAGGCTTGTATGCATTTGCAATTCTTTTAGCTATTGGGTGCTGCGATATAATATGGCTATATTTGAACATCAGTTACTTACATATCCGCTCGTTGAAATGTATATCAAGGAAGAATTGTGCATCTTGTAAATCGTCAACGGGCCTTAAGTTAATGCAGAGCACCATCTCCCTATATGACATATTTTTTATATATGCAAAAGATTATTATATATATTTAAACTTTAGCCGTTGATTCATTTTGTGTTTAGATCTTCTGAATAATGACATTGGTTTTCAATACGGAGCTTCTTCAAATGTTTTTCCTGACGAAAGCTTGGCAACTTCTTCAAACCAGTTTGATAAGGTTCTTCATAATCCACGCGATGGTAGACTGTACAAACCATGGGAATGGTGGAGTCCAAAAAATCGATATTTGCCTTTTTATCTTGAACTCATCCTCGTTCAACAATATTATTTATTCGCTGTTTCAGTTCAAGGCCAATCAACTTCTAATTACATGAAAGACTTTCGTGTATCCTTCTCTGATAATTACAGAAATTGGAAAGATTATAACACCAAGTTCATTGTAAGTACATGCATATCTGCAATCATTTTAGTACGAAGTTTATGTGAAACTTTGCAGTATTAATTGATATCAGTATTGATATACGAAGTTAATGTAGAAATTGGTGTGGTTAAATTTAATCCCATGACCCCTCAAACCATACCCAGCATAAGTCAGGCATTTCTGCGAAAAGAAAAAGCATTTTGCTTGAGACCGGCGTTGTCGGCCTTTAAATCTCAACGCTCAGGCCCCGTTTACATGGTACCGGACGAATTTGGAACCGGTACTAAATACGTCCTTTTCGGCCTTTCGTTTACACGAAAAGCACAGAACTAAACAAAATTTGAGATCCCCAAACAGGACAAATTCGCGACTCAAAAATTTCGACCGGACTCGGGCTTGTTTTTGTAGATAGCGCGCCGTAGATGATTGATTATGAACAAAATTCAGTCTAAAGGAAATTCGTCCGGTACCGTGTAAACACTCGACAAAGAAGACCAGAATTTCCATGGTTCCGTGTAAACGGTGGAAAAGGACGTATCCAGTCCAAAATTCGTCCGGTATACCGTGTTCTATCTATACGTAGCCTGAGCTGCACTATTAGTCTTTTAACCCGGCCGCACACGAGAGCTATCTGTTGAGCTTAAAGTCACTCGTGAACATCCCCTAGTGTGCGGTGACGTTTCGTCACTTTGTGATCTTTTTTCATTGGTCATTTGCACAGAATAATAACATGTTGAATAATTTGGTGCATGAACGACACATGTTTCCCCCGTGTGGGCAAGGAGAGCGAATTTCTGCCATGCATAACAAGCTAAATATATGTAAATTTGTTGTGCGCCGTAATCATACAACGTCGATATTTCATTACAAACACGTCTGCTGCTGTTGGTAATGATTTTAGCTCATCCTTATCTAATAATGAAGAAATGTTGCTTTTTATCCTGCCTCTGCGTTTCACAAATTTGCATATATGTATACATATATACGTATATTAGCTTGTTATGCCAGAACGCCTAGACGGAATTTTTCATGGCGATCGAATTTTTCTCTTTTCAATTGTGATCGATGAAGGCAATCTGCTAGTGCGGTCGAATTCTCACAATTGAAAGGTAAATCGAGCGAAAAATTTCTGTCGATCGAAAAATTCCGCCTAGTGGAAAACCAGATTCGCGAATGAGTCGTGTTGCGTTGTTTTTTTGTCATGTGCATGTATATATTTACTAGTGTCGCATAAACATCATTGCTGTCCTTAAATCTGACATGTTGTAAACTACAAACACTGACGATAAGTGTGCCTCTTTATTAGGTCAACTTTGATGATAAAATCATGAAGCATTCTTTTGTCAAACCGTTTAAAGCTCGGATAGTGAGGATTCATCTGCACACATCCCCTAAAAAATCGTCTCTGCGAGTTGAGCTTCACGGAATTGTTGTCGAAGAATCACAAGGTATGTATATATATAAATATATAGAAAGCTTTCGACTCGGTACTTCGAGTCTTCTTCAGAATATCTAAATTATTTACATGTGTCGACTAGCTGTATATATTCAAGTTTCGCGCTGTTCTTTTATATATATATATATTCAAGTTTCGCGCTGTTCTTTTATATATATATATATTCAAGTTTCGCGCTGTTCTTATATATATATATATATATATATACAGTAGGAGGCAAAAGTTTGAGTCCAGTGACTAAATTTCATTGTTTTAGTAGCATATATTAATTTTCTACAGAAAACCTTACTGAAAAGTGAATTAGAAAAAAGTAAATAAGTGAACTGAAAAATACATGCTGCACAACAACTATGGGATGTTATGATATTCATTTAACGTATGTTAATGTGCAAAAATTCATTACATGTCAATGCTTAGTATCCCTCTTTTTTGCTCTTGAAACGGCCTTTATTCCTGCTGGCATAGATTCCATAGGTTTTTTAATGTCGCACGTTCAATACCTTGCCAGCTTTCGTTGACCACTTGCCTCAAGTCATCCTGGCTGGTGGGTCTGTGCCTCGCCCTTTTCCGGTTAAAACGGTCGTAAAAGTGTTCCATAAGTTTTAGATCTGGAATTTGAGGTGGAAAGCCATGAGAAAGAGATCACCAGAACGAGTTTGCTTCTAAAAGATTTCTGGCACATAGGAGATGTGCATGTCTTTAGGGTGATTATCATGTAGTTAGACGGGCGATCATCTTTGTGCCAGATGAAATTCCATGTCCTTGAAGAATTGGATGATACTTTTCTTTAATTAGGATCCTATTATATCTTTCAATATTGCCAAACCCAGCATGACCAAAGCAGCTAAAAGTTTGCTTCAGTAGGATTTAGTTTCTTCGAATTTCTCCAAGGTTAGTTGCATACCACCTTTTGAAATTCTCACTTTTTCTGCGATCTTACGAGGAAAGAATTCTTCAATACTTAATGCAACTATTTGTCCTTGTGCACCATCACTTTGCCCTTTTTCCCACCCATCCTGAGTTGTGTAAAGGAATGAGAACTTTATTTTGTTATAATTTAGATCAATAGGACCAAAACAATGTGCAATTAATATGGTTTACAGTATTGAAACACTAGCACGCATGTCTTAACTCGAATACACTGCCAGGATTTAATACTGGGATTCTACAACAACTGGACTCAAACTTTTGCCCCCTACTGTATATATATATATATATATATATACATATATATATATATATATATATATATATATATATATATATATATATATATATATATATATATATATGGCACTATATAGCCCTGACAGGTACCAAAGTTAATTTCCACGGGGGCGTCTAATACTGAAAATTACAATGTAAAAGAAAATGAGAACACATACAACTAAAATATATAGCTACAATATATTCAAGGAGGCCAAAAGCCCCAGAAGTTTACGGTGGAGTGCCCCAAAGGCACTAGTCTCAAAACTGGCCTCAGCAATAATTCTAGCAGCGCAACTTTGCAATTTCTGTTAATCGTCTCTATTATTGTTTTATTACAAACTCCCCAGAGGGGAGAGCAGTAATCAAAGTAAGGCTGTATTAGAGCGTTATAAATGGAAATCAGAATATTAACAGGAACATAGGGTTTGATTCGCTTTTAAATTCCAAGACCCACTCCAACTTTATTGCAGATCAATTCAATATGTTCATCCCACTTCATTTTTTCATCAAGTTTGACTCCCAAGCACGACATTGACTGTACTCTGGGATCAGTTGATCCGGGAGTGTCAACGGGAAGCTCAATCATAACGGGAAGCCCATTGTTAATGTTAGCAAGGTTATGATTAGATCCGACATACATTAATTTGATTTTGGTTGAGTGTTGCTGAAGTTTATTCGCAACCAGCCATTGACTAAATTTATTAAGATCATGATTTAAATTCGAGTTAAATTCAACACAGTCTTTCGCAGATGAGAAGATCTGTATCGTCAGCATATGCATGGGGTTGATTTCTCAAGACTGTCAGGCAAATCATTGATATATAGTAGAAATGAATCAATTGAAACTGTGGGAGGATTACAAAATTGTATTGCAGGAGCAACACCATACATTGTCCGTTTCTTATTTTTTGAAGGCCATTGTAAAAAAGCATATCCATTGGGGCTTAGCAGCCATGCAGAAGTAATTCCAGACGATAGTATCACAGCATCTTCAAAATTAGAAGGTCTAAATTTTGAACCTTGGTTTGCTCGATTACGCAAGGGCGATGACAAGTGTTGGTGTGGTAAAACATTACCTAATCAGGCCGTAAGGGTTGACTTTGGAAAATTGGTCAGTGTTTTTGGAGTTGCGACACAAGGTTGTAAATTAATATTGGGAAAAGTCGTTGAATATAAAATCCGTTATAGCTATGATAATAGTAGTTGGTATGGTTATCCAAGCAACAGTTCTCTTCAGGTAAGAGCTTTAATCAAATATTCAAATTGTTATGGGGGCTCCTGCTATAGCAGAAAGCATACTGGAGGTAGCTATGTGTATGTGACCTTTCTCTTATAACGTTAACAGCACTCTCTAACGTTGTGCATCAGTTTTATCATTTGCTGTTGTATTGATTGTGGTACTACAGCTATGACTTTCATCCCTTGGTAATACCACAATATCAAGTGGTTGCCTTTTTTTTATACACCCTGTAAAAATTGCAAATTCGTTTCTTAGCCAGGGAGACATTACTTTATATTTGTACGGCACAATAGAAAAGAGGTCTAATCCATAAGCTGAGCACGCCAAAATAAAAGTTAAAATAGCGATTAGGTATCACCAGAATTCTGCTTTTTGTGTGTTAAAGGAACACAAATCCTGGCTTTGCAAGATGATGTTATTTGGAGTTTGTTTCGTTTTTTATTCAAGTTTTTGGGCCTCGTTCATTTTCACAAAAAAAAAACATTTTCAACGGAATTATGCACCTTCCCTTAATTTTCCCGGACATTTTCCACAAGTTCAAAACATGTGCTGATGTGATGTTTTGGTCTTCATCGAAACTAGCACTCGTGCAAGATTTCATTAATTATTTAAGAGATAGAGAACATTTTCCGTGTTTCTATACAGTTTTAGTATACACCCGACTATTGTCTATTACAAATCCTACATTCTAAATGGCTACTCAACCATTGTCTATTCGTGATGGTGAACGTTTGGGAAAAATTCGCTCGCGCGACCGTATAAAATTGAATTAATTAAATTATTTTTCGGTGTAATTGCGGTGTATCGATTATTTTCCTGAAATTAATATATCTAGGTGCAGGGTGTATACTAAGACAATTACACAACTCGGACTCGTTGTCTAATTGCTAAATCGAAGCACGCGTTCGGGAGAATGAGAAATAATCACGTTATTTCGAAAAACAACATTTTACTTAATATCTAAATTAAAATATTTGTCACTTTTGTGTACATTGTACTCCTATAGTTCAGAGTTGCAAAAAAGCTGCGGGTACGCGGGTGCCACCCGTGAGGAAGGTTTGCTTTGAATGAGGTTTGTGAGGAAGGATTAAAGTTGAACACTACTTTGATCACATTCTTGTACCAAAATTTTCATTATGCTGGTTGCTACATGACTCAGTGACGTAACGTCATTTTGAGGAAGGTTTTCAAAACTTGAAATCCAACCGGAGGAAGGTTGAACTCTTTTTGCAACTCTGCTATAGTTCTATTTGTTTGTGTTCTGTGGCAATACCCTATGCCTGTGAGGCAGCACTTCACTTGCGATAGTAACTTCTAGTTTTAGATTTAGTTTAATAGGGGAATGGTCGATTAGGTCTAAGAGACTTATGGTTTAAATTGATCCCAATCCTAAATCTAACCTTAATCCTAACTTATTAAACCTCAAGGAAATTTGAATTATTACCGCCTCACCTTTTGCATGTAATGATGTTCGCAAGTGCATTGTTTCCCGCGGGAGTATCTTTATCAATGTTCTTGTACTTTGTATCTTTAGCAATCTTCCCGTTTAGGGGCTGATTACATGGAGTGTTTTCAGCCCGGGCTGAGTTTCAGTTACATGACAAGAATTTCCCCGGGCTGGAATTTCAGCCCGGTTTGAGTTACCTGGGCTGAAACTTCAGCCCGGGCTGAACTTGTGTTGTTGTCATGTAATCGTAAATAAACTTAAACACGGACAGAAAAATTTGCCTTGACAATGCTTTTTCGTTTGTTTATTTCATTTTTATGTGCAGTCATAGTCCCTTAAAGGTCAAGTTATTGTCATTCGGGATTATTACCAGCCTTTACAAACTCAGCCCGGGCTGAAATTTCAGCCCTGGTCTTAAAATAATTCTGATGTGTCATAAACACAGCCCGGGCTGAAACTAACCATGTAATTGAAAATTATTATGGCCCCAGTTTGCCGGGCCGAAACTCAGCCCAGGCTGAAAAGACACCATGTAATCAGCCCCTTAGTCTTAGCTTAGCATTTGCATGTAATATTCCAATCCTTCTATCTTCTAACGAGACATTTGTCTCATATTGCAAAATACCATTTCACATTGCAAAATATCAATTCGCTATTTTATTCAATCCGACCAACTTGATTTTTTAACAATTTCCATTTCAGATATTTTCTGGTAATTCGGGACCTGAAGATGAGATATTTGCGAATTGGTTGAACAATTCTATAACTGCGCGACATATTCTACTTGAGAGTCACGATTATAAAAATTTTCCATGTTTTCGCCTTGAATTTTATGGCTGTAGATCAGGTATTCAGAAATGTAGCTAATAATAATACTTAATGCATTAGTATAAGCCGAACGTATACCCAGAGTCCGCCCTGAAAATTTTCTAATATATTTGTTTGCTCAGGGTAGAACCCTAATTTTTCGTTTAGTTCCCGCGTTTTTTTATATATTTCTCATGCAGAGAAAGAATATCCAGGAACGATTAGGAAGAGCTATAAAATTGTATACATTTAATTAATACACTTTATAACGTGCCCAACCAAGGTTGAAGGATAATACCGTAAGAAATTAATTAGATGCGTTAAATTATAAAAAAAAATGAATGAATGATACTGCTTTTAATCATTGACGGATCCAGGCATAAATTACTACAGTTCTAACATGCAATCATACCGGTAGATTCTTATGTAAAAATATTCTTTAAAAATTAATAACCAATTTTTAAATAATAACAACGTTGCTATTAAGGTATTTTGAATTTAAAATTGGGCCGTTATTCAGACTTATACCCAGGCCAAACGTCGCTCTTTTCATGAGCCGAATGCATGAGCTCAAACAAAGACTTTAATCATTTGCATTAAATTCGGTGCATGAAAAGAGCGACGTTTGACCTAGGCCTTACCGTAAACCCGATACCGCTTTCAATCATTTCTGGTTGGCGTGGAGTAGTGAGGGTACCCCTAGTTCCTTGATTTTGCTCCCTCCAATAACCCTTAGACAATATATAGGACCGGAGTGATTGGTTAACGTTCTTGTGCATGGACTCCCATTTTAGATGTGGTGATGCCAGCTATCATAAAAAGAAGTGATTCCAAATCACTGAACAGAAGTTCAGCCGCAAGAATCACTTTAGACTGTCAAATTCGTGGGCAAGCAGGATTGATCGTGACTTGGAAAAGGGATGGTAAAACTATCAAAGGATCTGATTTCGAAAGTGTAAAGATAAATTACTCCCAAGAACTCGTGATCTCCACGGTGACGACTACTGAGATAAATATCAATTATAGAAATGACAGAGATATTTTTTATAACTTCAACTGTACCGGAAGCAAGAACAATTCCCGCAGATTGCTTTGTAGGACAGTCTACAGTTGTTCTGCAAGCTATCCAGGATCATCTACTGCGTCACAAGGAAATGTCCTCGTTACTATTACACCAGATATAGGTAAGGTATTGGCATACTACGTAGTTCTGTCTTCAACAATAGAAATTTAGAATTTTATTCATACATTTTAGATGCTATTTCATTCAGCAATATATTTAACGTAAGCTGTGAAGCCATAAACACTGCAAGGTGCAAAAAAGTACAAGCTAGATTTTTTTAGGGTTATCGAGGCGAAATAGACAAAAATCATGCAACTGCTTTGACTAGCGCAAAAAATCGTAACTACATCGAAAATTATACCCCCTAACTATAGACTCGTGCATCTAGTGCGTTGCTATACTATAATTCATATACTATATCATCGAGAGATTATAAAACTGATTTCAATATTTCGTTCAAATAAAGCTGACGATTTTTTCCTTCGAATACAAAACTAGGAAGTACAATATAACATTTGTTGTTTTTTTCAGTTCTTCCAGATTCTCCAGGAAATCCGTCAGTTATCAACATCAAATCACGGTCAGCGGTAGTAACCTGGAGAGCGGCGGATGATTATTTGGAAAGTCGACTGAAAAGATACGTCATTCGTGTTGTAAATGATAATCAAACGATGCAATATAATATTACTTCTGAAATACAAAGAAAAAACTTTACCTACAAGCTGCAAAATCTCACCGAGTATACATTCTATAATGTTAGCATCGCGGCTGAGAGTGAAATCGCTATCAGCAAATTCACTGAAATATCATTTCTGACATTGTGTGAGTTGAATTTTTAACGTATAATATTATCCTTCTTTTCCAAAAACATAATTTTAAAATAAGTAATTATTCTGTACTTTCAAATTTCTCGCACAATGCGCTACGGTATACACCTACATAAAGATCCCTAGAATGCAATATGGCTAGCTAATATAGCTTTTTGACATTGTACTCTCATATTTTGTTATTTTTATAGTTGGACCTCATATATACCTGGACGGACCGAGCCTAAGAATTGTCAAACTAAATGTAAAAAATAACACCATCCCATGCAGAGGAAAAAGTTACCCGACACCGCGCGTAGTTTGGAAAAAGAACGGTACATTAATTCCTTCAGGAGAAAATATCACGACAGTTGCTGGTGACTCTGTTTACCAGATAATTACGAATTCAGGATGGGATGAGAAAACAAAAGCTTATTTAGAAGTTACAAGTACGTTGTTTTTAAGAACAAATGGAGTCAAGGAAGAAGTTCATGGAATATACACATGTGAAGTTTTAAATGTCGATGAAAGTAGTATACCATTGAGTAAAAGGGTGGAAATACAATGTGAGTGAATAAATTCAAATTGATCGTATCATTAACATAGAAACAGTGGCGGTTTAATTATATCAGTCTGAATGTATCAGTCTTAGCCCGTTTTCCACTAGGCGAATTTATTCGCGCGACGCGATATCCGGCGAAAAAATTCGCCGCGAAAAAGTATAATCGCTTCCTACTTTTTATCTGTTCGCGCGAACAAATTCGCCTAGTGGAGAACGGGCTTTAATGTATCAGTCTTAATGTATCAGTTTTGTTTTTAAAATTTTAGTTCCTCCGCACATAACAAGACATCTAAACGATACGAAAATGAATGAAAGTGGTAACATCACTTTTGTGTGTGATGCTGAAGGTCCACCCAAACCTTCATTTTTCTGGAATATTGTCAGAAAAAATATCAAATTTGGAAAGAAGATTATTAATGAAAATGTCTTGGAACTAAGAAATGTGACGAGTACTGGTAACTATTATTTCACAGTGATATGTAGAGCTTCCAGCAAAGCAGGAAATGTTTCAACAAATGCAACTGTACAAATTTTGGGTGAGTCTTGTTTTATTTTAATTTTTTACGGTATATATAATAGTCAATAAATAGCTATTAAACTACATGTATTATTCAGAACGAGAAGGAGCGTAATTACTGAGGCCTCCTACAGTAATAGAAACTTTTTTAAAGATCACAGAAACTTTTTGCAGATCTATGATCCAATCAGTCTATATATTTATGCAAGCTATAGATGCATGATTTTGGCCTTAGATATTTAGGCGGTCGGCGGTTTGGTCTTGTACGGGCCACGGGGCTGTGTGCGATTTTTATATATCGCCAATCATGCAGATTCATTGGTCAGATTGGGTGATCATGAATGTCATAATTTTATAGCCCTTTCGTCCTTTGCCACGGACGAATTATAGTGAAAAAGTAAACATCGAAGAGCATCATTCCGTCAGTTTATATTTCTTTAGCACCCAATATTTTCATTGGTATCTGCATATATGAAACAATTAATATCTCTCTTCACTCTTAGTAAAGCCAAGAATTATTCACCTGAATTCAAGCCTTACCGCGGAATTATACAGCGACATTGTGTTAAAGTGCGAAATTTTGGCAAATCCCTCGGCCCAGATTTGGTGGACGGTAAATGGTAACAAGGCACATCTCCGAAACAATGTTCAGATCTCGAATGATAACAAAACTTTTATTATTACGAGAGCTGTGCTAAATAATGCTGGAGAATATTATTGCCATGCAAGGAACAGTTTATCTTACACAAATAAAAGTTTAACACTAGATTTTAAAGGTAAGTAGATTTACACATTCAATTCAACGCATGAGAACGGAGCATCGTGTGGTTCTTATACCTCAGCTTTTCTGTTATTATCCCTATCAATTATATGTTCTTTTTATTTCAGTACTGCCTATAGCGTACATCATCGATGGTAACTTAGTGAAGCTTAGACAAGGACAAAAGAACCGTAGTATAACTTGTCTTGGTTATGGTTATCCCAATACTAAAGCAACCTGGAAATTCAACAACACAGTTATCCCTGAGGATTCAAAATTATCAAAAAGAAATGGCATGTATCAGCAAAGATCAGCGAATAACCAAGCTCTAGAAAATGTCAGCAGTATACTGTATTTTAACCAATCTGGGAGCACGTTTGACGATTCTGGAAATTACACATGTGAAGTTTCTATAGGACAAGAGTCAAAAAATGACTCGAAGATCGTGAGAGTTATATGTAAGTTTTACGGCTTTGTTTTAAAGTCTTAAGTTTATTCGAAACGATTGTCGCTGATTATAGTTCCACTCATTGTAATGGTGTATTTTTGTCTAATTTCTTGATTAGTTTATTTAATTTTCGCCGACTGAGTACATCCCTGACCCTGGTTTGCTGTTTATTGTCTATCGATCAAAAAGTATACGTAATTGTGTTAAGTGATTCCCTACGGCATGAATACCTTTCCAAAAATTGTTAGCTGAGCCTAAAATGATTTCTATTCACATTTTTAATATTTTTAGTTTACCCTATTATTTTGACTCCACCGAGAAATAAAACATCTTTGCAAGATCGTAACGTACGTTTTGACTGCGAAGTTGATGGTCGACCATTTCCTCAAACATCCTGGTTGTTCAAGAACCAAACTGTCTCTACCAACCACAGCACTTTGTCCAATGGCAGCTTACTCTTATATTCTGTTCAAAATAACGCAGAATACGAAGGAAGTTATTCATGTCTTGCTAAAAATGAAGCAGGTTCAAGTAAAAAGTCAAATGCCTTCCTCACAGTCCATGGTACGTTGAGTCGTTGATTGAAATCGATGAAGTCAGTGAAACTGCATAAGACATTTTGTTCAAAACGTCAGGTTTACAAAATATTTGCATGATTAACTAAGGAAACATGTAAGAACACAAAAATTCCTTTTATATAGGAACGATATAGCAAATTGGAATTTTTTGAATATATGATATTCTGCTTGATACATAAGTTTAATTTGCCACAATTCATAAAAAAAAATTCGTAAAATGTCACGTGGGCGGGCAAACTTTTTCGCGATGGTTAGACATATACTCACGTGAGCATTATATATTGTTGAGAAGTCTGTGAAACGTTTGAAAAAATCTCTTTTCCAAATCACTACATTTCATCACCTCATACATGAACATCCAAACAGAAATATTATAAATAGTTTTCAGTATTTGTTTTATTTTTGGTCAACCTGATGATGATATGGGGTAAAAAATACTAAATTCTGATGAGAATGCTTCATGTTGTCTGTTTCTAGTTGCAACAAGAATACTGAGCATATCAGAAACTGAAGTTTATCAACTAAATGACAGCGTAATTTTAACATGCAACGTATCAGGTGATCCACGACCAAATATCGCATGGTCAAAAGGCACAAATCCTTTAGGACCTCCGAGGTTCCTCCTGTCAAATGATGACCAATCACTAACAATTGTAAATGTGACGCTGCGAGAACAAGGAACGTATTTTTGTGAGGCAAGAAATAAATATGCGACCGTCCAAAGAAATGTTACTGTCAATGTCGAAGGTATGTTTGCACGTTCGTTCATTTAATCGCAATATGCATGTTTATATTGCTATAATTAGTAATAGAATTCTTTATGCCATATATTTTTACGACATGTAAACAACTCTACAGTTAACCTGACACCGTGAGCAATAAATAGGCTATCAAAAGATTCAACAAAAAACGTGAAGATTTTAAGGAGTTGACTAAGAAAGTGATGTTTAGTACGGAATTTTTTCGTGTTCTTTTTTATCACTGTTTCCTATCTGTATTTGTATTTTTTATATCAAATAATGTTCTTAGAGTGTACTTTCTGCTGCGAAGAATACTCCATTTCTTTTGTTTTCCTTTTTCTTTCTTTTAGTCCGTCCTGAAGCAATTGTAAATGTTTCATCAGTCATAAATTTTACGAGTATTAAAGAGCAAGTAATCGTCCGTTGCGAAGGTAGAGGATATCCTACGCCAGTTGTCAGATGGTTCAGAGATGGAGGAATGGTAACTACAAACAGATCAGTGACCCCGGGTGTTTACCAGCGTATTGGTAACACTGAACCAAGTAAATTTCTTGGATGGATCTCAGCGATTCTTTATGTCAAACCAGACGCGAGTCACGCTCAGTTTGGAAACTACACTTGCAATGTAACAAAATTGAAGGATAGTCAGAAAGATCTTAAAAATGTTGAAATAGTTCGTAAGTGTTGACGTATAATTTAAGTCATGTTTATTGTTTATTATTTGTATTTGATGTCTTAATTATAGAGTTGATGACTAACGTATGCATCATCTAAGTTAATCGCCTCTATGTTTTTTTTGTTTTAGTGGTACCCAGTGTTTTTATTACTAAATCCCCCAACACAAGCACAGTTTTGCAGGGTACAAACGTCACATTTAACTGCACAGCGATTGGTGTTCCAAAACCCACTGTAACCTGGAACACGGCAGTCAGAAGGAACACGACACTGGTACCCAGTGTTTTAGGAACAAGTGTTTTAGCGTTAAAGAATGTAACTAATAAAGATGAGGGAATGTATGAATGTTCTGCTCATAATAGAGGAAGCCCTGTGAAAAGGAAAATTAAATTAATTGTCCATGGCAAGTAAAAGAATTGTTTTGTAGTTGGCCTTTTAATTCGCAAATAAGATTCTATTCTGGGTTTTAAAATGCGTATATTTTTGACGTTATACTTGTACTGATATCTGCACGGAGGCTTATTTCAGACTTTCGTCTTTCGATATCTGTATCGTCTAGACTGATATTCAACTGGTTTGAAATTTTACAAAAAAAGCTTGTCGATATGCGCGCGAGAAAAATTCTGATGGAAGAATGGTTACTATACTTGTCGTTTGAAATCCACATTTAATTTTTCAATAAGCTTAGCCGAATTTGTATGTATGCGGTAACTTTAAGGGCGGGATCGTGTAATGGTGTTGTAGTTTCACTATTTCATCTGTTTATTTATAGTTCGACCACAAATACTGCAAGACCTAAAAGACAATGACATTGAAAATGGTACTTCATATGTGCTCAACTGTAGCGCTTATGGTGACCCCAAATTGACATATTCTTGGCTTTTCAATGGCAAAAAGTCAATCCCAAATGCTGCCAAAAATAATACAAAAAGTTCTCTATACATCAATCCAGTTACGGTCGATAATGAAGGAATATATACATGTATGGTTTCAAATATTGAAGGAAATAAGACAACAACAGCGAATATTACTGTCTTTGGTAAGTTTTTCTGCGTGTATCCCTCTAAATATTTTGCTTCATGAAGTAATGAGGCAAAACAAGTATATTCAAAATTGTAAAGCCATTAAAAGTACAGAGAGTACTTGGTTAATACTTAATACATGCGGTCTCTTTTTCGTACGAATTTTATATATAATTCACCCAGTGAAGTCATCAAAATGGTAAGAAGAATGGAAAAACCTGTTCCATTGAATGAGTAGCGTTGCCATTTTGCCATTTTTTTGTGAAGTGTGTTTGGTGAAAATTTCTTTCCCATACCGCGTTTATGCATTACTACTGTTGACGTCGGTAAAAAACCCTTGAAAGCCACCTCATAATTACAGGCGACAAGTTAAATGATCGGTAATCATAAGTAGTAATTGTCGACAACTATATTTCACCTTGAGACACGATCCTCTTAAAAAAATGTAAAAAATGGGAGAAAATAAAAACAAATATTTGCCGACAAGAGATAGCTATCGACGACAACAAAAGACTCTCACCTCTTTTTTTTCACTATATGATCGAAACGAGACTTTGGTAAAATTTATAATTAAGCTGTTATATAGAAATCCAATTCAAAATGCTGGGTTACACGCCTGTCTTCCAACTAATATTATTTTTTTGCTTTATAGCACGACCCAAAATATCTAATTCTCCTGTAAATCAAACTCACAATGAGACTGAACGTGCAATATTTTCGTGCGGTGGTAGTGGAATTCCTACTCCTCGTGTTATCTGGAGGAGAAATAATCGGTCAATATCGAACTCTTCAAGGAAACTCATGAATAATGTTCATGGACCGTATAACACCATAAAATCATGGTTAAGAATAAGTAGCCTAAGTTATGCTGACAGAGGAGAATATTCCTGTGAATTGAAAAACAGAAAAGATGGAGATAGAACAACATCAGTTTTGGTTGTTCACGGTAGGATAGCAGAAAGATAAGATATATATTTTCTATTAACCATTAACTGATCAAAATTATGACGAACAGGAAGTTACTAAAGAATGGATTCAGCTTGGAGCTCACTTCTCTGTAGCAAGTCACAACTAGAAGCGAGGGGTTAAATTGCATGAAGATACATATCTACATGGTCACATTCACAATAATTTGTTATCTTTTTTAGTTCGTCCTATTGCAACAATCGCGGTTACTCCAAACACCAAACGTGTGAAGATTGAAAAACCTGTCTTGTTTACCTGCACAATTTATGGTTTCCCTCGACCTCAAGTATCATGGATGAAAAATAAAGAAGAATTGACTAGAAACAACTCGCGCTACAGTATTAGTTTTCCGCAGAGAAATATTTCAAATCTAATTTCTTGGTTTAGTTATCTCGAGATTAAAAATCTTACGCGAAATGATTCTGCGAATTACAGCTGCTTTCTAAGAAATGATGCTGGAACAGACATCGACCACGTTTCACTTGTTGTATTAGGTAACTTACATTTCTTTATTTCCATTTAGTTGCCAAGTGTTTGTTCCAATAACTTGCTTTAACGTTCATTTCAACACCTAGAACGACCTGATCCAGTCGACCTAACAGCTAAGAATATCACAGCCAGATCCGCGCTCCTACAATGGAAGGCAAATTTTCAGGGCAACAGCGATATAAAATTTTATAACCTGACGTATTTTGTCGTTGGTAGAAAGTCCGTTACAATGCTGAAAAAAAGTTTCCCATCTAACGTAATGTCATATGTGACTTCAGTGAAGCCTTACCGAAACTACACCTTTGAAATCACCGCAGAAAATGACATCGGTGTCAGTGATGTGGCTTCTACTTCCGCACAAACAAAAGAAGACAGTAAGTAAAATTCTTATTATACAAGGCGATATGTCTTTTTCGTATATATGAAAGAAGTTTAAGATTTCTGCTGCATGCATGGTAGCTAGTATTTTATTCCCAAAGACATTAATTCCGTTAATCAATCATGCAAGAGAACAAACGCCGAGTGTACTTATCTCGATTATATTCACAAATATCTTTTTTATAATTTTTTATGATTTAGGATTGTTTTTGGACTAAGTTGCCTGCTTCTTGAGGTCATCAGCTCAGCTGCGAGATCTCGCGTGCTCCAGGCAGGATTACTTCAAAGTACTTGCTAAAGTGCATTGTCTTGTTTTTAGCGCCATCTAAGCCACTGAATTTGATTGCCTATGTGACGTCAAACACAACCGTTCATTTATCATGGGAACCACCCAGTAATAGTAACGGTATCATACTAGAATACCTTGTATACTATAAGAAAACAAAAGAAAAGAACGGTAACATCTCCAATTCAACTGTTGAAACGGAATATAGGATTGACAAACTCACACCTTACACCAACTATTCATTCTGGGTTTACGCTGTGACTTCGGTCGGTAGGGGCGATAAAAGTGTAACAATATGGAACATGACTTTTGAAGGAGGTAAATTATTTATGTATTTATATTGTGATTCTTGCTTTTAGTACTGTGGAGCCGGGGTGTAGAATGATTCGGGTATAAAGGAGGGTTTACAAACCGTAGTGTAAAGTGACAAGCAAGATTTTTTAGATTCATATAAACTGATACAATTCCTCTGTTTCTGTAAGGAGAAGTGCCTTTCAAAGCAGCTTATATTCTTATGTGTATATTATCCTACGTTATATTATTAATATTAGTTCCAACGGAGCCACAAAGCGTTACGGCAGAACCGTTGAACAGCACATCAATTTCTGTAAATTGGACGAAACCTGCGAATACGTTTGGTATAATTCTCAAGTATGTCGTTTACTACCGAAAAACGACTGACAAAAATGGTTGGGAAAAAGGAAGCGTATCGGGAAATGAATATTTTGTGCGTTTGACTTCACTCGAAGTGAATACTGAATATCATATCTTGGTCCAGGCATTTACTTCTGCTGGAGGTGGAGCGAGGAGTGAAATCATAAATTCGACCACTGAAAAAGGACGTTAGTTAAATGAGAGGCCAAATTTTGTTGCTTTTTTCGCATTCCAAATGGACATACAACACCGATGTAATCTGTTTCTGATTCTTTATATAGATCCTGTATCGCCAACAAAAGTTCCGGGAACGTTTAAGCCTAGCGAAAGCAGTTTTGATTCTAAGACTATGGTAGCCTTAGAACTGCCGAAGTTCGCGGACAAGAATGGAGAAATCTCGTAAGTTTTTTAAATTACTTACAGTAATACATGCATATAACCGAAATTTATAAAAACTGCTTCTCGTGAATTTTTATTTTCCTTGTCCTTGAGACTCGTCGTCTGCCCATAAACCATGAACCATGTCATGCTTTATGAGTTTATGTCTACATTTATTCACAGGGAAGCTATTAATGCTCTTTTCCACTCATCGTAAAATCAGCTCGCTGCGAGTGTTTTCATCATTGTTTGCATGCATCTTATTAAAATAAACTGTCAAGCATCGTGATTGGACAAAATTACACGCATCGAGCTTGCGAGTTTGTTTCTGCATAGACAATCCAAAAGACATTGGATTGTCTTCTGGATTGTGTATGGTTTCTGCGATGAGTGGGTGAGAGGCTTTACCCTCTTGACTATTTATTTGTTATTTTTTCGGAATTCGTGCATGTGAGATATTTGCAAACTATAATGCATCTTGCAACTCCTCGATCTCTATGATCATAGACAATCTACAGAGACAGATGTTTTCTAGATTTTCTATGCTATATGATCTATATACAGCCTGACGTAATGAATATTTGCTGGAGTTTTTGTTAGTGCAGTCTGTATAATTACCTATACTGACAGAGATATATAAACTCTTATTTCTTGTTTAGTTTTTACATTGTTATTGTGGCAATGCTGGATGATACGAAAGAAGATACAAATGATATTTTTGATAAAAATATTCAGTTTTCGTCCGAGCAATGGAATAAACGTGAAACTGGAATTCCATATGTAGTTTTTGCATTTAAAGGCAATGTATTTGAAGAATACAAGTATTTTATTGTCGGGAATGGCGAGAAATACGACGACCCATTCCCAGAAGAAAGCGAGCCAAGAAGAAAAAGAGCTATAACGGAATACGAAAATGGTCCCCTGATATCCAGCAGGAAGTATGCAGTGGCTCTCCGAGGATACACAACAAAGGTGAATTCTCATTGCGTTTATTTCGTAGACATATTCATGTCTGCAGTCTGTTATATTTGTTTAGGACCTATTTTATTCACCAGATGCAGTGATTTTTGTATACCTTTATACAAGATTATTATTAAACAATTACTTAAATTTCCGTGTTTGGATGGCCTGATATACCTACATGCCGAAATCACTCGTTTGGTCAACTAAACAAGATCGATTTGTTTTATTCAAACTTTTACAAAATTAGGATAAATACGCCACAACCGATGCATTAGTGGTTAGTACTTCACCCGCAGACAGTGGATCTAGGACAGATGAAGGTAAGTTGAAAATAATTAATCAATACCCGGAATCAAACATAAGAAACCTGGATGTCTTTCGAATTATGTTGGTTCTTCATTTCATATATTTAACAGGCACTCTCTTTAACAGATCATTCTTCCTTTATTGAATAGCTATATACTGTAAACTATTATATTTTTACTTTATTTTTAATATGCTTCGATAGTTTTGATAAATAATTGCAAATTATTTACATAACAATAGCATTCTAAAGAACAGAACCATCATAGTCGTACTTTAAATGCCACTTTTTGAGTGATGTACAGAGTTTCCACAACTTATTTGCATATGACTGTCCTCATAGGGGGATATAGCAATGACAAAAGAGAGAAACAAACAACTTTTTAAAAATGCAGAAAATATTCTATTAAAGCAGATCCTTCCCTCCCTCTCTCCCTCTCTCCCTCCCTCCCTTCCTCGCTTATGGTTGTCAATTGCAAAGAGATTTCCTTGCATTTCGGAAACCCTGGTGATTTAAACTAGCGTAAAGTTGGAATGTATACATTCACATACGACATAGCTCTTAGACTTAATCATCGTTTAGATTCTAATCCTTTGATTTGGATCGTTCCGCTTGTCATAATATCAATTTTGGGTGCCATTTTTGTCGCTCTTTGGTTTCAGAGAAAGTGTAAAAAAAGGTACAATATTAAAAATCTTAATAAATAGTAAAGCAAATAAACAAAACAGTAAATCAACAAATTACGATCGTGAAATTTGGCGCTAAACTGTGTTTCACGTATATCTCAATCGTCATCGGCGTCAATCGAACGTTAATTGAGGTGAAGCATATTCATAACAAAAATCGTCCACTACAGTCTGTTTCATTCGTATACGAATCTTTCTGATCTCTTTCTGATGAATTATTTCTGATCTCAATCGGAAATAGAATACATATTTGGCAAATTTTTATAAATTACTTAGCTCCAGGTGCTAGCTTCTAAGCATTTCTTGGGTGAAAACGAAAATATTTGAAAATGTTTCCGTCAATGCCATGTATAAAGCATAACACATTTTTTTTAATTTTCTATAGAGACAACACCAGTCTAGATTCACCATACCATAGACATCCACCTACCGGTATGTTTTGCCTGATTTGTCATATAAATATTACTGTTTTATAATTTAGTCAGGCTCATGATTACAGGGTCACAGAGCGATCAGTATTTTTATCGCAATCTTCTGCTGTTTTTGATGTTGCACAATGTTTTTACAGGAATCATTAGTCCTATACCACTCGCTGAATTTAGATTTTACCTTCGATCAAAAGAATTTGGGGATAACGAATTCCGAGTAAGAACTTTGTCGATTTTTAGTGACAATTAGCCTAGGGAAAGTTCCTGAGCCTAGGGAAAGTTAAAGACGTTAAATACTTGCCTCGCCAAAGCGCCGCTAGCAGCTATGGTTTTTGTTAGTGAGGTTATTTCAAACTATGTCAATAATATTATATAACCATGAGTTTCTGAGTGCATGCAGCAAGCATGTACGTTTTTTCAACCTTTTTAGAGCATTCCGGCCACAGTGAGCAGAGAGACGAGCGATGCTACTTCAGACGTTAATATGTCAAAGAATCGATACAGAAACATTGTACCTTGTAAGTCTCTTAATTCTACCAATTACCAGTGTCTTCTACCGGTCTTTACGCCATAAGCATAGACCAGGGGCCGGTTGTTCGAAAGGCGTATAACTTAAACGGCGGGTAAGTTGAAAATGAAAAACAAAATATATAATAGCTTTATTTTTAATGGAAGTAGATATTAGATGCATAAGATGCAGGCTCAGTCATTCACAAGATGTATATGAGAGTATTTTTAAACTTTGGCTTATCCATCGTTTATATAAGCTAAACGCCATTCGAACAACCGGCCCCTGGACGAAAAGACTAGTTGGCTAACTTTCGGGCACAGAGCGGCAAAAAGTGCTTCAGTTGTAAAATTTACCTCGTTGAATCTTTCCTCAAGTTGCTAAAACTTTCTTGCTTCGCATGCAATGGAAAAGACAATGAAAGAAATTAGAAAGAATGACTTTATGTCAGTAAATAAAACTCCTGGACCATTTTCACTGTTGCTCTATAATCACACGTATAGCGAGTAGAACTTAGGTTTTTCTTTGTAGGTGCAACTGTAAGTTTATGGAATCATGATATGATTTTTTTAATTTATAAAAACTAATATCAATTCTCTCCATGATTAAAGATAATTACACAAGAGTACATCTTCAAAGAGAAGAAAGAGATCAAAATACAGATTACATTAACGCCAGTTTTATAAAGGTTGGACAATGCTTGCTTGACCGTTCTATTGTCTTTGAATTGTAATATAATTTCTCTTCCCACTTAATTGCAGGGCATTTTTAAGGCGTTTTGACTCTGGGGTAAAGGGAGAATCAGAAGTATTCTTTCACTAGTGGCCGTCTTCTAGTAAAGTAAACTCACCCAAAGTTGCCACTTGTCATAAGACAAGTTTAAATATTTTCTGTTAAATATTTATTTCTTCTCGTAGGGATACCGAGTTCCGTCAAAATATATCGCAACCCAAGGTTTGCTTTTTATTTCAACTAAATATTTTTCTTTCATCATGCAGTAAGGTTCTGCTAATGGAGTTTTCTTTTTATACTTTTCTTTTTCATTTGTGTTCTCATTCTTAGTACCTCGTTGTATTTAATGCTGTATTAAAGTTCGTTGATTGCTTGTAATTTTAAAAGTATCATAGCTGAAATGTTCAATATTATATTTTCAAAATCAATATCCCTGTCCATGCATGCATTATGTATGATTGACTCAATGTAGCTATATTTTTCTTATAAGGGCCGCTACCTGCCACATGTGATGACTTCTGGCAAATGGTTTGGGAGCAAGATGTAAACATCATTGTAATGCTGACAGGTTTAGAGGAAAAAGGCATTGTAAGTACATGCAGAAGTTATTTGATACAGTAAAACGGCGGTGTATGCATGACAACGGGGAAATGCAAGTTCGAAACTCTCTCATGGCAGCAATTTGTTGCTCTGAAATATTCTTTCTAGTGCCGCTATTAAGACTGTTTATTATAATAACAGGTGAAGTGTTACCAATACTGGCCTGCTAACAGTGATGAGAAACGATACGGCAAATTACAACTCAAACTAACTGGTGAAACAAAACTTGCTGATTTTACAACACGATACTTTGAAATAAAGGTACGTTCTATCACAATTTTCGAAACATAGTTCGCAAGGTGATTGAGGTTTTTTAGGCAGTTAAATTTATAGCGTGCAAGATGCTTAGCAAGAGATAATATAGCAAAGCCGAAAACGTGTCGGCATCTAACCCAACTTTAGAAGCGATTAAAAAATTTCTTTTAATTTAAAATGTGTACTTTTTCACGAATTTTAGATTTAACCCGTTCAAAAAGTTAATTAAGTAGGATTATTTATGCATGACTTTATATATATTTGTTCAATTCTTTCAGGAGATAGAGACGGGACAGGTTCGTCTCGTTCAGCATCTTCACTTCACAGCATGGCCTGATCATGGAGTCCCCAAATATCCAGGGCCGCTCCTACATTTCCATAAACGATACCGATCAGGATTGGCAGGGCAGTCAGGCCCAGAACCAGTTGTAGTTCATTGCAGGTTAGCGGTGAAGTCTTTCAAATTGATCATAGTTTAAAATAAAACTTATTTTAAAAATATTAACACTAACTAAATATTGTACTTCCCCTGCTGCCTCCTTATAAATATCAGGAATTTTCTATTGTTTGATGTCCCAAATTATTAGCTTATTTTCAATCCTAGTGCCGGCAGGCAGACAAGCCCTATATAGCATATATTTGCATGTTATTTCACACCATGGGGTAGGTAACAGGTATGGTTGGTTTTTTAGTGCTGGTGTGGGTCGAACAGGAACCTTTATTGCCGTTGATTACATATTGCATAAGTTGGATGAGGAAAAAGATGATGATCCTTCGATTGATATTCCAAATGTTGTTAGAGAGATGCGAAAACAACGTGTTTACATGGTTCAAACCGAGGTAAGTGTTTGATTTTTTTATTGTTATATCCTTCCAGTTGGAAATAATCCCATCCTTATCCAGGTACAATGAAATAGAGTTTGAGTATAAAGCCTAGATCCGCGCGCCACTGATCTTAAACATAAATATTAATAATCTCGCCCCTACTCCCTAGTTACGTAACGGTCTAGCTTCGGCCATAGTCTTTTTAATTGGATTGTTATTCTTGTATTCACGTTACTCGTATGGCTTTCTTTTTGTCAGTCTACCATCGTTGTGATATAGTGTTATTGTTTTAGTTTCTCTTGGGTTATTTATGGTCGTTCTTGTTCTCTTTTTACGTGTGTATATTTGTTGCTCTTGTGGGTGGCGGGGGTTCTGTAGTTGTTTTTTGGTTATTGGCAATTGTTTTTGTTTCGTTATTAGGCACAATACAGATTTATCCATCATGCAATCTTGGAAGCAATTTCCTTTCCTGATACGGAAAAATCGTCTACTGATATTCGTGAAAGAGCTGCTTCATTACGGGAAAATATTCCTGGCACCATAAAAACAAAAGGGAAAGAGCTTTTCGAGGTATTAGAGCCTAGAACTTTGTATTATGAGTTTTAACTATTTTGAGTTTGATACAGGATCAAGATTGCGATTCCCGGACTGATGATAGAAATAGGAAAAGGTTTTTGTTATTAGTTAATAGTTGGACAATACATACGTTAAAATTTAGAAGTTAGAATTAGGGGGGATAAGATTCTGTTAAGAATTGGTGTGTCGTAAAAAATAGTTATGCTTCTGGCTTTTGCAGCACGATTTAAAGACATTTTCAAGCAATACCTCTGCATGTTTAAAATAACTCTAGAACCTACAAAAGAGAGTCGAGCAAGAATCTTGCGAAGATGGATTTTCAAGTGATAACCAGAAGAAAAACAGATCTCAACTTCTACCTTGTAAGTATCGGGAACAAAAGAGAATATATTGTACGTTGATATTTCATCGTTTTATTTATTTTAATATAGTTGATTATAATCGGGTCCACCTGGAGGAGGTTCAAAACAGAACTGATTACATAAATGCCTCATTTATATGTGTAAGTTTAAATTAGGTAAATTTATATCGAAAATCATACCGCATACAAGCCTTAAGATTCTCGTCCTTACCATTTCCAGGGATATCAATTTGCCGAGAACTTCATTGCAACTCAACACCCAATGTCTAATACGGTGAATGATTTCTGGAGAATGATACACGAACAGAAATCCGCCGTTGTTGTAGCAATTTCGACCAGGGAAGAGTTGGTGAGTTAAAAAAATCGAGTTTCTGCAAGTACCCTTTGACCAGGAGATACATTTATCAAAATATCTGAACTGCTGTCACCTTGATTACAATTACAAAAGATACCTTGGATCAGGAGACGTTGGATCTTACCATTCCTTTTCCCTTTGGTAGATTACCAATCACCATTATTAGAGAAATTCTAATTCACCCATCTGACTACTATGGCGGGTAATTGATTTAGTGAACCCCCTCTAGTAAACCGTGCACAAATTTGTGATTTTGCAGGATTTTGCAGAACTTTGCTCATGATTTCTTTCAACAATTTTGATCGCGTCAAATACAAATGATATGATAATCGTAATTAGGCCTATCATGATCATTCTGTGTCGTCTAAGTTGATATCAAGGTGACCAAAATTTGCATAAACATACCTCAGGAGCATTTATTGTAGTAACTTCCAGACAATGGGGGGCGTGAAAGCTTTTACAGTAGTTCTTTTTTATGCAGTGTTCTATCTGAAGACACCGGCACGCTAATTCGAAAGGGCCTTATTTTACTCTTCACACTTTTTAAGAATGCGCTTGGTCCATATTGGCCAGAGGACGGTTACACTTCGTATGGACCGATTACAGTTGCTTTTGAAGAAATAAACAGAGATTTTGCTGCTTCTGGATTTACCATAAGAAATTTCAAACTGTCAGATACTCGGGTAAGTCTACTATAAGTTTTTGCACACGCAGGAAGTAGTATTCGTTACGGTCTCATGTGTTTCTTCGAGATAGCTACAGTGAAGTGCATTATTTTCAACTGCATACAGTTACACCTAGTGCAGTTTGTGTATACCTACAGACTATACCTACACGACAGTGTAACAAAGAATTATTTCTCTTTTATTTTAGGATAATGTTGGCTGTTCTTTATCAGTGACACATTTCCATTTTGATGGCTGGTCCCAAAGAGTTTTGCCTTCGACATCGTCGATGCTCTGCCTGTTAGCCGAGGTCGAGAAGGCTCAAAGATCATCTGGAAATAGGCTGGTTACAGTCCATTGCGAGTAAGTATTGACCACCCACCGTTTTACGGCAGAAAGGCCACAATAGTGGCAATAATTGATTAAACACTACTGAAATAAAAGGTTCCTAGGTTGACGCGTCTATGAGATAATACAGGCCAACTATTGCGGAGTTTGATTTCCTCAGCTAAACTATAACGAGCCAATCAAACTTCGTGTAACACCAGGCTCTTCTCATTTTACGTCTCAAGAAAGGTCTATTACTTGGTAAAAAAACAACGAAGATGTACATTGAATTTTTTTTCTTCCTCAGTAACGGAGGGGGTCGGACTGGAACATTTTGCGCCCTGGTATCTTGCATCGAACGTGTCAAAGTTGAAAACAACATCGATTTACAAATGACTCTTCGAAATCTTCAAGCACAAAGAAAGGAGATGATAGCAAATGAGGTACTTTTGTTTGTATAAAAGACTCAGCATATTATTCCTGTATGAGTGAAATATAAGTAGAGTTGAAAGGTCCATTTTTTAAATCGTCAGATCTGTCCGAACTTCATTAGGCTAGGTTTCTACTTTCTTTGCTATCAATTAGGCTTCGCTGCGCAATATAGGTTTGTTAGCAAACAAAATGTTGTAGCCTATATTGTATAGGATGTGAGATTATTTCATGCTATCATTCTATTTTTTAATACTGTCACTTCTCGTCCGTTTTTGCTTTTCACGTGTCAACTAACGATCACAGCCTGCCAGAAAAAACAATTCGCAGGCTCGACATACAGATATAGGAGGTGACATACAGAAGGTGTGAGCTATTACAGTATATGAATATGATTAATTATAATATTGGTTTTCGTAGGCACAATATATCTTCTGTTATGACGTCGTATCAGCATTTTTGACGTCATTTGATGAACAGATGTACGCCAACTTTAAAGGAAAAGACGCGAAAGCTGAAGATGAACATGATGGTGATGGTGGTGGTGATTACTCAAAAACAACTAAGGACGATAAAAATAGATTAGTCACCAACTTTTAGCTTTTAAACACAAAACATAAGTTTTTAAAGTACCTATATATAATCCGTTACAAATGGCGAGAATCGTTCAACAAGTGGTTGATTTAAACAGTAAAAATATTTAGTCTGAATTCATTCTACCAAATCATTCGTTTCCAATTATTCATGCGATTTCATTTATACTAGAAGTCAGTAGAACACTTATAGAAAAATAGAGACGCTCGTTCAAACGCGGTAGCCATTACTGACAAGTATTATTGTTGGTTCTGTTCGAACTTTTTTTTGGGTAATGTCGAGAGGTTTGGAACTAAAAAGAGATCATTGTTGCCTCGTTTGAGTGAGTCATAATATATACAATTATGTATATTAGATACATTTACATATATACATATATATAACAAGATTATCCTTGCAACTTGGTCACATTCCTCGTTCTTCCATGTAAAGCTCCCGGGTATGTCGTTCTTCTTCCACAGAAAGCACGTACAAGAATAACAAGTTTATGGAAGTGTTAAGGCTTTGCAAGGATTTAGTTTCATAGAACTACAGTATATTTTTACAATATTCCAGATCGTAGGCTTTAACTTCTTACTTAGTAAAAAGTTGTAGAGATATTTGTCTCAAAATATTTTAAATAAATTGCAGATTCAACGCGGTGGCGCAGGATTGTGGACATTTTTCCATTTTTTCAGATTTTTCTGGCTTTCAATAGGCATAGTTTTGACATGTGTATCGCACTCTGAAATACGTCGTAAAAACGGCGTATTCGACCATTATCAAGTCTGCCGGAAAACTAAGAATAATAGTTAGGGTAAATCAGTTAGGATTTTTTGCGCTTCACTCGATGCAGGTAAATTCTAAAGCCGTAAAGGTTTAAAGTGTCTTAATTTCCACTCGAAATTAAGACCCTTTAAATCTAAGAATAACAGTGTTGAACCTAAAAGGAACAGCTGTTAGTATATATTATCCACATCATAATTCATAGGCGTGTACACAGTACACATATATATTTATTGTTATTATTTTGCATAATGCCAACCTGGCAAGTGTTATCACATATATATTTATTGTTATTATTTTGCATAATGCCAACCTGGCAAGTGTTATTGTGAAACTCAGATTGCTTTAAAGCAATGTATTAGAGTATCCACAAATTGTATCCACAACTAATAATAAGTAATGAACACTGACGCGAATGAGTAATCAGTATAAAGCCACTAAAGGGATAAATTTTCATCACACAAAATCTGACCGTGTCTCAAGACACCTTAAACACCCCTGGATCCGCCCCTGTGCCCATGACGCGTAGTTTTGTAAGCACATACCACATGATAGAAACATGGTAGAAAGTGTTTAGATTTTCCATTTGCGCAAAACAACTTGATTTCTCTCAATTCAATTTCTGTTTTATTTTATTTCATCTTGTGGATGTTTTGGCCGACGTGAAAAAGCTACGGATGGATTTGAGTTTTGAATGTATTTGCGTGAACTATGTTTAATAATGATAATAAGATGATAATGTGTCTTTTTTAATAGTTGTACTCGTGTAAAACTAAACGTATTTGTACTCGTGGCGAAATAAATAATTCTTGTTTGATGATTTATTGCGTGAACCACTAACACTATTCTTTCGATAATTGAAGTATTATTCTGCATTCCTCTGTCCGATTCGTTTGCATATACAGTGTAGCATAAGTTTACATAACATATATACTTTTAACATTTTTACAAACGTGCGGCCGGGCCGAAGCCAGTGGCAGTGGAGGGAAGCGCCGAAGACCAAAGCTTTCCGACCAGTTCCGACTCTACAAACAGTAGAAATTAACCAATATGGCGGTCGTGCATTCAGGAGTTGAACGATTCGTAACAGGTATTAAATATGTTTGTTCTTAAACTCTTGACGCTAAAAATATTACTGATAACCATAGTTGTATTTTTTCTAGTCGGAATATTTCGATTTCGCCTAAAATACTTGGCTCTGGGAGTTTTAACTGTTCAAACGTCGACAATGGTTTTGGTGCTTCGCTACTCAAGAACTGTCAACAATAGGACTGGACAAGAACCTTACTTATCTTCGACCGCTGTATTTTTATCTGAAGTCCTGAAACTATTTATTTGTCTTTTTATTGTTCTTAAAGACTCAAGATTTCATCCCAAAGAGTTTTATAACGCCTTATATCAGGATGTTTTCTCTAAACCAACAGTGATACTTAAAAATGTGTGTTCCTGCATTTTTATATACCGTGCAAAATAATCTTTTGTACCTGGCACTGTCGAATTTGGATGCTGCTACTTATCAGGTTTGTTTGTATATTTGTAAAAAAATGGGGCAGATTTTGTGACATTTCAATAACTTCATGTTTCAGAAGGTGCATGGGTGCCAATCTAATGACTTTAATAGTCATCTGGGGTTGACCCCCCTGCATCACTCATCTCTAGTCTACCCCAGCGTTAATGTGACTCATCTTTATGAAATATTTGCAACTAAACCAATTGTCTCTGACAAAGCAAATAGAAGCAAATGCCTTGCTATAATAAAATATTTTTACATAACAACTGAAATTAAAAGAATGTGTTTTAAAAATGTTCCACAAATAAATCCACCATCTTTAGTATATATATTTCAATCATCAACATCTGATTTGATCTCCTCCTGAACTTTTTTAAATCCAGTCAACAGAGTGGGACATTTGTTCATAAACATTTCATATGCTTTTCTATAGAAATAAGCTTCCAAATCATCCTGCCCTTTGCTTACCAGGCGACCATCAGCTTCGTCTGTGGCGGTCTTTAGGAAGCGCACTAAATTTTTCAATAAGTCTTGGTCAGCATCTTTCTGATAACCGTAGGGGCTGATCTTATAGTAAGTGTAGAACACTGCCAGGGCAATATCAAATGAGTTGTGTGCTGGAAATGTGAGTAAATGTTGGTTATATGAGCAATTAGAAGTATTCTAATCTTAGCTGTTCACATGATCAAATAATTTTTACACAATCAAGAAATGTGTTCTGGCTTTTACTTAAAGCTTGGAGCTACCCTACATAACCCACATTCCACCACCCACATGCCACCACCCATACTCCACCACCCACACTCCACAACCCACAGTCCACCACCCACACTCCACCACCCACACTCCACCACCCACACTCCACCACTCACACTCCACAACCCCATCACTCCACCACCACACTCCACAACCCACACTCCACCACCCACACTCCACAACCATCACTCCACCACCAACACTCCACAACCCACACTCCACCACCCACACTCCACCACCCACACTCCACCACTCACACTCCACAACCCACACTCCACCACCCATACTCCACCACCCACATTCCACAACCCATACTCCACAACCCACACTCCACCACTCACACTCCACCACTCACACTCCACAACCCACACTCCACCACCCATACTCCACCACCCATATTCCACCACTGCACCTCCACAGCCCACGCTAGGTCAAGGATCTGACTCTTGAGTTACAGTGTGATTTTAGAACAGAAAAAAACGCTAAAATAAAAGTTCCAATAGGTTAGTTAAGAGCTCGCCGTGGTCAAGCTAATTGTTAAGCTTGCCTGGTTGATAACTCAGCATCACTATCATACACCCGAGTCATATGCACTCACATATCACCACAGCGTGTATAAAAAAACGCGACCACTAAATATTCATGATAAATGCTTTCTATTCGATCACAAAAGATCTGTATAATTCTAATATAATCCTAATGATATCCTTACCATTGCGATAAACTGCTATAAGAATATAATGCACCTTTCCATCAACAGCAAAATCCGTGTTTTCAACCATGCTGCTTTCCTCGTTCACCACTGTAACCGACGTCTCAAGAATATTCTGAAGTTCTTGCGACATGTTTGTCATTCTTGCAACGTCATTGATAAGGTTGAAAAGATCTATTGGGTCAATACCAAACTTTGTTGTGCAAAAAGCGTTGGTCTTTCTGTAATCGTATGCAATCGTATCTAATCGTTCTTTTATGTTCTTTGCTGCATTGCCTTCCAAGGTGCTTTCATAACTTTCCTGAAACTTTTTTATCATTGACGCCATAGCCAGGCTTACATTGACATTTTCTTGATTTTCTTTACGAGATGGGTTCTTGTAAAGGTTCTTCAGGTCTCGTTTTTTCTCCGAAGGGCTAAAATACGTCTTCAAAGCTCGCTTAAGACCCGAATCAACGAAATATTTCGTTAGATTGGCAAGCAAAGAATGATACGTATCGTTCGCAAGCAATACCAAACCTCTTATCTGCTCAACAGTACATTGTTGTTTATTTTCTGTGTCTTTGCAATATTCTTGATTGAGCAACATTGTGTATTCTTCAAACTTCTTGCTTATTATTTCTGGACCATAAATATGAAAAAGCAGAAAAAGACAAACGTACTTCCACGGAATGGATAGCATCTTTTAGCATCTTTTTGATAATACCCTGCCTTATTTTATCATTTTTATCATGTGTCTTTTGATTCGTGACAATAATGTGCGCTTTCGCAAACGTGTAGGTACTCGAGTTCGACTTTCCTTTCATCTCGAAAACGAATATTTTTTTTGTTTTTATACATAAACAGAAATTGTGCATTACGTCATGATTCTAAGTTATAGCATTCCTAAATCAGTCTATTTCTGCTTTCTTATACTATGTCAGTATAACTATAAGGCTGGATTTCCACTTGCAGAGAAAGAGTTCGCTAGCGAAATATTTGCATATTTTCTTTTGGATTTTGACAGAATAAATAAATTAGTTCAGCTGGACTGTTCTGATTTCAAAACTAAAAAAATATGCAAATATTTCGCTAGCGAACTATTTCTCTGCAACTGAAAACCCAGCCTTACTTAATATAGTAGGTAGTGCGCAGTAGATAGCTACTGAGAGTAGAACTTGACCTGAAAACGACTTTTAAATTAAGGGACCTCCTATTGATGTGATGAAGATATGGGACTAACGTCCACTAACCGTGCACCCCATGCAATAAAAACCAGGGCGCTTACACTATATATATTATAAGTGCCCTGATAAAAAACGATACAGTGTGTGCATTTCCATTCCATGCAGTGTGCAAGTTGTCCATTTCCACGAATTAGGGGAAGGAAGCAGACTACATCGTACGCAACAGTTTCAGTTATTTAAAATGATACAACCAATATCATTGTATTGGTTCATCTTTGAACGGCCATGCACGATTTCTGTAGCCGATTTTCTCTTTCTAGCGTATGTTATTTAATGAATTGATTCTCACATAGGTTACGTATCAACTCAAGATATTAACAACGGCGTTGTTCAGTGTATTACTTCTTGGAAAGCAACTTGGTAGACTGAAATGGTTATCACTAGTTATTCTAATGTTTGGAGTCACACTTGTTCAGGTATTTTCTCATCTCCTCCATTTTGGCGTGTTTATGGTCCGACGGTTAAATAAAAAAGAATGAAAATAGCAGAGGTTTGAACTGAAAATTACGTAATAAAAACTTTTTTATTGCTACAGTGGAGAGTCGAAGATGAGCGTAAACAAGTAGATGTAGAAGATAATGCCGAACAAAGAAATATTTCTAAATCCCTAGTAGGACTTGTGGCGGTGCTGTGTGCATGTTTTTCTAGTGGATTCGCCGGAGTATATTTTGAGAAAGTACTGAAAACCTCTAAATTATCTCTATGGATGAGAAATGTTCAGCTAGGTAAGGATGATAGTCACTGCACGCATCCAGTGGCCTCAAAGGGAGGTCTGGACCGCCTCACTTTCTGTTGAGAATAAATTTCTAGTTGTTTTAAACCAAGGAAAATATTCTCACCACACCACATGCAACTTGTGCATGTATTTGACGGTTGATATTATGATTTCATTCATGATTGACTTTTATTTTAAGTTATTTATCTTCTTTTTACAGCGTTATTTGGTATAATACTTGGCCTTAGTGCCGTATATATCAATGATGGAACTGCAATTCAAAAAAATGGATTTTTTCAAGGATACAATAAATATGCTTGGGCAGTTATATTTTTACAGGTATAGACAATTATTATTGATCTAAATTTTCAAGACTTTTCATCGCTAAAAGTATTACACTTTTGATAAATTTACATCTCTTCTAAATTGTGTAGGCTTTTAATGGCTTGGTTATTGCGACGGTTGTCAAGTATGCAGATAATATTTTAAAAGGTTTTGCCACATCGATATCAATCATAGTATCTTCCATTATATCATATTATTTCCTTCATGATTTTGAAGTATCAAGGTATGTTGCAAAACAGTGTATAAATTTCAATATTTTTTTCCGCCAAGGATTTTTTCACTACTCATCCCATTTATAGCTCAACGGGGCGGTATATATAGATAACTTTGTTTGAGGGATCCAAAGCGCATACGTTCTTGCAACGGAAATAGCAGTTGATGTGTAGCTACCATGTTTTTAGCCGTTCCAGTTTCGTTATTTTTGCTCCGTTTGCATGCATGCAATGGGTTCATGGATCAGACTTTTATTATGCCCTAAACTTTTGCCCCAAACACGAACTTTGCCAGTTAAAAGGTTGTTAATTTTTTCAGATATTTAGTTTCTCTTATTAACCACCTTGTGGTTCCTTGATTTGCACAAATATCTTTTTTCATTTAGACAATTTTTAGCTGGTGCGACAGCTGTTCTAGTTGCAACATACATCTATTCGAAACCTGAAAAACCTGTACCACAATCATCCCACGTTTTTAGAGAAAATTGATCATTTAACGATTTAACTGTTTAACCCCGGATCTCACCGATAGTCGACGATGTATTGTTGGTGGCAGGTGAAAAAATCAATTCTGGGTCTATGTACATTCAATTCAGGCCCGTTCCAAACGTTGAACTTTTCTTAAGTTCATTTGCATTCGATTTGGCACATGAAAAGTTCGGCGTCTGAAACATGCTTCACGTGCACGTGCACGTGCGTTGATTTATCTTAACAAACTGAGCAATCCTTAAGGTTTAACACCTTTAGGACTCTATAATTATGTAAATGTTATTTAATTTCAACAATGGAATGTATATAATCTTTAAAAAGAAGATTGAATTTTTAAATTATATTAATTTTAATTGTCTATGTGTTTTAATTAAATGCAGCAATTATCATGAGATGGTATGTATTTGGAGCGAGTATAAAATAAAAAGATATCATCACAGGTTTAGTAAAGGTGCTGTTTAATGTGATGGAATATAGTCTTAACACTTAAATGACTTAATACTGTTTGCTGTTATTGAATCATGGTTATCATGGGGTATCGAAATTTTAAATAATTTTTTGATAGGCACCAAATTTTGCCATGACATCATCCTATCCCGGGTAGCATACACTTCACGACTCTATAAGGACCACTGAATGTGCCAATTATCAGTCAAATAATGTAAAACCACGAAAAATGGCTAGGATTAATTTATATTTTAACTTGATCTAAATGTCAATGACTCAATATCGCGTACAATAGAATGTACGAATCGGGTGATTGTTTTGCTCATTGTTTGTCTATTATTAAACCACAATAGTTTGGACGCTTTTGGTTTCCAAAATAGTTTAAAGAATTTTTAAGAAAATTGTACGATATATTTTGATAAAGGAGTTTAAACATGCCGCCAAGAAAAGCTAAGAAATCTGAAGCAAAGAAACTTGTCTCAGTTTCGAGATTCAGGTGTTTACGAGTAACGAAACGTATCTCTATTCGCGAGTTTTTCAAGGCAAACGACTTGGAATTTGCAACAGGAAAAGGATTTTACCAGCTCACAAAGCCAGAAACTATCCAGGGTAATAAAGAAATTATCGTGAGAAGAAAGTCTGATGGCAAAATTGTGACTGGCGACGAGGTTTGTGGGACCATGAAACGTTATATCGTTTATCATCATCTTTATAGATGCATCTGCTGCAGAATATAGTTGCAAATTAGATGCAATTGTCTTCCAAATTATTACATTCATATTGCGATTTAAAAAACAGAGCCTTTTATAGCCTTTTAACAAATTCTGCATGTTCTATACCCCTCAGGTTCTGCATATTCCTGCCCTTGTGGTGCAGGAGAAAGGTGAAACTGCAATGCATATAACATGAATGACTATAAAATGATGACCACAAATATACAGGAGCATCTGGAGTTATCTATAGTAAATTTAGTACTTTTCTTTAACTTCTAAGTTGTTTAAAATTAAAGGTACGTGATGTCCTGGATATTCCCAAGGCAACTGCCAAGTTTAAACTAGATCGTGAAAAGCTGCAAGATTTTGATGTGTTTGTCCAGTCAACATCATACAATCGTATTTTGGTACAAGATTCGGATTTCTTGTATGATACTGGAGAATCCGACGCAAAGGATGGTGCTGGCACCCCCAGTACATCAACTGATACAGGTTACTAGTAATTTGTGTTAATCATAATCCACCATGCAAATTGTTACCAAACCAGCTAAACACATGATTCTACTTAATTTAAATTATGTTGCTGTATTTCTTCTTTTTTAATATCCTTTCCATAACAAAGAAGTCATGCAATTCATCCTGCAAAGTTTCTTTAGAAATATGTCCACTTGCTTACCTGTAGTCTAAGACAAAACACATACTCGTTAAATATTCTGATACTGCTGCACTCGATCTTCAAGCGGAAATAGCAAATATCCAAGAGGAAAGAGAACAAAAATAATGTAGGAGGAAAGAGTGTAAAGATGAAATAAAAAATTCAAGAGGAAAAAGTGCAAAGATGAAATCAAAAATACAAGTACATTTACATAATTGTAAATGTTTTCACACAGGTGCCAAAGAAAAAACCAAACCTGTGAAAAGAGGCAGAACTGCCAAAGGCGGTGGAAAGGTATTGTAATCACCACAGGTTATATATGTCATATTGATTTCCATACATACTGCCTTCTGCTCATTTATATATGGCTTGCTCTGTGTATGTAACTGAGAATTGTTTTCATTTAATTATTTTCACAATCTTCCACATTTGTCAACTATTTCATTGTATAATTACCCTTGGCAGGCTGAAGAAAAGAGTGACACAGAGAAAGTTGATGAGGCAAAAGAGGACGAGGCAGAACCATCGCCAAGTAAAAAGCCAAGACCAGCCACTGTAACCAACCCAACTGAAACATCTGGTGTTAAAGAAATTGTGTTTTCTTTTGATACAACAGGGTCCATGTATCCTTGTCTCACACAGGTGATTATTGTTAGACGAAGGTCTCGAGAATGAAAGAAATTTCTTCCACATATTCCTTTTGCTGATCAATACACCAATGCATGAGGATTATATTATTATGTTTTAGGTTCGACGTAAAGTTGCAGAGACAATAAAACGTGTTTTTCAAGACATTCCTAACATCAGGGTGGCAGTGTTTGCACATGGTGATTATCAGGACAAGGAAAGTACATACGATACGAAATGGGTAGATTTTACTACTGACGAGAATAAGCTCTGTACGTTTGTAAAGGATGTATCTGCAACATGTGGCTATGATTTTGAGGAATGTTATGAACTTGTATTAAGACAGGTACAGTATGATATTTCTTCACCAGTCAACCAGTACATAGCCGGGACCATTTCACCTCATTTCAAATTAAATACTTTTAGTTCTACAATCGCGAATTATGAATTCGTACGACATTTACCAATGCAAGCAATTTTTCCAAAAGAAACATAAATCTATTCTTGCAATTCTGCGTTTGCTAATATACTATCTTGCCTTGGATCTTGGACTCTTGGAGTTTAGAAATGATTATCGTCCAGTTATGTCCGATCAGAGCGGGAATTAATGGCGTCATTATAACTCCGGCATGTGAGATGTTTCATCACTGCATTAGCAACGCCTTTTCTCTCTTTATTATCCTTTAGGTTAGGACGGAGCTGTCGTGGAGTCCAAATTCTCAACGTGCTCTGGTAATGATCGGAGATGCACCTCCACATGGTCCCGCGTACCATCTCAATACCCTCAAAATCAACTGGAAAGATGAAGCCAAGACGTTGTATGAAGATATGAATGTTCATATTTATGCAGTCCAAGCTTTAGGGAACGCTTCCTCCACTTCATTTTACAGGTCAGAGTACATGCAGTAATCTTCATGTACTGTAGGTCAGATGTAGAGTTAAATATACATTGACTTCTTGTGAATCCCTGGCCCCTGGGTATTTAGACGCGTTACCACGATTTGGCTTTAGCCCTCTTTTTAAATGTACTATAACTATAAGTAATTCTTTTAGACATGGCAGTACTGGCAAATTTGTTTAAATATTTTTCGTGTAGTGGACTGGCGAAAATTACAAGTGGTTGGCATCTAAAGCTGGATCAATTTGCATCAATTGTGGATTTCCTGACCGCCATTTGCTACAGAGAACAGTCGATAGAGCAACTACAAGCATTTGAAGAGGAAGTAAAAAGACGCGGGAAAGGTTCGTTTCCTTCTGATCAGTTGATTGCATATTTTTACATAAAGAAACGAGGTCCTCTCTATATTCTTTGTCTTAATTCTGATCATTTATATTGTTCTACACGTGCTCAGTCATCAGTTTATCAATTTATTTCAAACACAGGTGCTGGTATGAACCGTTCATTACATGCATTGTTTGACACCCTCGCTGGTCGAGAAGTTTCAACTTATAAAGAAGCGGTATCGTGTGATCTGGTGCCAATCAGTCCTTCTCGATTTCAAATACTTGATGTAGACGAGCGTATCGATATTAAAACATTCGTTCAACGCAACAGTCTGTTATTTCGCACTGGGCGAGGTTTTTACGAATTCACGAAGGCTGAAAAGATCTCGGATAAAAAGGAGGTTGTATTGGTAGATAAGGTCTCTGGTGACATGTATACTGGGCCTGAAGCATGCAGAATGATTGGCGCTGGTGGCACGGGCAAAATTAAGCCAACTGATCTGGAGAAATGGCGGGTTTTTGTTCAAAGTACGTCATATAATCGTGTACTGATGCCAGACACGGGATTTCTCTATGAGGTTGATCCTGATCACTAAATTGGTTGTAATTCAGGTATGTACGTCTATTGCCTACTCTATTTATAGACGTCGTTTTTGCAAACGTTATAAAATTTAAAATATAATCAAATCCGTAATTCTCTATTCTCACCAACAGGGCTGTCCAATCCAGCCCCGCTTTTTTTTCAAGCAAACATTTCTTCATGCAAACACTACCACAAATATTATCTGTTGCAGATTGCCATGAAAGTCCGAATGATATTGTCGCATATAATAAGACCATGGCGTTCTTATTCCTAAACCATGTAGTAATCATAGATAAAATTTTAAATAGTCGAGTTAACATTTTGACGACAATTCAATCAGTTAATTTTTTTAGTTAAAAACCAGGCCATATAATGGAACACCTGCATGCCTTTTTCAATTTCAATGAATCGCATTTTAATATATACACGTTTTTACTACGTACAAATATATATTACCAAGTTCTTTTCTGTGAGATTATTTTTGCGCCAAATATCTAAAGCGGTAGCTATATTACATGACATTTATACAATGGTTCATCAATTTACCGGAGGAAGTCGTCCTCCTGACGGTGGTCTGTTTACGGTAAGATTCTCCAACTCATGAATTTGTTCACGCAACTTTCTTATTTCATTCTTTTGAATGGTGATGATTTTCTCTAGATCATCGGATGCGCTCTCCCGTGAGGCGTTCTTTCTCGTAGGAGCTGACTTCGCTCCTTTTCCACCACTTCCTTGTGTTCGACGCATTACCCCGAGGGCTGCTTCGAGGTCGTGTACTTGAGTGCGAGCGATCTTCAGCTCCCTGCGGAGGTCGTTTATTTCTTTGATCAGTGAAACATTTTCCTGCAAGAGAAGAGTTCAGAATATTACGTTAGACCCTGTTCCACGCAGCAGTCTAAACCATGCAGCCTGCGCGTGATGATTTGATGATTTTTCGTTGAAATTGTGAGCAACAATAAGACTAGGGTTAATTTAATATGCTTTAGTAAGAATCCCGTCCCTAAAATGTCCACCGCTATCAGCCCTAGGGCTCTCTCTCAAGAATCTTAAAGAACAACAAAGTTTTATTTGAGATTTTCATATATCGTGAAAATTTTCAAGCATCTTTTTTTATCGCTTATTCCATTTGATCTCTTCCACCTGCATGCATGTGAGCCGTACCTGCATAATTCTGACATTATCTGCACGATGAATTTCGTTGTCTTTTTCAAGTTTCTTCCTTAAGGAAGCTACACTGCGTTCCAAGTGCTCTCTTTGACGCGCGTACTCACGCTGAATATCTGCGTCAACACTGGCCGACGACTCGTTCTGCACGGAAATAGAGAAAGTTAGTTTTACAGTAAATGTAAAAATGTTTGTGCCAAATTGTTGCACGCGAATGGTGCACGTTGCATGATTGAGGCAAACACGCGAAGTGTGCTCAAGTTCCTAACGTACCGTATCGTCTTGAACATATTTCTGGTACAACTGCTTCACACTTTCCTTTAATTTCTTAGGTTCTTGTATGAATCCAACACAATTATAAAGATCTGTTTTGAACCGTTTTACTACCGCCTCGATGTCGGTAACCTGTCGGAAGAAAATAAATTATGTTCGCATGCAACGAGAGGGTAGGGGCATGGATAAAAGACCATGAGGTCTGAACGGTGTGGGGTGCTGTAGCTATAACCATGCAGCTTGTCGGTTTACCAAAAGTAAAATATCTGCTGTTGAACTGCATTGACCAGGCTTGATAGTTCACATGACAATCGTGTATATATTTTAATGTTTTTATTATTTTATTACCTTTTGTCTCTCCATATGCATCTCTTTGTCTGTTGCTTTCAACTTTTGACGCAGCACATCAATATTTAATTCTAATGATGTGTTACGTTTATGGAACCGTTCTAATTCACTTTCCATCTAAAATTTAGGTAGGATAATAGTCCAGCGTTAGTGTGGATGTATAACAAAGCTCAGTTGCATATTCCACAGTAAAGCTTTTTGTGGACACCCAAGTGGTGCACAATTGAACGATTATTCTAATCCCATAATCCCAATGCCGAAATGATTTCGTGAAATCATGAAATCATTTCTTATGCCGTGTGTGGGGTGTCCTGCCAATACTGACTGGGGTTTAATTAGTTACCTCTTGTATTTGTTCCTTCATCGCTTTTATATCATTCTCTCTTGGTTCAATCTGCTTCTTTAGTTCTTTGATCTTGTAATCCAGGACAAATTTGAACTTCTCCAGTTCTTGATTTTTCTTCTTCAAATCATAAATACGTTTCTCCTACAATGCGCAGATTCTCATCAACATCTATGCAATTCCGTATATACAATGAAGTATATTTGTCAAGCATGCATTCAAAGACAATCTCATAAACCAAGCGAGTCATGCATAAACGTATAAAATGCTAGCTAGCTGCATGCAGGTACCTTATCTTGTATGGTTTCATCTCGTTCTTGAATTTCTTTCTTTAATCCATAAATATCCTTTTCCAAGGACTTGATAACACCTTGCAGTTTGTTTTGTTCCCCGTGGAGACGCTGAATCTCAGTCTTGTAATCATCAATTTCCTTTTGAAGACTGGTAAACTAAAATTGTAATTGAGCAAAACTTAAAACCGGCGTGGATAATATGATATCATGCTTCCTAGCTAGCTTGCTTCCTGCATTAAATGGACAACGACGCATTCAAAAGTAAGATTACGAAATGAAATGGACTTGCCAGGACATGATGAAACGGAGAATACGGAATGAAGTAGGTTAGCCAGGTGAGGCGACACGTCTAGCATATTCATGTTATTAGCAAGATATAATTACCTTCTTTCTCATGATTCCTGTCTCTCCCTTCAATCTTAAATTTTGTTCTTTCTCTTCTCTCAAACGTCGCTCGTATTTATTCTTTATATCAAGTATTTCACGGTCAGCGTCTTCTTCTATTTGACGTTTTGTTTCTTCATGTTCGCGCACCTGCTGTCTTGATTCGTCTTGAGACTATAAACACAATCATTGGCAAACATTTTTCCTATAAAGTGTACTAGCTGTGACCTAGCTAACAAAGGGTAGCTTTAAATAAAATCAAGCAAGCTCATTTACGGGCGGGCGAGGCTGTCGTAGGACTACGGGCTGTTGCGGGCAAGGCTGTTGCACACTATGCCTCACCGGCCTAAGGTAACGTAATGCTGATGCAGGCTATTTTAAGCTGCTGTTGCAAGCCGGTTGGTTATGCTGATAATAAATATCTCATGCACCTGCTCCAGATGGCCAGTCTTTTCTTGTAGTTTTGTTTCAAAATATTCTGTAAGTTCGGACAAAGCTTGTCCTTTCGACGCTTCCATTTCTTCCAATTGTCGATCATAGTCTTCTTGCATTTTCTGACTCTTCGACTGTAGTTCCTGATACTTTTCATACTCAGACATTAATTTCTGGTTATTTGCTGATTCTAAATCCTATATAAAGCAGTAAAATAATTTGTTCCGTTTTATACATTCGTATACAAATATCTCGCCATTTATATTGGTGTTAGGAGGAGGCATGGGCCTGATTGCTTTAAAGTAGAGCAATCATACGAATTCTGAAAATACTCTACCTGAAGTTCACGAGAATGTTTCTCTCGAACATCAGAAATTTCTTCCTCGTGTTTTGCCTCCTCTTTTTCTTTGTCTGTTTTTAAAACTTGATTCTTGGTTTTCAGCGATTCCATTTCTTGGATAAACTTCTCCGTGAGTTCTTTGATCTTCTCGTTGTAATTCATGTCCTTCAGTCGCAACTGGTATTCATTCTCCATTTTTAATTCCTCAACGCGCGTTTTTAGTTCAGCCATCATAGAATTCTATTGAGTAGAGTGTGGAGAGTTTACAAAAAGGAAATATTTTCCAAATACTTTTATTGTTGCATGTTCCTAATGCTGTTGGTATTCTGGTTCAAGTGGCGACAATACAATTGCACTGTACTGTACTGTACTATACTGTACTGTACAATGAATAATGGAATTGTGATGGCAAAGGGAAGGTTGCATTTTTTGTCTTCATGCATCCATTCTGTACTCCTTCTACTAGCTGTACCTTTTCTTCCAAATCCGACTTGGTGATAAGAATTTCGTCTGCATAAACAATTTCTTTGTCTCTTTTTAAACCACGGCCTTCTTTGTCTGTTGCTTTGTAGATAAACAAGGATGCATCCTCGCCCACGGTAAAAAGATATTGGTCGTCAAACGACATTCGCATCTAGCTCGAGAAATTGGAAAGATCTGATTATACAATTTGTAATCAACTAGACCATTAGTCCTCTTCCTAACTACAGTATTCGGTCATAGATGTAAAAGGTATTGAAGTTATAGTCGAATTCGAAATGAATGCTGCATTCTGAGCCTCAAATTAAGTGATCCTCATGGAGCACTATAGTCACTGTACGGTACATTAGATGAGATCAACAGTTCAAACCTCCGTGAACTTCGTGAACTTTACCTTCGTAATAGCTCCGGTATGTGCTTGATGTTCCTGCCATTCGCCAGGAACTGTTAAAGGGAACTTCATAACACGAACAGTACCAGTGCTGGTCCCTACAAACAGCATACGACCTGAACGAGACATGCTCACTTGAGTTAGGACCATTTCACTCGACGACACTTCACGAAGAATCTATAAAATAAAGTAGTATATGCATGCAGATAAACGTGTCGGCATCATGCCAATTATTAATAATCTATCATTCTTTTAACACTCTGGCCAGCGTCGTCTGTAAGAACGCCCGGGAAGCAAAGTATAAAATACTTTCACTACTTTAAAGAAATCGTAAGATTTTTGAATCAAAGAAATCCTCTTAAAATCAGCATAACCTCTCGAGAAGACATGCACAATTATATACATACATACCTGTGAGTCACAAATCTCTTTCAGAGTCTTATCTGAACCAACAGCGTATGTGGTTCTACCATCAGGGGAAACAGCCACACCAGTATAGCTGCACGACTTCAAAACACTCTCACCATCACGTTTTCCAGTGTACACATTCCATTCATACACTGCTCCATCCATACCACAAGATATAATTTTAGTGTCATCTTGACTCCAGATAACTGACCGAACCTATTTTGAAGAAATAATATAATATGCATTATGAATATAAAACAAAGATTTGTTGCATGAACAAAATTCCTTTTGGCCATAATCTGGATCTTCCCTCTCCGTACCCACCTTTCCATTGTGTCCTTTTAAATTTCCGACATTTTCAAACGTTGTGGTCGAGTACAATTGAATAACATTTCCGTGAACTGTGGCAAAGTAATGTCCACCATTACTGAACGAGCACTAGAAATAATGAAAATATTTTTAGTATTAAAAATATTTCCTTTCTCAACAATCCAATCATACTATGAAGAGGCAAATTAACGATAGTAGGAAATCAAAGATTTGCTTTAAATTAAAGCCCAAAACATAAACTGTTTCATTCCGAGGTAATAACGAGTAGGCTGGTTGCCATATATCGCTGTTTTACCAATATAAAGTGACAGACCACAAAACCATTATGTAAATCAGCTAATAGGCTGGGCTTGGACGAAACGAGTGTCCATCTCTCTAATGTCATTAACATGGAATTTTTGTGTTCATGTGTTTATACCTCACGGCATCCTCGTATTGTAAACTCTTTGAACGTTCTGATCTCATCAATGAGAAGATTCATTAAGCGCAGCTTATCGCTGAATCCAACCAATATGTAAAGTCCTGATGGATGAAGAGCGATACTATAGCACTCCTCTTGAAACTCGCGAGATAACTCCAGGGAACTGGTGAAAAAATGGACTATGTATCAATGTATGGTGTAGTTTATAAAGAATAGTAAATGCTACGGTATGGACACGGTATGTGCCACAACAAATGATGTGAATTACATACAAAAGCAGTGGAGTAGGACAGCATATAGTAATGTGAGCATAATGATATGAGCGAGCAAGATTGTGTCAGGATGGAGAAAATAAACTTGAAATGATCGGAAACCTTGAAAAAAATGTCTCCTTCGAAACTTACCAAGTTTCATAATTCCATATACGAACGGAACGATCCAGACTACACGTAGCGATGAGTGGTTTGCGAATACAAACATCCAAACCTGTTATTACACCGTTATGAAATGATTGGCAGAGCAGCTCAAATGTCACTTGATCACCCTGAATAATTTTTACATATTGTCAGAAAATTACCTCAAAAAAGGGACTGTTTTATAGACATGCAGCGGTCTGTTTTGTCTGTTTTTCAACCGGCCAGAAGTAGCTGTTCGCGCGATCTCTTTTCGTCAAAAAAATTCACAGAGAAAAAAGCGTTTTTACCTTGCCTAAATCAGCACTGGACATTGTAATACAGTACATCTGATTTGCCTTGGTACTACACACCAAAGTCTCCTCAGAAGGGCTGACTGTCAATGTAGAGATGATCTGATTTGCGATCGAGGCTTGCGGATCAGGACTCTGACTATCTACTGGAACTTTGATCTCTCTCGTTTTCTTAAACGCGTCTTTTTCGTCTGTTTTCTCAAACAAATGAACGAAGCCGGCTCCGCCTGAACAAACAAATCCTTTGGAAAATGCAGCTATACTTGTGACCTTTGGTAGCAGATCTTGACCAGAGCTTGTTTCAGGTATGGCAGCCATGCCTGCCATCCTAAATAAGAATAACACTATTTAGTTTAGTACTTGTTAGCACACTCAGCTGTTTTATTCGATCTACTGTGTGTATTTGCAACAATGCGTAGAAAACTATCAACAATACTTTTTATCTGTCACCTACTATAACAAAAATGGAAACACCATTTTAGCCAAAGATTCTGGGATTTAGGCAATAAGATCTTTCATATAATAGCATGCAACAAACAACTTTACACTAGCAAACTAATGGGAATTAATCTTCAAAAGAAAACCAAGAAAACTTACTTTACTCCAGTAGATGCAGCTCCTGTTACATGAAGTTCATTTCTCAATTCTCCTGACTCAAACAAAAGTAGTCGTCCAGTGTCTGTACCTGCCACAATCTTTTCATCAGAGAGCCAAGCGTGAGATAGAAAATTTTGTGGATCCAATTTTTGGAACGCAAACTGTTTCAGATTTCCTTCACTGTAGCGGAAAAGTTTGAAAATTCCTTGGCCAACAACACAAAGCTGTGTGTTGTCCTGAGGATTAAACGACACCTAAAATCCAAGTAAAAAAGAAAGTGCTTTCATTATTTAGACTAGCAAGAATTAGTTAATTGAGGAAGGTGACTGATGTAACACACTAAGGTCCTGGTTCTTGCTTTCATTACCTGCCTATCAGCATAAGTATACTACTCTTTTAATTAGCATTAAAGCTTGATGGAGTATACGTGCTACATTTTTGCAAATAGCGCATTCTGATTATAACTACACTATACCAGCTATATTTTTCACTTCTAATCAAAAGACTATATATACATTTGACCATTGTCTGTGAAGTAATATAGAGAAGCATCACACTGGGTATAAAGAATGTGGCAAGAACAATAAAAAATACATAGCTAGGGAGGAGGAGGACAGAAATGTAATTTTCTGCATTTTAGGCTTGACTAAACATCAATTCTGCTGCATCTGGGGACCTACCTGCATCTTCCCCCTCAACCCTGGGTATTTCAGGGCTCAAATGCTACATTTTACAGTCTACAAAGTATCATGGAGGCATGGTAGTAATCTATACACATCCATATAAATATACCTGATGCACTGGTGAGTTTGTCTGATTTGTTGCTTTCGCAAAGGCCATAACTTTTGCCTTTTCCCAAGTCCAATACAACAAGATCCAGTCTGGTTTGCCACCCTGAGATATCAAATACTTGGAATCAGGGGAAAAAGCTAAACTAACATATTCTGTCGCCGCACCATCTGTATATGTAAGCACTTTTCTTTTCCTCAAGGTGTGTAAATCATAAATTGTGATCGTTGCTTTCTCTCCCCTCTCAGCGATGGCTAGATAACGTCGGTTAGGGCTAACCGCCATGGCTGTAATACCAGGACTTTTATCTGTGCCAGGAATAAATCGTTGTGATTTCTGATCGATGTTGTACAAGATACAATTTGATCCAGTTGGATAGACAATAGTTTGTTCATCCAAATGAAAAATGTTGTTGGGAACATCGCCTTTGATACCAAACGCATGCCTAGCAGTTATTGATGCAATAGACATTGTTGGATACCCTTATACTCGAAAATTTCAAAAAGTATCTTTAAAAGATTGTTGATCTAAAATTTCATGTGAAATTCAGCTGTATTCTTCTTATAAGATATCGATGGCAATTTGTTCGTCTTGTCCACCGATGTTGTTGTCCGACGTTGCCGAGCAACCACTTCCTTGTCCAACCCGTTCGCAGGTTACCTAAAGAAACGAAATTATTCAACAAAATAACATTTATATTATCGGAGTTTTAATCAATATTTGGTAAACGTGATTGTAAAATTGGTAAAAAAAACATGCGACAAAAGTCCGCTAAATGAAAATCGAAGGATTTTTTAAAAAGTAAACGAAAAAGAAGGATTTTGGGGTAAAACAAAAACGAGAGGTCCCACCGAGACTTGAACTCGGATCGCTGGATTCAAAGTCCAGAGTGCTAACCATTACACCATGGGGCCTTCGACGAGTTACATGGGCAAAAATATGTTATAAAAAGAATTTCCGTTATTAAAATTAATTTATGGAAATCGCTGAGGAAATGAAATTTCGACATTTTAGATACCATATATATTTTCTTTTTACATATCACCGTCCTGTTACTCATAATGCTGTTGAGTGTTGTCATGATATAGAAACTTTGGCAATGCTTTGTTGCTTTGTTAGTGTCAGTGAATCTCTGATTGTAATATCAGGTTGCAACCTGTGCATAACATCAGTCATAGCTACTGGTGGTAACTGAGGGTCCTCATACCGGCCGGCCTTTTCAAATCATCCTTTCTCTTCACACTAAACTCACGATAATCTATGAAATAGGCGTGTGATTGTTCGCTGAATGCTAGGGAAACTCTATATAATGGCTTCACACGGCCACGAGTAGATTAGAGTCACTGAGGTTTACTATAATTCCTATATAGACTATAGTATAGGAATTATAGTATGACGTTTTGGGGTACTTTCAATTTTCTGAAATGGATTTAAAAGTTATGTTTATACATCAATCATCATTTTTTTAGAATAAACAGACCATTCGAAGAATAAATTCAGGCTAAAATTAAAGACAGCCGCCGTTACAAAGTCTTACAATCACGGTTTTTGAAAAAAGTACCCCAAAAATGGCGGCTATTCGTCATCGTGAGAAAGGCTAATTGTATACAGTTGCCCCGGGACATAAAAAATAAAAATAGTTGATTAAGGTATATTTGACTTATAAATTATAAACTGTTTTATAATAGCTTCCCTGGCTCCATCAAGCAACCATTCACTGAAACTGGATCCAGGCATGAATATGTGAGTAAGATTATTTCGAAATCCCACATTATTAATATTATATTGACTGTAAAATATATTGATACATTATATAGCTACTACCAAAGGTTATATTCGCCCAATTTATATTAAAAGACGGATTTCCATTTGACGGACGCAAAACTCGACGCAGACGGGTAACTCGCCTTGATACCTGTGCTCTCTTCTTGGACGACATTTTGTATCCCAATATACACCGCGAAGCTTAATTACCAGTCTTTTATTTCTATTTTGGGCTAAAATTTGTCTGATTTATTCGTCAGATATAAATTTAGGATGAGTTTTCCGTCAAAGACAAGAAATTCGTCCAATATCTCCGTCGTTTGAACGGAAAAGTTGGACGGAGACATTAAGACGAAGAACCTGTGGCTTACCGAATTTGATATCAAGACGAGTTACCCGTCTGCGTCGAGTTTTGCGTCTCAGACGAAAATCCGTCTTCTAATATAGATTCGGCTATTCACTCTTATATGCAGTCAACAATATTGTCACTATATAGCTAGTTACAGTGATTTTTTCTCTACTATTTACATGTACAGTTCAAAACCGTTGCGCTTCTGGCTAACAGTGGATTTCGCCAGAAAAATATCAAAGAATTCAAAACAGAGTTAAACATGAGAAATGTTAGTGACCACATATATCCAGCCCTATTTCGAAATATATCCAGGTTTTGATATACAGAATTGAGCGAAATTGGCAGTAAGCAGATAACACAACAAAGTATAACTAGAAAACACGATTTTGCGAGTTTTGTCTCCCTTTCCATCTTTTTTCTTTCATTTATGTCCGACGTTTGTGTCAAACAATTTACGCCTCGTGATATCGCCCGACGAGCTGATTTTACGAAAATCCAAATTTTACCATAGACATATACATTGAAAGATAAAAACAAAGTTATTCCAATTGAGCTACTTATCTTATAAAATCTCGGGTATACAATAGTGCCAACTAGAGACAGAATTGGCCACAAGGTTCCACAACAAATACCCAATAAAAGGCGAGTGTTCGTCAAGCTGGCACGGTGAGTAAGTGGGTGAAATATGCCCAAGTATCTTTCAAATGTCATAGCGCACAATGTTAGTACGGAAAGCGCCGTGAACATGTATGTTGCTTTGAAAAGCAGAAAATGCGCAGAACAACTTGGAGAGCCGTGTATTTCGCTGGCTATGATATAAACTAATGAAGGTAAAACAAGTGCCCCAATCGTCGCATCAACAATGGACTGCAGTGAGATAAGAAAATAGGTCGCTTTCTCTTTTAATTGACGATTTCTTAAAATCGTCATAGCCGATATGCAGTTCAAGAATACGATTGGAAAAACCATAATGCTGTTCACAACACACAGCGACACGTGATTGATAAGATATTCTTGCTTGTCCTCCGGAAAGTGAAGAATCACTTGGAATTCCTCGTTTAAGAAAATGCAATGTTTAATAAAGATTTCATGTCTTGCCGCAGTAACATTCATCTTCGAGTTGTACACATATATGGGCTTTTCTGTCTGGTTCTAAAAAAACACCTGCATGCATGCATATCATGATGTTCATAAACATAGGCTTTCGCGTCGATTAATTAGCAAACGTTACCATCTGAAAGTCCAATATTATACTTTTAAAAGTGACATTGAAATATTGATATACTAATTAAGTGGGAACAATATTGCTGGATGCATTTTCAATTTTTCAAGAGTAATCATTCGCCTGATGATCGTTTCAGAAGAAACGTGAAACACAGAGTGTAGCGAACTATATAACTGAGTTTTGTAATATTTCTTTGTCAATGATTTTATTTTATGATATATATCAGGTATGCTGTATCATATACTGTAACTCCAGTTCGTATTCCCATCAGTGATGTGTAATTACTGTAATACTATATATAAGACATATTGCACCAATGACCAATGATTGTTTTAGCCGGCTTTTCAAAAAGCTATTTGCGGCTCAGTGAAACGATCTACGACTGATGATGGCGCTGAAGGCAGTATAATATACTTAAATTTTAATAAATCTACTTCACGAAGACAATTTTCATAACAAAGATTATAAGATATATTGTTTTCTTAGAATCTTCTTCCGTGTCGCAGAATAATACGACACATCTGCTCTTACGTACATTTCAACGTAGGCACAAACTAAAGATCATTTTCTTCCTATTCTTATATTCTACATATTCTTCCTCTGTGACGTAGGCGTTCCCGGATGATTTTTCATGCGCGCGCAGCAGGATCACGGTATCAAACACAATTGTCGTAATTCAAACCAGTTAACGGCATTTTTTATGAAACTATAGTAAAAGATGAGCAACATCTTTAAAAGTGAGTTTTCCTGGAAAAAGTTGTCTCTTAATTTTACTAACGAAGAAGAAAATATATGCAAGTCATGGGTTCGTAATTTTTTTGCAAACATTTTCTATAGTATTGTTATATGTATTTCCTGTTTAAAATAATTCTCAAATTATGCTTAGCTTTTAATAGCTTCCAATCATACGGCATTGCAATTCGTTATAAATTTGGAAGAAAGGTCCAATCGTCTGGCGGAAAACCTCCAGACACCGAAATTGTCTAAGGCAACTTTTGTAAATTTGAAAAGTTAACACTTTAAGTCAACACTTTCCTTGAAAGACACTCCTTGAAAAGTGTCTTTCAAGGAAAACCCGTTGTCCCACTTGTCCCCCTGCCCCTCTCCTCACCTTTACATCGTTCGTCGGCCCTGCTTCCAAATCACGTCAAAGCTTACAGAAAAATCTTCAAAGATCTCTGAAAGCCACATATATGCAAACTTGCTTACGACAACATTTGACGTAGACATGCCATGCACGTGGACACTGGTGCGGGACTGCCCGTGCCACAAATAATAAATGCCATAAATAGTTGTATTAGACGGTTCCCATTATTGCATTAGCTGAATACACCACATAATGCTTTGTGAGTATTATCATTTATATATCATTATACCTACTCTTGAATCATTCTTGTGGTGCTGTTCACGGTGTGTAGTGGGGGTCTACTTATTTATGGATATTATATATTTGTGTGTGTATTTGTGAACGTATTTCGTACGTACAGGGTTGCACCTTGCATGGGACTTCGCGTCCCGTTTGTGCATACTCCTTTTGAGTCAGAAACTTACTCGTTATACATAATATTAATTATATATGAATAATTAAATGAATGAATGTTCACTACAGATTCTTTCGCCGCGGTCGTTATTGTTGCTCCGTCTAACTCTGGCTACGTTTTGCACTGCTATAACAATCGCGAGTGGTGTACTAAAGGCTGACCCAAGATGGTTCATTTACCTTACCAACTGGAGTTTTCTTCTTCTCACCGTGACTATGATTGGACTGACGCTAGTTAGCATAATCAGGGAATATGAAAATATATCGAGTTCAACTGAAAATGCTTCACAAGAGATGCGCAATTGTGGTGCCATAATTACCGCGAACGCGGAATGTGCGTCTTCACAAAATAATGCGAATAAAGTTGGGCCTAGCCCTACCTCGTTAACTTGGTACGAAAAAGGTAAAACAGTCTAATTCATCAAACGAATGCAAATATTTTAAGCCGGGGAACCGGCAGAAACGCAAAAAATATGTTAACCATATATCTAGGAGCTAGGGCCATTAAAAACAATCTCTATACAATATACGTTGAACTTTATTTTTAGGCGTTTGGATTTTGTGGATTGTTTCATCAAATGCTGCATTAGTTGTTACATTAAATTATTGGCTTCTGGTATTTCAACCTCCAACAGACTTTATGGATATTGCTGTTCATGCGCTCAATTCCTTTGTCATGTTGGTAGAGTTTTTTATGAGCAAAACACCCGTGAGAATCCTTCACGTGTTGTATGTAATGATATTTGCAATAGTGTATAGTTTATTCAGCGTTATTTTCTGGGCGGCTGGAGGAGTGAACGTTAAAGTGCCCCTGACACAAAATGCGATTTTTGCACCATGGAAAGTACGCATTTGTCCGAGTGTTATGGTGAAAGAATTTTTCGATTTTAAAAAAAGGAACAAATTTTAGAGCCTCTTGAATCGATATATTTTTGAACCCATGGCCGTCGTAACAGAAGACTGGGACTAGCGATTTTCGTGACGTCACGCAAGTGAGTCGCTGCAAACTCACAGTGTATTTCCTAGGGTTCTATGCTGTTTTTAATACACATTATTTCAAATCACGTCGACCGCAGGATTCAATTTTTATACTAGGTATCAGGATTAAGGTTAAATGTTATACGTTGCATCGTCGGAAGAGAAGATGCTGAAGAATAAGGGTATTTGAAGCGCGATTTGAAGCGCGCATGCTATGATGAGTCGCGATGACGACTCAGAATTGTACCCGCTTTAGCATGTGGTGAAAAGCCTCTAGATGACAATGAATAGACAGAAGCCTACCAAAAGCAAAAGGCACAGAAAGATCTCATAACAAACTGCGTGTAATGTATGAAATGCCAGACGGGTTATATATAGCGAATAGTCATCACAGTTTCGACCTATAGTCGCGACATGCCGAATTTGTAATACACTGATTTTGACCGTGATCATGCAGTGTGTTGTCTTTTGTCTTTATACGTGTAAAATGCGAAACCGATCGATCTCCTCACGAAGCGAAATGTCTGTTTATACTTTTACAGATAGATAAATGTACGGAGTCACTTATATGAGACCAAGACGCGAATTTAAAATACGTAACTTTACACCATAGTTCTTTGTTATTTACGTACGGGCATATATTAAATCCTCACTGAAACTATATTTAATATCGGGTATGTTATTATGTTTATAGCTACAAAAAAACTTTTAAAATGTGCGTTCACGTAATGAGACAGGTTTCTGCGTCATGCGCATAAAACTCTCAACGATAGACATAAGTTAGTATGCTTATACAGAATATAGCTGAACATAGTTATATCTCAAAAGCACTCAAAAGCCGACTCACTTGTATGACGTCAAAAATTACCCTCGTTCCAGTTTCCTTATAACACGGACATGTACCACTGGAAACCCCAAATTTGAGGCTTTCAAACGGCTCTAAAATTGCGACGTTTTGATGAAATCGAAAAATTCTTTCAGCGAAATACTCGGACACACGAGTCCTTTACACAGTGTAAAAATCGCATTTTGTGTCAGGGGCACTTTAATGGTGATCCTTTTATATACAAGGTTTTAGATTACGAAAATGGTGAACCTGCAGTAGTCTCAGCGGTATTGCTCGGCATTATATTTTTAATATCACCAATTCTACAATTAACCTTGTTTGGTCTGCATCGACTAAAGCAGCGTTACTTGCGGAAAAAAAGGGACGCAATTTATGGAAACATAAATCTTGCTTTGTAAATAAAGTAGAATCCATGAAGCTATGTATAATATTGTTCTAAATAAGGAGTAATTTACTCGTTAAATATATCGTTGATCATTATATAAGTTTTCATTCATTTACTTATCTTTTTATTATGCCTGAATGTGGTAAAGTGGTGTGAATCAACTATTGTTGATTGTTATTGACGTTTCCACGGGGATGTCAAGCCCAAGGTATCAAGCAACAGTAAGGCTACTTGAAGCACGATCCTTGAAAATGAAATAATGTCATTATAAAGATAATGAAGATAATGTCATTATTGCAAAAACATCTGTTATCAACTTAGATCACATAAATTCTTTGGCTTTGTTAAATAGGATTTTATTAATGAGATCATTGGGTCAAAAATATATTTAATTGTAAGGTCTTAGCTCAAAGGTATCTTTTCAGAGCTAGCTTGGCCGGTTTTTACAGTAGAAAGTAATATGAACAAAACAGTGACGTAGCTAGCATCGAAAATTGGAGGGGGGGCATCATAATTTGAAAATAATTTGATAATGCAGATTGCAGAACGTGAATATATGAATATCATCCCCCTCAATTGTCGATGCTGACTACGCCACTAGAACAAAACAGAAGCGATTTTTAGAAGTATGGTCTCTATGAACAAAGTACTGATGACCCTGGTAAGACCAGAAACATTTGGAATATACTATATTGAGCAATCAGTCATAATTTTAACAAAGGATTTTTGTCCTACTTAAACAAGGCGATGAAACGTCATAATGGAGGTAAGGTCCATTGCCTGACAACGGAAATGTTTGCATAACCAGCTCATGCATTGTATGCATTTGCATATTATGTCACTTTAGTGACAATTGTTTCCTACGCAGCAAGTATTTTTCATAGACAATATTATATCCCTATATACTCAAGAATGACATCGAATGGAGTAAAAAGCGTTTTAAAGAGCGAGTTTTCCTGGAAGAAATTGTCTCTCAACTTTACCAACAAAGACGAAAGTATTCACAGGTCATGGGTAAGTATATAATATATATTGCAGACGTTATGTAGACTACATCTATGAGAACCTGCTAATGGAAAAGGCAGTTTATCCATGATCGTCTAATTACCGCTACGTTGTTAAATTTAATTTAAATTGATATATAGTGAAAGGGAAATAAAGGTGGATATTATATTATGAAATTCAATGGAAGATTTTATAACATTCTAGTTGTAATTCTGGGCGAATAAAACAAGACCGCTGCAGACCCTCGCTTCTCTGCATGCAGAGTATATAGACTTTTAGACGACGTCAATACTCTGGTGTCAGGATTAATAGTACTGAATGAAAAAAATTATGAAATATAAATTCTAACTCGCCAGGCTTCCTTTTCATACCTAAATTTAAAGGTACTTAAATTCTGAAAAATTTCACTCTAATAACTCGGAATTTCACTCTTCAAAGACTGCATGCGGAAGATCGTTAAGTGGATTGGGAGCTATTATTTAACGCTTGTTTACCGCGACCGAAATTACCGAAGGAAACATTATGTTTCGTAGACCCGAGAGCCAAGAGCGGTCGATATCGACGGTCAGGGTCCACAAAACATAATGTTTCGGCTGCATGAGGTCTCGGTAAATAAGTTTTTCGTTATATACCGCTGTCTTGTTAAAGAAAAATCAAACAACAAGGAAACACCGAAATATGCGCTGAACGCGCGGGTGGTGGTGCGGGGGCATCAAAATTTCGCTCTCGACCAATAAAACGCTGTGAACACCAAACTTTGACCAGTGGTATATAATCATATTCACATTTCTATGTTACCAGACCGTAAAAACAATTAAATTAAAATAACTTTTAATCTTTAATGTGAATATATGAATATTAGTTCCGCACTTAACGATTTTTCATTCATGTTGCCAAGTGCAACCAAACAGGGTCGTCGCTAGAATATCCGTCTTATGCTCTACTGACCTTTTTTCAAACCAATTGCTTTTGGTTTGCTGAAAATATCAACTCAACATTGTCAATTAATGGGGAAGGTTGGGGTCAATAATGAATCGAGATATCGGTCTTCCATCGGCGTTAATTGAGACTGTATTCGATCAATCTTTACTGCAAAAGATGAATTTTAAAGATGAAGGATACGATTCATTATTATGAAATGTTTTGCACTTTTTTGTAGATTCTTCCTCCGTGGTCTCTGTTGATGCTCCGCCTCGCTCTGACTACGTTTTGCATTGCGATTACACTCGTAAGTGGTGTACGAACAGCAGATCCAAGATGGTTTATTTATCTCACAAACTGGAGCTTACTCCTACTAACGATGGCTTTGGCAGGTCTTACATTCATTAGCATGATCCCCATGCACGGAAGAATAAAGAATTCTGAAACTACTACAGGTACTGAAGACGAGCAAGAGATGCGCACTCGCGGTGAAATAACGGAGCCTGAACGACGGCCAGCTCAAAGTGAAGTAAATGAAGCCGTGGAATCAAATTCATTGGTTTGGTACGAGAAAGGCAAGGCGATATTTTTTATATCATTACATAAAGTATTTAAATTGTTTGTTTGTAATCACTGGACTTTTTCCTAAAGACGGACAAGAAAACTGCAAACTTGATTCTATTCTTGACATAAATAATTATTGTAAGTCAAATAGAAAACCAAATAATTACACCTGGGGTCCTGGATACAAAAACTATGATAATTGATAAATCTTTTCTAAGAATTAGAATATTTATTTATGAGAATCTCTTTTCTGTTGTTAGGAGTATGGATTCTGTGGATTGTTTCATCAAATGCTGCATTAGTTGTTACTTTAAATTATTGGGTTCTGATATTCGAACCCCCGACAGATTTCATGGATATTGCTGTCCATGCACTCAATTCCTTTGTCGTGTTGGTAGAGTTGTTCACTGCTAATACGCCTGTCCGTATCCTTCACGTGTTGTATGTGATGATATTTTCAATAGCGTATAGTTTATTCAGTGTTATTTTCTGGGCGGCTGGAGGAGTGACCGTTAATGGTGATCCTTTTATATACAAGGTTTTAGATTACGAAAATGGCGACCCTGGACAAATCTCGGCTGCAATGCTAGCCACTGTATTTGTAATATCGCCAATTTTTCAATTTGTTTTGTTTGGTCTGTATCGATTGAGGTGTTTTATTCGTAGCCAGAAGAGGAATGGAACCAATAGTTTTCCTCTCTAGAATTACAAACATCACCACACCTTGTATGTGATGTGTGAGTCGATTGGACAAAGTTTTATATTGATTGTCACGGCAATACTATTGAAGCCTCGCTCGCCTATCGCATTTACTACTTTATTCTAAATTATTAACTGCCTGCCTTGCAGACATTTTTATTTTTTACCACCATATGCATATATTTAATTCAACAGATGGAGGCGAATTGAGCGTATTGTCGATGTTGGACAAAATCAGGGCATATGACAAAATGAAGTAGATGGCAACGTAGTCACATAGGAAATACGTTTCACCAATTTTTTCTGACATTCCCGTAACTTATTTACCTAAATTTGCTGTAGAATTACATTTTTTAAACAAAATTTTAAATTGTGTACGTGTTCGGGTGTTGCTTTGCTCCAGTTTACTTTAGTTAAGAGATCACATGTCTAGATCACTGGTCCAGATCCTAGATCACATGTAGCAAAGTCACTGATCTCTATGGTGGAGAACAAATGGAGAGATCACATGCGGTCACCCATCACACGTGGCAAAGTCACTGATCTCTACGACTACATATTCGAAAATGATCATTGATCCGAATGAGAATGAGAATGGAGTAAATGATTGATGATCAATGGATGGACAAATGAATGTTGGTTGTTTTTGTGATCGTATGAATGATATTAAAAAATTTTTTTCAACGGTACAGTTTCATCGCGAACTCTGTGACCTTTGCCAGCCTGTTTGGTCTTGGTGACTTTATCGAACAGCAAAGAGAGCGGTACGATATTAAACGCCATAAGAAATGCAATTTACAAATGAAACCGTATAATTTTCGACGGACTCTAGACATGGTGATAATTGGTGGTTTGTTAAGTCCTTTTATTCACTATTGGTACGTTGTCTTGGACAAAATGATAATCGGTAACATTCATTCAATGGTGTTAAAGAAAGTTGTTGCTGATGAAGTGGTAATGTCACCTGTCCTTGGGGTTGCTTTTTTGGGCGGTAAGCCGTTATTTCACTCATACCTAATGGATAGCAGTATATTTACAATAGTAAACAACATATATTGATTAGTCATCACCATTGCCATTGCCTTGCAAGATGAAACAATTTCATTGATGTTATTGTTATAAGGCAATAATTAATGCATGCATACCTGAACCCCTTCAGGATGGCTTGGTCCTTGAGGGTTGCTCAAGTTTAAAAAAAATTAAAATGGCTTCCAAAATTAACTCTTCAACATTCCTGGTTCAAGGATCTTGCGTTCATGTTGCTCTGCTGTCTACATGTGGTTATTATCTTGATTTATCTTCTATGTTGTACTAAAAAATGCTGGTTAATACCAATATAGGTATGGCAAAATTAGAAGGACAATCTTTTGAAAGATGTTGGAATGAAGTGAAGCTTAAATTTTGGCCTATGTACAAGGTGGGGCATGCAGGTGTATTTGTCTACAGACTTTTTCAGCTATATATCTAACCATATCTATAATTTTTTCCTCTTGACTTCAGATGGATTTGTCTGTTTGGCCAGCAGCACAAGCAGTGAATTTTTATGTTATTCCAGGACAATATCGTGTTGCATATGTCAGCTTTGTTACCTTGTTATGGAATGTATTTCTATCTTACATAAGTCATAAGGTATTTATACAAGATTGATATCTTAAAGATAAATTAAGTCATGAGCAGCAAATTGTATGTTTATGGGAATATATATCATTTAATGGCCAGGTATCCTTAGCCTTGCATAATGTTTTTTGTGAGCATGCAGTAACAGCAGTTGCACTGTAATTCATTATAGAACTCTCTTAAGTCTACCTTAGTGTTATGGATTGATCGAAATACTGGCACCAAATTGACAAATCCTGTTTGTAGAAAGAATGAATCTGATATAAATCTGATCCTGTTACAGTAAAAGATCTCAGGGCATGTAAAGTTGTCTGAAAGTTGTATAGCTAGAGTACACAGTCAGTCCTAAATGTGTGTAGACATTTATATGTGCACTCCAAGTCCCACACCACTGTTGTTTTGGGTTTATTTGAGTAAATTTATCCACTTTCTAAGTTAAACTGTGCATTTGCCCTCTTTTCTAGAAAGAAGATGAGATAACAAAATAAGCTAGGGATCATTCATTACGAGGAGAGATAACTGGACAAGTTTGCGAGAATAAATTCACCTGGAATAGATTTAGAAAACTCTATTCTTTTAACAACTTGTTTTATTTTACTATACATTTTGCGATATTCGGCCAGCATGGGATATTTAATGTATTTAACACAAACGCAAGAAATACTGAAGAGGTCCACTCAACTTTCCAAGAAATCTTTACTTACCTAGTTGTAGTAATTTTTCAAAAGCTGTATTTTAATCGTGGTCCATGAAAAAGTGAAATTTCCATTTTCATTTCAAAGTGAAATTGTCAAGACCTTGGTCAAGCACGTACACAGTACTGTTTTTACTTTAACCATGTTTTACAACAGTTTTAATTAACATAACCGTCCAATCAGTCTCAGACCTTAATTTACCGAACAGAGAACATTTCTAAACATCAGCAGGCGAAATTTTATAAAAAAAAGCGCTTATGCAAGGCCGCAAGCACTTCAACGCGGCGAAAGCTCCTAGAATTAGCGGCTAGGCTTGCTACGGCCATGTCAACCCTTGCTGAGACAATATCAGTTCAAAGGAACAGCACTGACTTTTTTCAAAATTTGTACAGATAATGTAGAACATTATTCTACATCTTTTTGTGTTTTTCCCAAGTGTCATCAAAGTTGATGAAGATGATGAAATCATTGATAAATATCATTACGCCCTATGCCCAGCAGAACTTAAGGCGTTCTCTTTTAAGCGGCTACAATGGTCAAGCCAGTCATATTTTGAAATAGAAATTTTGATGAAGAATATAGAGGTGAAATCACCGAAACCCAACGATAAACCTGCTAGCTTTGGTGGTTTAGCTTTTTAATTCTGGGGTAACTAGTATAACTTCGATTCAAAATGGATGAATGTATAATTTTAAAGTCACGTTCCTCTGAGCTCTGTCACATATTTTGCACGTACGTACACGCACGTAAAAGTTAAAATAATTTAAATGTTACTTATAAAATATACGATTGAATAGATGCATAGGCAAAACAAAAGCTTCATTTCAATAGGGGTGACTTTTTTTGGGGACACCCTGTAGAGATTGCCGGATGTGGTGACCCCACTATGCCCAGGTGAAGTGTATCCGGTACAGTTCAATGGTTCAATCACTTCAATGTTTCATCATAAGCCGCAAGACGGACAAACACATTTAAACAAAGCAAAATTTCAGAGAGTCACAGTGGTCAATATTTCTATACCTAGACTGGACAAAATTGAAATATGGCGTCTAGGCTCGTAACTGTTGACGAAGTTAGCAGATTTGTTCAACGATGCATGTGTAGTGTTGGAACCAATTCTGATCACGCAAGACAGCTTGCGGAGCTACTAGTTGCTGCTGATTGTAGAGGTCACTTCAGTCATGGTTTGAATAGATTAGGTAATACATGTCATTGCATATGGAGGCTGGAGAAGATAATAGAGCATAAGGGCGCAAATATTCATATATTCACGTTCCTTGACTATTTGCCCCCTCACTTGAGGATCATTCTTCAAATGCGGGATTATGTTTCATTAACATTAACAAATGATATGAAAAGGCACATATAACCAATGTCTAACCAAATTGTTAACGTTGTATATGTACCATGTAATGTTGTAATGGTATATATGTACCATACCATATGGTATGGATTTGGACTGCCTATATATTAAAATTAGCAAAAAGACAGGAAAATTTTGTGGTAAGGGAAAATAAGAATCTAAATGTAGGATGCCCCTTCACTGTTTACTGTTTGTATATTTTTCAGGAATGTATGTACGTGACATTAAATCAGGAACAACACTGGCCGATGGTCAACCAGCTATCGATAAAGAAACTGTTTCAACTGCCTTAGTGAATGCTAATAATATATTAGGTCCAGTAAGTAAATAGGATTGTGTTTGTCAATATAAGTGCAAACCAAAATAAAAAACATACTAAATCCAGATAAATTCAGGACTATACTTAGGGAGAGACAAGTTCGGTTACTCATATGTTAATGCATTTCGTATTGTTTTTAATAATACACATGCAGTAAATAAAAAGGTGTTCTAATTGACACAATTGTGGTTTCCTATTATTACTCTTCAGGTAAGCAGTTATTTTTGTATGGATCTTGCAATGAAGAAAGCTAAGGAAACTGGGATAGGATGGGTGTCATGTCATGGTAAGACTGCATGATTCTCTCATGTATTTTTATAACCATATATAAGCAAACAAATTGAGGAAAATGTAATTATTTATATAAAATTTTATTTCTTTCATAATATATATAGTGTATTACATCTCAATTAGTAATTATAGTAATTAATTAATTCTAAAGAGTTCTCGAGATAGAAATGCATTGTGCAATATTTAATCTTTTATAACTTTTACTGTTCTTTGTGAAACTTGTCAACATTTCATTAAATTGTGATTATATTTAGTTATTAGAGCTATAATTTTTAAAATATGTTTGACACTTACAGTACTATGCAAAAGTTTTAGGCACCCAGGCCAGTAAAATTGTCACTTGTTAATAAAATTCATGGTATTGCAAGACATATGCTAGGTAGAAAGGCTTGTAGTGATCTTGCACTTGGTACAGCCACCATTAGAGAACATTATTGCAGCACAATGCCCAATCATTGACCCAACAAGCTTGTTTGTTACATCTGGATCAACAGCCTCATGAATGTGATGCAAAAATGGCCTCTTTGATTCCTCCAGATGTCGAGATGGACTTCTATCTGACCTCTTCTTCACTTATTCCCAAAGATATTCAATCAGGTTTAGGTCCGGATTCTTTCGTTGCCCTGTACTGATTGATATTTCTTTCTATTGGGCTTTTTTTTTCTGTCACATGGTGCCCTATCTTGTTCAAAGATAAAGTCTCGACTGCAAAGCTCTCCGCCTTTTAGAAGGTCCTAAGATCGTAAATTTTCGACTAGATATGGAAAATGGTATGTTTGGCTTGTATCTAGAACTTTCCTAAAAGATGAGATGGCTTTGTGGTGGAGATTTTATCTTCCAGTAAGATAGGCCACCATGTCATACAGAAAAAAACCTGATAGAAAGTGATATTGACCAGCCCAGGGCTATAAAAGATTGCTGATATAATGACGTAAACCTCATTGAACATCTTTGAAAAAAGTGAAGAAGAGGTTAAATAGAAGATCATGCCGACACACACACAAAGAATCAAAGACTGGCCATTTTCGCATCATGTGAGGCTGTTGATCCAGATGTAACAAACAAGCTTGTTGGGTTAATGACTGGAAATTGTGCCGTGGTCTCTCGTGGTGGCTTATTGTTTCAACCAAGCAATGAATTTTAATTTGACTAGTAATTGTACTGTTATAGGGGCAAATCACTTTGGCATTGCAGGTTATTATAGTATGATGGCAGCAAAACAAGGTTTAATTGTGAGTTTTTTTTTAAATGTATGTCTTTTAATCTAATTTTTTGAATGGAATTCTTTTCTTTCTTCTGTATCTGTATTCTGTAATGCTCGTGTTTTAATAGGGAATGGCGTTTACTAATACTTCTCCACTTATGGTCCCAACAAGAGCAAAAACGGTATGGGAAATTTTATGGCTGTTTCCTGCAAAGCCAAGAGGGTTGACAAGTTTTTTAGGTTGAGAGGGGGAAGAAGGGGTGTGAATAAATATCGATATTAGCGACAGTAACTGTATCACATTTTTGACCATTTTTGGATAATTGTATGCAGTGTAGAGCTGTGACAGTGTAAAGCGTGCCTTATCAGTTTTATTTTAAGTATTTTTACAAGAATAGATTTTGTTAAATATTTATGTTAACACATTCAGACCACACTGGGAACAAACGCATTATCAGTGGCAGCAACTGGCAAGAACGAAAATGATATGTTTGTTTTAGATATGGCTACTACATCTGCAGCAGTTGGAAAGGTAATTAGAACTTGACACTCAAAGTATCAAACATTCAACTATATTATGTGAAAGACTGCAGATGATCGTCACCGATTGAATATATCAAATAACCAATACCTGGCCAGAAAAGTTCGCCATAAAAATGCACTATTATTTAGATCGAAATGTGCAATCGCAAAAACGAAGAATTACCCAATGGCTGGGCAGTGGATGAAGATGGAAAGGTTGGTTAATTTTATCCTCCACAGTCCTTTCAGCTGACACGAAACTGCACATTAAAACTGCATAAACACCAATTTCTGTGGCGTTAGCTGACACAATTATAAACGTTTGGTTGCATGCCATTTGGTTATATTTCCATTCTTTTTCCTTCGTTTTTTCTTTTCATAGGAAACTAACGATGGTCGGAAAGCGATGAATGATGGCGGACTGATGCCTCTTGGTGGTGGGGAGAAGACAAGTAAGAAATATAATTATCTGTTTTTAGGTCAACCATGCACGTATATCTTTTACCTCTAAACAATTGTATAAACATTTATTGATTTAATCAGTGTAAACATTTTAATGAATTTTGTATATTGTCAGTATACATTGTATTTGCAATTTTACCTGACACTCATTGAAAATGTCGTCTCAAGCTTTCTAACCCCAAAGTCTGCTCACTGATAAAATGCAGTAATCTTGATGTCTTTCCCCCTCTGTTCACAGGTGGTTATAAAGGTTATGGTTTGGGTTTTATGGTCGAATTATTTTGTGGTATAATGTCTGGTAGTGCTTTTGGTCCAAATGTAAGAAGATGGGACAAAAGTGACGTTGTCGCTGATTTAGTAAGTCAAACTCTTGGTAATTTTCTCTTTATTTTAAAATGATAGTAAATTATGTAGGGCATACCCATGTGTGCGCAAATCTTAACATAAAAACAGTTATCTTGAACCTATGCTAGGCATTTGTGGACACTATTTCCTATTGTTTTTAGGGCCAATGTTTTGTCGCTATAGATCCAAGTGTTTTTGCTCCAGGCTTTGAAGACCGTTTAAGTTCTTTGATGAATTACTGTCGTACTTTGGAACCGGTAAGCTTCTGGTAGTACATCATCCACCACTTTGTTTGCAGCATATAACTATCGGTTTGTCGTCAAAACATTTCTTAGGCGGCTGGTGAGTCTGAAGTGTTAGTTGCTGGAGATCCTGAGAGAAAAAAAATATCTGACGTCAAAGAGAATGGTGGGATACAATATCATGTAAATTTACTGAAGTCATTGGTAAGTATATATTTGCGTCCTATATATAGGTGCGTGTTCGGTATTTGGGGATTCAAATATATTATATATTCACTATTATGGAGGTTTTTTATGGAGGCAAAAGCGTTTAATTTTAAGCGTTTTTTCAATGAATAATCCTATTCTGTGCATTCCTGTCAGTGCCATGCAGGCATGCACCTGCTGAATCAGAGTGTCGCGTAAAAAACGGACCACGTTTTCACTAGTATCAACAAGATTTTCCCAGGTTGTCCATGATTATTTCTGTTTTCTACAACATAGGATGAAATGGCGGACAAATTGCAAGTGGATCGTATGAAATGTTTATAATCTACAACGTCCATATATAGACTGCTTTTACTCTTCTCATATACTTGGCTGATATAACCGCGACTCAGTGCTGCTTGACAATTATTGAACGAATTTTGGATGAATTGGTATCCTTTTGAAGGTCATCACGTGTATTACAACGCTGGCACGACTTAACGATGGAAACTTTGCAGTAATAAAAATATTTAGGGCTGTTTACAAGCATGACCTCGCGCATATGACAGTGCCAGAGAGTGCGATGTTTTTAGTGAGATAACACGACAATGTTAAATCAATGTTCTGGCAATCGTGTAATCAGCCTGACAATAGCATGTGCCTGTTTGGTGTCATAAGAACTTATTTCTTTACCTCAAAGTCATATTACGCTTCGTTAAATATCGGGTAACTGGTCTCATGCATGTAAACTGCCTTTTAATTAAAATCCTAAAACCATGAATGCATGCTAACCTTGCTATACTGCCCCCCCGCCCTCACATTTCTAATTTATATAGATATCGTAGTTTATTAGAATGTACGAAATTACCCTAATATAAAACCCATAAAATTTTAATAGATAGAGCTAAAGAACGACCTTTCGTAACTAGTGAATATGCAGTAACGGTAGTGTATACCTTCAAAGTATAGTAATAATAATAAAATCAATAGTTTGACATAGATATATGGGATAATTTATTAAATAAATGCTAAATTTCTTCAACATTCAATAAAATTATTACAAAGAAATATTGTGAAGACCAGAGTACTTTCATCTTGTGTTTGTTCACTAAACCATAGTTATAGATCATAAATTTAAGTACTTTGCGTTTTATACAAATTGACTTCAAACTAATCTATGCAGGTAAATCTGGGCATTTGTATTTCTCCTCTGTGTAAAACTGAACGTTTCCTTTGACCTGTTCACCTTGCCACATCGTTTGTTTCTTGTACATAAAGGTCGCTTCACACCACTTATGATGCGGACCACAAGCTGTTCGCACCAAATCCATACCACTATTATCGATGTTATTTGCTCTAAACATCACTACACTGTCACTCACTGGGAATATAACCTTAATTTCTGGTTTTGCAGAACTAACATTGACAAAATGAAGTTTTTCGAAGCCATCAAGCCAGCTGAAGCCTTTGCTTGGTGCGTCTCCAAATAGTTGAATCTCGGTGTAAGAAGAATTGTCTGGTTTAATTGAAGGGTCGATTGCATGATACTGTGGTCCTTCATGAGTCATTTTATAAAACAATATCAAGATCTCTTGCGCAGTCTGCTGTATATTTTAGAAGTCAGTTCAATGTTTCTCTTGATGAACGTGCTCGTACAAGTGGCCTTTATGACACCCTTACTCAGTTTTATATCAGGATGGCCAGACAGATTAATAATTTTGAACACGCAGTGTGTATCTATATAAAACACACTCTCAATAATTCCTAGGGGGCCTACGATCTTTTGTGATCGAAAAAACAGCGAATATCAGCGAATGCACCCAGTCTTTGGAAAAAAGAATGGTTTATGGTTGAAAGAGCAGCCTTTCACACAAAGACACTAGTTCTTTTGTTTTCTAGACAGCCAGTCTACTAACCCCAATATAAAACTAATAAAACTAATTACAATAAAACAATCATCTCCTCTTTAACATCGCATTATCTATTGTTCGAATCTATTTTTGAAAACCTAATTTGAAATTTGAAAACCTATGGTAATGATGAATATAATGTATGCATTATGCTAGGTTACAACAAGTCAAAATCATCTTTCATATCATTATATTCCATGACATGTTTCCTAATCTTCGATGTATCAGTCCATGTAATGAAATCCTCCATATTCCGTGTGACAATGAAGGCTGGATCTGTGACAACCTCGGGTCCGACACGGACATGACCTTGCTCAATATATTTCACAGCATCTTTGATGGCTTGTGTCATACGTAGTCTAACCATCACAACAGGCAAACGCCGCCGACAAAACGCAGAGGCAGACAGCTTCTCGCACAATGCCAGGTTCTTCTTCGTCGGAATTGCACCCATATTATAAAGCTTTTCTAACAGCATGTCTGTACATTCAGCCCTGAAGGGATCCTTAGGATTTAGTTCTTTGATTTTATGTGCCAAAGCTTTGGACATATTGCAAAGTTTGTTGTATTTTGTGTAGTCTTCCCGCTTCTGAATGTGATATTTTCGTAATATTTTCACTTCACGGATATTATTATCACTTTTCCATGAAATAAAGTCGACTTTTTTTAGTAACTTCTTTTCGTGAAACTTTAAAGATCTCACCATTTCTTTCAAAAAATACAAAATATTGCAAATCTTTGAATTTACCTCTCAGAAAATGTCGATGAGTGGATGACGATTATCCAAAACTTCATGTAAGAAAATTTGAATAACTCGTGGTTACCCACGTGTGCCTCTCGAAACAGAACTGACCACCACCACACCACCCCACATATGACATATCCCATGCAATGGAAAACATTTTATCACCATAGACTCCACGATATTTTACTCGAAGGACGGGATGTTGTATTTTATAGGATTAGGACTAGGTGATGCAAAAGACATCAGTGTCAAAGGAGTTGAAGTTGTTAGGAATGCAAAGGAAGTTTATCTTGAGGCCTACACCTCTATTTTAACAGTTGGAAAAGATGTTTTGGTAAGTTTCATGAATATAATATTTGTTGATTTTATCCTTCCTAAAAATGTTTAGAGAACTCATGCAAATATAGATCATCACATAGAGTACGTAATAATGAAGTTAAACAGTTTCTCCTTCTCTTTCCCCCCCCCCCCCAATTCTGACAATTCTTTATGGTTCCAAAATGATATCTGTATGACTATGCAAACACAATTGCTCTAGGAGAGGTTTTATGGCCGAGAAGTTATACTGGCAGATCGTGAAACTGTTGAGCAGAACTCAGGTAACAACAGAAACACTACTTTTTAGGTAAATATAGACTAGTACAATTATGAAACACTTGGCCTTAGGACTAATGTTAGGAATCTGTTCTAAAGGTGATCAATTGTGGTGCTCTGAGATTTATATGTTCAATTTATGTGTTAAAGCTTTCTTGGGAACAATTTGTGTGTGATCCCCCAGTTGGATTAACCTGCAGGCATCTTATAATTGCTTCATCTTTTAAACTTTTAGATTCTATTTTAATGAATGCAAAAGATTTTGATGTTGCTTTCCTTGTTGTTGGAGATCCATTTGGGTTAGTAAAAGTTTATTTGATTATATGTATTATATATTTTAAATTCCCAGTTATACCTAATTATACACCATACTTCATTAATAACCAAGCAGGCATTGTAAGCCATCACACAATTTTTTCAAACAATTCTAGAGCCACAACTCACACTGATTTAGTATTAAGAGCAAGAAAAGAAGGAATTGCATACAAAGTTATTCATAATGCTTCTATAATGAATGCAGTTGCATGTTGTGGACTACAGGTAAACAAATATATTTTGCAGTGTCTCTTAGTTTTCACTGTGTTGGATTACTTCTTTAGCAGAACAGAAATTATTTTATTGCAGAAATTTTTAATCATAAAAGCAAACAAAATCTTTCTATTAGATTCGGCTAAAATACTTTTCAGCACTCTCATTAAGCTTATTATGTAGTTGCTAGGTAGTGCAGGTACTTGACAATTTGTTTATTGTGGGTCCAGTGCAACGTTCATTTATTTCACAGTCAGATACATTCTGCTGTTGATACATTCTGCTCAAAACTCTATTTACTTTAGCTTTACAACTTTGGTGAGACAGTCTCTATTGTATTTTGGGATGATACCTGGAAACCCGACAGCTTTTACGATAAGATTGCTTTAAATCGAAAAAACGGACTTCATACCTTATGCCTTCTGGGTAATTTGAATTAAATAATTAAATAAAATCTTTATTTTCACCGACAGAGAGGAAACCAGGAAACTACCACTGGTTGGTTTTCTTTGTCAAATCTTAACAGATATAACCATATAACCTTTTTACATGCATGTAGATATTAAAATAAAGGAACAATCAATTGAAAACATGATGAGGTAGGAATTAAAACCCGTACATGTTTCTACCATAATCCAATATATATATATATATATATATATATATATATATTATATATATAATATATATATAATTATATATATATATTTTTACACTTTCTTTGTTCTTTCCTTGCACGTTCCTTGCACGTTACTTGCAACATATTCAAACGCCTCACACATGTTTCTACTTTACATGCTTCACACACGTCTGTTCCACCTCTTTTACACCCCTGTTGAACATCCCAGCAACGTACTTCACAGTACGTTCCTTACGCATGTTTTACACGCACTTTTTCAGGCTGCAAGGTTTTGGGGAGGACTGTCGAGGAGCTTTAGTGCATGTACTTAATATCAGGGGCCGTAGGAAGCATTAAGCTATCTCGGTTGATGATGTTTGATCATATTTTGTAAAATTTATTATATAGAGGGAATAAAGTATTCGAACCACCCAGGTATATGACAGCAAAGCAAGCTGCTGATCAGCTTCTAGAAATTCTTAAAAACCGTGACTTCCAGGAACAGCCATGTGAGTTGTGAATTTATATTGCGTGCTATGTTCCTCAATTATATTAAGTTGCCAAGAAATCACTGTCTGGTTGGGAGATATGGATAATAGAAATATAGCTACGTGTCAAAAAGTTGAGCAGTTACTGCAAGCCTAATGACAATCATTTTTTGTTTGTAAAGGTTACGATGAAAATACATTATGTGTTGGTTTGTCACGAGTGGGATGCGATGATCAAAATATCGTGTGCACAACATTGAGGAAAATGAAAGACACTGATATTGGATCACCTCTACACTCCCTTGTCATTCCAGGAAAGATGCACTTTTTAGAAATTGAAATGCTTAAACTATTTACGGACAACAACGATGAGGAAATTTTAGCAAAACTGGAAGAAATGCAAAAAGATACGAAGCAATAATTATCTTCTCTGTCTGTTCCTCGCAGAAACAGAAATAATTATATACGAATGACAGTACAGACTACTGTGTAGAACAGACTTTTCATTTTAAAACATGATGCTAATTCAAGTCGAAGATGATAGAAGTAAAGAATAACCTGAGGATTTATGAATATATCATGCAGTTTTCTTGCACCCCCCAGACGTCAACCGGCTTGGTTCAAAACTTATAATCCAAAGAATTATTCAATGCCCCATCTTTACTTATGAAGAATAACTATAAGCAATAAACGGAACTGTTGTTATTTATTCAAGAATCTCAATGAAACGATTACTTTTGCAACCTGCATGGAACACACTTTTTCTATTAAATCTACAACAAAATTGTCTATTAAAGCAATTTCTATATACTTATTGTCTTTTCTTTTTCTATTTACACAATTTTATAAGCAATACAGTCCACAGGGACGTCAACAGTGTGCGGTGTAATTAATGTCCCTTGGTCATCATATTCAACCACTTCAAATGATTTCGTTTTCGTTTTACAAATAATGCTTGGATCATTTACTCCTCTTGCAATTCCGTCCTCTTTTCTACAGCGTACTGTCAGAATTTTGGGAGGATGTAAATTGCCAGCACTGTTGACCAAAGTGCTAGTTTTGACCACTTTTTCTTCTTGAAGATCTCGACAAACTTGTATTGGTCCAAACAATCTCTTGTTCCTGAAACCATAATGTTTAGTGAACTTTTAACAAAAAGTTTTCATTTAAGATAAGGTTATACCCAAACTCAGTATGGATGTAGCTAATACACGGCTAAAAACGCTCCAATTTTAGGGAGGTCGGGAAACGCTGCACCACGAATATAATGTTATGAATTTTACGCAATTTGAGCAATCGTCGCTAATACGCGCCGGGTAATCATCCTCTGCTGATGACCATGCATGCATAAATTCAGTTCCATGCATGCATTGTGTTCACGCTCCATAGCACCAAAGCAAAGCGTTCTGGTATTCAAATTAAAACAACAGCCAACAATAGTATATCGGCCCAAGGTCTGCTTTTCTGTGCACACACCCTGTATAATGCACTAATTAATGTAATGGTACTTGCCATGGTACCTCACTTGTAATGGTACTTGTTCGTTCATGTGCTTAAGTTTGAAATTATCTGGCCGGCACGATGTTGTGTATGTATATACATACTTCTTGAAGCGCAGGGCTGTGCCCCTCAATCACAAGTTATTTCGGCTTCCAACGACATGGTTTGCTGCAGTCAATATGCAATAATATGACTTTTCAATGGATTTAAACTGTCTGAAATAGATGCGAGCCGGCTGTGTAGTCGTGTAAGTACGTATAATTTATTTTATAAAACATATTTTCTGTTTCACAACACCCTAAATCGATACTGAATATGTATAGAGTTAGAACTGTGTATGAATAAACGTCTTTTTGTCTTCCTTGTGTGTATGACCCGTGATCGAAAATTGCACGCTTTTCGGCCGCTGCCAAATCATTCTTGTTTGGCTGCATGTGCATGCATTCACGCGGCCATTTCAATCCATTTAGTTCTGGCAACATGTTTTATGTTTTCGAAAGTTGAGGGACATCATCCTATACACATATATGTAGGTTTCATATAATGAAATTAAGAAAAGAAAGACGGCTCGTATATAAACTTATGATCATTCAGGACATGATAAGTGCGGGTGCATGTTGTCGTTGACTTTAATAAAATACCCACACGAAGTTTTCTCCCCTGTCGTTTCGTGACCAAATTTTTTCGAATCTTCGTGCTTCAGCCAATATGAGGCATGCAAAAGCGAGCAGAAAAACCTAAGAAAAAATGTAGCTATAAATATAATATAATAGATAAGTATACATATAAAGCTAACGTTCCAAGTAAAATATCTCAAAAAAACATGTAAGTGCATTCTCAACAAGCGCCCTGCATGTATATATATATATATATATATATATATATATATATATATATATATATATATATATATATATATATATATATATACTTAACCTAGTCCTACAAAACACAAAATCCATATTCAAAAAAATTTATATGAAACACACTGACTGTAAACTTCCTTTGACTCTTCCTGTTGAGAGTTACGTGATGTTTTAATTTAGATTAAACATCCTCAGGATGCCCCATTATATTGCTCTGGCTTGCCTTGAAACTCAGGAGGAAATGATGCATTCGACAAAAGGATTCTTTGTTTAGAGGATGCATTAAAATCATTATTATTTATACTGATAACTTCAGTTTTATAGTTAATTTATTTTACACATTCACAAAACAACATTTTGTTAATTAGGCGACATTAATTCGCAATTGTCGAAAGAAAAGATGACTCTGACTTCAACTGTTCAAAACAACTTTGTTAGTCTTGATTGTGGCTCAATGTTGCTGTAGTTGACGAGTTTTATTAACGCCAAACTGATTACATTATTACAAGAATAGGTCCGAAGAGATCAGATGGGTACGGCCCAGGGGACAATGTCCTATATACATTCATGCAAGCTATATGAAGAATTTACAAGTTGTATTGTATATAAACTATGATACCTTGTACATTCTTTCTTACAGTTTCTGTATAAACTTTGCTTGTTTCTTCAACAGCATTCAAATGCAGACTTCTTCTTATAATAACAAAATCAAACGCCCATCCTTTTTATACCATTCACACCGCGATGATATAGTCATACTTAAAATAGATTCCTGTTGGGTGCAGCTGAGAGTTAAACGCCCAGTCTGGCAGAATCCTTGAAATGCTAGAAAATGTGGGCGGGTTTCTGCCATTTTAAATAATTATGCAAAAATATTTATGTTCGAGTATAATTGAAGTTCCTGTCCTGACCGTTATAAAACGTTACAAATGCTCCTAAAATGAGAAAGACATTATATTTATATATTCAATCGTAAGTCTTGTAAATGAACGACAGAGAATAATGCCGAATTTTCTTTCAACTTACGAAAATTATATACAATCATTTTTGTAATGAGATTCCTTTTGGGAAATACTGAATGTATAAATCAGTTCTTATATGTAAAAACGGAATAGTTGTAAATCCTCATGCAGTATCTGTTTGGCTATGAAAGGCTTCGTGCACATTAATGACCCATAAATAATAACGTCAAAACGTTTTTAGCAGCTATATAGTACTGATACTATCAGTATAGTGTCATTTCTGCACAACATCTATTTAAACTGCATGCATGGGGTGGTTAAGTTTCCGGCTACTTTCTTTCTCGTTTTGTAAGGCTTTGAAGGAGTTTAATGGAGAACAAAGAGTTGAAATGACTTCATCGACATAATTTCAATATATTATTATACGATGAATGCCACAATATAATTCTTATCAGTCACGCGTGCAGATGCATGCCCTTTTATCTAGAGTTTGTATAACTTGACCTTAACTTATTGACATTAAGCAAAAACCTTCAGTTTTCATCTGCACGCCGCGAAACATTTACATATTGTAATTAAAGCATATAGGCAAATATATTAGTGTTTATAAACATATATACTTGAATTTGCACACAAGCATGCAGACCCCTTGTCTAAAATTTAAGAGTGTCGCATCGGACTATATTGTCATTAAGGAAAAGAATACTGCACTTTTGAAGTTTTAATCAACGAATGGTCTCCTTGCTTCAACTTCCAATATCTTTAGCTATGGCACATGTCCCTATAAACAGTTCCACTTCATATATTGGTATTCGGCTATAAAATAGACAATAACACTTCTCGAAGTTTCGACCTCAAGAATACAAAAACATGCATGCATATAGATATGTACCGATCATAGCAATCAAAGAAACAAATGCGGCCAATCCAAGAACAGTAATTGATTGGGTCGACATGATGCGTTATGAATATTGGAGGTGTTCCCCTTACTTGTGAGACAATATATAGGTGAATGATTTTTAACTACATGAGACATGCATTTGCCATCAATAAAACGCTTTCTGTCAACAGTGTCGTTAATTAAAGCCTTATATTGTCATTTCATATATAACGCCGTTGGTTTTAAAAAAATGTTTCCTAATTGAAATTGTTCCCAAATGAACTGTATGGTAAATTCTCGTATACCGCAGCTATATTGACTTCCTACACATTTGAACCACAAATCCTTAAAAGCCTGTTTCCAGGAAGGTAGGAACACGTTTCTCAACGGAATGAGTATGTAATAAGTCTTTGAATTTCTTTGAAATATTCCCCGACTAAAGTGTTATTAGTTCTTCCTGACTGCATATAATTGAAACTCAACAGGCCAAATATTTCGTATATCGTAAAAGACCAGATTTCGTATATCGCAAGCATGGCTGGTTTTGACTGAACAAAACCTGGCTTTCACTAAACCAAACTGCATAATTTGCATGATGAAGAAGAACGTAACGGAATTAATTGGAGGATATAGTAGTTGTTTTCTGTCTCTAAGATCCTTCCAAACCTTCTTTCGGAATCGAAGAGTTAGTTTTTAAACAATGCCTGGTATACATGGTCTCCTTTTATGCATTTAAAGTTACATCGGATTGACATACTGCAGCATATAGAAATACGAAATTGACTATCGGACGTACAAGTTAAATATACATTTATTCAATGCAATTTCTATTTTTCTAATGTCAGTCATTGCATGTATTCATTTACTAAATGCACTAAATTTTATAAGCAACACAGTCCACAGAGACGTCGACCTGATGCGGTCTAATTAGTGTCCCTTCGTCATCATATTCAACAACTTCCAAAGTTTTCGTTTTGGTTTGACAAATGATGCTTGGATCTTTTACTCCTGTTGCATCCCCTTGTTCTTTAGAACAGCTTACTGTCAGGATTTTGGGAGGATGTAAATAGCCAGCACTGTTGACAAGAGTGCTAGTTTCGACCAGTTTTTCTTCTCGAAGATCTCGACAAACTTGTATTGGTTTATACGATCTTTTTCCAACGTCGTCACTAAAATATAATGTTTAGCTAAGAAACCATATACAGTGTATGCAACGATTCATTGACTTGCATTTACCAAGGTATTAAATGTGCCATTGTTTAAATGCAGATTTTTATAAAACAGGTATCAAATGGTTTTTCGGTGAAAGTAGGAACGCCATGCTACATGACTTGTTATAATACTTTGTCGAAAAAGCCGTGTAAATTTACAAATTATCAAATCAATAATGCATGAGTATGAAATGACCAAGTGAATGTTGTTGGGCTTTGTTTGACTTGCACCAGCTGCTTTTATTGTGTTCATGTAGGACGTGGGAAGGGCGGTTGTTAAACCTCCAGAATCCTCTATATGCGTGTACAGATCGATCTATATGTACATGCACTAGGCTACTAGTGCTCAGATATAGACAAAGCCTGTATGGTTATATACCAAAGATTATTCCAAATATACATACATGATATTTTTGTCGTTGTTATCATCCCCAAAAAGGTCGAGTTTTCTTGCATCTGCCGATAGGAAGCATGCAGTAATGATCAGCAAGACCTAAATATATAAAGCGTATCTCACATATAGTTTCTGTGTGGTTAACTTTCAATATATTTATTAACGTTACTATATTATAATTAACATATATGTATGTTGTAAACGGTGAATTAGTGAATAAAACATTTCTGCTGTAAATTGTTATCATGCAGTTCATCTGTCAAAGTAGCTACTTTGACAGATGTATACTGATATTTTTCAGTTAAGGAAAGTGAAATGTTGTTTTTTTAATTTCTACTCAACGTCTTAAGTGAAATGAATTGAAACATTACAATTGACACGATAATGGATCGTTGAAATTTAGAGAACTCCAGAAAGTATCGACGTATTGATTGGCGCTGTTTGTGTGCTACTTTCTTGCAATCTTAGAAATATTTTTAACCGTCGCACATATGGAAAAAGGCAGTGAGTTACCCAAATGAACATTTGCTCAAAGTATCTGTTGAAAAGGACTACTTTGTTTTGATATATGATAAGTATGAGTTATGCTTAAATGATAAATGAAGTTGTATAAATGGGACATGCACTGTGACTGAATGTCATCTCATTAACATATTAATTGTGTTCCTGCATATAAAAAATAGAGGAAAAATAGCAATACTATATACATGCATGTTTTTTATAAAGACTTCTGACAAGAACCGTGTTGATTTTGTTCCGCGCTAATGTTATAGGAAGTTGAAAGTGGTCATGAGCATGCTATTTCTTCAAAAAAACAGCTTCTTCTGACATAAACTGAATAACCTGAAAAATAACTGAATCGTAACGTATTTGTAACTATAAGAAGTCGTTTGTTGTATAGCTACTTTTCGACAAAACCGCGGCCAAATAATTTAAATTACTTGGTCTGGATAATGTTATTTCGGCTATATCTTGGCTGCATATATACATAGTTTATATACAGTCTTCTTACACACGGCCACTATTCGATAACGTACACGAAAGCAATCGACTTCCAGTGCCTTGTATAAATACGAATTTTTCCGGTTAAATTCATTGCCTTATGACAACATCTTCCGCTCAATGAACTTTTTTCATTTGGTCTATAGCTATATGAGAAATTTATAAGCCGGTTTAACTTCATTTCTGCGTCTTACAGCTAAGTTGACACTAATTTAAATGAAAGTATCTTCGATGAAAATTTTCTTCATTGGCATTCGGTATGAAGCACTTCGGACTCCTTTCTTTTAAACGTCAAGTAAAAATGTGTTTTTATGCATTGCCAAGCTCAATTTGGTAAATGATTGTCAATGTATTTGTAAATTTATAAGTGTAATATTACAATACCTTGAACATCTTTCCAATATTCCTTCTCAATTTCTCTTTCTTTATCTGAATTCAATAACAGTTTTGGCTGATATGTCAACGAAACAAAACGACAATTCTTTTTATGTGTTCAGTGCTGTTCTTAATTTAGATTAAAAAATGGGTGCAGCTGCAGAATAAATGGAAGTCTGCAGAGATACTTGAAGTCACAAGAGAATGTGGGTGAAGTGGAGATATTATAATAAAGGAATAACGTATAATTATGCTCTCTGACCATAATAAAACGTCAAAAATGTCATTCTTTCAAAAACTATGTCGGGCTTGACACTTAAACAGTTATTAAAAGACGTTTTATTAAATGCCGAAATAATTGACGTTTGGCTTGGCAGTCAGTGGAGAAAGCGCGTGTATATAATATAAACATTAATTTAGTTATATATAGGCAAAAACTTATACAACCCACTAGAATAATACTTTTTTGCTTCTTTTCTCATATCTGCATGCATGTATATTATATAGCCCTAGAGTTTGGCTAAAAGTTGCTGTGTGTTTTTTATATGACGTGTCAACCAAAAACTCGTCACGAATTTTTTCTTTTTTCTGATTTGGATACAAGACCATGCAATATAATTAGTGGCCCACAAGAATGGTTGTCTTTTTTGAAAACCACACCCGCACATATCGCCTACACAAGTGCATGCATGCGGTAGCTATTTCCGATATTTGAACTGCCGTAATTCTTAATTCATCTTTCATTACCGGCTTAACGTAATTTTTGGATTTTTTTGTATTGCACGGTAAAACTAAATTTGTTTATATAAATAATATACATGCAGTATCTATATAGAGAATATTCAGGGTAAAAACTTGGTTGGAAAAACTTTGAGCGCTATAGACTCGTATAGTCACACTATATAATCACTAATTATATTGTTCATTACCTTTGAAGATAAATGTAACCAACCATAAATGTAAGAACAGTCTGAGCAGATTTTCATCTGCCACATGATAAAAATTTACATATCATATAATTATTGAAGCGTTGGCGTTTATAAACATAATACTGAATATATATGTAGTCATACATGCATGCATTGATCCACGCAGTAAGGGCATATAATAGACTCAAAACGAAATTAATTCAGTGTAATCAGGTAACAAAGTCTTTTTGTGCTTAGCTTCCAACCATGCGGTCAAGGCCTTATATAGTACTTCCTGAATTGTCTCAAAATTACCACTTCCTATATGTATATAGCTAGTTGTAATATACAATAAAATATTAGAAATTATCTATAATTAAGAGTTAGCCTGGCTTTATATATTTTTCTTAGCGTTTACACCACACGAAATTTCATAGATTTTATTTGCATTATTTTTTTTCAATTTAATAATATCATATATAGAATATTTAAATTTTTGTAATTTCTTATAGTTATCCGTGTTATACCGGTAGATGAAGAATTAGAATAATCGATTAATGCAAAACATCCTTCTCTTGCCATATTACATGTCACTAGTTCAGTGTTAGCTATGCGCCTTTTAACACAATTTCCCCATCCAAAATGGCCACTCGATCCTTGACTGGACTATTCGAATACTGATGATATCAAAATCAGTATATACCATATCAGCCTGCCTGCATGCCTGACTATGGCATTTTCATACCATGCATTGAGGGCTTTTGCATATCCGTTGTTCAAATTAACATCATTCTCTGTGAGAGGTTTCTCTAAAACGCTTTGTCATACTTGTGGAATAAGCGGGCTAAAATGAAGCCTCAAATGAGTGAAAGGACAAAGCTAAACTCTCACTACTGAATGACACTTCGCAAGTAAGGACTATGGCATGCATTTAGTTTTCCGGTTCCTTTGGAATTACTGAAAATATACGTATTTTCTGTGGTCGGAGGATTCAAGCGGTTTCCTTGTAACTTGACCTTTCTTTGAACAAAACTTCTTTGCAATTATGTCTCTCTTATTATAAACGTCACAATGCGATTGTAAAAATCATTAAGATGTGACGCCAACGCTTCCAGCATAGGCGTCTATTCATTAACATTAGCAAATGAAAGTACAATGATCAATACACATATGAGTAAACTGGTTAAAATTTCAAAGTAAGAAAAACCTTCTTGACTCAATTACACTTGAATTAGTAATTTTTATAAGTTACTATATACTCAGATACTGACTGAAATATTATATATATAATGAAGGAATCCTCGAGAAATCAATTGATCGGAACCTTTGTATGGAACTATAATATTACATAATAACATTCGGTTTTATTGAATGAAAGATGCAGAGAACAATGCAGTGTAAGAAAACAACCCTATCTTAGAAAGGTTCATGCACTATTAAAAACTCCCAAATTTCAATTGAAAGATATTCTTTGACTTTGGATAATATTCGCCATGAATTATACGAAAAAATATAATTGCAGGAAATATATTTAGTGAAAGAATTGCTTTTATAAATCAGTTCTTTTGGAATTTTTATGATTTCTTGTCCGGAGAAAAACAAAACATAGATTTAAATTGCTTACAGCTTACAAACGCAATTTTAAAACTATAGTATATAACATATATATTATAACATATTTTATAAGAATCAGCAAATCACATAATTATTATAATTTAATGATGAAGTAGCAACAGTCATTACATTTCTAGAAGTTGCATATACATATACATATGCTATATATACAGCCCCATAATTTAAAAACTTTTACAACATTACTAAAAGACTTTTACAACATTACTAAAAGACTTTTACAACATTACAGTTGCCCTTGCATTCATTCCAAAAATAGGATGAACTAGGGTGAGTGCATGTGACTCATAAGGTATTCGCATGCATGCTATATGTATAGTATAATAAAAAGGTTTCATACTGATATACATACCTTTAGCACATAACTTTCTAAAATGGACTTCGTAAGCCTAACCTTGGTATTTGTCTGCAGGAAAGGCGTCAGTGTGTCTCATAAATATATAATGTCTATTGTTAAAACGCAGGTTTATAAACTTATATATAAAAAGTACTAACAAAAGGTTTAGGCAAGTATGGATATTAATCTGATTATCTTGAGCAACTGTTTAGTCAGTCACTATGAGGCCGTGCAGGTTCAAAATCTTTGTATTTTATTTTTACTCTTATTAAAGTTTATCTAAGATCGAATCTACCTTGACTAAACTGTTTAATTCCTTTTAAAAATCCTATTTAAAATCTGAACGTCTTGCGTGTTGCATGATTTGAATATCGATATCATTTCATACCTTGTGGCGCATAACGTTCCACATTTGACTAGCTAGTAGCACTGAAATCCCACTCATCGTTAACCCGTATATGTTAGTCACGTCTTTAACGAACGCTAGTGCGTTAAATGAGTCTCTTATATTCACTATATAAACTGCAAACCATGCAATGAATAAATTCACACAGTGATCGAAGCAATTTCATTGTATTTTAAATACTAAATCTAAACACACGTTTTATTTGACATGATTAACACAATAATAATCCTGAATTTTTTATTAATTGGATAGCTACATACAAAATACAAAAATCAATTTATGCATTCTTTTCCTCGTTTCTCAAACAAAGAAACAAATTTCGTCTTTGTGTCAAATTCAGGACAACCTGTTTGAGTCCTTTACATTCAGTCTAGGGATTCTTTCTTAAATTTATTTTGTCTGAATAACATGCAACGGAAAAAACTATTATAATTTTGAGTTCATTGTTAATAGCTATTTTAGTGACTAATTTGGATTTTGGAGCTTTAAATTATACACTAAATTATGCTCACTTATAACGATAATTTTACAGTAGCTATATTTTTAATATCCTGCACTGTTATTCGCGAAACATGCATGACAATAAGATATTCTATCGTTCTGTTACTGTGATCCAGATTTCTTCCTTGGGCTGGGTTACTAAACGGTACTCGGGTTCAACAACTTGACCTTCAACCATGTGAATTTTGAAACGACGCAGGAAAACAGATAGGACCACTGCAACTTCAGCGTAGGAAAAACGATAACCAGGACATTTACGTTTGCCAGCGAAGCCAAAAGGTTGAAAAGCCATTGGATGGCGCTTTTTTATCTCCTCTGCATTGAAACGCTCCGGATCAAACCTGTAATATAGATGCGATGGTAAATAACCCTACATAACTTTGGTCGAGGAATGCGGACACTTGGCATTTCGAAAGACAGGGTGTGTCAGAACAGTAAACAATTAGAAGTCGAATATTCAGCTAACTTCTAAAGAATGTTCATGGGTATTTCAAATTACTTGAATCCGGGATAGCTGTTGCCAAACAACACCAAATGCAGGGTTTAAAGTTTCATTCAGGTGCAGGTTTAGGGAATGTTTCATCAGGGAAGTTTATGATTGGCCTTTTCGGAAAACCGCCATTTAATTTGCAGTCATCTACATGTACATGTACACATACTACCTCGTGTCATAAGACTATAGTCCTAAATTTTAAGCTCGCTTTTGTGAAAATTTGAATGGCTCCGAGATTTGTCATATTGACGTGATATTCGCGATATTACACCCTCGCCCATATCACATTTTGAACAAATCTTGTCAGCCTTCAACACGTGTTTTTTAAAACAACACGAGTTGATATTTTCTCTTTTATTTTTAGAAATATACAGCTGAAACACTTGAGAGAACTTTGAGAGAACATATACAGTTGAAACACTTGAGAGAGGCTTTGATTGTGGGTGTATTTTTCGAAATGGCAAGCGTAAATATTTTCGAAGTACTTTTATAGAACACGTGTTTATTATAAGTTGTGAGATTAACAAGATGTGAGATTTTTAGGTGTGAAGTGGGCGCCGACGTGACGTGACGTGTAGCGCCAGGTGGCGTGTGTGCATACGCACGTGTGTTTTGCGCCACGTTGACCAAGTTCGTAGCCGTAGCGGGAGCCGTAGTGCATGCAATCAAATGTTAAGTAAAATAGAAATCAAATCTTCACTCAAATCTTTTACCAAATGTTCAGTCAAATCTAAAGTTCTCTATTTTTGGACCATAAACATTGTCGCTGGCTTCATGCAGTTGCTTCAAAATTTTATAGAACTAAACGCCGTCTTTACACAAGAAACACAGTGAACTTGTACCATTTTAGGACGCGACTATCAAACTTTGATATAATAATGATTAACTGCTATATACTGAATCGTAGCAGCAACAATCTTAAAGAAAATCAGCGTACAGTACTGTATTGAAAATTGTCACGAACAAGATTAATTGGATGCACGCGATATAAGATTGGTAATTATTTGAAATGAGACAAAATAGCAATGAAAGGTCGGTTGAAAGTTGAAACCATGAAACGCAAACGTCAAAGAACAAAAAAATTTCAAAACTCTAAAATACTCACGAAACAACCTCTGAAATCATTATAGTCGAATTTATCCACACGGGTAATCAAAAGATCAAAACCGCCATCGTGCTCCCTTTTTAAAATTTGGCTAAATGGTTGTTTTCATGTCAAAGTATAGAACTTTGTTCACGTACATACACCTTTGTATAGTATATTTTATTATTGAAGTATATATTTCGTACTTGTCTGGGTCAGGCCATACATCTTCATCTTTAAGAACGACACCAAGGGCAGTAATGATAGGAGTCTAAAATTATAAGAAATGTTAAACCAACCCGGCTGTACATTGTAAACAATCAAGTTCCGGGGTAGCATCAATGATGAAACAATACCTGTTTTGGTATAACGTGCTCTCCAATTTGTATATCATAGTCTGCATATCTGGCAGCCCAAGGAGCAAGAGCAGAACACCTCATTGTTTCATCAGTCACTTGCCTGCAGAATCTGTTGTGTCGAGGCTATTAGTAATATCTTTGGACATACCATGCACAATATCAAGTCTGATATATGAATATCACAGGGTGAACAACGAGAATATATATATAGTAGAGCAGTAATGTGGAAGGGTTATGGGGTGTGGCGACACCCCACCCAAATTTTGTTCCAAAATTAAGCTTAACTCAACATCCTTCTAAAAGCCAAGGTTAACAGCCATGTAGCGAAAGGAATAAAACAAAACTACATGAATAGTGAAATGAACAATAAATTTTAGCTTCCCTGAATGAAGACTTGAAACTCTTACTTCAATTGCGGTAAAATCTGCGCTGTAATCGTTTCCTCTCCCAAAACATCAACAAATTCCTGATACAGTTTTTCTTGGACTTCTTCATGTGTAGCCAGAAAATACAAACACCACGCCAACGCTACACAAGCAAGCGATTCCAAAATGAGTTTACAAAACGTACGAGTTTATGAAAGGAAAGTAAAAAAATGAGCAAAAACATGAAAAGTGATACATACGAAGAAAAAATAATGAACTTGATTTTTTTATTATACTGGAATAATATAATATTTTTACTTACTGTTTCCAGTTGTATGAAAACCTCCAATCAAGAACGTAATAGTTTGATCTGTCAACTGCAAGAATGAAATGTGAAAACATCAACTGAATTATAAAGAAACAAACGTTCCCATAACCTGTGTAAAGGAGACCAATCTCATCAACAGAATATGCCGTTTGCGTGTAGGTGAGTTCGTAACGGTGAAAAACTGCCAAATTCTGAGAGTGCTGACTGCTGATAGAATCCTGGATACAATGTCAAAAACAATATCCCCACCTCTTCCTCATCAATAAAATCAGCATCCATGAGGCTATCCAGAAAGATTTGATCTTTTTTATCTTTTTGGTCTCTTCTTTTTCGAATAACGTCTTTTATGATACTCCGTAAGTAGTCTCGGCCTATAATAATAAACTTGTGACAATTCAAAGTGGAAACATAGGGCATAACATAAACACCACCTGACACCACCACCATTAACCTCATTACTCTTGTCTTTAAGCATACTGCTCTTCAGCTACATCTTAACTCACTTGTCAATAATAAAAGTGTTGCTGCCAAATGTCCCAAGTAATGGGTGTTGCAGTGCAATTAGCTAAATTATTTAGTAATAGCCTGTTTGAGCCAAAGTGCAGTGTTTATGGAATTCACTTTAGCAGATTCTGTAGTCAAAAGTAAAAAATTACACTCTTACTTTCTGCAAATTTTTCCATGCGTCCGTCTCCTTCTTCTGGCAGATTTCCTTTCAATGTATCTTCCTCCTCTTGCCAGCACTGTCAGGTACATAAGTACATTTGAAATCAACTTGTTGATGAATTAAACTTTAACTCTTTATTACATTATCTCCTCGGAAATTGCAGAGTCTGAGAGACAACTCTCTTGCCTGAGTCAGTATAACAGCAGCATAAACAGAACTCATTGCTAATTACTCACAACATGATAAGCCTTGGACATTTTGAGAAGCTGTTGTTCATCTTTCATTCCATTTCCCAAAGCTGCAAGACCAATAGCTTTCATGCTTAATGCAATCATATGTTGGGAGAGAGGAATATGTTGGTCTGATGGTTGAGATGCCCATTTTTCAGAAAGTTCTGTAGCAACCTGCGCAGAAAATTTTGCATGATTACAAATTTTATTCAATGATCCAGTGGTGATTTGGTACCATTGACTTGCAAACGTCAGACGATCAAAAGGTGACAATAACCTTCTGCCTTTGAGATAGGTACAAACCTTGACAAAATCATCATAATAGTAAGCAACAGCTGTATGACTAAACCCTTCATCCATCAAATGACGTCTCTTGCGACCTTCAGCACCATTGGCATATTGAATACTCTTGTTACCAATTAAATCAGAAAAAGCTTCAAATAGAAGTTCTAGAAACAGAGAACCAATCAAACCATTAGTCCATCAACGAATCAAATTGCTAGAAATACTTCAAGTTCTATAATATTGTACTTACTTGGTCTGTCAAAAAGTGCTTTGACTTCATCAAACATTTTTGGTGATGCCAATGAGACAACAAGCTGTTTTCCCCACCAAAAACTTGCTAATGGGCCATATTCTTCATGAAGATTCGTTAAAAATTCATGAAGACTTCCAGCATCCTGAATATCGTCAAAATTTCCTTTGCTATATAATATAAATTTTGTACATATAGAAACACTTAATTTGATGAAGGTCTAATTGGTCATATAAAAAAGGTAAATTTGTTTAGGTGAAGCATAAAAAAAACCTCTATCTTATTCCCATGCAAAATTTTTTACCCTTACTTGATACACAACCGTTATCCCTAATAATAACCCTGATTCAAACCATCCATTATTTATATTTTGACTTGCTCATATATTGAGAAAAATCTTTTTATATTTTGTCCTGCATACATCTATGGTTAAAATTCATATCATATCATCACAGAAGGTTAATTAGCACTTTGAGAAAAAAGCACTTCCTGAGTTTACTTATTCTGATACCAAAATCTTGTTCTAATTTAAACAAACCTCATTGATTTTGCATACACAATACTTACTCTGGATCTGTAGAGTCAATACCGGGCAAATTAGAACTTCGTGTCTTTGCATTCTATATATTTTAAAAGAGATGATAGTTTTCAATCACATTTTCTTTAATTTTTAGACATATATTATTGTTAAATGGCACAAATAGGAAATACTTACAAAATCGAGCAGGAAAAATAGTGCCAACAAAAGGGCAAATATAACAACACAGGCAAAGATACCAAAATCTAATACGCTAAAATGTGAAGGCAGCATTTTAAATTTTGACACACTGGAAAATCAGTTAAATGAAAATTGATCTGCAATATGCATCAAAGCAACGTAGCATTACATGTGAATGCGCTATGGAAATGCCAGAGGTACAACCGGATTACCGGAAGTTTTTATAGAATTTCGATAGGTACAAAGTGCCGGTTGTACATCGTCAAAAACCGCGGATAGCACTGATGCCAAAGCAATATATGAATTTTCGGTGAATCCTTTTTTATATTTTTATAATTATTTCCTTCATTTGAAGGATCTGAAGGAGTGGATAAATGTAATAATGATCAGACGGGTAACGGGGGTTGTATTAGAAAATAGCAGTAACCAGTTATTTAGTGAAAAAATTAGCCTATTGACTACCTTTCGATATAGACAAGGAAGTGCAACAGGCTATGAAAAAATCAGCTAATTAGAATTAGAGTAACCATGGGCCGTAGAAATTCAGGCCGAAAATGGTAAAAATTTTCGTGTGTCAAACATCTTTGCAAACTTCGCTATATAGGCTACTATGTTTCGCATTTTACAACACTTCGCTCTTTTCACTTTTCAACTCTGGTAAATTACTTGCCCTTCCTTATCTGTATCAAATTGTAGACGGAACGCAAAAATTACTAACAATAGCGTCACTTTTATGAGCTCAATATTATAAACATTACAGTGCTGGATTCATAATCTTCTCTCTTTACAAAGCATTTCCTCTGAAATTGTAATTGAGAGTCAATTTTTGTTTAGTGTCAAATTTAGGACAATCTCTACTTGAGTCTCTAATCTACTTTCACCGTATACGGATTCTATTTCGTCTTCATTTGTCTTTAGTCTCTACTTACAACTATTGTAAAAAAACTTTGTTATGGTGTTTAGTTCAATGGGATATTCTATCGTTTTGTTACAGTGATCCAGATTTCTGCCTTGGGCTTAGTCACTAACATGTGCTCGGGTTCAACAACTTGACCTTCAACCAAGTGAATTTTGAAACGACGGAGTAAAACAGATAGGACCACTGCAACTTCAGCGTAGGAAAAACGATAACCAGGACATTTACGTTTGCCAGCGAAGCCAAAAGGTTGAAAAGCCATTGGATGGCGCTTTTTTGTTTCTTCGGCATTGAAACGCTCCGGATCAAACCTGTAATAGATGCGATGGTAAATGACTCAACGTAACCATGGTCGAGAAATGCCGAGGTAATGTAAACCTAAACTATATTCGGTGAATATTGGTACTTTTGGTTACAGCAAAACTAAACTTTATTGACATCTAACTTCACTGACAAAGTCTACGGCTACGAAGCGATAATCAATTTTAGCAGCATTCTTTGCAAAAATCAGTGTACCGTCCTCGTATTGCTAACGAGCTAGAAAATTGTCAGAAACAATATTTTGATATCAATTATTCATTCTGGCACTAGTTTCTACGTGAAACGCGACTAAAATTGAAACGATAAGATCGACACTGCATGAGGTAAACACTAAACGAGGTTAAAACCGCGGATCACAAACGTCAAATAGCAAAAGTTGTACTGCATGCTGCATGCAAGCCATCGTTTGCAGTTGAGCGAAAAACGTCAATCTAAAACTCATGTCGGAAATACCAATAACAATATATATGTTTCAGTTTGGGATTTATCCGGTAAATTGGTCAAAGTGAAATATTATCAGTATTTTCTAAAAATTTGGCTATATACCAGTGTGTAATAATAGAGCACAGTTTTATTATCGTACTTGTCTGGGTCAGGCCATACATCTTCATCTTTGAGAACGACACCAAGAGCGATAATCATAGGTGTCTAAAATAATGGTAAAGCATTAGCATATGATAACTATACATTGCATTTATCAAACGAGACCTAGAGCAGCACAGTGAATATGAAACGACGACTTATAACCACAAACAAATAATTAGGAAATGAAATGTTTGGTTTGGTTAACAAACTTCTCTTCAACAAAACACCCTGACAGTGTAGAGAAGGTGAGTTAATTTACCATGCGTTTCTGAAGCTACGGACCATTTTACCTGTTTTGGTATAACGTGCTCTCCAATTTGTATATCATAGTCTGCATATCTGGCAGCCCAAGGGGCAAGAACAGAACACCTCATTGTTTCATCAGTCACTTGCCTGCAGAATCTGTTGTGTCGAGGAATATTTGTATTATCTATCCACAATATCTGATATGATAATCATCACAGCAGAACAAAGAAGAATTTTTTCCATGCAAGAAATTTGTACTGCCGAGAATGGGGTATATAGGGGTATCTTGGGGTATCACATCCACCCCAAGGCCAAGTTCGTTCATTATTTGGACAAAAGAGAATAAATGTTTTAAGCAGTTCTGTTTTTTTGCTGGAATCCTTCTATTTGGAAAATTTTGTTATGAACAGTACGTTTTTCCATGTTTTGGATCAGATTGAAGACTACGAACTTCTTACTTCAATTGCGGTAAAATCTGCGCTGTAATTGTTTCCTCTCCCAAAACATCAACAAATTCCTGATACAGTTTTTCTTGGACTTCTTCGTGTGTAGCCAAAAAATACAAACACCACGCCAACGCTATACACAAGCAAGCGAAAAAGGATATGAAGAGTGAACAGTGAAGAGTGAAAAAATAGTAAAAATGTGGTAAACTTTCACAAAGAAGCTCCTATGAAACTAATATGATTTTTCAAATGAGCTGCGATAATATTTTCACTTACTGTTTCCAGTTGTATGAAAACCTCCAACCCAGAACGTCATAGTTTGGGTTACCAACTGCAGGAATGAAATGCGAAAACATCAACTGAATTATGAAGAAACAAACGTTCCCGTATCAAACACGAAGGAACACTCATACAACGGAGGTCATTTGGTTCATTTCTCGGGATTCTAGTAAGTTGCTCCGTTATTCCTATTCATACAGACTGGCGTGGGGTAACTCGCGTTCAATGAATAAACTTTATTTTAAAAAGGAATCATGATAAAACATACCTCTTCCTCGTCAATAAAATCAGCATCCATGAGGCTATCCAGAAAGATCTGATCTTTTTTATCTTTTTGGTCTCTTCTTTTTCGAATAACGTCTTTTATGATCCTCCGTAAATACTCTCGATCTCAATAATAATTGACGAAATCTCAATGTACTGTAAAGTATTGGTGAAATGTACACAATGTACAAACACAATGGTATCTGCAAGGCTTGGTCAACCGCATTTGGCTCTATTCTAACACAATGGTCAATAGACGATTGTTAAAGTAAATATTCGCTACCAATTGTCCAGTGGGTCCTTAATTACGACGCAAGTTAAACTAAATAACTTAAGGTGGCTCCCTACAGTTTTAAGAATATTGAAATCTTGTTGTTTTGATTTAAAATTTTAGCACGAGATTTCTTGGTAGGGATAAGAAATTTCCAATATATATAAACCAACATTCTAACAGTCAGAAATTACCCATAAGCATGACGTCATTACCGTTGTTATGGTAACAATGGCGATTCAATATGGCCGACATTTTACCTATTCATGCATTTTACTCGAAAACAAGTTCGGTTACCCCAATTTTTTATTTTATAAAAAGTTTTCTTACAAAAAAATAGGAAATTTGAGCAAGTTTAAAAAAATTCTATGGAGCCAAAAAATTTCTATAACGAAAAATTACGTTTTTTCATTTTTAATAATTTTGGCTCCATAGAATTTTTTTTAACTGGTTCATGTTTTCCATTTTTTTGTAAGAAAACTTTTTACAAAATAAAAAATTGGGGTAACCGAACTTGTTTTCGAGTAAAATGCATGAATAGGTAAAATGTCGGCCATATTGAATCGCCATTGTTACCATAACAACGGTAATGACGTCATGCTTATGGGCAATTTCTGACTGTTAGAGTGTTGGTTAATATATTTGAGAAATTTCTCTTCCTTACCAAGAAATCTTGTGCTAAAATTTTAAATCAAAACCACAAGTTTTCAATATTTCAAAAAATTGTAGGGAGCCACCTTAATTAATTGCACTGATAGATTAGTTGAGTCAGTTAAAATATGCGGTTAAAACTTTAGAATAAGTGGCTTTTAGTTTAAGTTTTATTCTCTTTACTAATTATTTTCTTACTTTCTGCGAACTTTTCCATGCGTCCGTCTCCTTCTTCTGGCAGATTTCCTTTCAATGCTTCTTCTTCCTCTCTCCAGCACTGTCAAGTACATAAATGCATTGATTTAGGCATAAAAATGCACGTGTCAGAGAAAATGGACTAATGTGGTGTTTTAACCTGCTTTTATATAATTAGTAACTCGGTATAATAGGGTATTAAACTCTTCCTTTTATAATCTGTCAGAAATTAACATGGTTTATCATGTCTGTCTGTCATTTACTTTGATTGGAGAAAAGAAAACGTGTGTCCTGATAAAAGACAATATATATTAGGGGATTTTTGCTTAAAATACCTCAAATTAAATTTCAAACTTCTTTTTAGGACATATAGAAGTTTAATTAACAACTACAGTAATCAATCTGGGGGCCCAAGAAATGTCCAAAAAGATTAATTCCACATTGTAGTCTTAGTGCTGGCGCACCATGCCATACACTAATTGAATTACTGTATTATATAACAAGTTGTGCATAAAGGGCATATTATGGGTAAAATAGTATTATAAATTACAATTACAATAGAATAAGCCTCGGACATTTTGAGAAGTTGTTGTTCATCTCTCATGCCATCTCCCAAAGCGGAAAGAACAATAGCTTTCATGCTTAATGCAATCATATCTTGTACAAGAGGGATATGTTGTTCTGATGGTTGAGATGCCCATTTCTCAGAAACATCTGTTGCAACCTGTCCAAAAAATATTATATGATATATATTTAATTTGTAGCTTGTAGATTTCCATTTGATACTCAATAATTCTAAATATATTTTGTCACAATTAAGGTTCTATATACTAAAAACATGTTAGTTAATTGTACTGTGACTTGCAAACATTGGTCAAGTCACTACTAATTTTTATTCCACAAACCCTGACAAAATCATCATAATAGTAAGCAACAGCTGTATGACTAAACCCTTCATCCATCAAATGACGTCTCTTGCGACCTTCAGCACCATTCATAAACTGAATACTCCTTGGACCAGTGAAATCAACATAAGCTTCAAATAGATATTCTAGTTAAGAGATAGAAAAGTAGACCATTGTTTTTTTCTGATGTATGTGAGGATTACATGAGATACTATAAATTATGTCATCTGTATATTGCTACTGTATAATTATTTATATATATATATATATATATATATATATATATATATATATATATATATATATATACACATATTTGAAAATAAAAGCTATATTGTCATTCATGATCATCAATTAAATCCTAAATTTATTCTTTTAAAAAAGATATTGGCTGCCATTGTGAGTCACTCATGAGCCATTATATAACCTTAATTGCTAGAAACATTTCCAATTTTATATGCAATTTTTTACTTGGTCTGTCAAAAAGTACTTTGATTTCATCAAACAATTTTGGTGATGCCAGTGATACAACAAGCTGTTTTCCCCACCAAAAACTTGCTAATGGACCATATTCTTTATGAAGATTTGTTAAAAATTCATGAAGACTTCCAGCATCCTGCATATCTTCTAAATTTCCTTTGCTATAAAAAATAACTTATATTGATTAGACAGAAAGATTTGTCAACCTTCATGCAATGCAGGGTTTTCAAAACTGCACTGTCATGCACTCTGTTAATCAAAATCTTACATTAAATTATATTTATTTATATTTATTATAAGTCTAAACAAAGCCTGTTTCATGTCTGCACGAGTCTCCAGTTACCATAAGTTCATAACGAATGAAAAACGAATGTAAATTTAATATATTATATGGCCAAATTTCATAATTACAACAGTACTTATTACTTACTCTGGGTGCTTGGAACAAATACCAGGCAAATTAGAATTTCGTGTCTTCGTATTCTTAAGATTCAAACGAAAGTAAATAATTATAGCTTGAGTATTTTTTTACTCATCAACATTGTACACCGAGTAGTAAATTTAATCTGCGTATGTATACTAGTACAGTACTTACAAAATAAACCAGGAAATATAAGAGCGCAAATATAACAACACAAGCAAAGATACCATAATTTGATGCGCTAAAATGTGAAGGCAGCATTTTAAATTTGATAGCACTCTATAATACCACTCAAAGAAATCTTGGCCAGGTCTGCGTATTGTTGCGCGTGACCTCTCGCCACAAGATTCCAAATATTTCTCGGGGGAGTTGTACAATATTTTTCGAGAGTCGAGACCGACTTTCACAAGTGACATTTTCCCAGTCCCACTATAATGGTAGAAAAAATGAAACTGTCTAATCTTCATTCAGAAAACTGTGCAACACATATTTAAGTATTTATTTATATATAAGTATTCTATTTATCTTTTATTGATATTTATCAGTGTTATACAGGTCATATTAGTCATGCTAAGGAGTTATTCCCATCTTTTTAATGATTGGTTCAAGTGAGGCAACAATAGTTGCTGCACTTGGCCTGTTTTTTGGATCTTCATCAGTACAACAGTGGAACAGAGCAACAACTGGCATGAATTCATCTTTCATTATGAAGTCATTTGGAATTGATGGTCTTGTTCCAAGAGCATTTAAGTATTCTTCATTATCTTCAACAAAAGAATTGATCGATTGACTTGTGTCAATCAACTCTGACATAGAGGAATCAATCGATGATGACATATCTAAAAAAAATTATTGGAAAATCATTTAGTTACTTTGACTTTGAACTGCTGTTGTAAACTGACAAGTAAACTTTTTTTTTAAATCAACCAAACTTAATAAGGCCATGGTGTGGTCAATAAAATATTATATATGCAAACTGTATTGACTATTATTTTTATTTTAGTGACCACAAGCAAGAAATATATGTCTTTATTAACTTACCTAACAAATTTACATGTGGAATAGCTAGTGTCAACATTTCCCATAGTAATAAACCAAATGGATAAATATCTGATTTATCTGTTATTGCTTCAGATTTGAATGCTTCCTTGGGTTTCCACGGTTCTGACCCGATGTAAATATCATCCTTGTTTTTCAAGCCACTGAGATCTTCTTTCAAACGCAATGAAACTCCAAAATCACACAACTTCACTTGGTCGAAATCACCACGAACTAATACATTTGCACTCTTTATATCACCATGTAAAAGTTTATGCGAATTATGCAGAAACTTCAAGGCATTAGAAATGCACCAAGCAACTTTCAGAATCTGGTTAGCTGTAAAGGTTTCTTCAAGGAAAGATTTTTCTTCAATCATATCCATTAAGGAACGTTCACAGTCTTCCATTGCTAGACAGAGTTCTCCTTTTTTTGTACCAGTAAAAGCACGGAATCCTACAATATATGGATGATTTCCAATCTGCTTCAAGACACTGGCTTCAACAGCTAACCTCTCTCTGATATTATCACTGGCTTTCATATTGCTTTTTTTAATTGCCCAAGGTGAATTGTACTTGCCATTTTTTTCCGGACTCCGTTTATATCTGTAGACTGATACACCTGTTCCACAACCAAGCTTCGCCATAAAAGGCGATGAAGGGATGTTAATTGTGGAAACAGTGTGTGCAACACCTTCTGGAGATTTCAGATCCATTTATTACTATCGTACTTTTTAAATTTGCACGTAAATACTTCAAATGGTTTATACAAGCGTCTCTCTCTCGAGCTCTTTCATCGGAGACAGTTATTTGCAACTTTTAAATTTTCTTCTCTTTTTAATCGTTGATTTTGATTGGTTAGCATTCCTGATCGCAGGTTAAAGCAAAATGGCGGATGAAATTTCCTGGCGCAGAAATTGGAAGCCTGAATTTGAAACAGAAGCATGGAAAGTTATTCATGTGGACTGTAAAGTTTATTGGATTAAATATTATTTCGAAGAATCGTTGTGTTCGTACAAAATTGCCGTGACAGATTGTGAAGGCATTTGGATCGAGGATGTCGATAATGAGGCTACTTTCTGTGAGAGAGCCAAAGTACAGAACTCTTTTAATATATACGATGTCATCGAGACTAAGAAGGTGCCTGCTTGAAATTTTGAAATTCATATTTTTTCTAGAAGTTAAATCCTAACATTGAGGCTCAAAGTGCGTACCTCATAAAACACTTGTCTGATTGCTTGACTGGTTTGTCTGGATTAACATTTTCTGCTCGGGAGGTGAAATTTCTACTTCTTTTTAGTCATGATTAATTAAAATTACTTATTAATCGCAATTAATATGTTATTAATAACTTTTTGCAAATTGTAAACCTGACTATCTGCAGTAAAAACTAAAATAATTAATGGTGATTTATTTGTAGCCAGGTACTGGAAGTGATTGCTTTTCTTTGTGTTTAAAATCTAAACTACCTGCTGGTATTCCATTTTCCTGGGAATTTTACTGTGCACCAGAACAAAAGCAAATGGTAAGTGGCTAAGTGCACTATAGACATGATTATGGGTCATAAGCTGCTAGCACGTACTAATGGTTGATATTTCTTTCTTCGGAATTCAGCAATGTCCTGTAGTTTTTGTACAGTACGATGATTGAGTATGTCATAGAGCTTATATAAGTTAGCAACATGAAACTGTTACTTCCATACAAAATATATTTGGTAATGAATCATTGGCAGATATATTTTCTTATTAGAGTTGGTTTTTTATTAGCACCATTTATACAATTATAATTTCTGAAAATAATGTAAAACGTTTATATTATTTTCAAAAATTATAACTGTATAAATGGTGCTAATAACAAACCAACTCTAATAGGTTACTTGAATTTCTTGTTTTAATTTTAACTATGCATACAGATGAAAGATAATCTTGTGTTACCCCTAATATCAATGGTTGGTGAGCTGCAGCGGAGACAGAAAGAATTGTTTAAGATTTTAAAAAGGAAAGATTATGAAATACAGGAATATAAAAATACTGGAGCTGTTTTACCAAGAAGTAAGAGATGTGATTAAATTTTTACAAGGTGAAGTTTTATACAGTACTTAGATGACTTACCTCGTCACATATGTGAAGTAAAAAAATCATATAGAATTTTACATGGGATTTTAATATAGGATTCAAATTTTAGCTTAAGTTAGTAAACTCTCTTACTTCATAAAAACAAAAAGACAGAAAGTAAAAAAGATTCATGTAACTAATCTGTGTTGCAGAATCATTTGAGACACAGCCATTTCTTCAAGATGACTTTGCTAAAAGAATGACTGTTTCAGAGGTACATATATAACTGCAGTTATTGTCCAATTTCATGATTTTGACTCCATGATATTTAAACAGCTGCCAAGCTACTACATTTTTGTCTTGTGCCCCCGGACGCCCCTATATAGCGGTTGCACCTCAGACACGGTCAGATTCCGGCCTGGATCCTCCCCCCCAAATCTGGAGAAGACTCAGTTTGTCTATTCTTTGCCCAAACTAAATCAATTATTAAATTAATAAGAAGACTGTTTTCTGATATATTTAATTTATAAATACAAGAAAAGTAATTTAATTTCATTTTGCGCAAAATGTGCTCAAACGCAATTGAACGTAGGGATTTCTTCAAGTGGTCGAGAATTGCGCAGAGAAAGTATGCGATGAAGAAAATCAAGAATTGTACAAACAAGTTATGATTAAGAGAAAATGGATAGAATTCAAAAATAATCCAGGTATGCGCTGAATAAAAGAGCCAAGTGCAGTAAGAGAAGGTATTATTATGCATTTATGTTTCTCATTGAATTTTGCAGTCCCTGTTGAAGAAGATACACTTGAAACTATTGGGAACTCACAGACAATTGGATTGTTATCAAGCATTGGTAACCCTAGATCATCGTGGGATACAAGACTTCCTCCATCCTTGCTTGATGAAACGTCACCTGAAAAACGTTCACCAATGAGTTCGCCATCGAAAAGCCCAAATAAAATATCACCAGAAAAATCATCTTTACAAGTGAGGAAATAGTTCACATTTGACAACGTGACTGTAAACAATAACATAATATTAGCAAACGATCGTTGTGACAATGTTTATGCTTTTCATAACTTTCATAAGGTAAATTAGTCATGGCAAATCCTATCAACCTTTTTTGTGTGTTTAGGATACGGAATTAAAACGTCGTGAAAATCTGCAGAAGAGGTTGGCCGAAGAAGCAGAGAAAAAGAAATCCAAAAAGAGGAAGAAACTGAAAATATGAATAAATTATGAAAGGTTTCAACAAATTTATGCCCTCTATACTCTGTTTCTTTATGATTCATGACATGTATAGCGTCAGATCAGCAAACCATACAACGCCCTTGTTTGGAAAGTACCGAAGCATTATCAAAAAATTATTTAATTTGATGGATTTGTGAAATAAGCTAGGTTCCTCGATCATGTAATCTGTCGAAATAATGGCTTCTACAAGAAACTAACCTCTCGCAATAGAGAACAAAAAAGAAGACAGGAATAGTTAGATATAATTTATGTCATTGATCTGGTGTGTTAGACAAAGTTTGGTATATTAATAAAAACGTTTCGGCATTTTGATTTGTTATTATATGGTTCAATGTTTTTGTTGTATTTACACGCAACTGCTGTGTACAATCGCTACAATGACAATGTATATTTTTTCCTTCTGGCTTCTGTTTAAGCATTTTGTTTCCAAAATGTTGTAAATATTTCAAATCGAATTAAATCATTTGGAAAAAATACAGGTTGCATGAAAGTTCTATATGTGAAAGGTTGTATAGTTATACCGTGGTCAAATATTTTTATATTTACGAAAAATACTTGGTTATTCGTGTAATCAAAAAGGCGGGAAGTGGAACACCTTTACTCTGCTGATGACAAACATTATCAGATAGGATTGAGATGCAAGAAAAATGCTCATTGACATCTCAATGATGAATGGGACAAACATATGGTGCCGAGTGAGGGGAAGAGGCACGTTAAGGAGATCGTCACTGCCCGAAACGGTGCATTTTCGAATTATTGTGGTTGGAATATCGTTAGCCTGCATGTTATTGACTACTGGTGATCAAATGCTTTACCATCAAAGATTCTTCTCTTATTTCTTAACTGCATGCACGGTCTATTGTTTCATTTGTTTTACAAGGATAAAGGATGTGTTAAAACAAAAAACGTGTTGAAATACACGGGAGAAACTAAAGTTTAATTTTCATCGTTAATTGTATACTGATTAGGTTGACTGATTAGTTGAAAAAACGATTAGTAATTATGGCATTGTTATTAAATTTAAGCTATTGAAACCATGGTGAGACAAGGTCAACTTGCGTCTCTGGAAATTTCAAGCTTTGTTAAAAATCTTCTCTCAGTTTAGTTTTTTTTTGCACTTTCGTGAACAAATGGTATGTTGTTTTAAAAAGAATAAATATAGAAAAAGCTCATTCTGAACAGAATACGGATATCTTACCTGGGTATTTTTGAAAACTAACGAGCTGTTCCCTGCATGGGTCGGCGGATCAAATGACATAAAAACTGTTTACTTTATATTTTTGTAAAGGGCTTGTTCAACGTTTCACAGGCTCAAGCGGGGTGACCTGGCTGTTTTGAACGTATTGTTGGTATTATTGCATCGCCTGATAGCATTGTTCCCGTACGTAAAGCCTGGCCATGATTATCTTTGGTGGAGGACGTTTCCTCTTATCTTTGCTGATTACCTGCGTCTACCAACTGTCAACAAATGCTCAGAGTAAGTGCGATATATTATTAGTTTAAGTACGACATAAGCTAGGATATTTTTGCGCGTTTTGTGTGATATACAAATATAAAAATACAAGCATCGATGTGACATTATTTTTACTTTCACAATCTTTGAACAATGCCCAAATCGGTTATACTATCATGCCTTCCTTTCTATCGGAATATCTAATACATGCTGATTTTTAAAAATTGGAGGTCAACCAGAAGGTGGTTTATCAAAACATACAAAGTAATCACAAATCGATCAACAGATTTTTACTTGATAGCTATCTGAAGTGCTTCTGTGTCTGCACAATGAACAATAATTGTACGATGAGCTAGAATCTATGTTCCAATACATGCTTGACGAGTCCTGAAAAAAAACACGCCAACTTTCTGTCGTATTAGGTGTTTTAATCCTAAAAAAAGATCTGTAGTGACAACAGGTGGCGATGTATTTCAGTTCAAAAGAACATTTTTTGAAAGGAAATCGGGCGTCAATTAATCTTAGTGAAAATTCAACATTCGCAATTGTCGCTTCCAATGAACTAAATGGGTCAATTGCGAGCATTTAGTTAGTGTGTACAATGAATTGGGTAATAAACCAAATATCAATGAAATATTGCTTCTATTTTGAACCATTTACAGTTTTTTGTACATTTTTTGTTCATGAATATCTTATTCACTACGTAAATAAGCGTTTTGTCCTAAAATGCGCGGACAGTTTAAAGGTGATGAAACCACCTCCATTACTGTCTGCCATACATTATGCATCAATGGGTGAAACGGAAAAAACGCGAAATCACTTGTCTCACCTTTGCCCTGTTTATTAAGTTTGTATGCGAGAGTTATATGTAGATATAAAAGAGCATCTGCTTGATTACTCAAAATAATTTGGTAGAGTAATATTATCACTTATTCGATGAGTGAAAATGCCACCTCGGAGAAATCTCTGCAAACATTTTGTTTATTTAATGTCCAACTATTTTACCATTATTTATTCATACCTTACTCATTACATAACTGCCAATAAGGATAAAGTTCTTTCTCATTTTATGGTGCTCATACTTTAGAATATATCGAGAGGATGTAATTTATAATATATATTTCAGGTTTTGCAGCTACGTATTTTTTGTCATTTTCTTATCTTGTACATGCAGCTGGAGCTGGTTGTACGAAAGCTGGATAGCGCTATCCACTTGATCATGGTTTTTTCAATCGCTCTGTCATTTCTTGTTGTTAGGTGGTAGAGCTTTGATTAAACCTTGGTATTCCGTATTCCTAAATTAATGATCCTCTTTCATAACTGTCCGCTCCAAAACTATAATTTCATTGCTTTGAGGGTATGTTTACAGGGGTTGAAAATCTCACTATTCGGTGGATAGGGCTATCCGCGACTTTCGTATACAACCGGCCCTTGTACTATAGTTTAAGGTCGCTAGAAACTATCGGCTTCCAAGTCCATTTGCCTTGAGTGGATACTCAATGTGCAATTACAAATACAGAGATAAGCTTTTCTCACCGATCAGTTATAGCTTAGCACTTTGCTGGATACAAGATTACCTGACATCATATACAGAAATACAACTTCCAAAAAATAGGCTCTAATGATAAATCATTATTTATAGCGCCTATGTGAGACATTTGTCCATCTTTTATCGCATATTTAGAATTTAGAATGTCTCGTGGCATTTCATTTCCCGCTGTGGTGATGACAGTCCAATGCTATTCAGGAAATCTCTTTAATAGCATTTAGAGTTACCAAAAGCTATCGGAAGATTCCATTCACAGCTAATAACTTCTACATTTTTGCACCATTCGCAAACGATGACTAGTATTATTGGGCCAATCCTTGCTTTATGATTTAAATGAATGATATAAATAAATAAAACAAAGCATTTTTTGCGAGATTTTGCACCGACACTTTCAATCTATACATTAGTGATTAGCCCGTAAGTTTTTATGAATGTCTACCAGGTTGTGAAATCATGCATGCATAATCAGGTTTTTAACAATAAGATTGCGATTGAGTTTTTTGCTCCCGTTAAATATCAAGTTTAGGAAATTGATTAAGAACTGTAGAAGAATTTGTTTCTTGAATTTGGTACTTGATGATCTACTCAAGAAAGAAAAATTAGATAGACCACAAAGCAAATGTTTTTAGGAATATATAGGTGCACATAAAAAGTCATGCACAGCCTAGTTGTCATATTTTATAAATTAATGGTTATATTTATTAGCAAATTTACCTAAGAATATGTCAGTATTATACGAATTTTTTACGTTGAAAATTTTAGTTTTTTCTACGTTTGATTCTCATCTGTAACTGGCAATATATAGAGGCTTTTTTTAGGCATAATCACAATATAAGTTTACTCAGTTCAGCGTATGGGCCCATTCCATATATGGCCGTATTTCGCAGTTCCAATCAAATCCATACGACCTAAACGAGAGAGCCCGCAAGCAGGGGCAGATTAGGAGTTTTCATCCTGAGACTTAATCCTCGACAGCTCAACCGATTCAACGTAATATCCAACATATTAACAACCAGTAAATTTTTTGTATCTAGCTGCGAGATTGTGCGCCAACATCTTCCAGCTGAGTCAAAAATTTTAGTAATGATTGCTATCACTTATAGCTATTTAATAGCTGAACTATAAATAGCATTAAAGAATCTGACTTAGACACAGTCTAAACCATAATTTTCTTCAATGGAGCTAATTCGCGTGAAATATTTTAATTCATATCCGGCATACTTTTGGTCTATAATCATTAAAATGCTCTTAAAATCCGGAAATACGAATATCTTACCTTAACTCATTTTCCTCACACAATTTCTCGAAAGACCTTACAAAGACCTTCCAAAATTCTCAACTTTTTCGCTTTATTCATTTCGCTTCATTAATTCACGGAGCTATAGTATAGAGTGTTAGCTACGTAAAGCCTGGCGAATACTGGTGAACGTATGTAGAACGCATGCACACATGTCACTAGCTCGTGACAATTATTACCTGCTCATATTCCTAGTCTGCGGAAAAACAATTTTTATAAGCTCGTTAATATTCTTTGCTTTCTGCATGTTTTAGGAACAAGATCCAAACCTGGAAGTTGTCCACCGCCGTCTCACACAATTTGTTCTAGACAACTAAATGATGCCTGCTTTGCAGACATTGAATGCCCCGGGGAACAAAAATGTTGTGATAATAATTGTGGTTACACAGTTTGTCGGGATACAGTATCTGGTAAGAAAACCTGTTTTGATGCAGTCTTCATGCAATTAAACCATCTTAAAACTTGAGCTTGCGCAGTGACTACTGAAGTGACTACTTGCGGACTGACTACTGAATGCCCGACACAAGTGCCCTGCATGTGTTTAAACAGATTTTCAAACACGCTAAGCACTAGGGTATACCCACTGGAGCATACCACCTCAGGTTAGCTAAACCTGTATAGTACCCAATTCAATTGAGAAGCGTCTTGTTCAAAGTAGACGCCTGAGAAGTGACGGGCACCCGCACTGCGCCGCAGCCAATCGCAAAGACGTTTATATGTAGCTTGCAGTTGCCGACAGGATTGCCAAATTACTAAATAAATAAACCAAACATTGTTATATATAGGCGGTGCTTTGTTATGATAAGTAATTTGGCTTATTTATTCAATAACCTATCAACCCTGTTTACCACTTGCATGGATTGTTTATCCCAAGCATCTGCACAAATCGTATTTTTCATCGTGACACTATCTCAAATAGACGAGGAAGGTAGTGAGCATTTACAAATAGCTAAACAAAGAAAAGTAAATCAACTAAGTGTGCTCTCTTTAGTAAAAAGTGATCATCGCGATTAACTCTGTAGAATCAACCATGCATGCATGATATGGTGCAATGACAATGATGTACAAACGAATAATTTTGGTTTGATATACTGTACATCAACGAAGATAAACGAAGAAACAACCAACAATTGCAGGTTATCTGATATGAACTGATCTGATTTTTACAGAGGTCTCCTGTGACATCGCAGTAGATCTTGGTTTTGTGGTAGATGCCTCAACAGCCATAACGCCATCAAACTTCAACAGAATGAAAACATTCATAAAAGACCTCGTGAACGAGTTTGACATTCGTGAGGGCGGGACACACGTGGCTGCAATTGCTTTTGGAGATAGAGCTAGAATGGTGTTTGATTTCAACGAATTGCAAGGAAGTGAACTAACGAGAGCAAACTTGGCAGAAAAAATAGACGCAATTCCACAAATTTCCGGGTCAAATAGAATGGATTTAGCTCTGACAATGGCTAAAGATAACATGTTCTCATTCGCTGGCGGAAAACGAGATAAGACACCGAGGGTAATTATTATAATTATTCATAAAAGATATCAGATAAAACGTATCTATTAAAATTTAAATTAAATTCCTTTATCACTTTTCGTACTTGCCCTATATAGTAGTAATATTTACCTAATTAGATTACATCGCCCACCACATCGTTCGTATACAATTATGACAATAGCAACAGCAAATATAAAGCTAACTTTTCCTTCGTAATACTTTTCACTATGCAGTTTCTTGTTATTGTAACGGACGGGATTGGAAATGAGTGGAGTCAAAACTTTGGTGACTTACAAGAGCTTGCAAAATCTTTGAAAGATGGACAAGTTGAGATCCTCGTTGTTGCGATTGGCAATGACGTCAGAATGGATGAGTTCAAAGCAATTTCATCCGGAGAAAATACTTTGTTCAATCCGAAACAGTTTTCTGATCTTAGAACTTTATATAAAAACGTTGCTCTACGTTCATGCAAAGGTTAGTTCTATTTCATATACACTAGATCTACTGTATACTAGATATACTAGATCAACTGTACCAAAATTCTGTACTGTACTAAAAACGAATCATTCAAGAATTCTATTAATGGTATAAAAAAGGCCTATGGCAGATAGTTGACTGTTTTTCTGATTTTCTTTTAGCTTGCAGTGACGCTGTTGACATCGGTTTCGCTATCCCGTCGAATTCATTTGCCCAATTTGAAGACCTCCGAGACTTTGTTAAAAGATCTTTGAATTATGTCGTTGCCGGGGCACATAATGTACACGTTGGTTTTATTCTTTATCACAAAGATGCTGAAGTGTACATCAAATTTGATCAAGAATTTGATTTATCAGAACTTAAAAAGCTCGTCGACACTATTCCTTATATCGACACTGGACGGAATGAGAATAGATTGGATTTAGCACTCCAAGCTGCGGCTAATGATTTATTTACTCTTCGTAGTGGGGTTCGTCAAGGTAATTATTTAGTAAACAAATTCTTTTGAATAGAAAGGTTTTTGGCTTTCAGTAGGGTTACCATTTCCGTTTTTTGTATATAAACTGCCTAATATGGTTTGCTCTGATTGATTGTAATAATTCAATTAGGAACTTTCTCATGATGCCATGTTAAAACTTAGAGAGTAGAGTCAGGCCATAATATGCAGAGAGGAAAGTTCTTTTGCTATAAAAGATTGGCTCATATCGTTTTACCGAACTACTTTTATCTTGGTTATACCCTAATTGGTTCTTGTTATACTGTTTAGGTGCATCAAAGAAGTTGGTAGTAGTTGGTGTGGCATCTGTCTTCTCCAATAGGCCGGCGATCTATGCTGCTGAAGAACAATTAAAATCACTAGGAGTAGACGTAATTGGAGTGGCTTATGGTTCAAATGTAGATACGTCCACCATTAGACGGATTTCCAGCAGTCCAAAACAGGAAAACTTTAAAGTGGCTTCCACCATCACGGAACTTTTAAGTCGAGTTCCGAGATCAGTCGTTACATCCACCTGTAAAGGTAAGCTAACCTTCGCCATGATCTAGTCAGACGATAGATGCATGTTGTCATATAACCCTTCACTATATAGTTTTCTACTGCAGGCTTCCAATCTGTTGGAAGGCTAACACGTTGGGCTGCATTTTGTTAACAACCATGTTCGTGGGGTGTAGCCTTCACGCATGACATTGCTTAGTCCTGTTTTCACCAACCCAGATTTTCTGCTGCCTGGGCAATCACGTTATCGTTTTTCGTTTTTCAGTTTTATAGTTGATTAATTACAGTTTGTTTATAGGTAAAATGGGTAAGTGTCCTTACACAATAGTTCCTGAAAGTTGTCCTGCCAATAGGTTTGAAGAATGCAAAGTTGATAAAGATTGTGCAAATGAACAGAAATGTTGTCAACGTGGCTGTGATCGGAGATGCAGCGCACCAAAGAAAGGTAACTATCAAGACGTAAAAACTATTTCAAACTTTACGTTCCTTCCTGCGCAGCTGAGCACAGACAGTGGCGTTGCCAGATTCTTTCTGGAGCGGCAAAATCTAGGAAATTATAAAGTCTGGGAGGAATAGATTTTTATTCTCTGACCTAAAACTTCAAAATTTTTAACTCCCTTCCCTCTTTCCCCCCTCCTCTCATTGAATTTGAGCAAGTGAAAGTCTGAACAAAGATTCTGGAAATCATTGCGGGACAACAGCCCCGCTCTTTCTGGTGTTCCTGAGCAGAAATTAACCATCAATGGTCATAGGTCATTATGACGATGCTCTCAACTTCTCTACATTTGTTTACTTTACTTCAAGGTTGCTTCAAATCATTGGAGATAGCATTTCTGGTAGATACATCATACTCAGTGAGTGACGAGGAATTGCATCGGATGAAAGATTTTATGAGAGAAATTGTGAATGGATTTAGTATTTCTGAAACTGGAACAAGGATTTCTATCGTTACATATGATAGAAACGTAAGAGTCCCATTGAAATTTAAAGACAACAGTAACGCAAAGAGTGTTTTTACTCATATTAATAACTTGGACAAAACACGTAATTCGGAAAGACAACTTCATCTTGGTTTGGAAAAAATTAAGTCCGAGGTATTTTCACTCGATGCAGGGAAACGTCAGGTTAGTCCTTATTCTGTATTTCTGTATTATCATCTCTGGTTTATTTCAAACCTGTTTGTGGAAGGCATTTTACGTTGTTTTTTTCTTTCATTTAGGGAGTTCCAAATGTTTTGATTATACTAAGTGGTGGTACTCCAACTAGTAATTTGAATAGATTAACAGAACTGTCAACATCATTAAAGAGCTCAGTGGATATCTGGACAGTAGGAAGTGGACCTGAATCGTCCTCACAATATCTCAGAGATATCGCAACCACCTCAGCCCAAACTCACAGATCAACTTTTTTTGAAAACCTATCTCCATTCACAACTACAATCACTACAAAAATTTGCTCAGGTAGTGTTGTCTCATGCATTGTTCATATGGTCTGGATTGTTCTACATGATTTAGCCGAACCACCAAGGTTTCTTCATAGCATAGGAAAAAACACTTCTTGTTTTTAAGAGATGAACTATAAAAATTATCGCCCCTGTTTCCGACCCGGGTGCAAAAGCAGTTCATTTTGACTATGATTTTTTTTGAAATACCAATTTTATAGAAAAAGCAGGTCAGTGTCCAAAACCGGTGAAAACATTTTGTTTGAGCCAGAGAAATTTTTGTGAAAGTGACTACGAATGTCCAGGATTTTCCAAATGCTGCTATGATGGATGTCGGAAAATCTGTTTGAATCCTTCTTGGGGTACGTATCATTAAAATATATCCAGCTATATTTTTCGTGTCATTTTGTTAGTTATATTTTAACTGTTTTCCCAATGGCAAAGATCATCCTACCATATATTCGAGTATTAATTCCCACCACTTATCACCATGGCACTATAACTAGCATAACGATCGTAATAATTGAAGCACTATTCGCACTAAGGTCTTAAGTAGATATGCCAACACTTAGTTGAAGCTTAGCTTTAAAAATCCGTTTATTTTGTGTTTATCTTTCAGTATGTAAGAGGCCATTGGATCTTGCTATCGTGTTGGAATCTTCACGAAACCTTGAGGAAAATGACTTTCGTAAAGTGAAAATGTTTGCAAAAGATCTCGTTCAGGCGTTAAATGTTGATAATTCTCAAACTGAAATTGCCCTTCTCTCGTACAGTGACACTGTCAAAACTCATTTTGAATTCAAAAAATATAAAGGTAATTCAGCTCTGGTATATTATAATTATATTCATACATTCTTTTGCGTATTGACTTTTTCGGTAATTACGTCACAACATTATCGTTTTAAATTTAGAACCATCTTAAATGAGATGGATTTCAAGTTTTACTCTCACGAGCAACTTGCAAAGATGCAAAACAACCTTCTATAACCAGTGCATAATTTACTAATAAGTATAGGGATAAGCCATAACACGGGAACGAGGCTCGCGGTCTTGGCCCCTTAGTCTCGCTCTCGTGTTCTGGCTTATTTACACATTTATTGGTCAAAATAAAAATCTTTTTCATACATGTGTAGAAGAAGGATATTTTGCATCTTTGCACGTGGCTCGTGAGAGAAAAACTTGAAATCCATCTCATTTAAGGTGGTTCTAAATTTAAAACGTTGTGATGTTAAAATAGTGTGACGTATTTACCGAAAAGATCTATTGTAATATACCACTGGATAATGAATTATCAGTTGTGGCCACATTATAGGTATTTTGAACAAAGAAAGAAATATCATCCGCGCAATAGATCGGGTTTCGTACAGTGGAGATACCAATATTGCAGCCCATTTTGCATTACGTCGAGCACATAGGAAACTATTTACCACTGCTGGTGGCTCAAGAAGTTTGGCTGTTAAAGTAAGTGCTGCAATTTACTTTTTTTGTTACTTGACGAGACATTTAACGCGTTGCTTAATCATCCAACATTTTCACTCTCAGTCGGACATAAGACAAATATATTAATATCGCCCCCCTCCCCAAATAAGCTTCTAACTACGACCTAAGCCTTTTCCGCATATAGCTTTTCTATTTCAGGGTTTAATATTCATAACCGATGGTGTTTTACCGGGCGATAACACAAATATTTTCAGAGAAGCAATGTCATTAAAGAGAGCTGGCGTTGCTATATATCCAATTGCTGCCTCGAAGAATCCAAACATAGCTGCCTTAAAAGAAATTGCCTCAGAATCCAGTGCTGAGCACGTGTTTCTTGCAACCTCCCTTCCTGCTATAATACAATATGTTCATCAAATATCACAAGAAGCTTGTAAAGGCACGTATATAGTGTATTATATTACAGAAAAGTCACGTTTCTCACTAGACCCATTGGACTGATGCATCGCCTAGCCCAAGTCAAATGATTTTCTGCTTGGGTTACCCTTGAACTGCTGTAGTACGTCACTCAGTCAAATTGTATCTTTTTATTAACATTCATTTTAGCTGAGGCACCACCAAAACCTGTAAGGGTGGTAAGTCATTTTGAAATTTTATTTAAATCTACTGATATATTCGATTCTACACTTGTGCCACGCACTGGTTTTCAACTGCGAAGTGGAATTATATTCACTTACAGGTGCTTAAAATAGCACTATAGCGTGTAGTTGAGAAACGTTGGGTATACGTAATATACTATTGTAGTATATTCATAATAATACAGTATAGTAATACGTACAGATAAAATATTGGGTTGCAAAATATTCGTTTTACTGTATGTTTCGTAAGTACATTGTAAGCCGGATATTAAACCATGCATACGCTTGGCAAATGTTGATTAGCAAGAATTTATTTAACATTTAGTTAATTTAGTATAGAGAATTATCACTCGAATAATATTGTAACAACTCACAAACGGTTCTTGCTAAACTTTGTAGATCAAAGGTCCTCCTGGTGTCCATGGCAACCGTGGACCACGGGTAGGATTTATCAGATTTTGTTTTCCTGATTATTGAAGGACATGCTATGATTTATTATTATTCAACCCTTAAGCACAGTCGTATTAAGTTCCCAATTGTCATTTTCCTTCACTCAATTTAACTTCACCTGAAATGATGATTTATTTTCGCAGGGTAGACCAGGACCACCAGGAGCTCCTGGAATTTTAGGAGCTGGTGGACAACATGTGAGTATAGAAGCTAATGCCCTTCTATATCTTCAGCCCTTATTTTTCCGAAAATAACTTTAACTTCCTTTCTCCGCGACTGCATGGATGTCTCATTTCGATTGACCAACAGGGAGTTCGTGGCATTGGTGGCATACCAGGTTCCGAAGGACGGCGAGGTTCCCCAGGAATTCCAGGAGCTTCGGGTCCACCTGGACCGATTGTAAGTTAAATCTATCTTTAAACTAACCTTGTTCACCAGTTGCTTCCTCGCAAGAAAATGATAGGGGGTAATCACGTGAGATTTGTATTTAGTTACGCTGTTTTGATGGGTGAAAATATAGTTAGTTCATGCTAGGTGTAGGCGTGTAGAGTTCTCTGTCCTCGTCGATTTGAAATAAAATGATTGAGTCTAAAAAGCAGACGAATAAAACATATTCATCATAAAATCGTCCAATGAAAAATTGCTTTTAATTTTTTTATAGTATTTGCAAATGGCGGGTCAAGATTCAAATGGTCAAGTAAGACGAGTGATGATATCTGCACCCCGGGTATGTATATTGTTGTAAATATATACAGCTCTACATTCTGTGCCGCAAAACAACAAAATGAACAAAAAGGTTGGACAAAAATAGTGACTTGGATAAAACACCTACTTCTAAATTAGGTCACATACTTTTCATGTTTCCACCTTTTCTCTCGAACGGCAATACTTTAGAAGAAATATCAACAATAATTCAACTGGAACTGGAACTCGCGGCGGTGCTTATTCACCGACAGCGCAGTAAAAATCCACTCTCGGTGCAATAGGGTCAAAAAGGAAAACAATCTTCTTTTTTATTGTTTAGTATCTTCTTTTTATGAGTAAACTTCTATCATATTTTTAGAATGTCGGTCAACCCGGTATTAAAGGTGCACGAGGAGTTACGGTGAGTAAATATATTCAAGATTTTCATCTCGAAAATTGTATTATGAATAATGGTCATTTCGTCAAGATAACAATATGATCATTTCTCTCATAGGGTGCCCCAGGAACACCAGGTGGTCCTGGACGTGATGGTAGTAAGGGTGAAACAGTAAGCTTTATAATTGATACTGATATTTTGCCCGACTCTCGCTCTACATGACTTTTTGCGGTTCGCAAGCAGTTAACAGCCGAAGATTTAAACAATATTTAAACAATTTCCTAATTTTTAGGGCACACCAGGTCGACCTGGAGCACGAGGCGAACCCGGAAATCTCGGATCCATTGTAAGTGTATACTGTATGTATAGGTTGATTTCCACAAGTAGTGAGGACATAGGACTTTGCCTTGTTGTTGGCATAATAAATGCTTTTACCATGCATATGGCTATAGCAAAATGGTTTGTGTGCAACGAATGTCTATTTGGATGAATATTATCTATTATGAAACACAAAGCTTAGCTAGTTGCAATGTAAAAAATTGCAGTATTTCACTTCTAAATAATCTTCAAGCAAACTCTTTTTATAGGGTAATCCAGGTTCAAACGGAAATCCTGGTCGACCGGGAGAACCTGGTGACAAGGTAGGAGGAATTGGTGGAGAGTGAAAGGTTATTAGAGCTTATTGAATAAAGTTAGTTTTCTGAAAATTTGGTGAAAATTTCTTGTAGGGTGTGAGAGGTGATGCAGGAAACTCTGCTGGTTTCGGAAGGAAAGGAAATAAGGTCTGCAAAATGTTCTCATATATATTAACGATTTACAAGTTTATGAGAGGAGTTAATGATGAACTGAGATTAATGAAGAAAAATAATGACTGTCGCCAGATCTGGCTCAACTAAGGAACCGGGAAAGAAAGAACAGAGTCAATAACGCCACATTTATTTGCTATATTGTTCCTGGTTAGGGTCACAAAGGAGAAACTGGCCAACCAGGAATCCATGGAGAACGAGGACAATCTGTAAGTTGAGTGGTTGTATTGTTAGAAAATGTGGCAATATCGGGGAAAGCTGTGACTATTTAGGCAACTAAACAATGGACTCAAGGCCTAAAATAGCCTGGTGACCACCACGCCAGCTTATTTCTGTTATTTGTAAAATTATAGTCAAGTTATTCTGTTTGGGAAATGCGTGTGAAGCAGGATTAGTTAAAAGTTTTCTTGTTATCAGTGACACATTTACTTTTATTACTTAACTATGTTTATTAATATGAAGGGAGCAACTGGTTCACCAGGAAAACGAGGAAAACAAGGAAATAAGGTGACGATAGTTAACGACGGTATATAGCTGCATATAAAATTCATTTCGCTGTGCAACCAGCACAGATGTAACGAATCTTTCATTGTTGTATGAAATTTACTTATAACAACCGTACAATATGTTATAGGGTGCTGGGGGTATACCAGGAACCGGGGGAAAACATGGACCACAAGGTGTAATCGGCAATCGTGGGAAAAAAGGGGCTGCAGGGAATGATGGACCAAAAGTAAGTCAAACTCAGTGACTATTTTATTCAAAATTAAATACAGTGACTTCGTATATGCCTAGGCCTAGGTTTTTGGTCCATAGCTTCATCGTCCATACCTAGCTTCATTATCATCTCATTATCCATTCTTAATGTTTGAATTGCATTCGACGCAACCAAAATGCGAACTATAAGGATGGATTTCGACTTACAGAGAAATAGTTCGCTAGAGAAATTTGTGGTTAAAAGTGTTTCCTTGTAATTTCTTTTCTAAAAGGTTGAAGCGGGTTTGTTGATTTGATAATATGTTGTAATAATGTAGGGTCCTATTGGAAATCCAGGGACAATCGGTGTGTTGGGTAAGCGAGGTGTAAAGGGATATCATGGGCAAAAAGGACCTCCTGGTCCTCGTGGTCATCAAGGAGAAACGGGTTCACCAGGTTTAGCTGGTTTTGACCAGCCGCCAGCTGCCGATGGAAAGAAAGGAGATATTGGAAAACCTGGATCAAAAGGATCTTTGGTAGGTTTATCATAAAGTTATAAATGTTTACATCTTTCGTTCGAATCTAAAATAAGTGCTCGATGATAGAGCAGTGACAGTGGTTGGCCAATCCGATTTTTATAACCCATCAACCACACTCAACGTGTTTGAATCTCAGCTTTGAATACATGAACATTCTTCTTGCAAACAGTTTGATATGGCTCTGTTAAATACCAGTTCTTTCTTGTTTCTCTCTGTTTTCGTCTTAGTATTCTTTATCTTTATTCTTTTGTTTCCGACTTTGCCAAAATAATCTTTTCACGATTTCCACAGGGTGACCCAGGTCCAACTGGTGCAACAGGTCCTGCTAGTAGGACAGCCTTGCAGGTAAATTTTGTGCATTCCAGGAATCTATGAAGAGCACCTTGAAGGTTAATAACCTGCCAAATTTTCGGCAGGTCTTCGCAGCTGTTGTATGGCTATATAATTATTAATTTCTGGGAATAATCGTTTATATAGATATGCAAGTGAACCGTAATAAATTCAATGCTACTCAGTTTAACGTTCTTCTTTGATATTAGGGATTCAAAGGTTCTGTTGGCTCATCTGGGTTGAAAGGGAAACGGGTGAGACATGATTTTCCGCTGTGCACGTTTTGAACTTGACGAAAGTGTCGTACATTAATATGTTATAAACGTTTCAGGGTGACGACGGAAAAGCAGGTCTGAAAGGTCCCATGGGCAGTAAAGGAGCGATGGTATTATTTTTAAATATTAATAGTTCTGTAACTTCTGTATGAGACGCCAATTTGTTATTATTGCATCCAGCTAAAGTGGAGTTTATTGGTTGTTTTCTTTCTCTTTTCAGGGAGATGTTGGAGTACCAGGTGTTTATGGTGTGAAAGGTGCGCAAGGGAAGATGGTAATTACATTATCATTACTTTTGATCGCAATTAATTCATACTTCAACTGCATTAGAATATTCGTGAATATCGATTCTACTCTGAAGCATATCGTAATCAAAATAACCTACTTCAAATAACTTCAAATTTTACAAAATTCAAGGTTGAGCTATATAAATTTAATCACACCTTGTGGAAAAATTTTGAATTTTATTAATAACGTTATCCATGCTTTATCAAGTTTGAACCAAGCTCACCCCCCCCCCCCAGAAGGTTTCGTCTATGTAGCTGCGTTTCGTATATTCATATTTAGTAGGTGTTTTTGCACAGCCTCAATACTGTTTTTTTGCCTTCAGGGAATCCAAGGTGATTTAGGATTAACTGGTCTTGAAGGTGGCGTTGGAGAAAGGGTAACGAAAAATAATAATTTCTGAACAGCATTGCTAGATTTCTAATAATAAGATAGGTACTTTGATTCATTCCGTTTTAACAGGAGTAATTATTGTTGAACTCCCCAGAAATTGAAGAAAAAAAAAACACTCCTTGTGCATGAAAGTTGCCTTCCTCTCTCAACTCCTAAGGCATTTTGAAATACCCTTATAAATAAAGTGTACGATGTGCTGTATTGCTTAGGGAATTCAAGGTTCACGTGGATTTGTAGGAATTGATGGCAAAACAGGTGACAAAGTAAGGGATTTTAACAAATACCTTTTTTCCTACATCGGACAACCAGTATTAGAATATGTGATGTTGCTACTCTGAGTCACCAACCGGGCAAGCTGAAAAATTAGCTTGACCACGGTGGGAAACGAACCCGCGACCTTTGGTTTGCTAGTCCAATGCTCTTCGTCAAGCTAATTTTTCAGCTTGCCCGGTTGGTGACTCAGAGTAGCAACATCACATATACATTAATATACACACCTGAGTCTTTGCATTATCACCAGTATCAGAATGTTAGGATCACAGACTTTTTTTACTTAACAATCTTAAGCGAAATTAATGTACGACGCGAGCAAGACTGTGTTGTGTGGATTTGGTGCATATATAGTGAACTTTTTATGGGCTTAAACACTCGATATATAAAATCATGCATGTTATATTTATTGACAGGGAAAGATTGGTAATCGCGGATCTCTCGGGACTAATGGTAGAAAGGGTTCTAAGGTGACTGTTATGCATGTTTGTATAACGATTTAACGACTTCTGTACGTTGGATGTACTTATCTATTTTCGTATTGCATTTTCATTTTATTTAACAGGGAAGATACGGTAAAGTTGGTCCCCAGGGAAAGCCCGGAAAGCGGGTGAGATAAAATGCATGTTTTTAAAGTAAATTCATATGAAGGTGCCCATCAGTCAGCCCATCGTGAGAATATAAGATTTTTTAACTGACGGCGTTGTCAATTTAGGGCTCGAAAGGACGCCTGGGTCGTCCTGGTAGCGATGGTAAACCTGGAGATGTGGTAATTAACCAAATCAGTAAGTTATTTGATATCGATATTGAAGAATAAGGTTTGTGTATTTTTTTTATTTCGCTATATTTAGGGACCACCAGGAGATAATGGAGCTCCTGGATCATTTGGTGTGAAGGTGATTGTTCCATTAATTCTGATTTTTCACTGAACTGTTATTTACCTCATTCAATTGTTAGTTGTTTGCTTGTCACGATGACTCAATCAAGTAACCTCTTTTTATTTATTTAGGGTATAAAGGGATATGCCGGGGTTAAAGGAGAAATGGGTCCTAAGGGGGCACCAGTAAGTAGTTCTTTAATGTAGGTTTTCAGTCTATTATAATGATGTTATAAAGTATTTATAACACGTACCAGTGAGTGGTTTCTATACATCTTAAGGGAGCTCAAGGATTGGCGGGACCACAGGGTGCGCTTGGCGGGCAAGGTGCAAAGGTATTGAGAATAAAAAATTCAACATTAGAATTGCTACCAGTAAAGACTTATAAAGCCCTTCATTTTTATGCGATATCCTGTTGTCGGTGGTCCATAATTCATAAAATGCTTTGTATTTGGAAAAAATTATACACCTCATTGGTCACCGACAATGGATTTTAAAGCATCGCCGATGAATTTAAACATCCATGCTTAATTAAAAATTCAGGGAATGGATGGAAACGCTGGTGATCCAGGATTGCCAGGCTTTCTTGGAATGTCGGTAAGAGAAGGTTCATTATGCAATTTAGTTATTTCATGCGAGTCTATGATCATTTCCTGCAACCACTTCATTGACAACCTCATTTTCTCTAATTATTGTTATGAAAATATTGACAGGGTGAACAGGGTATACGAGGATTAAACGGGGAGGATGGATTGTCAGGACAACAGGCAAGTCGCAGTAAATACTAATCGACAAAAAATGTTTAATATTAAACTTGTCTACTCTTACCTGTGCGTTCCAACAGTGCAACGTATTTAACGTAAAAGAGGGAACAAATATTGGTGTACTTTCATCTCCGTATTGCGAGCTGTTGTGAAATGTTTTGTTATGTTTCAAGGGTCCTCCAGGTGAACCGGGAAACAAGGGAATGAAAGGAGCAATGGGTGATAAGGTATGTTAACAAAATGTTGAATGTCAACTTGAATAAGATGCGATTTTGGCACGTCATTATTTCATTGGTGATTATTTCATCTAACGACAGGTTTATAAAAGGTGAAAAAGAAAAATTTACACGCGTTTACTCTTCTTTAGGGACCTATCGGTGAGAAAGGCATAGATGGAGAAGTTGGTGATGAAGTAAGTAAATAAATTATATTGTTTACTTTTCGACATCTGATTAAATGAATGAAAACACGAAAACAAAGTTCTGACCTGATCTTGATGAAACACTTATAGACTCTCCCCTATAATATAATGCTTTCTATAGGTCGGTTTACACTTTATGAAAAAGGGCATAAACTAGAATTACTGGGCATAGTTTATGCGTCATCTCTCATATTTCGAATATCACCATTCTTGTGTGCCTGATTTAATTAAAAAATGAAATATTAAATACTTTTTAACGTGAAGCTAAACGAAATCTTTGATATATTTAACAGGGAAAGCGTGGGGATACCGGACGTCAAGGAGACATTGGCGCGCCAGTGAGTATCTCAATATTCGGTCAGCGAAAAATAGTTTTTCGACTGTAATGACATAGAAGGAATGAATGACAACTTGCAATCGTATTATTTTTGCTCTTTTTACTTTAATTTAGTAATATTTTCCTTGATAATTTATTAGGGTTTAATTGGAACGTCAGGAGGAATTGGCGATCGTGGGCAACGTGGTATGAATGTAGGTGAAATTTTTATTTGAATCACTTTCAAGATGATTAGAGTATGTTATAGTTATATATACACCTAGTTATACGTACACCTTGATCATTGATTAAGTTTGTACAAAAAGCCTTAATTTTATTATTTGCTTTGGTAAACATGCAGTCATGTTTACATTCTTTTGACAAAACAACTGAGCCGATTCAGCTGAGCGTACAAAATGTTGCATACAATATTCTTCCTTCCTCTTACAGGGCATTGCAGGTCCCTCAGGTATCCCAGGAAAACCTGGTAAACCTGGCATTGCGGTATGCAATTGTATGCAATTATAAACATTCATGAAGCTTCCTGAAAATCATCATTTTCTGTTGAACTTTCTCGCTTGTTTATGTAGGGTATTCTTGGGAACACGGGTTTGCAAGGGAAATCTGGATCAAAAGGCAAGAAGGTAGAAAATAACATTGGTCCATATTTAGGCTTTGTACTGGATATACACCTCTTTACTCCGCCTGTCTATTGATAACTTGCTAAAAGCAATAAAGAAAGAGAGTTCATCATTTTGAGATATATCGCCGGTATATGATCTTTGGAAAGTATCAAAAATTTTTCAGAAAGAAATGCGAAAAAGTCTTTCTCACCTGCAATTTGTTCAAGAAATATATGTTTTGTTGATTAAAATATGTGAGGGAATTCGAACCTCTATTAGCCGAGCCCGTTGAAAACCACACTATAAGGATTTAACTTTACTGCCCCGCATTTTCCATTTTTCTCTTATTGTCGCATCTTATATGTGTTAAAATAGAATTTGCCGTTTGTGATCTTCTTAAAGTCACTGTTTCTGCTTTCATTTGTTAGGGTGATGCAGGAATTGAAGGAGCGCCTGGGTTACCTGGGGGTGATGGTGATCCAGTAAGTAGCGTATGAAGTGCTGGATCATGAAATTTCTTGTTGGAGGAACATTAAATTAACTCATTTGTCATGTAACTGACATTTCTGTTATATAGGGTGTTCATGGCGGACCTGGTCCTGTGGGCGATCCTGGTGAAGAAGGAGCAAAGGTATTTACATCCATATTATAATCTATCACGCACATTCAACATCTGAGTCTGAAATACAACGAAGCATATGTTAAATCGACATGTTACTCTGAAAAACGATATCGACGTCGACTGCTTGATTAAAAAAAACTTATGTAGAGACAATTCATGATTGTAGAATGCTGAAGTTGCATTGCAAAATCTAATTATTAACTTACAAAAATCAAATTATAATTGCAGGGGGGCGAAGGCATTCCAGGAATCCTGGGTGGTCCAGGAAAATTTGGTCCAACGGTACTAATTTGCTCGGAACTTTCATTTCCACTATAGTTGCTATTAGCTACTTGGTGTAGGAAAGATCGTTATGATATTATTTGCTAGTTACAGTGTGTATGATAAGATATAGCTACGACTTTCATAATTAATATTTTTTAGGGCCGGAAAGGTCTTGCAGGTATGCCTGGAAAACCTGGTAAACCTGGAATTCCGGTAAGTTGAAAAGTATACATAAATGTGATGAATAGTTTACAAATTCGCCATATTGATGTAATAATGGCGAATGCTTGAATGTTCTTATTTGTGTTTCTCTAGGGAGCTGTGGGGGCATATGGGGCACACGGCGAGACAGGGTCGCGTGGTGAAAAGGTGAATAATATTGCTGTTACCTTGAAGTGCTTTCTCATCGGTGTACAACCAGATTTACCTGCTTCTGTATTATGCATGCTTGTAACTATTTTTAAGTCAATTGGGAATATATAGATACTCCGTCGTATGATTCACCTGAGCATGCCTGTAAGCCTGTGCTACTCTTTCTCAAGGGGGACGCTGGTATTCCTGGAGCTCGAGGATTGCCGGGATATGCTGGAGATCAGGTAAGAAATTCCTGATAAACAAACTTATTTAGAAAAAAACATTTTCTCAGCAAGAACAACGACATTGCAACAACCTTTAAATTGTATTGTGCTTTAGGGAGAACCAGGGCTTCCTGGACCATCCGGCACACGAGGTGAAAGAGGACAATTAGTGAGTTGTATTTATATTGTACAATTGCCTATTGATCATCATTTAAAGCAGGTTTATCTCCTAGGGTCCTTCTGGTATTCAAGGACCTTCTGGACCTAAGGGATACCGAGGACACAGGGTACGTCGCTCGCCTTTTCCTTGTAAGTATAATTCTTGAGATGAATCATTTTTACGTGTTGGAATTTTAATTTTTTCTGTTCAGGGAACTCGCGGAGATAGCGGCACCGAAGGAGTATTTGGTACAACTGGAGATAAGGTAAAAATAATAGGAGAAAATGTTTGGGGAATTGTTTTATTATCTATTAGGTACGAGGCAATTTGGTGTTCTATAAAATCACCGCGCAACGTTTGACTTTTTCGCTCTTTTTGTGACGGCAATATGAGATTTCATGCACTGAAATTCATGCAACACATTTTTTCCCGTACAAGACACAGTCACGTAAACATTTTTTGAATTGTTATCATATTGTATTAGGGAGGCCATGGTGATAGTGGAATTTCGGGTGACACTGGAAAAGTAGGACCACAAGTAAGTACAGAAACTTGGCAATGTCAATGTTAGGTCATGCTTACGATTTATATAATATTTATTTAGCATGCATGTATAAATATTATAATGGCGAGCTAAATAACTTTTTCTTATCTAGGGACAAAAAGGTGAAGATGGACCTCAGGGTGAACCAGGAGATAGTGCGCAAGTTGTGAGTTTTATTTTAATATAAAGTCTGAGTAAACTCTTATCTTTCCTTTTGCAATCTTCTTACTACAACCTTATTCTTCATGTTTAGGCTCAATTTGGACTTCGTGGTCTGACTGGGCTTCCAGGAGCGTTCGGTCCTCCGGTTAGTGCAGAGAAAATTTTGTTCTACATATTTGTTTCAAGTTTTAGAGATGTAACTAGCCCGACGATCCATGCACTTCAAAATAAATATAACAACATAGAAATTACACAGCGAGTGTAAATCGTCAGGCACTCTGCTGAGTTATACACCTGTACTGCCAACATTCAAGATTTCTTCTCAGCTAAAAAAAATGGCACAGCTATAAACGAAATCTTACAAATATTTTCTTGACAATATGTTTCAATATTTTTCACTACAGGGTGATATCGGCCGTGTCGGTTATCCAGGACTAAGAGGGGAGGAAGGACCGTCTGTAAGTAAAATAATTCCCTTTCAGTGAAGTGGTTTAGTGAATAAAAAAGTTATTGTAAGGTTTTCTTAAAGAATAAAATTGTTTGACATCTATATATGATATTCATATAGTGTATACATTGTTTTTCCTTTTTTATTTGCTTTCCAGGGTCTACCTGGAGTAAATGGGAAGCGCGGGAAACAGGGACCAAACGGTGAACAGGTTGGTTACCAAAATTTTTTTCAAATCTGCCACCTTTCCAAACGACTTTACTACAACCGAGTATTTCTGAAACACTCGGTGGAGAATCTGTCAGATTGTACAGATGCCGAAACTCGTATATGCCGAGTTTATATGCATTTACCGACAATGAAAGACCAAGTGCATTTTCTCTTCTTATTGTTCCCATGTTATGAAATATTACGAAGGTACGTTTGAATCATTTTAATGAACCAAATATGTTTAGGGATACAAAGGAAATAAAGGGATACGTGGTGGTTACGGGGGCATGGGACAGCAGGTGCGTATATATAATCAAAGTATCCAGTACATGTACTTGTTCCCTGTTGCTGGCGCCACTGCAACTAGCGAAACTTTAGGAGAAATATTTAATCACAGCACTTAACTAAATGTTTGATTTATTTCAGGGACCTCCCGGGCCGCCAGGTTCAGCTGGTGTCAATGGGGAAGTTGGATTTAAGGTTTATTTTAAACATTTGATTTTTTCAAACCTTTATCTTGCCCGCATACTAATTACCTACATATTTCTCATGGAAAAAATTCGTAGGGTATGCCAGGTGATTATGGTAACCAGGGTGATCAAGGATCTCCAGGGATTATTGGTCCAATTGGTTATTCAGGGGCTCCAGGAGACAAGGGAACGAAGGGAGAAAAGGTAAATAAACAAAACCTATCAGAACAAGATTTGATGAGGCAACCATTGAATATACTATTACTGTGAAATGGGCATAAGTATTTCTGTTAGGATCTTAAAATCCATGGATTAAGAAATTACTGTTTTACCTCTGTACAAACTTCTGGTATACGAAGCCTAGGAAGAGAGGTTTTGAGAGTTTGGAACTTGAAAATAACGCATCAAAAACACTTTATTCATGCCCAGCAATTTTACTCTTAGTTTGAAAATATATAGGACTATCCTATGACATCAATAAAAGTGTCTTTGATTCTTTAAACTATCTTTATAGCAATAAAATCATAAACTCAACATGCATCAAATTAGATGACGTCGGAGTAGGATGATGAGGAATTCTGTATTTTTAGGGTGACGGTGGAGTAGACGGTGACGTTGGTCTAACTGGCCCTCGGGGCCCACGAGTAAGTTTTTGAGTCCTCACATGTTTCTCGTGCAGTCGTGCTATACGTATGAGGCTATGAGCTGCTATGGTTGTCAAAATCCCTGAAACTATACGTCGTTATGCTGCTTATGCAATCAGTAGAACGTCAATTGAGACATAAAGAAATAGTATATCGAGTCCCTCGCAAGTCACGTCACGTTGTTAATCGTACTTTTTGCCTTCCGATATTTCGGGTGGCAAATTAAAGTTAATATAGGCTAGCAAACAAACTTGCGGAATGCAGCTGAGATTGTAGTACTGCGACTTACCATTTCGCTGCGATTTCAGAATTAAGACTTTCAAAGTTTCAAGATTTAAAGTAATCAGTTGAGTAAAAGGCCGTTGCCAACTATAAGCAGCAAGGTTTCTAGGTTATGATGTTACAACCACATCTATTGAGATGTAAATCTCTTTTGCACTACAATGTAACAATATAAATTTCCCATGCATTCTATACCTAAAAATGTTATAAATCTCTGTTTTACAATATAGGGACGGAAGGGCAGGCGTGGTGTGACTGGCCCTTATGGTTATGAGGGAACTAAGGTTGTTTGATTGCTTCATTGACGTAAAGTAGAACCATGCTTATATACTTACTCCCTAATCTATTAGTTACGTTACTGTGGATTGAATTAAACGTAGTAGCTTACACTTGTAACCAAACAATATAAACGTGCGCTGAACGTTAACTTTTTGTTCCCCAAGAGTTGATTTGCCAAGTTACATAGTTTTTCTGATTAATCAATTTTGCTAAAACTTATACTAACCGAACCAGCCCCTGACCTTCAAATATTCGACGATGCGATGGAAGACAAACAAGCCTGTTGCGATGCGGCAGAAGTTAACATGAAGTCTTAAGCGGTGTTTTAAAGTTATTTTTGTTTTTTAGGGTATTCAAGGCGAGATTGGCCCGTACGGCTTTGAAGGGGAACGCGGCGATAGGGTATGTAATATATATCATTGTGATTAGATATATCACAAAATCCTTGACTTGTTCTTGTAAGATTAATTGTCCAGTTTGGTAATGATTGATACCATAAAGAACAGTACTGGTTATAGCCGGGGTATAAGTTAAATTCCTTTGCTCGTTAATTAAAAAAACAGTATTTTTTACTGATCTTATACATACGTGTGGTAGCCAGCTATATCAGTATTGGGTTTTTTGTCGGTTGTTTTTATCGACGGGGGAGGTAAAATGATCATAATATTGCTCGCCTTTCATTTGCTTTTATATTTCAATGCGCGGTATATCACATGCATGGAGAGAATTACTTCCTTTCTATTTCTTAAAAAGAACACATTCAAATGCCGACGGCCACAAATACCGATAATGTGAATAAAATAAACTAACCGATGCCAGCTAAAGTTGTGCACTGTACGCCAGCCAACAATAAGGAATAATTTCCCTTTCCCAACCCAGGACCCTTATATACTTATCCCAAACCCTGTGAGCTTGCCCGAAACATGATTGATTAACGTGGTTTTAAAGTGGTTCTTAGTGGTTTTAAATAAAATACAATGTTTCCTGCATCTTTTTGTAACGCATTGTCCCTCCAAACCACTCGATTGAAAACTTACAGTACTTATTTTGCGGTGTTCAATATGTATCATTAACTTTACCAGGTTATTGGAATAAAGTTGTATTCATGAAATAAACTTGTGGAATGAACTTGTATTTTTACACCAGGGATACCAAGGAGATTTTGGTAAACTTGGCAGCCCAGGAGAAAAGGGATTTATGGTAATATATCAGAGTTGAATACTCATTCTCGTTGACTTCCATTGATTTTTATCACAATTAAATGTACTCTAGCTTCCGAAGTAATCAAGCTATCTATTAAGATATGTCAGTACTGATATAGTCAGACAAGGCTAGATATAGTACGCGATATCTGACATGTTCTTATTAAATTTAACTTTTTATCACATCTTGTGCATGTATTGCCTTATCATTTGTCCTCATGGTAATTGGGTACAATTAGGTACAATGAAACTTTCATGGTTGTTCAGACATAAGATCAAGAGTAGTTGTTTATTATGAACTATTTTTTTGGCGTAAAGGGTGATAAAGGATTTTTAGGTCCAAGAGGAGACGAAGGAAAGCAGGGAGAAGAGGTACTTCAGTTTTGATTGCAAATTTTAATTAATTAACCGATGATTCAATAATACGGTAACATTCTTAGAAAGAATAATTAAAATGATTTTACAGGGAGTAAAAGGTCAATTGGGAGCAACAGGTCCGATAGTAAGTACTCGTAATTTTGGTCTCTCCAAATCCTAAACCCACAGACGTTAAACCAGTCAGTTACGTCTAAGCCGATAGGGAAAAGTAAACCAAAAATCCACATCTAACGAAAACAATATTTTTTTCTAGGGAGACCGAGGACCAAAGGTACTGATCATAAACTAATAAAGATCCTTATTTATCTAAAGAAGTATTATTTTAACTTACATAAGTCATTATTGTCTTCTAGGGTTTTCCTGGCAAAAGGGTAAATATTATACATACACATCTTTTGTTGTTTGCATCTAACAACTTTTGGTTGAAAAACAAAGAACTCCTATGAATCGTATCTTTAAACGGATCAAGCTACTGATTCGAGACTCCGACGGTCTGTTGTGAAAACATTGTGAATACAGGAATGCATTTAGGGCGCAGGAATGAGTTTAGGGCGCAGGAATGAGTTTAGGGCAACGGCAGTAGATTTTAGAAAAGGGCACATTCATTTTACCAACTACACGAAAAGGAAACCGCGGGAGAACGCATTTTCAATAATACTATTGTAATTATTGAGTTAAAATAATGAATGTATGGGCAGGGTGACCTCCGCCCTCCTCCGTTGGCAAAGGACCATGGGGGCAGACTAGGCAGTTCCGTTGCTCCGCCCTGCTGCTACGGTACCGTGGTTCCGCCGCCTCTGTTAGCGTATAAATCCATTTTCCTTTCGTTCCCTAAAGTTACGCTAAGAATAGACGGTTAGTTTTACAGCGGATGTCGGAGATCGCGACAGGGAAGGGCTTTCCTGTTTTCAGGAGAGGTTCAAAGGACAAATAATTTCATTCAAAAAAGTTCGGTATGAGGAAATTTTCGTGCCAAAATTCTTAATCCCCAATCCATTCCGAGTATCTTATTTATTCCCGTTTCTCCTTCCTTCCATTCTTCCATTTTTTTCGAGTGTGATTTTTGACAGGGAACAGATGGAAGTGTCTGAAACGAGACTGGTTTCCCATCCTCTGTCTGCTTTAATTATTGAGGTTTTCACCTGCAAGAGATCACGTAGCACGCTATTGAGTATTGTGCGTCACTTGTTTAATGAGTGGCGATTCTTTTTATATCAAGATAGATCAAGTGTCTCGCCGTTGAATGCATGACATGGTTTTGTACCATTTTGGGTAAAATTAGGAAACAAGATTCGATTAAAAACCTTGGTGATAATATCATATTTCAACCTCTGTGTTTGCTGTTTGGTGCTTGTTTCAGACGCAAAACTTTTCATGTGCCGAATTGAATTCAAATGAGAAACATAGATTTTAGGTCATTCCGGTTTTCTTTCTTTGGTTGCAAAAGAAGTGACATTCAACAGCAAAACGTAGATCTATGTTAATGTTGAGAAATTACGCTGGTTGAACAAAGGTTTTGCTCACAATAGCGTGTTGAAGTTAAATAAGCTACCTTCTCTAAAACAATCCCAGAGTGCGAAATTTGGTTCGTACAAAATACTTGTGAATCGGCGTAGTTTATGATTAAGTTTTATAATATGAAATTCTGTAATCTTGTAAATCCTAGGGACCTCCCGGCCCTCCTGGTCCCGCAGGTGGTACTCAGGTATAAATTATTTTTCCACGAAAATTATACATGTTGATAATTCATATCTTTTGTTTATGAAATACTGAATATATTCTTCCTCACGAAATTTATATTTTTTAAGCAAACATCATTTGGGTCTGTTCGAAATTCTGGAGGCGCGCGAGGCCTGGATACCGGCAGACCACCCGATTATTATCATGGAGAAGATGAGGTTAGTAAAAATCGATTTCCCTCGGGATTTCCTTTGCATTATTTTCTTGATTTTATTGGTCCAGTGTTGCATTCAGAAGAAGAGGAAACCCTTGTTTTGTTTTCTTGCCTTGCCTTGTCTTCTATGATGTTAATTCCGTTTTCGTTCTAGCTGTGGGTGTCCAGGCTATATCGTTTAATGTCGTAGCAGAAATATTTTTGTTTCTTTCGGTTTAAATGACTATTATACATAGACTTCCAGTAAGAAACACCTTTATTAATCCAATGGTATTGCAGTAAGAAACCCCTTTATTACTCCAATGGTACTGCAGAAAAAGTTAACAGGAGAAAATCTGCGGTGCTTGGTGTGAGTGGAGTCAAACAGTAGCTTTCTTCTCACATGTGACTGAAGCTGAATATAGTCAGATAACTGCACAAACAGGGGTCGGTTCTGTTCATTCCGAGGTGAAAAGCACTTGTTTCAGACTACTCGGTTGGATCAGTTTCGCCCTAATTGGAATCATTGTGCAGCAAGTCTATAACTACGGTAGTCTAATGGTGCAAGCTTTTTTCAAAAGCTTCTATTCCTGGCAAAACACTTTCTAATAATACTTTTCATTTCGAAACTATTGATTTTCTGATATTTATTTTGAAAAGAAAACCAGAGTTCATTTATAAGTATTTGTGTGCCTTATGAGTTCCTATATTTATTTAGGATAGTCATCATGGTATTGAAAATAGAGTATCGAAGTCAGTGGAAGAACTCGTAAGGGGGAAATAAATTTATTCTCATTCTTTCGGAATAATTTGAAAGCAATAATTTTGTTTTAATTAATGCAAGGGAAATTCACCGATATTTATAATAAAGATATGATTCATATGTGTGATTCAGTTGATGTGATCCATAGCTTGTGTTAGACTCTCCACACCTCCACTACCGATAGTATTAACTAGGGCTGGCTAAAATGAGTTTTTTATTTTGGGAAATTTTATTTTTCCATTAATGAATTGTTTTAGTAACGCGTCCTCTTATTTATGTTTTTATAGGAAGCCGAGTTACTAACCAGATTGCACCGTCTCTACAATGATTTTGCAAATTTTCAAAAACCAACTGGAAACAAACAATTCCCTGCATTGACTTGCAAAAATCTCTTTAATGATCATTCACATTTAAAAAGTGGTAAGATGGATCAAATCAATTGACCATTTCGTAAGCTTGATTTAATGAAGATGAGAGTTGATGGTAACTTGAGTAAAAAAGAGTTTCATTTGGCGAAATATAGCTCATTTAATAGCAGTCAAACTATATAGGAAAAAAACTCTCGCAATCTAACAAAAATTGCATGTAGTAAATCCTAAGAGGTATAGCTAATGATCAAACACAAATGAACCAACTTGACTCTCAATGTTTCTGAGCTCTCTTATCTTTGTTCGAAAAAGTCTTTTAAGTTAGGAAGTTTAATGAATCGACGTAATGCCGCATTTTGATAATCCCAATGCCTCTCTCCACAAGGTATGTACTGGCTTGATCCCAACGAAGGTGCTGTGGAAGACGCTGTACAAGTTTATTGTGACTCCGAGGAGAAATTAACTTGTATTTCCCCTGTTGTTAACAAGGTTAAACTCTTATCGTGTTTTTATATTCATCACGAGGTTAATTGTACTACGAGATGTACGAAGGCTTGATAGCACTTGATCACCAGAGAGTGATAGGTTCAAGCGTTTTAGAATGATGTAATTTCAGAACGACCCGAAATAATCAAGTAGATTGCTATCCGGCTTTTGTACAATCGGCCCTAGAAGTCGTTAGCCGTCCACGTATTTCAATATGTTCTTTCTCGTTGCTTTGATTTTTGTGAACTCGAATATTCATTTGAGTTTGAATTTTGTTGTGTTTCTAAGACGAAAGTAAAACAGTGGTATAGGGGCGGTGATAGATATTTGTGGTTTAAAGAGGATATAGCTGACAGTTTCAAGGTAAGATGTTAAAAAAATATTTATTGACTGGAAGAACATCATGTGATAAGCCATCATACGTTTTGTATTGTAGTTCCGCTATACGGTGGAGTCCAACCAACTCACGTTCTTGCAGTTGCACAGCGACAAAGCAAAACAAAAGATTATTTATCATTGCATTAACTCCACTGCATGGCGTGATCAAGCGAATGACATCACGCATTCAATTAAGTTGCTCGGTGATAACGAAAGGGTATATGAAGCGAGTACTCCACGAAAACACCGTCCCACAGTGCTTAGCGATGAATGTAAGGTATGGTCTTCACGTAGTTTCTATTGTTGTCAAGGTATTCTGTCGTGAGATTTTGTTATGACCATGAAAATAACACAGGAAGATCAATGCCACATGCATATGGCGTACATGTATGTCCACCTTTAGTTTGGAATATAATTTCTACTTAAAGTTTCAGACGTTCTCTGTTTTAAGATATTTATTTCTTTACGAGCTTTCGATTGACAGTCTGCAGCCTTCGACGGGTAATTACAATGATAAAAGCGTCAACTAGAGTGACAAAAACAAGGTATAAGCAAAGATTACATGTGATATTATTATAGAGGTGATATAAGATGAAGCCACTCTGCCCACCTATATATAAAAATATTACAAATAGTGTTTCTTGACCAAAAAACGACATTGTTCTGTTAATCGCTTAGAATTGTTATCTGCGTTTGTCGTGATTGGGGTGTGCCAGGATTTTAAGATCGCTCGGTGACGATAGTTGCCTTGGTCAATTACCTTGCCGTTCTGAAAAGGACCTTCCTGTTTCACCAATATAAATCCATGAACAACAGTCTGAGCATGCAATATGATAAACTACATTGGTCTGGTCTTCGGGGGGTGACCTGTCTTTAACCGACTGGGAATATTTGTTGTAGCAGTGTGCGGAGGGGCTTTGTGGTAACTTGAATATCGTATAACTTTAGGAGTCGCTTTAGGGGCTCTTTTAGACTTTTGTTTTTGGGAAGAACAGCGTAATCATTGTCCAGCTTTGGCTCTACAATATCAAAAAATGATTACCCGTCGAAGGCTGCAGGCTGGCAGCCGAAAGCTCGTAAAGAAATAAATATTTGAAACGTCTGAAACTTAATCACGAATCCTGGTTTCGCCTAAGAACTTCTACTGTTGAGCACATGTTAGTAACATAATACTAATTCTCGCCTAAAAGGCAGGCCCCAACTGTTGCGAAATAGAAATTAGGAAAAACCTGTCAACTTTTTGATAATTTCTGCGTTCTTAAGACCGACCAGCATTGAACATTTTTGAAGAAATTGAAATGAATTTTTAGGCTCACAAAGTATATTTTTGTCATTCAATCTGAAGGTAAAGGACGACGAAAAACGGAGCACTGTTTTAGAAATTTTAACTGAAAAAACGTCAAGGCTTCCTATTCGAGACATTGCAGTTTATGACATGGGAGATGATGGAGAACACTTTGGTATAGAACTTGGAAATGTCTGTTTTAGCTAGGACTAGGTACAAGTGGAAATCATGATATCGATTGGAATAAAGTTAGGATAAATTACAAACCATGGTCGTATATTTTAACCTTTTTTATATTTTTTACGCTCGTGAATGAAAGATATATTCCCAAAATTGCATTGAGATTGAGTTTGGGAGTAGGGTCACGGTGAAGTAGAAATTGTTTAGATGTACTTGTAAATAGCATCTTGCTGTCGTTGTTCGTTTTTTTTTGCCTAGAATATATAGATAAATTTAGACCGTTAAAAAAATATATACATAATATACACTTTTGGAAATGTGTGTGAGAATGAAGATTTATTACAAACAATTTATTTTATCTGTGATTCAGATCAGCAGTAAAGTGAGTAAACACTAGATAGATTTGAGAACGGATTATAATTAGTATTCCTTCCCAAAGAAAATGTCGTCCTACAAGTATTTATGCACATTTTTTAACCACTTTTGGCCACGACACATAAAGGTGAAAAAAAGTCAGTGCAATTCAAAAGATTCCATGCATGGATCCTTCTGTTGACAAATTTCGCTGAAATGCAAGCACTTGATTGATTTGATTGCTATGGCTGAAAAGGTGAGTTCCTGCTTGAATGAAGTTTCCCGTTAATTGTCATGTATATTTTTTAAATATATTAATATTTATATGCGCTTCTTGATGTTTCTAATATGAATTTTTGAAACTGAAATCAGCTATAAGCAGATAAGTTGTTTCATCATTTTTCATTTTGTTTTAATCTGTGATAGGCCGCCCACACGTGTCTACGTACCAAAGAGAGACGGTTGATGAACCGAGGCGGTTTGGGAGCGCCCTCACATGGTGCATCCGCTTTTGTCGGGCGAAAACACCGGATGGATAATTGTAGATACGGAAAGTGTTTTTCAGATCTTTGGCGGATACGTGCATGCATGATGCATGTGATCTTGATGTTTACACTTTCCCTACTGTTATATAATGGTCAATAAGCAATGCTCTAAGATTTGACGCTGAGGCTGGCTTCACTGGAAATTTCGCTGACACTAATTGTCGAAAGATTCAGTGTTCAATTATATCTGGAATTATTGACAATGTGTATAAAATAAATATTGGTAAGAGCAAAAATCCGGCGAAGAAAGGGCTTGAAGGTTTGATATAAAATACGTCAGTCTTTGAGCACGTTTCACGTGGGTACATTTTGAGTCTTTTACTTCCGTATCAACGTCCTTCAAGGACATTCAATTTTTTATTATTTCAACGCGTAGGAAGATGGGCCAGCCTAGTTTCGAGAACGCCTTGCTTGCTTGTTTGTTTCATTTTCAACATCTCTCATCCTGTGATAAAATGATATTAAATCAACAACAGGAAGCAAAATCTCTATGAGAGATGTGTGGGTGTTCAGATATCCTACCGATGTAAACATGTTTATGTGTAGGCTTGGCTCACGCTGACTACTCCCATTCAGCCGGCCGGCGGTGACTAAGAAAATTTATTCAAAATAACGAAGCAATTTATTCTTCAACGACCATCGACAATAGCCTTTGGCTTCGCGGTTGTCGGTGATCATTGGTAATCAGAATTGAATCCTGGTTCCCACAACGGTCGGGAATGTCTAATTTTAGTGGTCATTGGAGAATAACTGAGTGCCTTGTTATTTTGAAAAAAATTATTTGTTATCGGTTACCAACGATAAATCGCCGATGTATAGTTAGGATTTGAATGCTTAAGCACGGTGTTTGGGCCCACAAGTGTACATATAAATGTTTGACATAAGCATTTTTATGCATGACAAGTATGAGTAACAAGATTTGAATTGACAACTCAAACACCCATTACCCTCGACATACATGTCCCTCATCTCTAGCAAATCAAAGCTTAAATTTTTGTATTTGTATTTTAAAAGTTGCGTTAATCCCCATGGGAAAAATCGCAAACAAGCCATTCAAATTTAAACAATAGTTAATTCTATAGTTTTAGGTTCTTTGTATAGAACACCCTAGCTGTACAGGTACTGATCATTTTTGCTTTGAATAAATAATCAGGACTTGCGAAATGAACGTTTGAAACAGGTCGGAGTTGTCAAAGACTAAAAGACCGCGAGGCAACGCTGCTTTAATCCCCCTCATGACAATGTATATAGATCTTCTAAGTCTTCTAGTACATTATAAGAACGAACGTCGAAAAATGTTATTTAAACATTTGACACACTTCAGTGCCTTCTTCATGGAGTTGGTCCATTTTCGACTTTTATTCTACTGGAATATTCGACACAAAGCAAGAAAGCCGGGAAAGTTCTTCAGTGTAAAACCTGGATAACTTCACGTTTATTTTCCAAGTTGGCGATGTTGCAGCAGTCTTTCGATCCTCAGATAAAACCAAAAGCAAGCATGCCTCAATGACTAGGTAAGCAAACTGTGTTAAATGCATGAAACAATAAAAATAACTATGTTAATTAATCCACCCAGCATCCATGTTCAGCAACCCTGTTTAGCAATATCCTAGAGTCCTGCTCAGGAGCCCTTCCAGCCGTGCTGAAATGAATTCTGTTCATAAAATCAGGCGTACTGAAATCAGAAGCCGGAATGCAGCGGCTACAATACATCAGTCATACAGCGATAAATATTTTATTATTGAAATATAATTTAAACATCTTTTCAATATAAATAACTGCTAGATAAAATAACTACATGCATGCTACACCCACCCATAATATTTACATTGAACTAAATATAAAGTATGTCCTGTGTAAAGAGTTGAGTAATATCTTACATCTACCACGTCACAAGACCGTTTGTCCATTTTCTAATGTTATATATAATTTCAATTAAAAAATAATCAGTATGATATTGAACGACTGACACTCGTTTGCTTCGATCTTTAGAGAAGAAAGTGAGGTCCTGACTATTCCCGTTGTATTAAAGTTATAAACAAAATCAGGTCACAGGTATGTACAACTTTCTATACAGGGTGTCTTAATCATTCAAATTATTATCAGGGGGGTAACCTTTTCGGACACTCTGTATAACACCATTTTATTTCAACAACTACCCATTGCCCTCTGTATTATTGGTAAGATGTTTGTCAAACGATTGTGTTCGTCAAATTATAACCAGAGGCTTATGGTGTCATCAAATAACAGCAAGGGTTAGACCAGCTGCATCTACTTCATTAAGAGAAGAATTTTTCAAATAACTTAAGCAATAATACCTTATTTCTATCAAATATTACTTTTCTCTACTAGAGTTCATTGTACACACGTTTCCTTTGAATCACGTCGTTGATAAATATATTCTTAGACTTCATTATTGTTCTTAGTTTGCAATAATATTCTTACAGAGCTCTATTGTTCGTCCGCCCAAGAAAAAAGCAAAGTCAGTCGTTTCACTTTCCCAGTCTGTCAGCAAGGTTTGCATGTACAGGTTTTCGCGGACACAATATCATGATACTTTTTAACAATCTTCCCACTACTGGTGTCTTGACAAAATAGTTGAATTCTTAGGATATACGTAGACACAGCCTTACAGCAACGACATGTAGTAACTGTAGTCGTAGAACCATCTTTATCATGTGGAGTACTGTATGAAAGACATTTTCCACGGCAAGTTTGCAATGGTACATTCGATCGAGGTTTGCACGTCGGTACTTTGACAGTAATCTTGGTACTTTCAGGGCTACAATTATTTCCTAGTGCTCGCCTTTTCAACGAACGTGATTCGATTCCAGTGAAGATAACCAGAATAAAGAGTAAAATGTATCTCGTATTTACGCCACTCAAATTCATTACACAATCCAGAATCACTATATAAGAAAGAAAACAATGAGATATAGAACATAAAAGATTATATCACGGACAGACAATGCAGCAATGTAGGCCGCTTCGTTCCGTGTGGAAGTGATGATTGAAAGGCTCAAACATTGCCAGACTTTGTTTCGAATGATACAATTACAATCAATAATAAATCGTACCATGACAGCGGTGACACAATGTCACAATAACCCAAAGGTGTAAGCTCAAAAGTTCAATGCCAAATCGCATTCAGTGAGAAGATCTAAGAGTAATAATCATTCTCAAGGCATCATCAAGTGTGACGAATATATTTCTCCATGTAAATTATAAAGTCCAATATATAAAGAGCTTAATGGCTCCTAGAGTCACTTGCACAAAGAGATTGTGCAACTGATGCAAGGTAATATCAGTTCTACAGATTTGTTTGGTTTATTTCTATATTGTAGTTTAGGGTGGCTCTGTAGTGCGTTTGGATACAGTTTCTATGTAACAACAGCAAACAAATAGAAAGATAGAGCATTTTTATTTAGAATAAACACAGGATATAGGTTACGTGTAATCTGATATCTATTTTATAAGAGATGGAACAGGCAAGTGGTAATATATGAATGAGGTGAAACTTCTTTTTATCTTGGCCCTGTCCCATGATTCCCTGTGTTAGTTAGTGCGTATGACGACAAAGGAAACTGGAACTGATCATAAACAATATGCTCTCTTTAAATGACACCATAACAGAATAGTATGACCAGAAACGACCTTTCGAGAAAACGAAATAAGCTTGTTATGGTTTTTAATCCTTTCCTTAACACTTTTGACAGCTGTTCTGTATTCACTCCTCCACGGCTGGTCGACTTTGAGCAACGAAATTGACATTGTTCAGATCACATTCAGATTGAGATCACGGTCGAGTGAATAAGCAGACTTTAAATGAAAAGTTGACAGTTAAACTGACCATAAACTAAGCATTAACTTTCTAGTCCCAGTTTTTTAGCAATTTAGCAATACACGTTAGCAATTTGGCAATACACGTTTAGCAATACACGTTAGCAATTTAGTCTTTAGTTTCTTAGCAATACACACGTGAAATAATCAAACAATAGATTAAATTCACTAGTTATAACTTATAAGGATATGCTCTAGTAAAACCAACTCTGTTTTAATTAATTTTAAGGTAGTTTATGTTTCCAAACTCGGTCCGTGCGACTTCATTATCACAACTTAAGAAATCTTAATTGTCCATGCATGCGATAAGAAGTGGACGCAGAAGTCAGGACGACGGTTAGATTGGTTTTAGGATATCGTTCAATTTAGTAGGTAATTTATATATAAACAACATGTTAAAAAACAGGAAGTTTCAAAAGGAAAATACTTCATACACCCACCATATAATCTACAGGAGGCTTAGTCAAAGGGCATTTTAATAACCAAACCTAACCTAACGTGAATATTTTGTTGTTTTGACCTTCCAATACTCTATTTGTACCTATAACCGCAAGGCAAATGAGCAAACTTAGTTCGGAAGTTAGGTAAT